TTGGGTTCCATCGGCACCCATTATATAACAGAGCTCATCCGTGAGATCCGGGGAGGTATTGACTTTCAGGTTCGGTGCTTGCGGCTTCTGGGAGTTTCTTAATGGATTGTAGTCCATCAGCCGCAACTGTCGTCAGTATCCGAATATGCAGTCGCGATTATAATTGGGACTGTAGGGTTCCTAGGTGGTCGTAATCATGGAAGAGGAGTTAGGACTGCGTGAACATAGATCTAGAAGATATAAATGATCTCGTGGATCGCTCGAGCTCGAGGTGTGAGATATATTCGGAACCATCGATATCATTTCTATTCAATATATCGATATATCGATAGATATCATTAGCCTCATAATGTCGAAGCCATTTAAAAAATTGATGAATTAAATTATACGCCTTCATGCAAGCTCTCTTCGCTAGAAACCCCAGAAAACCCTTCACGAACTCATATCCCGTTGAATTTTATTGTATTTTATTTTTCCCGTAAATTAATTTTTGAATTGTCCATCTTATTCCACGCCCGGCCGGCCCAATCACGCAGACTGTCGAGACCACCGCTCCTTTAGCCGCCGCTTTTGGGAGTGTGAAATGAAGACCAGGAACGAATGCGTGCTGATGCAACTAACCATGTGGGGAAGCTTCCCTTAATTTGCTTTTGTGGGTCGGCAAGGTTTTCTTGGCTGTGTAAACCAAGCCCTGTCAGCCGAGTTCTTGTCCTTACGTATGTGCGTGCTACATGCATTGAATTCGAGGCTGCAGAATGATGGATTTTAACTCTCACGCCAGAGCTGCAGAGTACTCTGTACATAAGTAGATATTGGGATATAAATGGTCTTTCAACTTAGGCATCCAATCAGTCGTAGTATTTTTTTTTTCACATTGGAGTCAAATGGTTGATTTGTTTAGTAGATAGAAGACATTAGAGGTTCGCTTCGGGTTCTCATGACATGTAGAAATATAACGTCACGTACGTTCTAGCCAATGGCTGGCTAATTGCCATCCATGGCTTTCAGCCCTCATGAATGAATCCACAAATCCCGGTTCCGAAACCCTTCGACAAATACCCCCCTTAGCCCAAAAGCTTAAAACATTTTAACGACACATCTAGGTAACATTAGCGTTATTTTCTAGAAATTTGAGCCAACAGAGTGGGGGGAGGGGGGTTGAGTTATTACCTGATACAGTCACCAGAGTGCATAAGATCGAAAGCCTCGTTGATATCCTTCAAATCCCTCTTATGTGTAATAAACTCTTCAACCTTAAGCTGACCATCAAGATAATCCTGAACAAGGTTAGGCAACTCGGTACGACCACGAACACCACCAAAGGCGCATCCAAGCCATTTCCTGCCGGTAACCAATTGGAATGGTCTTGTCGAGATTTCCTGACCGGCAGCAGCAACTCCGATGATAATAGATTGACCCCAACCCTTATGACAGCACTCCAAAGCAGCTCTCATAACGGAAACAACACCGGTGCAGTCGAAGCTGTGGTCGACACCTCCATCTGTCGCCTCAATGATCGTGTCGACGAGGTTCTTACCGCCATCGGGGAGCTTAGAGGGGTTTACGAAGTCTGTGGCACCGAATTTTCGAGCCCATTCTTCCTTGTCTGGGTTGACGTCGATAGCCTGGACAGATATTAGCTAGTATCCTGTAGTCTTGAGAGGTAGGTAGAAGGCTTACAATAATCTTGTTGGCCTTATTGCGAACGCATCCTTGGATAACTATCGTAGATATACATATCAGTAAGTGTACCGACAGCTGAAAACGTGATCCCACCAACGTACCAGATAGACCAACAGCACCACATCCAAAGATAGCGACGTTGTCACCTTCCTGGACCTTGGCGGTATTGATCTAAAATGCAACAAGATCATGTTAGTAAACTCATAACAAAAATTCGTATTAATTGTAGCACATACAGCAGCACCGTAACCGGTAGCTATAAAAATATTAGCCCATTGTTCAACTATTGGTGTAGGGAATCAAAAAGTCCACATACTGATACCGCATCCCAACAAGCAAGCCTTGTCAAGCCCTGCTTTCGGATCTATGGCAACGACGGAGATATCGGCGACAACTGTATACTGGCTGAATGTCGAAGTCTATGATGTATTAGCTACAAGTAGAAACAACCTTCGTCAGAGGATTTGGGGTACCTACACCCATGTAGTGAATTCTGAAACAGCTTTCGTAAGCTTTGCTCCCTTATTTCCTATTCAGTATTCGAAAGAAACTCACAAATCCTTTCCATTCGATGTAAATCTAAGAAGTCGTCAGCGAAACAGTAACTACATATCCACGTAATCTCTTATCAAGGACCCACCTAACAGTGCCATCAGGCATGAGACCCTTGCCTTTGCAGTCGGTTAGTTCAAACCCGGCCTAGTTGTCACAATAGTGGAAATGTATCTTCCGTACCTTGGGTAGCACGAATCTTTCCACACAAATTTGTCTTTCCACTCTTGCAGAATTTGCATTCACTGTTACATAGTTAGCGACATAGCGATCAATTGATACGTCCGTTGATTAGCTTACCGGCATTCGGGGGTATAGAGCTGGTAGACGTCTCGTAAGTATACTTGCCGATGCATTCGACGCGAGCGAGCTATAACATACCGCAATTACCTGCCCGAGTACGATCATTAGTCTTTGTTCTAGCTATAAAGCAAAGCTTGAGTGCAGGTAAAACTCACATGATCACCGGGCTTGACGGACGTAACACCCTCTCCGACAGATTCGACGATTCCGGCACTATAATAGAATACTGCGTCAATGTACTGCTCCGTTGTAAATGCGGGTTATACACTTACCCTTCGTGACCCAGGATGACAGGGAATGCGCCTAAACCCCGTTCTCAGCACCGATCTCGAATTTCCGGCCCGCTATAGCTACAGCCACAGCTACAGATATACAATACCTTCAGAATCCTTTCCGCTAAGGGTGTACCTATCCAACGAAACCATCAGCCATTGACTGTTTGCAAAACCTCTAGGCCATATTTCTCGGGCACGCACTGATCAGTATGGCAGACTAAACACCCAAAATTAGCAACCATATCTCTTATGCATATTTTTCTCTTCTCTCGCGCATCCAACCCGACCACTAACCTCCGGTATACTCAATCTTGATTCTGACTTCGTTGGCCTTCGGAGCAGCGACCTCGATTTCTTCGATTGTGAGTGGTTTTCCTGCTTCGTATGCAACGGCCGCGAGGCACTTGATTGGCTGTTTTGGACCAAAATTCCGCGGTATTAGCCAGGGTCTTTGTTTCGATGCATATGCAATCGTTGTCGGGGTTTGGGCACTACCTTGCCGACTGTCGACATCTTTACGAGTAATTGGAGTTTAGAGTATCGTATCTTCCCGGGGAAAAAAACTATTGTTAGAACTGTCCCAAAATAACCAATCCGTTCTCAATCAATGGCAGAACAGAGTCTACAAAGGGATCCCAAAAATACCAAAGATTCTCAATGTTGTCAGAGGGAAACAAAAAGGTGGTCCAGAAGGTTATGACGTGAATTGGAGAAGAAGATTAAGACCTTTTTTTGTGTTTGCCGAAGAGTTTATAATTTTGAGAGGGGCAACAAAACCCCCTCCAAATGCGTTTCTTGGAAGGGAAGCTCTCCCCGCGCTTCGGTTCGGAACGTGTTAGGGGATCTCGTCTCGACTCGGGCTCGTACTATGCCCAGCAGCTAGCAGGAGGATATCCGATTCCGGTGATTAGCCTTCGGGGATAAAACCCTACGGCGCTACGATGTATGTATGACTCTTTATCTACTGATGATGAGATAATACTGCTTACCAATGGCTTAGTTCTCGACGTATTACAACTCTTTACCAGCAAGTTGGGTCCCACTTTCTATCGATATCGCGATCCCGGTTTTGCACGATACGGCAATATCCGATGTGGTATTTTCGATCGTGCAACGCATTTGTGGGTCCATCAGACTGTGGGGCCACCGCCGCAGCCGTATACTTAGTTAGCATGCAGACACCCTGTCTAATGTTTAGAAAAATCTAGAATCCGAGCCTATCGATTGGGATATTAATAAGCTGTTCCATAAATCCGGTGCTATTTAGCGGCTTTATTGGTTCCTTGGGAACCTAAATAGCGAGCAACCTGACTCGCGTTTCGATTCTGGCATACACAACTATGGTCTAGCGCGCGGATATACTATATAAATTGTGGAGAGAGGGATTTAAATGGAAGAGTCATCCTTTCCTTTTCCCTCTTCAAGCTGATTTATGGTTAAACTACCTAGGTTAGGAAACTATCGATGTTTATCACGGAGTTTTACTTCAAGGAATGTATTTTTTCCGTAATACAAATACGTAACATACATGATAGATTGGTTGTGCTGCGCTCGGAGACATGGGACGACAGCTAGCTCAGTCATATATCGTTTTATAACCCCGAACACAGAGCATTTACATATACCAATAAACTGCAAGCACGCGTCATTTAGGTGATAATACGCATTGACTGCCCATAAACCCATAGTTGATTATATAACCAGAAACGAAGAGCTCGTGGCATCAAGCTCGTGGCAACCCCTCTAATTAATTATAGTCGTCGAAAGCTACGTATACATTGATAACGGCGACATGCATGATGCATTAAAACTTAAACAAAACCTTCTACATCAGCGTTCTCGAACTAGTCATAAAAGATGAGATTAACATTTCTTGCCTCTGTCTTTATTGTGGGGGTCGTATTACATGCACTATCTGCAATAGCCGCACCCTATCCGTCACAGCTCAATTGCAAAACTACCTCCTGCTCAGGTAATTGGAACAACCAAACAAAGCATCCTTTAGATGTAGCTTCTAGCTATAGGACTACACAGCTAGCTCTAACCCACCGCGGGATCCTGACTATTCTCAATCTACCTATCCTTATTCCTGTACCAGCTATCTCTTTGACGTCAACGGCCACGGCGACCGGGACAGAATGGCCTACAAAACCGGAGCCTCTGAAGGCTTCTGCGTCCGTTCATGAGTCTGAACCGTCAAATCTAACCAGCAGTGTAGCATCTCCATCTGCATCAACATCTTCTTCTACAGAGGTAGTTCGACAGACTACCACATTCACATTAACACAAACCGAGCAGAAAGTAGTCATGGACCCTGAATCCACTTACAGTAGTCCCCTGGTATCAGCTCATGTACCGATAAGGTATGTTTACAATCGGCCAGCCAAGTCAACAGGACCGCCGCCACAGGACCTTACATCCCATAGGCGTATAAAACCCAGGGTATACGTCACAGAAACCATTTTATATACAGTAACCGCGCCTGCCTACGTCGTCACCATAACTAATCCTGCCGACGTTGTCACAAAAACCACCTTGATCTACCAACCGGGCCCACCAACCACTACCACACCAATTACTTCTCCCTTGCACACATCAAAACCAAAGTTAGTGAAAACAATAATATCAAATATCAACTCTATATTTTCATCAGCATACACTAGTTATAACCCCACAAATCCAACTCCCACCTCAAAGCCTAAATCTACGTTGATACCCCCTACTCACCCCACCCCATCCGGTCAAGGCAATCCTAGATGCAACGGTCTCTTCAGATACCAAACAAACAGGTCATCGGGCGAACAATATCGCGCATACTACTACTTTGACTACGATTTTGCAGTCTACCATATCAATAACTACTGTAACAATCTAAAAGACCTTCCGGATAATTACAACCAAAATGGCATCCGACTGACCCAAATCGGCGCTACAAAAGACCGTAATGCATTCAACATAGGCGTTTACTGGCCTGCTTATCTTCCCGGTACTAAACCTCAAGCAGAAATATGCATTTACTATTTCAGATTTATACTCTTAGACGGTTGCGACGGGAATGATCCGAACAATCCGTTAAATTGGAAAGGTGGTGGGTCTTTTACCGCGGTTGATCAACGTGGGATATATAGACGACAAATATATTATGAAATAGAAGCTATAGGACGAAGAAGGAATATCATAAAACAACGGCTGGCTCAATGCTTTAAACAGATACAGGATAATAAAGTAAAACTATTCGTGCGAGGTGCAGGTTGGGCGGGTGATATAGGTTTGGTGGATTTGAAAAGAAATGTTAATGAGGCATGTGGGGGTATTGTGGAGTATTGGGAACCCGTCTCTACGATTAATAAAACCGGGAAGTATGAATGGCAGTTGGATTTGGGGATACCGGCAGACCAGGAAAAGTGTTTTTTGGAGGTTGTGAGAAGGGATTATGGGGCTGAGGTTGAATGTGGGTTTCTTCCGGGGTTTGGGAGTGCGAAGGAATATATAGGAGATTAATACACAAGTCGAAAGATCTTTTTGTTTTAATCCTTCCCCTTCTGTTCCAACTGTGTAAAAAACTGTGCAGCCGCCAACTTTGGCATCCGTCGCTTCGGCAATCCGCTGGAAGTTAGGTCTGGTCGAGGCGCTCTAGGTGCCGGTGGGGTAGCTAACGGTGCCAATCCTGGTTGGTGGCCGGGTTTTGGATTCGTCGTTATGGTAGTTACTATACAGACATTCCCGCCATCGTCTGGTGCACGTCTAAGACTGATCCGACAAGGCTTATTTAGAACAACTACTCGAGCTGCTAATGTGGGTCTTGCTTTTGCTGCAATCGCAGTAATGAGGGTTTTAATCGTCGCTGTCCTTTCAACCTCAAAGACCAATTGTCCCAATGATAATGAACTGTCTTCCCGGTCAAGGGAAAGCTTGACAACGAAAGTGGGTCCGTCGTTTACGCCGTTTCCTTCATTCTTTTGCGGTAAAAATATCGGTTCGTCCAGAAAACTATGTTCTGAGATATCGACCCATGGTGTTTGAGTTCCAGACATATTCGCAGCAATGTATTGAATAACCATTCCAAACTGTTCAAGGCAGCCGATGTATATCTCTGGTTTGCTTAGAGCAGCATGGATTTCAAATCCATTTGAAGCTTTGATATATTGAGCCTTTAGTGATGCTGCCCCCTCGCCCTGGGCATCGGTCGGCTCTGTGGCTTCGGCACTACCCCGTGAGCTGATGGTGTATTGGTCTTTAAGCTTATTCAAACTTTCAATAATCTCGGTTTGTGACTCGACCGGTAGAGAACTGGTAGTGACTTGTTCCTTGATGCTGGATAGGTTCGAAAGAATCTTTACTTGTACTTCATCAGGAATAGCCTCGAGAATTGAATATAAATCTATCGGACTGCCTTCCCGGCTACCTAACCGTTCCATAACAAGGGTTATATTTGCAAGAACCTCCTTTCTAACCTCAGGCGTGACCGAGTGAGCAGTAAGCTGTTCTTGTATAATTGGTATATTCGAAACAATCGTTTCCTGCGCAGTTGGAGATAAAGTCGTGAAAACACAACGGACAATATCCAATGTATTCCGACATTTGGGTAGTTGGGATGTTAAGTTTGTGATATCCGAAAGGATTTCGTTTTTTATTTCGGTCGGTAAGCTTTGAAGAACGTCTAGGATGGCATTTTGGTTTAGATTCGATTGATCGTTCTGGAGTATACTCGAGAGAATGCCCGTTTGCACGTTGGCGGGGAGGGCTCGGAAGACAGTGGCTGCGGCGTTTCGACTGCCTGTGGACCAGTTGTTTAAAAATGAAATAGACATGACTTACAAAATATTCGAAAGATGAACTGCTTATAGCTTAGGCTGAGATGATTTTTGTATGTGAGGATTTGATCTGTATATATATATAACTACTGCTAGAACTTTTATCATGATGCTATCGTAGGGTATAAATACTTAAAGTGCTTGTCGAGATACATAGGCACTTAGATGCTTGGTGCCTCCTGAGGATCTAGAACGCCGGCTCTACGACCCTATAAAAGACCTTGGCGCGTCTGCACGCCAGAAAAACGTATTACTAGTACCGCAAAGATATAAATAAAGTGAATGTCTAGTATATGACTGCTCCGTACTTTGCTTTCGATCCCGCATCGCTATACAATGCCTAGAGTATATCATATCACATGACGCCCTTGAAATCTATGGTTTTTGATGTGGTTTTGTTTAAAATGCTGGAAAATGCTTTATATATCCTCGGAGAATATGTTCTATATCACAATTTTCTTTAGTTTTTTATTGCAAAAGATCGGGTTACATATGCGGTTTACATGGTGTGAACGGTCAGCCTTGTATGACTTTCTAAAATAAGCTAAGCTTGGAATATTCGGTATGTCTAAAACGAGTACGGAACATGGTATTTCAGTTTAAGATCGTAAAACTCAGCCTCACCAATGATGAAGATAATGAATCAGATTACGAGAAGAAAAAGAAGGAGACAATTCGCGATCGCATAGTACCCAGTATTCTATCTTAAGTTCAATAGGGGTGTCGATATATTTTTTGATTATGTCGACTCGACGTCTGCAACAAGGTATTGCGTTGTTTGTCCCGTCATTGAACTCCGATCCTTTCTAGATCTTTTGATGTCAAAGCAGGTAATGAACCTGGTTCTGTTGGGAACACCCTTGCATGTTCTAATTCCAACCTTCTGCCTGTCTTCTGCTGACTGAACAATCTGCTCTCAATTCAATCAATCAAATTCAATACTCGTAAGGTGGGTCCAGTCTCTTCGAGTCTCAATGGTCACGTGATGGAACTAGGGAGTCAATTAAAGTCAATTAACCTCGGCAGGGAGGTCCACTTTTAAGAAGCTTAAAATGTTTGACAGAACGTTAGAAAAACCCTGAACAGGGGCAATGCAACGGCTGTCGCGTGCTTGACTCCGCCAAACCTCCTGTGGACGAGGATAGGAAATAGTATATGCAAACTGGTATGTGTACTATGTAGGGAAGGTATCAGTGTTATGTAATGCCGACGGTGATGCTATCTTTCTAGTCCTGGTATTTTTGGATCCTGCTCCTGCTGGAGGCAAAGGATCGATTCGACGGGAAAATTCTGGCCCCAAAAAATAATATCAAAAAAAATAATGGAAAAATAGTATGCAAGCCATGCGTTCGGCCTAAAAACACTGCTGGTTCCCAATTGATTTACTTTTCGTCCCCAATTATGCACGGGGTGGTTGGTGGCCGTAGGCACCAGTCCTGTTTGTCGGCGGCGCTCCCCCACGTGTACCAAACTTTTTTTCCCCCCTTCCCCATTTCTTATTCTCATTTTTCCATATTGACTCCAGAAACTGTGCTGCTTGTGCGCATCGGTGACACAAAGGGAGGGGATGAGGAGGAGGGGACCGGTGCGTGGTTCTATTTATTATAACTAAGCACGTTGCGAAATGCAATGGCACCCAAGGGATCGTCCACGCCTTCGAAAGAAAGTTCTTCCACACTTGCCCTGTATGGTACGGTACACGTACTATGCATAATCTGGCACTGTTGCGCCGAATCGACGGTGTCGACATCCATCCCATCCATACATGTCTCTATGTCCAGCCCTTCGTTAGCTTAATTAGCTTGAAGGGATGGCGAATCTTATTTTGGCCATTTCCCTATTGCATTACAAATTTAAGCTGAGATACCAGACCAGCAGATACCAGACAGCATGTATAGAGTATAGTACCGTCCTTTACTTACATAGCACGCAAGAGCATACACATATTCTCGTCCCCTTGGCTCGGGTGTTCCACATTCTGGAGGCATGACCGAGGCTAAAGAAAGAGAGTTACCAAAACGGTCGAGTTTGTGCCTCCTTCGAGCCTAGAGAATCTCGTATGGCCTGCAGCTGGCAGCTGGGTTGATTGACGGGCTGGCCCCTGATGGTCTGGGGCCCCTGATACACCGCCCCCATCCAATCTTGAACCCGCCAGATTAGGTGCTTTTTTTCAAGGGGGTAGCAAATTGGCGAAGACAAGCCGGATGAAAACCTCCAGAAGAAGAGAAGTCGAAGAAGAAGGGAGAAATCAAATCATACAAGATATTCGCCGTTGGCACCAGCCTCTCGTCCTTGGATTTCTCCACTACAATCTACCAGATCTCCTGCCTGTCGACCTGCGCCTGTTTCCTGTGCGGATACCATATACTTACACCCCTTCGGATATTCCTTTCTTCCCCTCGTTTTCCCTCATTTTTATGCGTATGTCTTGACGGCGGCCTTCTCTCTCACTCACTCTTTTTTTTCCTAAAATTTTTAACGTTTGGCCGGGTTTCTCGAGACATCAGCGAGTTTTGGCTGCGTCTGTTTCAGGACCCTTTTCAACGCAGTTTTGGCAATTCATCTGGGCTTGGACGACCGACGAGGATTTGCCGCGAGAAGGGATAATATCCACTATACGAGGTTAATTCGGGCTGCTATCAATTGTCACATATAAAGCTGGCGCGATAGCTTTTGACTGGCCTGCGCCTACGAATTTTCGAGTCCCCCCCGCATGTAATGCCGTGCTGTGCTCCTTTTTTATTTAAACTATAACCTTCCCGCTTCATACGGCTTTGGCCGTCGACTAAATAAAAGGGACAAACCTATACATTCCCAAAAGTTTTCCCCTTAACAAAGTCGACTATCTGGATAGGGGATTCTTTTTTTTAAGAAAGAATATAAAAGAAAATTATACGATAGGCTACTTAAATTTCCGGCGCCGAAGAGACGATGTCGACTATTGGTCGGTTCGGGCGGTATGTGGGCTCGTTACGACCACCAATCCGCATTACCATTTCGTCACCCACCGATAACGATTACCAGGAACTTAAGAGCGATTCTGTCCTGAGTCGATCTCCTTGTTCGCAACGATCCTCCTTCGATGACTCCTCCTTCCTACCTTCTCCAGTTTCTCGAACAGTATCCAACGACTTCAGCTCAGAAGCAAGCGACCTCGTCTGGGTAAAACTGAAAATTCGGAATCGAACAGTATTTGGCTATGCGTATCCAAGGATTATTCCCAGATCAGCATGGGGCTGGCCGAAGAGAGCCTATATTCAGCGGCAACGTCGGTGTACAAGACGGCAGTGCTTGACCTTTGTCGGCATTGTTATACTTCTAGCGATATTTACTCCGATTTTTGTGACCCAACAGTTAAAAACTTGGAGGGAAAATAAGGCAAGACGAGGCTGGGGATATGGTGTCCCTCGTGTTAGCGGCTTGGATGAATGGGGCTGGCCGTTATGGGAGAAAACCTTTCAGCAGTAAGTTATATCTTCTCCTCGCGCGTGCGGAATATGTTTTTGTAGACGTATTCGGCGACAAGTCCAACAATTGTTTTAGCTGCAGGAGGATGGCGTATACGCGTATCCAAAGCGGGAAGAACTGACATTAGTCAGCTGTTGGCATACTTGCACATAACAGTTGCTATTGTCGTATCAGTTGGATATTACATTGTTAAACAATGAGTACCTTATCGCTAACGTTTTTTGTTCCGATCTTACAGTCTCCAGCACAACTATGGCGGTATCAAAGAACTAGTTCCCAAAAACGAGAATGTTCCCGAATATCCCCCTCTCGGTGACGAAGTTGAAGGAGCAGCAGAGCCAACATACTCAAAACCGTTCGCGAGCCCCGTACCCGTAGAATTCAAACCATACCCGGACTATTCCTCTAGTGAATATCGAGAGAATCACGAGGGCGAATATGTTCCTTGCAGAAGTTTCATTGAAGGAGAAGTTCTTATGGCATCAGACCCACCCTCAAAGGTCTATGCCGGTATCCCATGGAGTACGTAGCGAATTCTCAAAATAGTCATATGCTTGGGCGGACGCAGCTAATTTGATTCGTGTAACTTATAGGAAAAGCTGATGCTGTAATCGGATCTGCTGAGCTTGTTGGACTTGACGACACCGTCTGTTGGGAAAGAGACTCCTTGCTTGCGCCATACGGATTTGGTGACAATACTACACTCCCATTGCACGAGGACTGGAAGAACGCTACGACAATTGACTTCACGGGTGTCAATTGGGGCAACCTACAAACCGAGTGTGTGGACCGGAATAAAGCCAGATATAACCCATCTCCCACCAATGCAGGCAGCATTCCCATCTGGACTCCTCCCGTGGGCAACTCCAAGCGTGACCTGGACTCGAAACCTGAAAACTCTACCGAAGTATCGAAGTACAAGTCTCGAACTGCCGTCGTCCTCCGTGCTTATGATGGATTCAAGTTTACGCCCGAAGACATCATTAACCTTCGTCGTCTGATCACCGAGCTATCGCTTCTGAGTGGTGGGGAATACCAGGTTCATGTTATTATCGACGTCAAGGACTTTGAAATTCCAATCTGGGCCGATGAAAAGACCTACCAGGGGATTATCAACAAGGTAGTTCCGGAGGAATTCAGGGGTATCGTTGAGCTCACAAACGAGCCTATGATGGCCGCTTCATACTGGAGTGCCCCATGGCATGATTCTTATTGGTCGTTATTCATGCCACTGCAACTCTTTTCAAGGAGACATCCAGAATATGACTACATTTGGCAATGGGAAATGGACATGAGATTGATCGGACATCATTACCACTTCCTAGAAGGGCTCGGTCAGTGGGCTAAGAAACAACCAAGAAAGGAACTTTGGGAACGTAACGCTCGGCACTATATTCCTTCCGTTCACGGCACCTGGGAGGAGTTCAGCGCCTGGGTGTCCAGCTTGTACCCAGAAGCAAACTCTACCGTCTGGGGACCAGTTCTCCCAGCAAACGTCACGGCAATCGATCCACCACAGCCACCAGTCGCTACCCCAGAGGAGGATAACTACGAGTGGGGTGTTGGAGAAGAAGCTGACCTGATTACACTGCTCCCAATGTTCAATCCAATCGGAGGAACCTGGAACCTCGCAAACGACTGTAAGGTGTACGAAGAAAAAGACAATACCCCCCGTCGAGCAGCTATTGTTACTGCCAGCCGACTCTCAAAGGGCCTTCTGTGGCGTATGCACGAGGAAAATTCAAAGAGACAACACAGCTGCGCCTCAGAGATGTGGCCGGCGACGGCTGCTTTCCATCACGGACTTAAAGCCGTCTACGCACCGCACCCGATGTGGTTCGAGAAAGACTGGCAAAGCATGAGCACCGTCGACTATATCTTCAACGGTGGTACCAAAGGATCGTCCAATCCTGAGAGCGTGTTTGGTATCAACGAGCACAACTTCTCTGGATTGACTTGGTTTTATAATTCGAGATGGGCAAGAATGCTGTACAGACGGTGGTTAGGTTATGAGGAGAATGGTGGTGGAAGGGAGTGGGAAGCAGAGCATGGAAACATGTGTCTGAATAGTGTCGTTCTACACCCAGTCAAGAGTGTAACCCCGGCCAACGAACATTAGTTCCCTCACCGACCTATATAATGTTTTTTTTTCTCCGTTTTTTTCTTGGAACGCGTTAAGGGGGGCTTGAGTACTTTGGCGATAGGTTTGTTTTTATTTGCTTCGTCTATATATGCTTTATTCAGCGTTATGAAAAAACGTTTTCTAGTGATGCGATTCAGCGGAATTCGACAGTCCTAACATACAAGATCTTTTTCTACCAACTTTTTTTACCCATTAATCTTCTTTTTACTTTTATTTCCATATTCGTTTCCTTGTACATATTAGAATCATTGGGGTTAGTTCAACACCTGATAGAGGGGAAGCTTGCGGTCATATCCTATAGCAATTGCCATGCATGCAGTATATTTCTTCTCGTTTTTACATTTTCTTCGCTTCTTTTTTCATTTCTATTATCAAGACATCGAGGAAAGTCTTGAGTATTGCATATTATACATATACACATATTCCAACCACATGTCATGTTTGGTTCTCTTTTTTCTTGTCACGAAACTTCAAACAGATATCAATGATAATCTTTTAATCTCGATTGATCTTTCAATATTACATTCCAGAGCGGGTTAAATGTATAAAAAAAAAGGAACAGACGATCATATATATATTTACAAGGTCATAAAAGTATAAAAAAAAAGTAAATTTCGAACCCGAGCACGCAATGCAATCTTAACGCCAATGCTCCCATCGATGAGTGAATGAATGAATGAAGCAACAGATGAATCAACGGGTGAATCAAGCAGACTGTTCTACAACGGCGCCTGATACAGGACACTTCATCCCTGCAGTTGCAGACCCATGCGAAACTGGGCAGCCCCCGGTGACAGCCGGTTTCGGCTCCCTGACAACGTCTCCAGTTCCGAATCGCTCGTATTTCACGTTCTCGGCGGACGCCCCCAAGTTAACAAGGATGTCCTTCAACTCGACCATAAAGGAGTCTGGTCCGCAAATGAAATACTGGGTATTAGGGTTGTCCAAGTAAAGGTCGGCATTTCGGTCCAAGCTTGGTAGGTCTAGCTTGCCACCGAGGACTTTGTAGTTGTCAGAATCACCAGATAGTGTTAGATCTCTGTTGTAGACAACAGCGTGCCAGTTCTTCTTTGTCTTCATGACGGCCTTTAGGTGGTCTCCGAAGGCATATGCGCTCTGGCCACGGGTTGCGTGGATCCATGTAAGTGGTCTTTCGCTTCCATTGTCGACGAGAGTGTTCAACATGGCCATGAGGGGGGTAACACCGACACCACCGGAGATCAAGACGACTGGGGCTTCAGGGTTGGCTTCAGAATCAAGGAAGAAAGATCCACAGGGGAATGTGAGGTCGAGGGAATCTCCCTCCTTGACGGTATCATGGAGGACGTTCGAAACCCAACCGGGATGAGCTTGCTGGCTGGGATCCTTAACGTCGACTCCGTCGATTCTCTTAACACTGATTCTATAGTATTCGGGATTTTGACTTGTGGACAAGCTGTATTGACGGCATTGTTTCCATTCTTGTTGTGGGACGGCGACTTTGACGGTGATGTATTGTCCTGGCTTGTATGTCTCTACTGGCTTTCCGTCCTTTGGCTTGAGGTAGAAACTGGTGACTTCGTTGCTCTCCTTGATCTTCTTTTCAACGGTGAACTGTCTCCAGTCACGGTTGGCCTTTTCCTTGTAGATCTCCTCCTCACGGTTGATCATGATGTGGGCGAGTTGCCAGTAGCATGCACCCCAGGCGTCGATGATTGCGGGTGTGGCAGCATCTCCAAGGACCTCCTTGATGGCTTCTAAGAGGTACTTTCCGACGATGTTGTAGTGAGCTGGTTCAATGACCAGGGAAGCGTGCTTTTGGCAGATCAATTCGACAGTTTCACTATTTTCAAACCGTTAGTGACTATTCCTTTTTCATATATGCGGGGTGCATGAAGCAAAAAAAAAAAAAAAACTTACCCTAGGACAGCAAGGTTATCAATATATTTAGCATAAGCTAATACGGACATCGCCAAAGCTCTGGCCTGGTGTCCATTTTGTTGATTGGTTTGGTTGAAGATTTCGTGCAAGGCCGGGATGTCACCATGCATGTTCTTGTAGAAGGTTGAAGTAATTGTTACACCGTGAACCTCGAGAACTGGTGCTGTGGACTTGACGATAGCAATCTGCTCCTCAGTTGGAGGAACCATAGGAGGAACAACTGATTCGGTCATTTTGAATTTTGGATGAATAATCAATGAATCGATATTGGAATATAATGTCTAGATCTATAAATTGTATAGATATAAAACTGAAGTTGCTTGGTAATAGAATTGCTCAGATGCTTTCTGAATGCTGATGATGAATACAAACCAGACAATTGGGTCTCACGGGGAGCCCTCTTTATATGTCTATTCAATCCATACTTTCCTCTAGAGATCTCCATTGCAAAGTTGTCGGACTCGACAAATCCGAGGAGACGCGGAGACGATCTGGAGAAGCCCGCAAGGGTCGTTGAAAAGAAAAAAAAATATTAAAAAAACTTCCGTCTGGAACATCGCGGGTCGGGCACCATAGTTAGCCACTGTTTGGTAATAGAAACTACGGTTTCGCGAAGTTTACGAGAATGAACCGGGTCAGAAACCATAGAAGGAAGCGCACAGAATGTGCAGCTGAAGTAAGCGGATCAAGGGTTATTCCTGCGGTACACCGTACACCAGACCCTACTAGGGTGGTTTTTTGCCTCGCATGATGTTGTCGAAATAGGTGAGGCGTGGGCGTGAGCTTGAGTTGTGGTGTGATATTTTACTGATCCACTGATTTTTTTCGCGGGGCTGTCTATTTCCGCGGAGCGACTGTTGCAAATGCGGACGACTTGATAGGGCAGCAGCTTCACAACTTCGGTGCCCTACCAGGGATCAGGCCGAATTTACATCATTAGGCGTGATATCTTTCAAGCTTTCTTTGCCCTCTTCGACATTTGCATCCGCGTGGTTAGGTTTCTCCACTTGAGCGAGCTGCGCTGCGAGGCCGGTAAGTACTAGTGATAGCCTATGTAAGATTTCCCTAAGCTAAGTTTGCCTCGTCTGTAATCCGACTGAGCTGCAGAGTCGACCTACATACTAATCACATAGCTTGTTTTTTGGCCGCAGCTTCTATGTGGGGGGTTTTCGAGGATTTCTCGGTGGGAATCTTACTAGACCAATGGCATATGCTCGAATTGATGCCATTGAGTTCATCCGGACAGTCATGACTATTCGATGGACTTGCTGAATACCCAGTTGGGCATTCGATGTATAATACCCTCGCTTATCCTTGAAATAGCCACCACGCATGCTGCACCGGTCGACTCGCATTTGCACTGCCATCTTTCTAGAACACTTTTTTTTTGTTAAAAAAAGAGTCCAAGCTTGTCTTGTCGCTTTTCCTTCCGGAAGTGGTTTAAACTACCCATTGCACATTTGGAGGAGTTCCAAAAACCTATAAACTGTCCATTGAAGGCTCAGATCATGACAATTAATGATGTTCATCAATCAATCATTGTACCCGACTTACCTTGATTTTAATATTAGGAACTCTATCTTTGAATTCGAATTACTATTTTGTCCTTTTTATTCTAGGGGTCGCTACCTACATGCACCTACATGCGGGGGCCTAGCTTGAAGGCTGGAATGCTATAATGTTCAAGCGCCGCAGGACATATCGGCACAGCTACAGATATCTAGATTAGAATATAGATATTTAGTTGATATGATCAAGAAATTTTCCTTTGAAAATCTACACGAAGCCCCGAGGATGATAGTTCATTTCCGGCCAGATATTCATTACCAATCGATATTGATATCATATCGATTATCTTCGAGGTATACACGCAGAAGCCATGAATCTAGAGTACGAGAGATACGTGCCGCAGAGAGATTACATTGCATGCATCAAAATATTACCCAAATAAGAAGTAGAGGTTGTTGATCTTCGACCCCAGCATAAGTTACACGAGATCGAGCTGAAATATTTAAATGCGGGGCAGAGATAAGCTATCGATATTGATATCGGTAGCTCCATGCAAGGGTGGATCTCCTGATAGAGCTGAGGTCATTGACTTTTCTCCTGCGCAAGTTATCTTTTAACAACTTCGGTGTGGTATCTTGGGGTAAAACAATAAGGTCTTCAAATTTGTTCGAAAGATTTTGAAATAGTGAGATTTCTTTCAAGTCGTTATCAGCGATACGACCACATCGAGATCCGTTAACCGGCTAACGGTAGGTGATATGGTTTGCAATTGATTATGAGAGCTGAAAGCTTAAAACAATCAGCATAAGGACAATTTCAAGATGTTAACAATATATACACCATTATTGAACAAATTTGATGAGAATTGTCAACCACAATTTGCTTGGATCAATGTGTACTGTCTGGGGATATTATGAAAGCAATAAGACCTACTGAAATTAAATGCGACATTTTACGTCCTTATTACATGGAGACACGATTTAAACATTTCTGACACTAGGTAATAGTATAGTATCACGTCAGAGACGCATGTATGCGGGGGAAAGAGGCGATTAATATCGACCAGGAGATTTCCATGGATCCATGCGCCGGCGCCCCAAGCGATCCATCCCTGTGTGAATCGACATGACCATGCATGTATTGGAAAACTACCTCCTCGAGTACTCTCAAAAATGCTAATCCCGGGTGTGTAGCTTATCCGCGCCAATAACCAGCAAAATGGTCACACGGGCAGCCATATTCACCATACTTATGCTAATAGCATATCCGACACACTCCTTCAAGATAGCATTTCACGATCCGCCCATTCCCGGCGGCCCTCTAGATTACACAGAGTATTCACCGCGAACCGCCTACGAATGCCACAAAATACCACAGGACAAAAGAACGGGTGAACAAAAAGTCGATGATATCGTAGTTCAGGTCGAATCCAAGGCTATTATGTTGCTAGCGTTCTATGCAGTCTCAAAAAACCCTCAGGATGGGCCTTGTTCTAAACAAAACCTCCAGATAGTAGCGTTATTTCCCAGTAATACGAAGAAAGACGTGGAACAGCACTTCACACCCATTTGGCCAAGACTTCAGTATTGGAGAAGACTTCAACCAGGTTCAGACGACTGGCAACAAATGGGCAAACCTAAGATGGATGCAGCGGATGTAGTAAATAGATCGGGTTCCGGTTGGATCACTGAGAAGAAGGAAATACAAACACGCCTAATTCAAAATATTAATATCGACCCGGAATTATTCCAACTAGTTCAGCAGAATACCCAAGTGGCACCGCAAGAAGGCATGAACTTACCTACAATGGCATCGATTAGTACCCCATCACAACTTGAAGAACTATTCCAACAGCAAAACTACCGGCCGCCGTCTCGAGTTCCAGATCCTAAAGTCCTTAAGGACCAAGTATTTGAATTGGCTGCCCAATATAAAACTCATGCTCTAAAGGCGAACCCAAACCTCAAAATCGATCTCTCCGAATATGAGCCCAAGCTCCCCGATTTAATGGGCTTGCAGCAATATAAAGAAGATATCTATTTGGAGGGCCTCGGACCGCGTAGTTTTACGGACTACCTCAGGGAAACTGCAAACAACCAAAGGACTATCGGAGAAAAGGGCGGATACATGCCAGTGCCTCTTGGAATACGTCACCGTTTTAATGGCAAGAAGTTGAACAGGCTTGGGTTCAATGTTGTACCCATGAAAGAACTGAAACATGAGCTTGCTCGCCAGAAGGATCCTCATAGATATCTCAAAAGATTTGCAGGAATGGGAAGAAGTGATCTTATAGGCCAATATGTTCCTCCAACTTCCGAATGGGAAGGAAATGGTGGGATGATGTCTTTAAATACTGAAGTTCAATCCCCTAGAAGGGTTCAAATGGTGGAGGCTGACGGGGTTGAAGCAAGAGTTCAGGACTTTACCGATCTAAATGGTGATTTGCAGAAGTTTCTAACAAAAGAGGAGCTACTTGCGAGCATTGAAAATTGATATGGAAAGGCCCAATGGGGATATAATTACAAAGCCTCCTTAATATCAAGTGATAAATTGTAAACTGGATGCGGTGGAATATACTTATATAGTATGAAAATCTGGCGAATGGATATAAAACCGGAAAACTGGCTATACTCAGTATTCGGGACGTCCGGATGAAAGAAGGTCGATTCGATTCTACAATATCAATGAGCTCATGAGATCATAAGATCCGCCCACATCACGGCTAAGAATCTCTTTCGTATCGTACCTATATATTCTCATCTATGTTTACGTGTATATACCCTAGGATTGATTCCGGGCTACTTTTTCCTAAAAATGATCTGATTCCCCTGTTTTCTGTTCTAGACTTTGGCTCTTACCGGGGTCTCAATTTCGCAGTTGAGTTACAGTAAATTCAAAACCTTTAAAATTATAGCACCGGAATTCAATTACGGGCCCCCCAAGCTTTATTTGACGGCCCTAAAATATGTGGTAAAAAGTATGAAGATATCACAGGTACCCTCTTCAGTGCATGAATCTTTATTGATCAAGGATTCCAACTAAGAACAGCACGCGCGTGAGAGACACATCTGCGCCTGGTCTCGAGGCTAGTGAGAGACCACAAATCAAGAATGGCGTGTTGCATGCAGCTTTTGAATTTTCCAACAAGATGGATGCTTAGCGGGTTTGAGATGACTAACCCTCCTAGGTCCAGGCACGGCGCGATTGTGGGATTACTAACAAGGACCTTCAAAACCGAAGTATGCAAGGTGGCGTCAAGCTTCAGTTGAGGGCAAGGTAACGAACTTATAAGCGGTCAATAGATCGTGGAACAGAGCCGAGTCGCTTCCAATCCAACGACCGAATCAAAATCAATTGATGTACGCTATTACACCATAATCACAATGCCAAAATCGACGCTACCGATGGTCGCAGAGCTCCTGGCACTCACTGCTTCCTCTTATGTGGTATCGCAAGGCCTTAAGTCGTACATGAATGAAGTAAGTCACGATCAATCAGCCAATGGGCCTCAATTTGCAGACCTGACATTTTCTTTTCTCTAAAATTTTTAGAAACCGTTTCTCGATGTATTCGACGTTCCTGTCTTTATTGACGTCCTCCTGTACAACGTATTCAAAGTTCCAGCACACATGGCGTGGAACGTCTTTCTCGACGATATGTTCGATCCGAAAAAGCCTTCTCCAAAGAAGAATGAAAAGGATGAAAAAGATAATATTGCCCGAGTCCCTAAACCACCCACAAAAATTGCATGGAAGTCTGTTCTGGTAAAACTTTTCTTCAACCAAACGCTTTGGAGCGGGCTTGTCAACGCTTCGGTTATTGCTTTCATGTCCTTTAGACGGCGGACTAGGGCAGGGACAATGAGCTACGAAGATGTGTACGGCGACCTTCAACGAGGGTTTTGGCCATTATATAAAGATGCTTTGAAAGTTTGGCCGTTGATCAACATGGTCGCGCTCGTGGCTTTCGATGCCATGCCCAGAATGAGATTCTTGACTATCGCCAACTTTTTCTGGAGCGTGTATCTTATCTTGGTGGTTACCTAGGAACCTAGAAATCCATCTTGTAATATAGAATATTAGAAATCTAGAATGGAAAGAGCAAGTATATCTTGTCTTCGAATATTCGTCGTGCTTTGGGATTTCGAGGTCCGGGGTTCGGTAACGGAAGGCGGGGAAAGAACGATACCAAATTTAGGCCGGCTAAAGCGGCTTGAACCGATATCTCCACCATAGATATAGATCACGTCACACATATCCTTTTTTGCCTTGATGCAACGTCCTTCTGCAGCACAGTAATTGGATTACTGATCGCATTCGCCCGGCCGAATATGCGAATTCATGAATCGAGACTAAAATGAGAACGAGTAGGTGGTCAAGAAAGCTTAAGCAATTGAAACATGCATAGGCGCATCGGAGCGAACGCAACAAGCCTCTACCCGGGTGGAGCTGGTTTGAATCCAAAGTTAACTGTATGGAGTATCTAGAATAATTTTTGAAAGTTGAAACTTAAAATTTTTTTGGAAGAAAAGAAAGATATGTATAAATGATTAAAAACTCGAACTCACGGGTATATAAGCAAAGAACAGGCAGCTTGGGCTTGCGCATATGCGCATGCCTCCGATCTACTATGGGCCATGCTGAAGAATTTTATAACTTGGTGAAAGAAAATAAAGAGAAAAAATACATGGCGTGCAGCAGCTGTTCTGCTAGTCAGCAGGTACTCTCGCCACCGATGCCCAAACCGTCGACGGAACAGCTGCAGACCTGCACCCAACTTGCCCATTTTGTGCAAGGGCTCTCCTGCATCCAGCATCACCAATGTCACCCAAGACCAGGGTTCTTGGTTGATTGATCGCATTTTAAAGACTTTGACCATTGAGGGAACACAGATGCCGCTATCCTTGATCTTTATAGCTCGTCATATGATACTATGTATTTGCTATACAACCGGTAGAAATGATGGCCGAGTCCGAAGCCATAGCGCTATCGCTATCATAGAAATCATATTTTCGGCAGTCATGGTGGGAGTACACTAGCTATATAAAGCGGCTGGCACTCCGCCAGCTTGTGTAGATACCTGGAACGCGTAGCACCCCTCAGCACACAGTAATATATTTCAGCTGTGCATCTTCCCGACATCGTATCTTCTTCAAGATAAAGGATTGTGCTGAAGAAACCCCTTGGCCTAAATACCACACAACACAGGCATCGTTAGCTCGATTAAATATCAATATTAATATGCGCTTCACAGTTTTCGTAACAGCAGCTTTGGCTGCTTTTACTATGTCGGTAGAGGCAGTTCGTAACCTGCAAAAATTCAAGGTTCAAACTAAAGTTATCGAAGGGAACCGAAAGTTTGATGGGCTTTGGGGTATGTATAACTGTCATTCCTTAGACCTAGACCTAAAGAGAGAGAGAGAGCTCGGGTTACGAGACGATGCATCTATAGCGGGTTCGAGGACACAGGTAGCTGACAAAAATACTAGCCTCTCTATATCATACCGGAGCAGGCACAGCAGATGTCTACTTCCACAACAACCGAACGGCTGCATTTTCAGCCTTTTTGAACCATACCCAATTCCAATGGGTGTACACCGGAGTCTCGCAGATTCCGTACGCACTAAATCTTCAATACCAAACCTACGCCGCCTGGGGACCTCTCGAAGTCTCTCCAGGATATGGCTCTGACTACTACGGGAAAGGGTTTGTGTTCAAGAACGGCAACCAGATTGTGGATAAATTTGAAGAATGGACCGGTTGGTTGGGTATGTTCTAAAATCGCCTGTCCAAGATGCTATGTGTGTTGCTACTGACGGATAGAACTGGTTTATAGTTTGTGATTGGTGGCATCAGGTTCCGCAACTTTTTTGGACCCAGATCGGGGCCAAAGTGAAAGTGATTCCTTCTTGTGCAAAAGTCCAGCTGATTGCAAGAACATAAAGTTGGAGAGGTTACGTATTTTTTCGGGCTAGGCTGGGTCGGTTGGATATCGGGACTAGCACCGCGGCACCGTGATTCGATGGGAACCTTTTTTTCTTTCTATTCTATAAATCTGGTTATCGCGAGAGTGGTGTGAAGATAGGAGAAATATGGAAGAGATAGTTGTAATTAATTCCTAGGCATTTGGGATTCTTTTGAGTGATATCCAAATTTCCCGCTTGATATAACTTCTTGTTTACGAAATCATTATATAACGGCTTGGGATTTAACAATGAGATAAACTTCACTCCGCCTTCCGAAAGAAACAAGAAACATTAGGTATACGATGGAAAATGTTGGGTATAGCCCGGCCATTGGCATTGCAATATTGCCCTTAATTAAGCTTGACTATTCGATCACATTTCGAAGTTTAGCAAATTAATCACGAAGCCCCCCCCGTGTTGTCTCATAAGCTTATATCTGTGTAGCGAACAAATTCTATAAGCTTACTGGCATAATCTTGACTTGTAATGCATTACCCGTAATCATAACGTATAGAAAATTTTGTTCGATATATTCCGTTACAATGTTAGTGATTGTATCTAGAGATTCGGCTGTACCAGCGCTGTGTGGAAGGTCGATGGTGTAGTATTGGATACCCCTAACGTCAAATGTGCCACTCGTATGGGCACATGCATGATATAGCATATGAGGGATGGAATTCTTAATCTTGTTCAAATTTCGGGTCGTAGAGTTCTCCATAACGTTACTGAAAAGGTTTCAAAATGGGGAATAGGGGGTCGGGCCGAAAGATGGGTACGCATGTAGGTACAGGGATATATTACTTCGCAACAAAGGAACAAAAACTCGCCGACAGACATACGAGAATAATTGACATGGATCAAGCGATATCTGAAAGAGATTATGGAGTTTCGTGTTGTATCTAGTTATTGCCGCAGATGTCCGGGTATTAACCAAGCCATAGCCTTTGGTGCATGTGGACTAGTAACTAGTCTCCTGTCATCCCATCAATCACACAGATTTGACACCTGCACACCTCTTCACCCGATACCCATCATTCCTCATTCATCATTTCCATTTTTCGGCGGAGGGTTAAGTTGAGAGGGCGGCTTGAAATCCTATCTACATACAAACCCCGTGTGGTATACAAATTCGTCACCAACGTCACATCTATTGAGCTCTCGGGACGTGGGCGCAAGTTGCGGCCTGCTAGTGAACCCCTCATATCAGTTGATTGGAAGAAGTTGAGCTCATGAGGCTGCGCCTGAGAGATCCGACCTAATTGAAGTATAGTCCTATGGGCTCAATCCACCTTGGCCCAAATTTGATATGATGAGGGTACCCAGGTAGATATAGTGCGGCACGACCTGGATACTTGAAACAGAACTGTGATATTTACCATTTCGTCTCGAGGTTACTCTTTGGTTCACCGAGGGCAATGGCGAGCTCTTTTCTTGCTCATCTTGCGCATCATGCCTGAGTTCAGACTCCCGCCTAATATTTTGCCAGCCTGTGGCCGCGTGGTGGCTTCTCTTGAAACCATCTTCAGGATTTTTCTACTAGCTTCGATCGATCGGCTGATACCATTTTAGACGCTTAGAACTCTGGGAAAACAAAGAAAACATCGATTACATCCGATTATTCCCTTTTTTATTCTAGACTTCTGACGTCGCCTTTGGTGCCATTGGATCCTATTGAGCCTTGCGGACAAGTTAGAACCGACTGAGCGTCAAGCACAGACTCTTGGCTTTAAGCTGCCGAGAACCGGGGTCTAATTTACCTGCAGGGTCATTGTCTCGACGGCTCCGCAGTCCTCAAATTACCCCTTTTTAGGTGGGGACTTTAGACGAGCATTCCCATGGCCAGCCAATGGAGCAAACATGGGCACTTCCCATTTAAGAAATTGCCCTGATTGATTGGCAACCCTAAGCTTTTAGTGAAAAAAAAGAGAGACCTGCATTGCTAGCGACGTTGCTGGCGACTATTCAGCGTTTGTATCTTTAGACCAGCGCAAAACTACAGATTGATCGACAGAGTCATGGAAGAGTATTCCAGAGGGAAAAATGCGGCACTCAGTAATCACTGCAGTTTTCAAATTGAAGCTGTGGTATAGTAGAGCATGAGCATATGCGCATTTTGCCTTTATGCTTTCGTATAGATATCTGATCTGACTACATTTAATACATGAGCATACGCACAGGTACCTAGGTATGTACACATGATTACATGCATCTGTTGGTCCTCAGCTCCAAATTATGTCTCGGTTGCATAGCTTGTGGCCTATTCCCCGCTATCCTTTGATGTTGTAAAATTTATCGCAAGGATCCCTGCTATGGCTGAAAATAGTACGTTTCTATAAGGCTCTGAAGGGTTAGTCAAAGAATGGACCTCACGGGCTGTGGGCGGTTCAGGAGAATCAGTCAACGTCCTGTTACATGCATGCATGTTAATACATCCAGGCCGAACTCCGGGTGGCTCCGACTGTGCGAATTTAAATTTATATAAAAGGACATCGACGTCCACCTCCAATATTCGAACATCAAGGCACTCAAAGGTCATCATCACCGGCGTTTTTGGCCGCAGTCATTCTTTTGAATATACCTTTCTATTCATTTCAGTCATTCATTAATATAATATCTTTACACAATGCGCGGCTTTCAAGTCGTCCTTTTCGCCTTTGTGGCACTATTTGCAACTGTTTTTGCTATTCCAGTAGAGGAGGACCTTCATGAGCGCAACTATTGTCAGTATCACTATTCTCCAAAGTGATATATAACTATTCCTCTAGACTTGATCTTACTAACACTGAATATAGATATGCAACCTGAAATTCACACCGTAATCAAATATAAGACTAGGACCACGACAAAGTGGGCAACCAAGTACAAGACATTGGTCAAGACACAATCTCACTGCACAAAGACACTCTCTCGCACCACCACCAAGTATGCAAAGACTCTCACCAAGTATTATACCAAGACCGTTAAGTCTGTCTCTGTCTCTACAACTTGCACAACCAAGACCAAGACTATCAACCATACAAGCACCAAGACTGTCGGTCCCACCAAGACCCTCACCGTGACCAAGAACTCGGTTTCAACCAAGTCGGTCACTGTCACCAAGCCTGCTGTGACAAGCACTGTCATTAGCACCGTCTATGGCGGCGGCCTTGCCACTATCACCGAGACTGTCACCCTTGGAGGAGAGGCTGTCACTTATACCGTTACCGAAAATGGTCAAGCTTCTACCGAGACTGTAACTGTCGGAGGAGGTGAAGTTGTTACTGTCACCGAGGGCGCTCCAGCTGTCACTGAGACCGTAACCGGGGAGGCCAGCACTGTTTATATCGAGCCAAGTGTATGCGGAACCACCACTGAGGAACCATCAGTAGAACCTACACCGGAACCTACTTGTGGTGGAGACGACCAAGAAGCCTGCCCAACTACTGAGCCTACCGGCGAACCTACCACTGAGCCTACAGCCGAGCCTACAACTGAACCCACCGTAGAGCCCACACCTGAGCCAACCACCAGCCCTTGCGGTGGCTATGAACAAGAAGCCTGCCCAACTACCGAGCCTACAGTTGAACCCACACCTGAGCCCACAACCAGCCCATGTGGTGGATATGAGCAAGAGGCTTGCCCAACCACCGAGCCTACAGGAGAGCCAACCACTGAACCCACAGTTGAACCTACACCAGAGCCTACATGTGGAGGATATGAACAAGAAGCCTGCCCAACTGCTGAGCCAACTACTGAACCCACAGTTGAACCCACACCAGAGCCTACATGTGGTGGATATGAGCAAGAGGCTTGCCCAACCACTGAACCTACCGTTGAACCTACACCTGAACCCACACCGGAGCCTACATGTGGCGGATATCAACAAGAAGCCTGCCCAACCACTGAACCCACTGCCGAACCTACTACCGAACCTACAGTAGAGCCAACACCCGAGCCAACCACTATCCCATGTGGTGGATATGAACAAGAGGCTTGCCCAACCACCGAACCCACAGGTGAACCAACTACTGAGCCCACAGTTGAACCTACACCAGAGCCTACCTGTGGCGGATATCAACAAGAAGCCTGCCCAACTGCTGAGCCAACTACTGAACCCACAGTTGAACCTACACCAGAGCCTACATGTGGAGGATATGAACAAGAAGCCTGCCCAACAGCCGAGCCCACAACCGAGCCCACCGTAGAGCCCACTCCAGAGCCTACATGTGGCGGGTATGAACAAGAGGCCTGCCCAACTGCTGAGCCAACTACTGAACCCACAGTTGAACCCACACCAGAGCCTACATGTGGAGGATATGAACAAGAGGCCTGCCCAACTGCTGAGCCAACCACTGAACCCACTGCTGAACCCACACCAGAGCCTACATGTGGCGGATATCAACAAGAAGCCTGCCCAACAGCCGAGCCTACCGTAGAGCCTACTCCAGAGCCCACAACCACTGAGCCCCCAGCTCCAACCAACACTTGTGGCTACACTGGAACCGAGGAATGCCCATCCGGCCCACAGCCAACTCTCCACCCCGGCAATGACGAGTGGGTCGTCGTTGGATGTTACACCGAACCCGGATATGGCGCAAACGTCTTGCCAGCTCACAAGCACGAAGTCCAAGACTTGACCGTTGAGAAGTGTTTCGCCCGCTGCCACGAGAAGGGTTACCTCTTCGCTGGTGTTGAAAACGGAACGTAAGTTTATCTTTCCAAGCAAATCAACGTTTGAAATATAAAAAGATTAAATACTGACTCGAATAATTCTAGTGAATGTTGGTGTGACAACAAGCTCGCCGAACACGGTGGTGCTTTGACTTCTCCTGAGGTCTGCAAGGCTAAGGCCTGCGGTGGTGATTCCACATCGTACTGCGGTGGAGAGGAAGTCATCTACGTCTACAAGCACGAGTGCAAGGAAGATACCCCAGCCCCAACCACAACCACAGCCCCCCCACCGGGCCCTACATACTAAGTGTCCCGAGTAGCTAATATTTGAAGCTACTGTGTTGGAAGTGTGATTGTTTTGTTATCTGCTTTTAGGGCGTATTATACCCTGTACTACATACTGTAATTTTTAGTTTAATCTACCTGGAAGATACGTCTTTCATATCAGATCGCTCCTATCTATCGATTAATCGTCCCGTACTGTGAATCGCATATACAATAACGTTAGAATCAAACATCGACAAGATACCAACTAGCATAATATACGTTGTATTTTGATTCAAAGTTGTGTTGCAGCTGCTTGTGTCACCAATACCTGATGATCACTGCTTATCCTGGAACAGACCTCGTATTATAACGCGCATGCACACAGACCTCGCGGACTCGAGCTCCAATGCAATGCAATGTAATGTTATACGTTAATGCATTTCCTCGGAAATCTTACGGTGGCTACTGAAATATCGAGCCCATACGACCGGCCCAGATTCAATCGATAAGCACTAGTCTAATCCGCTTGTCAACCGTCTACCAAGACCTTCTGGCTTTCCTCCAACTTCCAATTCGAGATCTTTGACGGTTTAATTTACACAACCCCGTGCCGCCATTGCATTATAGCCCAGTCACTGTTCCTGCGTCATTATTAACTAATGACTAGTATATTTACCACCAAGGATTGCGCTCCCCGTATTTTTTCTCCCTTGTTGTCCTCTTCGCTTCAAGTTCACGGATCAGTGGCAAAAGAAGGGTCTTAAGGAGAGCGGGGTGGAAAAGGGAGTGGCTAGACGAGAACAGCTGCCTTGTAGACATGGGGGTCCTGTTATTGGAAGATCATTCAAGCCTTTGTTGGAAGCTATGGTCGTCGATTTACTCGGTTACTCGAGTCCCGTTACGAGTTTCTGCGGTTCGTTCGTGATATGCTTGTACACAGCTGCACAGTACTTGCAATTGATGGGTGAGATAGGTAAGTATATACTCAATCAATACGAGACGAGGTTTTATCAGTTTAATTCACTTTGATGACATGTGAAGAAATATATATATTCTATTCAAGAAGCCAGTTACCGTTACAAGTCCATATTTCAGAAACAGGTCAATACTGAAACCAGGTATCAGAGGACCCGACATAACCGACGTTCGCATGAACTTGCTTCATCAAACCGACAGAATCCGGGTCTTCGAATTCACAACACAAAAAGCTCCCTTTATGGTCTTTATCCATCCAGGTTCATGACGGCCCCCTTCGAAAATGTTTCCGCATTTCACAATCATTTCAAACATGTTGACACAAGAAACAACTGAAGCTCTCGCCTCTTCCCCCACCGATTATCAAAAATGAAGATTAATGTTAGGCTGCTTTGGGAGGGTGCTTTTTAAAACCACCTCGGTAACTTCCTGTTAGAGTCGGTGGCTGTAGTATACGAGAGATTAGATCGATGCATGGAAGCGGAAGGCAACCAGGGGTTTGGGAAAGCAAAAAAAATAAAATAAAAATAAAAACGAAAAAAAAAATATAACAGCCTTTGCCGCACAGCTACTCTCTGACTCCGAGCTCCCGCTAAAAGCGAAATCCATCCAAAACACGTCAACATCAGATCTCCGTATTTTGGGCTGCCTGATATATATATCTCTTCCTCTTTTTTGCAGTGTTGGTAAATGCGAATAGGAGTTTTATAAATTGGTTTATTTTTTTTAACTTATTTGATCACATTTCCATTCGAAAAGAGATTGAAACGAAACGAATGAGGATTCCATTAGAAGTAGTGATGCCACAGAAACTGAAATACACTCTGCTACCAAACTACTTTTTTGCCTCCATGGATCCATCGGCATAGAGCTACCTTCTAGAAAGGGATATGAACCCATTAAAGCCGCTTGGCCGCTTAAGCCGGTGGTCTCCCAAGCAATAACATGTTCATGATTACACTTAGCTTCCCTCATGGCCAAAAAAAAAAAACCGATAACGCAATTAATGAGTACCTGAAGCCTCCCCTGTGCCCTGGTCTAGCTCGACCATGCTTTTCTTGCCGAAGCAATGGGAATTAATGGAACCTAGCGATCGCATGATGTTTCGCTCCCAGCTGGCGTGTGGGATGCCGAACCTACGGCCATGGATGTTCTTGGTTCGGAGTCGAGTCTGGGCATAGTAAAAAAAAAGCATGAGATGGAAAGTAAAACCCTGAGGACTTCCTTCCTTTCCCTTGCCTTGCCTGCCTTTCTTCTTCTTTGAAGGTGATAAGTGTTTTTGTTTTTTGGTCCTTTGGTTTTCTTTGGGGGTAGTCTTTTTTCTTCTTGATTTCAGGGTCCTTCTTTGTTATTAGTTTTTGTGGTGGAGGGTATACCTTGAATGTCTTCGGTTCCCCTGTATACGAATCCGATATCGATATAACGATATAACGGTGTCAATGAAGCTAGGTTCTCGACCAGCGGCCCTCTTTTCAATATCGAGAAACCCAAATTGTGCAACAACAGCGACAACAACACCAAATAGATACCCTTCAAAGTCCGGAAAGGTGTCTATAACCGTAAGGATACGGACAAATATTTGCTTCGCGCTTGTAATATGGCAGCGCGTTTCTGCAGTGAAGAATACTGGACCCCATGGAACGGAACGGCTTATAGCTGGGTCGGCACCGGCCGGACAGAGAGCATGCTCTTTGCATGCACACCATATAATCCGGATGTATATGCGCCGATATGGTATAATAGATTAGGATTGGTTATTGTCTGCATATCAAACAGCCTTGCGAGTAAGTAATCTCAAGATATACAACCCAGGGTAGGGGATAGTGGGATCCAATTTGCTGACTTGGTAATTAATTGGGGCATTAGTAATAGCGATAGCTTTAAGAACATATTTCCGGTGGAGGAAATTGAAGAAATTTGGGAAAGATGATTGGTGGTTAGTCGCTGCTGGTGTAAGGATGAAATCTTTGTTTCAGAGTTCTTTGTGTTAGATTGCGGGAACTAATGAATCGGATTCTGGGAATAGATCATACTTACTTGCGTATACTTTCCTACTTTGCTGGTTTCGAACAGAATGGGAAGTGGGTTATTTGTTGAAAATATACCGTTTGAGAGTGAGTAGATGTTTATTCTGACTACCTCCACGGCATAGAATATGCACTAACCATTACCCGAGTACATAGATAGGCAAGCCCTCTGGCTGGTAGGTTAAACTTTCGAGAGCATATGGCGTGTCGAATGCGAGTCAAATAGCTAATGCTTTGATTTCTTAGTCAATGTCAGGTTGGGCATTTTACTTTATTATAGCCTCCATGATCAAAGTGGCCACATGCATGTATTATCTACGAATAATACCTGACCACCGAGCCCGTCTCCAGCACTTTGTCTATGTCCTATCTTCGGCTATAATGGTTTTAGGGCTGGTCGAAGCCGGAATCTGGGTCTTCAATTGCTCTCCCGTAGCGGGTAATTTCATCTACAATATCGAAGGGACGTCTTGTCCACCGGTGGATAAGGCACGATGGAGTTGGATTATTTTTAGTACGATTGTGGATGGCGCGGTTTTGTGGATTCCTTGGAGGATCTTGCAACAGTCCGGACTTCCTCCTGCGGAGAGACGAGTGTTAAAGTTGGTATTTGGAGCGAATTTGTTAGGGACTTTGGCGTGGTAGGGTTTCCTCTTCAGGGTTCCGTGGCTGGTGTCAATGCTAATGTTTATCTTTTTGTAGTATCGCCAACGTTTATGGTGTTATGACTTTCGAAGGTTCTGCTTTCACAGATCCGTATGGGCGTACTGGAGACGACTTCACCCATTCCGAAGCGGCTTTTATTCTCATCAATAACGGGGAGGTATTGATGTATGTTATCGGGGCGTGCTTTCCAGTTTTATCGCCATACCTAGTGTCGCTTGCTCGGTCTCATGTTGGATCGAGACGTAAATCGACAACAATGCCGTCTTGGAGAGTTTCACCAATCGATGCCCATCAGTATGCAAGAAGGGAGAGTAACGCGAAGAGGTTGGGAACCGAATACCCCGGCCTTGGGACAGTAATCGAGAGCGATGAAAGAGCAGTCGACGAACTAGAGGAGAGGAGAGTGGGCACAGGAACGACCATGGCAGTGCCACTGACCCCGGATTTTGGTCCTGAGGGTCTAGGGCTGTTGAAGAAGACCAGCGACGGCGGCTTCAGCCTGAACATTGACATACCGCGGGAGACACATGTGAGAGCCAGCAGCGGGAGCAGTGGCAGTAAGACGTTGTCTTTATCGCCTATGAGGGATTTGGACTTGGAAAGAGGTCTGCTATAGAGGAGGAGGGGCGTATGACCTGATACCCTGGGTTTTTTGATGTTGCAATGAGTGACTTGGCTTATTGTGAATTATTACTCACAAAAATGCTGATATTAGTTAATAATTTCGTCCTTTCGGAGTTCATGGGCTATGGGCAGGAATAATTGTCTTTTGTTATAATAATCATGCATATATCGATATATCGCGACCAATTGCTCGCATCTAATAATAATGATTAGGGTGGGGAGGCAGAGTTTATGAAGCTTGCCCCATCCACCATCCATACATCAGACTGAGTCAGCTATATGATCTCATGTCAACTGAATGTAACCTGTATTATTCGAAAACTCTCCAACCAGTAAACTAAACCGGCAGTTAGCCACGTTGGATCGCCGTTATCCCGGTCAATGCGATGACAGTGAAAGACGTACAAATGGAGCCTGGAATTGTTTTTTCAGCCCTACACTATCGCAAATGTGGCTTGGCGTAGACGGTTTCCGAAAGAGATGAAAGAATAGCCGGCCGTAAAATCGGTGTACATATGCTGTGCAATTGTCAGACGGGTACCTTGTAATACAACCTATCAGGTAAATGCTGCGAGTGCCGTACAGCTGTATCGCGGGTCGCAACTTTGAGTTTTAGTGCTGACTTGACTTAAGACCTTGTGGTTTCGAAGTTTAGAGTATCTCGAAATAACTCTCACATAGCTAAGTAGTTTGATTGTCAGATATGTCGGTGTCTTTTGCGAAAACCTCAAATCTTATCATGATAGGCCAATCCTTGGAAGTCAGATGTCATGGTAAGGAAGGAAAAGTGAATCCGACATATTATGTTCAGAAGTTGTATTCTCAGCACCAATCCTAAGCCCTGCAATTATAGGAACCGCCCAAAGCTACCGAATCAAACATCGATACTGCCACCACCATGTTCCAACATTCCTTTCTTTCCATGAAAGTCGGGGTTCGGAAAGATCAGACGGAACTGTTGTTCGTAACACAGCCTCCATATGCCAAGGGAAATAAATTAAGTCGCTCAGAAACCGGTCCCAAAACGCAAGATTGTTTCTGGTGAATAAGCACGCAAACAAATTTTTTCCTCGATGTCGAAATGTCCTGTTGGATTTTTGTCAGTCAACGCCAAGGCACACGGCATTCGAGGGCTGAAGATCTGGAGAATCTAAGAGGCCTAGAGGTTAACTAGTACTATAATGTACTTTGCATGCTGATTCAGCCGCCCTACCAGGCAAGAAGAAATGTGTAGGACCGAGATATATTCTTTCGATATGGATTCTGGAAGTGCAGTTTTGGATACGGTTAATACTCGTGGCGTATGTATTCGCCGTTCAGGAATAGAACTCGGTGGGGCAGGGGAGGGTTGCCGAGTTTTTTCGTTGGCCCGTATTGCGAAGTTTCGCTTGGGTATTGAGTAGATTGGATGCCTGAACATCCATGAATCTATGAAAGTAAGTAAGTACTTACCTAAGGATGTATGGGCCATACGGAAAAGTGCGAAATGGTCCAGTGTTTTTTCTTGTCGAACCTGCGCCATGCACGTTGACAGAGATGCATGCAGAAGGGCCTGGTCTCGCGACCGCTGTTATGTAACCATAATCTAATCGGACTGGCTTAATTCCATGAATTGATGATTTTCATATGTATTCTGAGATAGATGTTGGCGTGGTACAGACTTGTACAAGGCTGATAATACAGAGGAGAGCTTTTCCAAAAACGCAGTTGCTCTTGGGTTGCAATTGCTGGCGACGGTGGGAAACATCCATGATCCCGACATTCGACCGCTAGCTATGTATGCTAACTAGTAGCTGGTTGTTGCTGGAATTCGTTCGCCAAAGACGGGAGGCTTATTTCCTTTTTTCCCTTTCTAGTTGGCTTCTGATACGTATTTGGTCGGAGAGTCACTGGTGGTGTCGCAGGGGAGCCTTGAAGCTTAGCTGAAGGTATATACTGGCAGAGGTCATGCGTGGACAATTCATGCGCCATCGAAGGTTGAGGCACAACCAGAACCGCAATATTCACTAAGAGGTAATCGCAGACTGCCTAATTATGGGTTCTTGCGAGGAGGAATGGGCGCGAAGGGGAAGAAAAAGAAGAGAAGCTGAATTGGAAGGATAAAAGGAACATCATCGCCATCAACTTCTGATCAACTTCAATCTCAACTTCACCTTCGAATCACCTTCACCTTCGAATCACCTTCACCTTCCTCGACTTCCCATCACCGTATCAATCTAATATTAATCCATCCGTGACACAATCTCCCCCAATTGCACCTTCGCAAGCACTTTTTGCCTCTTCCGTCTCCTCGGCCTTGTTCCCTGCAGCTCCAATTTGGCCGCCCAATCAAGTTGATTCCACCTGCTTTCGCAACTCGACTGGGATCTTTGGCCGCAAATACCAACCGCTAATTGGCATCTAATCTCCCAAAGCCCGCTAAGGAAAGCTTAATAACACAATCGACACTCAGTTCGAAAAAGAACCATTTCGATTAACTAATTAGCAAGTTAAAAGAGAAATTCCGATTGTGAGTAATGTTCCTTTTAATAGCCAAAACTATCATTTTATCGAAATCCCCCAGTGCACACCTCCTTGCCCTTCCCGAGACCCATACTATGTGCTATGTATAGCCTATCGGTCGAGAATTCCGCGACATGTCAGTTATACACATGGACTTCGTATTCTACCCTGGGGGTAAGAGACTCGAATACATGGCGGGGGAGACACAAAATTTAAAATATCAGTCGACATTCCGATCTGGGAAACAGCGTTCTTGCCTGCATGTTCTTTCCTGTGTACCTGTCCAAACCTTTCTGTCTTGACGCAGACACACCCCCAGGCTAAGACAGCCGACCAACCGCCTGTCCTCTTTCGGGCTTGGATTCTACCTTGCAAAGCCAAAAACCCGCTCGTGGTGTGCCTGGCAGCTGAAACCTGCCACTGGGAGCCCCATGCCAAACTGCAGAGGCACATACCCGCACTGGAGCGAATTCCTGGTCGCCCTTCAGATTAAGGGGAAGAAGAGCGCCCTGCACCACCAGTGCCAGACTGAATTGGTTCCAGACGATACAAAACTGGCGCCTGCCCCCAAGCATTCCATTTTCTTTCCCTTCTTTCCCTCTTTTTACCTATCACCAACCGTCGTTTTTTTCCCGCTCAGTCATTCATTTATTTACCAAAGACTCTACAGTGTAGTCGTCGTCCGCTCCTTAGCACCCTCAATCACGATCTTAATACCACAGACTTCCTCACCAGACTTAGATTAGTCAGAATCCAACACTCTCAACAACAAAAGAAACCTCATCAACAACACAACAACACAATTCAAGATGTTCACCAAGGTCTTCACCACTTTGCTCGCCATCTCGGCCTCTGCTTTGGCCTACACCACCCCAACTGCATTCAATGAGACCTCGAACCCGATCAAGACTCCTGGCTCTAGCAGCGTCGTCCCAGTCGGACAGCCATTCGATATCACATGGGTTCCAACTGAGGCTGGAACCGTCACCATCCTCCTCCTCCGAGGACCCTCGAAGAATATCCTTCCGCTCTACCCCATTGTCGAGCAGATTCCAAACAGTGGTTCCTACAAGTGGACTCCAAAGGTTGATCTAGAGCCTGATACCACCCACTACGGTATCCAGATCATCATTGATGCCAATGGTCAATTCCAATACTCCACCCAGTTCGGTGTCTCCAACCCCAACTACGAGCCACCAACCTCCTCTTCTGCCGTCTCTTCTTCCGCTGCTGCCACCACCTCTGCTGCTCCAACCACCACTGATTCTTATGGACCTGAGGAGACCACCACAAGCTACGAGACTGTCTACACCACAACCAAGTCATCTGTCACCTCTTTCATCACTGTGACTACCTCCTCCGCCCCATACGAAGAGCCCAGCACCACCTCCACATATGTTGCCCCAACCGTGACCTACGTCCCACCATCAAGCAACGGAACTACCTCTTATGTCCCAACTGGCACTAGCAAGCCAGCAATCAGCTCTGCCCTCCCACCTGTCCCATCGCAGACCGGTGCTGCTTCCTCCGTCAAGGTTGCCAGCGGTCTCCTATTGGGTGTCGCCGGTGTTGCCGCCATGCTTTTGTAAACTTCTCCCTTTAAAGCAAAAGACAAAGGTCTCTACTTTTGTTTTCCTTAAGGAAAGGAAAACGGTAGCCTCTCTTTCTCTTTTATTTTTTCCTCCCCAAAAAAGTATACGGCATCATTAATGACAATCATCATATTCGGGTGTGCATAAACTAAAATTACTGCTTGTGGGCTTGCTTTTGTCTTTTTGGGCATACAAGGGATTTTTCTGCTTCTGTTCCTTTTTCTTGTTGTTTCGCTGTTATTATAACAGTATCGTAGTGTGCATACATATCTGCTTTTTTTGTCTTTGACCTCTCCCAAACGGCGCTCTTGTATTATATCCCTCCTCCCTTTGTGGAGGTTTTCCTTTTTTTTCAATTATTTATCTTTCTTTGTCTTCGACAAATTCCTTAGTTAATTTAATCATTAATTCTGGAAATCAAAATGCTTAAAAAAAAGGCACTGAGTCACGAAATGTTTTTAACCTCGTGTATCTAGGGCCTTTTTTCCCTTCACTTCTTCAAACCCCCCCTTTTTAAATTACACTTTTGTCCCTCTGTCACTATCGCCAATGATATTTTCATTCAAATCCGAACAAACACCGTAGAAATTATAGAACCCGAAATTACAATAGTGATGATATATACTATCGAATATAACTTCTTAAACCTCCAATTTTGTATTTTGGCCAGCTAGCTATAGTTCGACATTTACTTATCGGTTTGATCCGAACCCAGAGTAATCTTTGGCCTTCTCCCCATAGGGGTTGACAGTCCTCGACGCTAAAAATGGCACCAATAGGCGCCTGCATTTTGGAAGGGAAAAAAAACATGCCTCCTATGAGATGAGAGAAAAGGCAAAAGCGCAACTTCGTGCCACCCAGTGGTAAAATTACAACGGGTTTCTGTGCCACGCACATACGTAGTACACCGCACACCACACAGCACCACAAAAAAAACAAAAAACATCACGATTTTAACCTCCCATTAACTTCCTCACATTGAAAAATTAACTTTTTAAATACCCCGCCAAATTCTACAAAGATAAGTACTAAGTATGCGAGTTATCTCGCCATCTGGCTCCGAGATTAATGAATACGCCGATAAATGAAGAGATTTTCATAGATTTTTACCGTTACCCCTGTTTTGACCTTCAAAATGGTCATGTGACCTGGTCATTTCCGAACCTGTGCAGACGTTCTAGATTATATCATACGATGATGACGTCGAGATAGCAGTGCAAAAGAAATACAAGCTGATCTTCTCGCAATATCCTCTAACCCTTGGTTTCCAAACTATCTGAGATTGACCCCCTATAATTGTGCTGTGATTCAAAAATGGTTTTTTTTTTTAATATATTTTTTGCAGTGCAAGTATACGTATAATATCGATTGAATGCAATAACAAAAGACTAATTCCACATTGCCTCTTATCGATTCGAAAAATTGAACAGATTGACAGATTCCTAGATCTGCAAATTGCCCCCCCAAGTTGAAAAAAAAGTCCCTTGGAATCGATCGTGACGTGCAGAGAATCTGCATTCAATCGTCATTTCTCCCCAGGAATACGTCATCAATCAAAGACATGCGAAACTATCACTCCGTCCCGCTAGCAAAGACAACTGCAAAGGTATAAACATGAAACTAGACACTCTCGAAGTATTAGGAGTTAAAACGGTAGAGCCCCAGCCGCTTGAGACTACCCTAAGAAAGTGAAACAGCGCAGATGTTATTAAGGAAGTGAAAATCAAAAACCAACATTCCACAACTTTTTGATGCCCGCGATGTATCGTAGCACAAGCACTTTTAACAACTGGTACTATCACCCGCATTCATCCCCCCCAACCCCTCTGATTCTTCCTCACTCTCCTCGCCCTCAGCGCGCTTCTTCCTTCGTCTCAAGGAAGTCAATGAGAGCTTTGCCTTGAGTTTTTCGCGAGCTGATGCACCGGATTCCGAACCACTTGAAAGTGTGCCTGATATTTTCCGCCGAATGGATTTTAGGCGTTTGGCAAAGCTAGATGAAGTCGGGGTAGTTATCCGTTCAGGGGAACAAGGCTTCAAATCTTCGAGATTCGGTGGAAGGGGTTCGCCTGATGGCCAAGAGTTTCGGTTCGGATTTTGCGTCTGCTTTGGACCTGGTGTCTTCCCTGCATTCTTAGTGCGCATGCTACTATCACTTTCTAGTTCATCCGACGAATGATTAGTAGTATATGAAGCACCATCGTTCGCTTTACCGCCCATGTGATAGCCGTTATTCTCCGGAGTTTTGTCGGCTTTCTCCAAAACCTTCGTTTGGTTAAAAGTAGAATATTGTCGGACGCCTTGAATTCCTTTATTAGTACCATCATTCATCTGTGGCGATTCCGAGTAATCTGGTTGTCGAGAAATGGCAGTTTGAGGAGGTATATGAGGTGGGACGACTTGAAGAGCCATCGCTGGCTTGCTCGCTTGTTGGAAACGAACATCGTTCTGATTTTGGTTCAGTGAACCCGCTCCGACTTCTTCTTCTTCTTCTTCTTTTTCTTCGTCATCTGTCCTATCCCTCTCATCTTCTTCCTCAACATCATCCATTTCTTCATCGGCACCAGAATCATCAATTGTAGGATCATACCCTTCCCTAGCTGCCAGGGCTGTGAGTGAGTAGGCGCGGTTCATGAACTGTTGTTCAACCATCTTTTTCATCTCTTGCCAGGCCTTTTGGTTCCTTTCGTCCACAGTTTCCTTTCTGTTTCCCACATACCCATCGATGACGAGATCTTTCAACTTGAGCTCCATTTGTTTCATAACTTTGCTAAAAGGAACCTCTGCATCGACGCTCATAACTTTCCCAAGCTGTCGATAATAATGAGTGACGATTGCAACCTCTTTGCGATGTTTTTTGAGGCGGGTATTGAATGTTTCAGCTAGTTCTTCTAGATTAGGCTCAATCATCCGGGATCTAGCATCTGACATCATCCGATTAAATGCAATTTCGTCGTCGCACAAGAATTCTATGACCTGGTCGCATGGTTGAAGGACGCTTTCAAAATATTGGGCACGGTCAAGACCTCGCGGAAACCCATCGATGACAAAAACTTGTTTGAAGCCCTGAGACATTTCTTTGACTATCTCAGAAATCAACATCGAGGGAACCATCTTGTAGGGCCCGAGAAGGCCTTTGGGAAGCATATCATTCAAAATATCACGATAGGGGCTTTCAGGATCCTCGCGCTCCTGCTGGAGAATCTCCGCAACACCAAGATAGTGAAAGTTAAATCTTCCGCATATTGCTTTGGCGACTTCCGTTTTTCCCGAGCCCGGAGGGCCGACAATATAGACTATCACGATGCTAGGATCTCTATCCTTGAAGTCTTTGGCATCGGATTTCCTTGAAACCTGTAGAGTCTGAGGATTCTGTCTTAAAAGTCCTGCCATTGGCGGGATAATGTTTTCCGGGCGTAGATGAGGCGCATATCTCAATATATTAGAGTCAAGATCGTTGTAATGAACTGGGTTAATCATTGGCATAAGACTTGGATTGGGAGGTCGAGACTGAGATGTGTCGGCGACATAATGGGGGTACTTTCGTTCCCACCCTTTTTGAAACAATAGAGAAACGAGATCTTGAACATCTTTCTCCTGCTGGGGAAGTTGCTGGGTTCGGCCGTCATTGTCTTCTCTTGACTGATCCTGGCCGTATTGAGATATACTAAGGATGACATCGCGAGGTACACCCAAGTCTCTAAGGAGATCATAGGCTTGTTTCGCTATATGTAGTATCATGTCAGTCAGCACCTGGCAGATAATTATACTGCCCCTGTTTAAAAGGTAGCACTACGTACTTGTCATGAGGCTGTGGCCCTCGAGAACGGCGTCAATATTATTCGTAGCAACAGAGCCCGGGATAGGTACGACATTTAGCCTGCGACTGGCTTCCTGAAGTAGCTCGGAAGTATCAATTGGTGCCGAAGGCGGGTCTGAGCGCCCTGCTGATTGGTCATTGGGTGCATCCATATCGAAATCCCGAGGGCCTGACAAAGCCTTGGTCGCACAAAGATAAAGAAGCCAAATAACTAGATGCAGTTGCAATATAGATGAATACGGTGGCGTAAAGGAAGATCGATGAAGGCTTTAGCGTAAGGAGAAGCATGAGATGAGATGAGATGAGATGAGATGATGATATATCTACGATTGAGGTTAATTATTATGCGGAGGTGGTTCAAGCAGGTATCAGCTGGAAGTAGCTCTTTCCAATCGAACCCAACACAAAATTGTTGGCATTATAATATTATATTACCGGCAATTTACTGGCAATTCACAGGGCGTAGATGAGGGATGCTATATTACCTCAATATCGATACCAACGTGGGACTCAGGCCTGTAACTGCGGAGTCTGTGCCCGCCCCCCAGATTATGACTAACATGTTATTAAATCTCGCGTCAATCTGTGTTGTGTGTGTTATTTTAATCCTGGGGTCTCGCCCAAATTCAGTTATCAGTTTGCCGTTCTGATTGGCTGGGGCCATTCGTCAAGGGCCCGATAGGGATGGTTGGCTCGCTCATGCCTACATGACATGGTTCCTGGGCTGGACATGCCAACCATGTCCTGACGACAAACCTCGTCCTAGCATTCAAGTTGTGATTTTACCTTTTATATTTGATTGGCCCGAAGAACTCTGTAAAGTTTAAGAAGAAGAAGAAGAAAAAGATATATCGAGGAACAGTTGTTCCTAAGTCGCGGGCGCTAGTATAGTAGTGGTGAACACCCTTTACGGGTACCATGCTGGTGATTACGTATACACCATAATGTCATGTGTCTTGGAGGATTTGCAAATGGTTAGCAGTACAATGAGATCATGGGCCCCGTGAAGGCATTCGATTCATATTAACGCCAAGCTCTATTGCATTGAGATATAAATTATATCGGTTCAAATGTATTTGCTAGTGACATACCGCTTTTTAATTGACCAACATGCATGATATATGCACAGAAGTCTGAGAACCTATTGTATTGACTTGTTACTAATGATAATGTAGAATAAATAGAATATAAAAAAAGTTCGCATCATCTGATGATGCTGTTGTTTACGTATCCTCCTCTTTTGCATCCAATCGAATAACTTTTCTGACCTCCTCGTTTTCGGGATCGTAGATAAACTCATTGATGTATTTCTCTCCCAGCTCTTTCTCTCCCATTCCAGCTTCAACGTCGTCATACATTCGCCTCGCTTTCTCAGTTACATCCTCAATACCCAGGATCATCTCCTTGGCCCAGGTTTCGGCTACACTTCTCCCAATGCCGATTTGTATACTTCGATATGGAAGCTTTGTCTTCGTGGAAGGCGACCGTTCCGGATCCCACTGAACTCTTACAGGTTGTTTCCCTTGCGACGAATTAGATAGTGAAGATTGCATTAGGATAGTTTCAAAACTAGAATGAGACATCCGAATCGCGAGGATCCGCGACTGGTTCTTGTCCTTATGAGAGAACCCAGAGCGATACCTAGATGTATATAAACGTGTCAGTATGTTTGAGTAATTATAACCCAACTAACAACCGAGGCGACCTTGATCATATATCCCGATCTGGGCAACAGTCATTTCGTCCCGGTTTAGTTTTTGGATTGCAGCGGCAGAAGGGTACATGTAATTAAATATGTACATGTACTACATACATCATCCATGACCAACTCGGTTTGATCCAAGTCATCCTCTCACAACTCCATCCAGGAACTGCGAGTGTCTGGTTGTGAACAGCAGCATTTGCTATCTTGTCGTTGTACGCCTGGTATACGGTGATTGATTCCTAAAAAGATGCATGCATGCGTTTTGTCAGCACCTACGTATACAACATACGAATTCCTCGGGGAACAGACGGAACATAAACACAAATACAAGCGATCAGGAGATATCCGAGACAAATTTGATGATACATTCCCGCCGCACTATCGGAGTAATGTCCTACCTCGTCATACAATGCGCGAATCTGGTGGTATGGAACCGACTGTGTCCGAGTATTCTGATCAACCGACAACGAATTCGAAGCGGCCATAGTGACAACTGCAAACGAACGCGAAGGCTGCGTTGTGCAAGTGCGAGGGTACCAACTTTTCCAGATCCAGTGTCTAGGGCTGAATGATCCGTTGGCGATGATGTGCAGGCGCATATGCAGGTCAAAAAATAGTTTAAAGGGCGGTACTGTAATTAAACAGATGCCATCTGGCGTAGACGTAGGATAGTTTAACAGAGCCTCGTTTTACGAGGCGCGAGGGGTTTTTTCAAGCTTGTAGATGGTACGGTTGAATCGCTGGCTGTACACTGCGAGGGCTTCCATAGCATAGTATACGAACCAAAGTACTCGAGTGTGTAACGTTATGCCTGATGGAACCAGTTCTGCTTCAAATGGAAAGAGGTTCCAAGACATTTTTTGTGCACAGGCTGTGGCTGCTGATTGGGGCTGGGGCAAGAGTCATATGAGGAAACCTCGATTGAGCCCAACTGGTCTGCAGTCGGCAAGGTTTGCATTTCCGCATTGTATGCTTGTTGCAGAATTCAAAGTCAGAAACAAACAGGAATCAGTTTCATTTTGTTGAGCTTAATTGCTAAGTCAGCTTTGATCGTGAGTCAAGCTAAACATTTCGGTAATTCTTGGCCAAAGCTATTTGTGTATTCCTTTCGGCTGAATTAACCTTTGATTGCGGGTCGGCTTAGCTGTCGATACCATGAGCTCACCCCGCCGTGAGATAAGTATTGTAACGGCACAGTAAAGCTATGTTAACACAAATCGGGAAAAATGGTTTGTGATAAATTAATGTAAATTGTCCACACCATGATATCAATCGATGCGTCGGGCAGGATATTGGTGGAATCCTTTCTGATGCTGAGTAATTAGTTACTACAGTGAGGCCCTGTCTCGTACCCAGACCTGGAGAGTGGGGCCGCCGCAAGACGATGTTGAATCCGATAAGGCTGCCCCCAGAGCTTGTCAACCTCATCGGTCTCGGAGAGGGCTAGAGCTAAATCGAGCTGAAGAAAAGTAGGAATCAAGTTTTCCCCGTGATGGCACCCAAAGTAGGCAGATGTTATGTATAGATGCCGATATTATAACTAGTGTGTGTGTCGCTTGACGTGTCCAATGGCTGACATGCTTCCTCCTTAGTGCCCTAAGCTACGCCCGAGGCAGTAAATTTGCTGTGGAAATTTCGATATATACATAAACAATGCGGCTGCATTGGGGAACCCCTGAACTTAGGATGCATTGTGCCAGCGCACCAGCGCACCAACCAGGTGGATGTGATTCAGACCTTCCACCCTTGTCGATACATCGAATTCCCATCGATTGACTGCCAATGTATACACTGTACCTTTGGCATACTTGAAGAATTTATTTTTGTATTTTCTTTTTCAAATATTGCAAATGGATGTGTGCATCGACAGGGGCCCGAACCAGATTTTTCTTCGTGATATTAAGTAAGTAGTCCTAGACGCTAAATATCCACAAGGCGTGCAGATAAAAGCAATTCACTACCTTGGGTACCTTGAAGGAATCCTGCATAGACATGAAGTGATGCTCGGGAACTCTATAAACTGATTATCTGGTTGTCTAATCCGGTGACCATTGCCGCCCTGGGATTCGGAATATTAATACGACAAATCACCTCAATCTGCATAGACGCAATGCGAAAAGAAACCAAAAAAACACACAATATTCTTGTATTATGGTTGAAGTATATAGGTGACTGCCTATCAATCCTTGGAGAAGGAATCAATTGCGCTGTTTGTACAATTTTAGCAATAAGTACTTGTAAGTACATGATAATTAACTTGAGCTAGTATATGCATTTTCGCGGCACGCCTGGCCGTCTATCGACTCCTGTCGCTGAAAGCCCCTCTTTTCGGATATGTATGTTTTCTTCTTTCTGATGGCACTAAGGCGTAGGAGCGTCACCAGCGTCTATCAAATAAAATGTTTTCTTATTTTTTTCTTTATCATATCTTGATCAAATGATGGCGGAGTAGCGGTACAGTCGTCCCGCCAAGGAACAAGAGGTCCAGAAACCTTATAGTGGGAAGCGAGACACATCAACTCGGAAGGTCTAAAGTAGTTACGGGATCTGCAGTACATGCTTGGTGTCTAAAAAACGGATCCTGGGCTTGAAAACCCGCCTGGGTTTCTTGTCATAGCCTATCATTTGTCGTTACGCTGGTCAAAATTGGCGACTCTTGCAATCTCTTCAGGAAAGAAGGAAGTTAGAGTTCTATGATTGTGGACCTCGGGATTCCCTCAAGCATCGACCCTTGTCGAGAGACCCGACAATGTAGGTGGTACTTAGATGTATGATCCGCGCACAGCAGCTTGCACAGCCTTGCATGTGGGAGTCTGAAAGGGTCAGCTTCACGATTTGTTTTGGAAGACGAGAGCTTTGCAGCTCGAGCTCCCTACAGTAGAAGCAAATTCTAGTGAATGCAGTGGATATCAATTATATCACAAATTCATATACCTATTCCGCAAGGATATCACAAAGCGAACACGGCCCTGTGTTTCGCTCGTGTTTGATGTTTGACTAGGTTCTAGTTTCTGCAGAGTCCTATACTGTTGGGGATAGGCGGAGTTAGTGATCGGGTACCTTCGTATACTCAGCCAGGGTTGGCGGTTATACGTGGAGTATCTGCTGTATATATCAGTCTGCTGGAGGGGTTAGGAGTTCTTGCTTATTCTCGAACTTGGCTATCCCGACCTCGTTCCCGCATCGAGCGCTAGAGAAGGTGTGGCGGTAATTCATAAGTCGACTTTCACCCGCGTTCCTCACATTAGTAAGGCCACCTGCAGTGGAGGCTGGCCCCGAACGAACAACGAGAGGAGTTCGCGCTACGTGTCTCACATTCTTGAATCTTTCACCAATAGTTCGTGGAGCCGCACTATACACACCCATGGCCTCGTAGGGAATGTGTTCTTTTTTTTGGACGTTTGGTACTTGTATTATGGGTCTCATCCGTATTGCATTGTAATTGGTGAATCGGCGCAACTCGTCGGCCGATGGATGTGGATGATTTGAGTTTGATTCACTACAACATTGTCGGCGGAAGGCTAGTCGGGAGACGACGGACATTTGTTTTGATCCTGACCGATGGTCCTAATGTCGTATACGCCATAGAGTTCCCGTATGCCTTGGCGGGGTTATGTTGAAATGGCTCTCCTAATCCGCCCGGGGATCTAATGCAGTGTCTCAACATGATGGCTGGCGAATAGGGATATACGATGTCGACAGAAGCTTTTGGCGGATCGAATAAGCAAGATTCTTATGTGGTTAACCTTGCTCGTAACCACGGGACTGCCACCATATAGTGCTAGTTAACCGCACAGGAGTTGAGAAGGCGTTTTTTCTTCATTTCCGTTTTTTCTTATTTTTCTTTGATCACAAGTAAGGAAACAATGCAATGGCGGATGCAGATTTAAAATCCTCACTAGAAAACCACAGGGACAAAAAAAGAATATTGGAAAAAGAAAATTTAACTGACCATGTTATGGCCGAAGGTGGGGTAATACGTTTGGGGCTCGTGCCGTACGATCACTAGAGCTAAGTTCCTGACGAGGGTGTACAGGCTATAGGTACAAATGGAATAGCTAAAATGAATAACGAATAGGTACCAGTGACTGCTCAAGGGGCTTCAACATCTTTAATCAGTAGCGCTGCAGCAGACTAACACTTGAGGGGCTCATATGGGTGGGCGGGTGGTTCGACTCGATTGCATGGGGAGGCTAACCAAGCCCCTGCCTTTGGTTGTTTCCACATCAAAAAAAAAAAGTTCGTAATTGTGAGAAAGAGAAGCACGTCTATTCTAGCGACTGGCCCGTGGTAATTAACTTAGATACGATAGAGCCGTACCTTCCATCCTCGCCCTGCGGCGTAGGAACATCTGCATATGGCTAGCTAGCCGGTGGATCTGAATAGCCAGTTTGAATTAATTATTTGCCTGCGGTGCAGTGCTAGGCCAGGCTCAAGTTGCCATGGGTTTGGAAGGAATATACTTCCCTTCGGTTTTCTTCTTCTTAATGAAACAAAGTATTTATATCATCGCATCAAGTCTGTATGTCTCGATGTGGTATTTAAAAATATTTCGATAGCATGGACTCTAAATAGGACCCGTCCAAGAAAGGTGAGCACTTCTAGTAACAATTCATGTCGTACGTACTCCGATTCTGCTTTGGTGTTTGTTCTGACATGGGCCTTCTTTTTATAGCTTCGTTAAGGATCATAGCATACTGGCAGACAAAGCACCTGAGTCGCTACTTATAAATCACAATCGATATTATAGAGTGGAGATATATAAAAACAGCATCTGTCATTTGCAGAATCATCAAGAAATATCAAAAATAAAGAACCAAAAAAAATATCATTGAAAAATATCAAAATATCTCAAAAGGAAAATGGCTTTGATCGTTTCTCCGGCGAACCTCTTTCAGGCAGACAGTCGCTCGTCCCGCCTCCGACTAGCCTCTGAACTGGAGTCTACAGCACTCAGCCGCAGGGTTCAGCGCCCATATAAGTGTTCCGACCAAACGGGTCGTTTGTCAATTTCTAATTCTTCCGAATTTCCCCTCACCTCTCTTCCTTCTCCTTCTTTTAAAACTTCCGGCCCCCCAGAAGAATATAATTCTTCACCTCGCAAATCTCGCAAATCTCGATCTCGCAGGAATTCGGAGTCAATTTCACACTCTGGCTTTGAAAGATGGCAGAACGAGGAGGGTCTCGAGAATCGCCTCGAAAATTTGGCCTTGGCTAAAGTTCCTAGCTTCGGGAGGCCTCGGGATTCATTCAACAAAGACTTCTCTGCAGAAGGGTTCGATAATCATTATTCCGGCCCGCCTTTGTCAGATCTTGCTGTGCCTCTGAATTTTTCTGAGTGGGACAGCTCCGTAGCGATATATAAGACTGCTCCTTCGCAAGGCGACTCCGCTGGTTCTTCTGGTGTCTCTCGCCAAAGCGACAAGTCTGTACGCCGAAACCGACAGGGGTATGGAACACGAGACAAATATGGTGATTTCCCACCAGGAGGCCGCGGAAGGCCTGGTGGCGACGATGGAGAGCCTCCTTCCCTACCACAACCGATTGAGCCACCAGCCAGCGATGGAAAAAAATATTATGCTTGTTGGTTCTGGTTATACGATCCAGTCAAATACCACTCGTGTGGAGACATTAGAAAAGAAGCGCATCACCTGAAGCATGTGCATTTGCCCAAACATTTCCCAAACGGCCTCCCTTCGACACTCAAGCACCGGATGAACTACGATGCCGTTTGGTACGTTCTTTTCCCAGGAATTGATCTGCCAGGTATGAAGGATAGAGATGAAAGGTTGCTTGACATGGCCCGACAATACTACACTTCAACGATGACGGTGCATCCACCTACAACAGCGAGCCGACGAGACTCGGCATTACTCAGCCCCGATTCGGCACGGTATCGGTCTGGAGCGGGAGAAGGTCGCCGCCGATCCTCTGTCTCTTTGACTCGCGCCAGGAGACACTCTAGTTCTGCTCACAACTATCCAGTTAGTTATATCGGTTCATCTTCTCCAGTACGTGGCCGATCAACTCGGGACTCCTCGTCGAACGCAGGCTCTCGGTACGATCCCAACTATGACTACATCACACCTGCGGAAAACACAAGCTATAACTACAATGAAGAATGCAGCCTGATACCAGATGGAGATAGTATTGCGAATCCTGTTGCGATGTACCTTGAGTACGATGGACATGCGGATATGTCGTTGGCCGAGGATATGCAAATCGATGGCATGATTCGTACAAATGCTCATGCGTTCTACCCAATAAACCCAAGGATCAAAGTTGTCGACTCTTCTCTCAATGATACCTATTTTTGGGACGAAAGACATTCGGATACAGAGTTCGACTTTAAGAACTACTATCTCATACATTTTAGCGATCGAACAACTGGCGCAGATATGTTGCTTTCGATAAATTCGATGGAGGTTTTGGAGAGGGAATATTATTTCAACATGAAAGCGAGAGCAAACAGCGATGGATTTGTGATTGTCCACAAGGTTCACAGATCCCCGGGGTGGCCTAGCTGAGGCCGCCTCCATAGCATTAGTTAAAATTCGAAAGGGGATGGGTCTTCATCATTTGGAGACGACAGGAGAGAAGCGATGGGGACCAAAGGCGTTAAGACTACTGTAAGTTTCTCCGTGGCCTCAAGTTAGCTAGATTAGATATAGAACGCGTAATAAACTTAGGCTGACATTCGACCTCTAGTTCTTAGACCAGTAGATGCCTTATTCGGACTCTAAAGATGCATACCTACCTTTTCGATACTCCACCATACCACCGTACTTATCTACGCAGCCTAGCGCTTGGAACTTCGGGCCAAGCATAACGCTATAGTAGATATATATTAGCAGGACGGTTCGATACATACTGAGGCCCGGTTGGTCGCACTCGTTCCCGCTCGTGCAGTCCCAGACCGCACGTTCTTCGTGTAACATCCCAACGTCACCCCGCAAATCCCACAACACAGAGTGTTGGAGGCTCATGAATCCTTTGGCTGTCAGGATCAGGGTCTTTTGAGGCGGTTTCATTTATGGGATGCACGGATTTGGACCACAGTTCCACAGCAAATCGGCCGTTGCATTGCTGGACAATAAATATTTGGCTCATGAGATAGTTGCCGGATACTATCATCAGTTCCTTTTCTTTCATACATTAATTCCTTTTTTTCGTTTTATGGATAGGTATTGAGAATATAATAAATGGATGGGTTCAAGCAGGGCAGGATTAACGAATCAACTTTTTTTAAAAAAAAAAATTTGAAAAAATTAAAATTAATGAAAAAAAAAAAACATAATAAAAAGGGAGAGAGAAAGGGGGGGATAGAATAATTAGGCAAATAGAAAGGAGTAGGAAAAAGGGAAAGAAGGGGGTAGGGGTAGGGGGAGGGGGAGGAGCTGTCATGGCTGTTACGGGCGACATCTAATGCTTCGCAAATTGTCGTCGAGTGTCGAGCGCGAGCTAGATATGCTCCCTACAACGAGATCAAGGAATCCAGCACATCAGATGAAAACTCGAAGCTTCGAATCTCGTGGATGATATATTCCTTTTTCCGGGGTATGCACTCAATCTTCCCCGACTACCCGAGACCCACCTTTGAATGAGGCTAAAAGATTTCCCATCCTACCTACTTGACTAATCCCCCCACGTCTAGATGTGTTTAAATTCGCTGTTACTGATATTTAAGTATTCAATATTTATCGTGATTTCGTTCTTTGTCTCATAGTTTCTTTGCTTCTTCAAACCCTGTATCTAGTCAAGACAAATGATGTATGCACATGTGCATGCGGTTCCATTAATATGTTATTTATCATTGTTGGAAACGTGTCGAGCTGAGATAACTAGCTAAAATAGAATTGACTGTATGTCCAGTTGTCCCGCATCCTGGAAGCAGTAAGTCCGGATTGTAGCTTATAACTTCGGGAATTTTTATCACAAACGTGAGAATTTTGGCATCATAGCACTTAACCGACGGCCGGGCGAAAGGTTGCGGAATTTCGAAAGGTTGTATCGGAAGGTCTTTAGCTTTACCAACGTAAAAATACTGTGCCACGGGACCATGCTATGAAAGTCATTCCCAAAAGTGGGTAGAAGTTAGTGGTTGTTATTCTCGTAAACTACCAAAGGCAATTAAGGAGTGGCGGAAGATAATTGGCAGCGGAATACGGCGTGACAGGCGTCAGCGTCCAGCAAAGCAAGGGGCCTTCTCTGCGCGATAACTGCATCGCTGTTCGCCTTCGCTTGAAGGAAAACATGTGAACAAAGATAACAACGAGCATTGGCTGATTGGGCTGCTGCTAAATAAGCAAGTATGCATATATTTCTTGAGGCACGAGACTGAGTATTGCGCGCTCGTCTCGTTAGAACGATCTATGCACTGAGCTTGAAACAATTCTATACGTTGCGTTACAGACTTACAGCTGGCCTTGTTTATTCTGGAAGTGGGGGGAAACGTTGAATTAACAAGCAATTGAAGCCCAGGGACCCTTCCAGGTGACCCGAGCGGGTCTTTTGTTGGCTGGCTGTTTTTGCACGCTAGATGCACGGATGTATCGATGACGATGCTGGTTGCATGCAAGAGTGTACTCCTTCGAACACTTCGATTGTGGCAAAACGACTTCGAAACCGGGGCTAGGAAAGAATATCATACGATCTCACAACCAAAAACCGCGCTCTAGCGCCCTCTTCTTCTTCCTTTTTTAACTTTAAGCTTGCTCTAGATCTTCCTTCTACTATAATCGATGATCCCAAACCATGCACAAGGTCATTCAGATGAAGCTTGGATCTGCGCTGCAATAGCCAACAGTTTAGTATCCACGTCCCAGTACTTTTTATCTCTCCATCTCATCGATCAGCTGATTGCTCGGAGTGCTGGTTTCTTTGCTGCTAATAAATTATTGTTTTTCCCATTCTTCGTATAGAGTTGCATTGTGGCGTGATCGTACTGCTCTGAGAGACCATGTGAATTTGCAAACCATGCGTCGAACTCAAAAGAAGATGCGAATCCTCAATTTGCAAATACGACTAGACTAACCCAGGCCCGCTCCTTGATTTTTCCCTAAATGTGTCTTACAGCATGCGGCCAAGAGAGACTTGGGAAGGATTAGGCTCGTCAACCCACGGCTCTTGACATGCTGCAGCGATGCCGTATTTCCTTTTTTATGCGGTTTCTCTTGCCGTTCCGGAATTCCAGAAGTGTGGTTGAGCAGGAAAAGTGACAGGGTCAGCACTGCCTTACGAGACAGGAATGATTAATATGTAAGAACATAAGTACTTACATGTAGCTATTTCAAGTTTTTCTGGCTGGTATGTGTAGAAGAAGTCTAGAACCCGCTCTTTCCAGGCGAGCACGAGCATCCTTTAAGGGTTGAAGCAGCTTGGCACACCCCGACAGGGCCCACTTCCCCAGATCTCCCGATCCCATACATACACACACTTACTTGCGCACATAATCTTGAAAAGGCTGGGGCACAGAGCCTCGGGGTTGAATTTAAACCGGCCTGATGGATATATCAACATCATCATCACTTTCGTCCACGTGCCTATAATTCCAATTTACTATCTTGTGGAATCCTAGACTTTTTGCCTCAGGATTGTGTGGATTTTACAGCTGGACGGGTTAGTCGGCTGAGCTGAAAAACCGAACACTCGGGTACCGGGTCTATGGCAAGCTAACCAGAGTAACGGTTAAGCTATAAGTTTTGTCTAGACAGTCAGGCTATGACGTCGTATGATTTTGAGCTTGAATGTTGAATCAATGGAACATACTTTTTTTTGTGTGATTCAGGCGCACTGGATCCATGAAAATATGTTTGAGCCTTGTGCGGTCTAGAATCCTAAACTCGGAACACTCGAATTTGCCGGACGATTGGATATCCGACCCCAATCAACTCCCCAATGCAACCGGTCAATTTTCACGAGGATATCTCGAATAGCGAACAGACGAGAGACATCTGCGGGGCCAACATGTATGTAATTATGTATGCACATGTACCCCGATGGCTCCCCATCGATGCATCCCGCAACACGAATCAAAGCAAGCGGGTTTATGTATTGTTCGGTTCGGAGTAACAAAGTACACAATCCTGAAGAGGGACTTTCAATACGTTCGGCCGGTAGCACTTGCTAAATACAACTATCGAACTATAGCTCGGGAACATCCGGGAAAACTAACAGCCTTCGAAGCACCAGGCCAGCTGAGACGACAATTGCTTCAAAACGACGGAAGATCGTCGCGGGCGGTATCGCATATTTGATGTTTCTTAGGTATCATCGCCTCCGGCTATCAAGTTTTCCTGAACTCCCCTCACCATTGCATTGGGAACTGTCATAAGGTTAGTATAACAGAACCAGATCCTGCACAAACACTAGTTAATAAAGCTATAGTCCGAAAGAAATAAGCTTATCCGCAGGGTCCAGAGGCTAGGTGATGTCATCAAATTAGGGCATCTTGATGGTTCCAACCATAGGGCGGTGGAAGGGCACCAGGCTCCCTCGGACCCCACTTTCTTGCAACGTCGGGCGTCCTGATAGGCTGGGGGATGCAAGCCTATTATCCTTGTTCGCCAAGGAAGAAGCTCTCAGGTTCCTGAGAATGAATAAGGTGCGCGTATACCTTCAGCATATGAAGCATGAAGGTGACCATTGGGACGCTATCACTGAGCCCTTTTCTGAGCCTGAGCCTCTGGGCCTCATTAGACTAAATGAAAATGCTTTTTCTTCCTGCTTCCATACGGAATCCCCGTACAGACGCTAAACAGTCATTTCTGTGCGGGTTACCCATTGGACAATAACTAAAATAACAATCAACGGCAGTGGAGATGAATATGCAAGTATCTCGCCGCGCTGGAGCTCGACTCGAGCCGTTGTATCCTGCCCACAGAGGCGACGCAACTCTCGCGCTTCCTTCTTGTATGACTAGAATCCTCACGGGCTTATACCACTATTGACTGACTATTGTTGTATGGTAGAGTATAGTACATACATATATAATCTCATCATTTCTTGCTTCTCTTTCCCTCATGATCTTGTCGTCGCCAATATCGATACTCCAGAGTCCAAAAGCTTTAAATTCATTTTATTAGCTATGATTTAACTAATATTTCAGGAAAACCGAGCGCCTTTTCGCCAACAACACACAACCGTTCAAGAAGTTTGTGAAGTTGTCGCAGGTATAAACCTGAAGATTCGATTCTCATTTCTATTTCAAGTCATTTTTCTCAAAAACGAACAAGCCAAGCTATATATCGTTTAAAAGATCTTACGTCCAATTTCCGGTCCACTGTAAGCTGAGTCGAATCCTCAAGAATTAGGACAAAGTACTATGAGTTTTTTTGGAACTCGTGAACTCCTTCGGGTACGTAATCTGGCTTGCCCTTCTTGACATAGAGCAAAATGGATCCTTATTCGGCCTGGCTGGTGTTATGTACGTCCTAACCACACAGCGCATGTCGGCCTGGTCGGGACCTCCATTAGCGCTGCCTTGATCGAACAAAATTGTACTTAGACTAACATCAGCCTTGGGAATTATATTCACCTAGTGCACCTGCTTTAAAAGATACCACATTGGATCCAAACTTTCCAAATAATTCTGCAGAATCAATTTCTTCATCAAGCTATTGTTCTTCTTTGCCTTTGGACTATACATTTCAGCACTTGGATCTTTCAACTACTGTAGCAGCTTTCGCTCAGAGTAATTACTTGCAAGAAGACATCCCGTGGGGCCTTCAGCAGTATATCAACAGCTCCATCGTTCCCTGGACTGAGAAGATTCTGCTTGTTTCGAGCGCGCAAGACGATTTATCGTTTGAGGTAACACAGACAGTCGGGGCCAATTTCCAGGCACTTCCAAAGAAACTTGAAGAACATTTATCATTGTCAGTTTGTTCTGGAAAAAAATCTGTTATGAGTTATCACAGTGGTCCCGCGGCAGCCATTAACTATGGCCTGCCGGCATCAGTAGACATGGGCTATTCCATGGTCACTGGTGCCAGGCAGGCCAGTGGCGATGGCAGAGGATATCACCAACGGTCTTCTGAGAGTAGTTATACTTACTCGAAGAGTGGTGCTGGCCCTAGTAGGTCTTCGAAGAGTTCGAGGGCTCGACAGAATCATGATCGTGATGAAGGTGAAGATGACGAAGGCACCGATCAACCTAATTATATACCGTCCTCCAGTACGAGGACAAAATCTAAGGCGACTGGCAGTTCTGACTTTGCTTGCTGGTTTTTCAAACTCGATCCGGTGAAGTATGCGGATTGTATGCATGTTCATGGTCGATCTTCAGATCTCAAGTGAGTGAAAAATCCAATTTATCGGACTTTTTTTGATAAAAAAAAACAAAAAAGTTTACTGATATTTGTTGGTTTCTAGATATGCCCATCTGAAAAACCATTTTAGGGATGGTGCTATTCCATCTGGATTTGATAAAAATATGAGCTGGGATGAGGTCTGGGCTACCTTGTTTCCGAGGATCCGACCGCCCAACAACAAATGTAAGGGCCCTTGAGATGAACCTGGTGCAATGATCGTTTGAATACTGACATATCTTTCTTATCTAGACTATGTTATTAACGATATGATAATGAGCGTCCTTGAATCTGCATCGGTCAAAGGCGACGATGTGACCCGTTTCCTGGACACTTTAGGAAACCACGAGAGTCGAGAAACCGTCCTAAATCGTATCTATAGCCTTTCGGCAGACCGTGGAAACTCCCCTAACTCTGCTGGCACAACTTCTACTCGACGGAGTAGACGGGAGCCCCATCTACACACAGTTGACCGAACTCCAAGGACTGTGGATAGTGGGTTTCCAGGCAGCTCGCCCTCTTCCGCCCCCGACAGCGGCAATAATACTCCGGCAACCGCATCCCGCCCGTCACATAGGTACACACCTAACTTCAATTCCTATCATCACGTTCAAGGTGGCCTTGAACTTGGTATCGACGATGCCATGGGCGTCGATGCCTATCATTCATTTTCTGACACTGTTGGCGCTGCCGCCGCCGGAGAGATCGCTATTTGGGACGAGACCATCAGCCATTTGATGTGGCTGGGGCGTGAACTTCCATGGCAGAGCCCTATTGATTTTACGACGTTTTACCTTTCGCATACTTGCACCAAGACTGGGCACGAGGTGACGCGTATTTACGACTTTGCAGAGCTCCAGGAGCAGTATAACTGGCATGAAGGTGGACCGGTTGATGGAAGTTGCCCTTTTACATTAATTGCTCATAGGAGGGGTTAGATACTTCGTTGATGTTTAATATCGGGATATTCCGATAGCCCTGACGATTTACGACAGATGCCGCTGCCCTTGCGCATTGTGCATGTGCAATTTTTTCTTTTCTTTTTAGAGGCTTCTTGTTAGTAGTCTTTTTTTACCTCGATGACTGTACGATATGCATGTTTTCTTTTTGTCTTCTCTGTATCTTTTTTCTTTTCCCGATTAATCATCTCCGCATTCCGATCTTTTCTTACCTTTCGAATTAATTATTTTCAAATCTTTATTTTTATTTTTATTTTCTTTGGCTCTGTCTTTTTGGCCTAGATCTACTACCCTTCTATGACGTGTATTAATAGCCAGGTTTCAACTGCAATTCCAAACTACCGCATTCCATTTGTCTACCGGGAAATTGACTCGCAGGATCCAAGGATCCTATCTTATCAGCTATAGCGCTATTAATATACCGACTGACCTGCCAGCTAATAAATTACCCTTCTGTTTGTGTTGAGCCTCGATATCCAACAAAGTCTACTAATTTAGCTCGAACTCGAATTCAATTCGAACCTCCACGGCCAATACTCCGTAAATAGCTCGGACCGGGCTGTGGCCGTCTATTCGAGCTTCACAAAAGTTAGAACCCAAACTGGTCAAGCTAGGTAATTAGTAAGTAGGTACGTGGTTACTAACTAGTATACTTACTATGTAGCTTCCCACTCGCAAAAGCAAGGTAAGGCTGCGACTGATTTGAAAAGCAAGGACCATAATTGGGTAAGGACAACCGGGGATAGACAACTTTAACTATCAGTAATCCCAGACTTCGCAAGACTGAAGCTCACGTGGTGAACTTTCGCTTTGGGAACGTTTCCTTAAGCCGAAGCAAAGCGAGCATCTCATCACATCACATTGCAGCCTACCCGAGACAAAAAAAGTCCGGAGACAACATTACGAAACGGAAAGAGAAAAAAAAGAAGAGGAAGAGAGACCTTTCCAATGCCGGAATGTATAGAATCGTAGCATTTTGGGTACTTGGTCAATGGTTTTAGCTCGTTCAAGAGCTCCACAGCCCGTCAGCCGTTAACGATTTTTTTGCGAAAGGGAAAGCAAGAAAGAAAGAAACAAAAAAAAAAAAAGTTACCGTGTTCCTTGGTAATATTTTTGGGAATTCTGGGGTAATTGAGCTAAACTCGGTGCACTGGAAAGACGGTTTCGGGTTATCTCGAGACTATATATAAATACTATCCCTCCTCGACAGCTTCCTTTCCTCTTTCTTTCCTCTTTCTTTCTCTCTCTTTATATCGCCAGTTGCTAGCTATTCGATGCATACAACTTGAATTTTCTCAAGTAGTGTTCATCGCAGAGCCATCAATCATGATTGCTGTCATCCTCTCTAGCCCGCTCTACATTGCAGCGGCGCTGCTGGGCAGTTGCTTCTTCTATGTAAGTCGACGACCGCAATGACCTAGAAAAAGAGAAGAAGAATGATGAAAGAAGGAATTATTCGCTAACGAATGATATAATTTCCAGCTTTTTGCCCTCGCCTTTTATAATCTCTTCCTGCACCCTGCACGTCACATTCCCGGCCCAATTCTGTGCCGCATCACGCCGCTTGTTTCCTTGTACCATGGTATGACCGGCAAACGTCACTTATGGGTGCACTCCCTCCACGAGCAATACGGTACCCATGTCCGTGTCACTCCATCATACGTCTCCATCAATTCCTCTGCTGCGCTCCATGAAATCTACGGTTACTCCAAGCAAATCCGTAAAGCAAGATTTTACACCGCTTTCCCTGCGATCAAGTCAAACCCAAATACCCACAGCGGGATTGATAAAGTTGCACATGGAAGGAAAAGACGTATTTTATCCCAGGCTTTCAGCGAGTCTGCGTTGAAGGGTATGGAGGATTTGATTCTTGATCGGATCAGGTTTTTTCAGAAGCAGTTGCTTGATGCTCCGAAGGACGTCGAGGGAGAAAGCCGTGATGAGAAGGGCGTTGTTAAGATGAGGAATATGGCCAATTGGTTTAATTATTTGACTTTTGATGTCCTTGGATTCTTATGCTTCGGAAAATCGTTCGAGCTTTTGGAGGGTACTGGGAATAGACACTTGCCAGAGCTGGTTGATCGAGCTGCTCAAAGACATTTCTTGGTAAGTCAGATTTAAACTTATAAATGATATATTACTAGGAAAGTTATTAACAGGCTATTGCAGTGCGGTCTCTGGCTCCCTCTCGACTCCCACCATCTAGATCAAGTTGTCATCCCCAAGATCACCCGTGACCGCTGGAATTTCATCATGAAGTCCCGTCAACAGGCTACACTCCGTGCCAAAGAACGTACCGACCTCGGCCACAATGCACGAAAGGACTTCTTCTACTACCTCCTCAACGCCAGCGACCCAGAAACCGGTGAAAAGCTGACCATGCCGGAATTATGGAGCGAAAGCAACGTCCTCATGGTCGCCGGAAGCGACACCACATCCACCAGTCTTGCTGCGGCTGTCTTCTGGCTCGTCAGACACCCAACTGCCTTGAAACGTCTAGAAGCCGAAATCAGATCTGCATTCACTGATGTTGAAGAAATCATTAGTGGTGCAAAGTTGAATGAATGTTCCTATCTTAAAGCCGTTATCGATGAAGCTATGAGACTTTCCCCCGCTGTTCCTGGTGGTTTACCCCGAGAAGTCCTTAGCGGCGGATTAACCATCGATGGCAAGTTCATCCCCGCTGGTGTTGATGTCGGTACCCCCATCTACTCTGTCCATAGACTTCCAGATTCCTACCCCAGACCAGATGATTTCATCCCAGAAAGATGGATCGAAGGTGAAACCGTCCCAAGTATTGGATCTATTACAAAGGCCGACGTGGATAAAGCCAGAAAGGCATTCTGTCCCTTCAGTATCGGACCACGTGGATGTATCGGAAAGGGTTTGGCATTAATGGAAATGAAGATCACATTAGCAAGACTAGTTTGGGAGTTTGAAGTTTCGATTCCAGAGGAGCAGAGGTTGAGGAAAGTCGGTGAAGATGTTGAGGGAGGTTGGGAGATGGATGACCACTTTGTTGGAACGAAGAAGGGTCCTGTCGTTCAGTTGAAGAGAAGAGCTATGAGTTCGTAAATATAGCTAGGAGCCAGGGTCAAGGGGGTGGGGGGGTGATCGATCGAGGCGGTTGAGATTGTATTTCCACCTATGATTTATGATATTTGTACGATACCACAACCACTAGCTGTTTATTTATTTTATTTTATCTTATGATTATACATCCTAAAACCATTCTTAGTAAAGTGAGAAATATCAAAGCGGGAGAAGGTGGGATATCTTAGAGCCTTATATACCTGGGGATATATCATGGGCCTAATATATATGACTCAAACTAACACAGGATCATGATAACCACAGCCGCGCCGGCCAGCCGCGTGTGGACCAAACATTTGAGCCTCATACATAACAAACCGGTATCGGCTGCATGGTTTTAGAATTAAATTGGACATATCGCTTTTAGGATCTTGAAATAAGTAAAACAACCAACGTTATTTCTTTTTTTGTCTTGGTTTTAGAAAAAGTATTGAATTTCCCGCCGTGGGGTTACCTATGATAATATCAATATATCAAGGGACGGAAGAGTCCATATGATAAATCAAAGTCTAGATACACGGGATTAAAGAACGTAAGAAGTGAAAGAACATGAATTTATAGCTCATACATCCCTTAGACTTTATAAAATCCAAGAAAGCATGCTGTCCATAAACTCGAATTGTGAAAAAGGGAAACGAAAAAAATAAGGGAACTAAAGTCCATACATCAAAACCAGTAACAATAAGAAAAGCCAGACCTCCATGAGATATCAACAATCTTCCAACGAAAAGGTCTTTGATTGATCGGCATACTGCATATCGACTAGAGGAAAATTTGTGCCGTGCTAGCTAGTCGTTATGAATAAAATTTGGTATGCGTATGTATTATAATTAAGCATCTCTCGTGTGTCGAATTGTTGAATGTTTCTCGCTACTCGACGGTTGTCTGAAGCGTAGTCCCGGATATATCGATAGGAAAAGATAGATAGCTTAGGCTGCTATATATGTACACCCCGGGATTGGAGTTAGCAAAAATGATCAAGTACTTTTTAGAGGTTCCTTTGTATATTTAAATACAATAGTTTCAAAGAGAAGAGAACATATTGCCATTCCAGAGACCCCATTTGTAAACTTAGTCAAACGAAGAAATAAACTTACGAGAAACCTCGAGCTCCTTAACAGTCTTATCATTTCTAGGCACACATCGGAATGGGAACCACCCAAACTTATAGAACATGACAAGGAAAGCAATAAGCCCAACCCCGAGTACGCCAAGGAGGGCTCCAAGTTCGGCCTTATCGAGCTGCATTATGATTTCTGGTGGAAGGAGAAGTAATAAATTATTGTTTTTGATGGTAAAAAGGGACTTGTAGAAGTTTTTTTTTGGAGAGAGAGAATTTGAAATGTAAAAGCTAGCTGAAGGAATGGATATCTGTTTATGATGGTGAGCGAGATAAATTGTAATTGAAGAGGATATCTTGGTCGTATTTATGTTCTTCTTGATGATTTATCCATTGACTCTCTTTTGACAGAAAGAATGCTATATCTATGGGTCTATAATGGGCTTTCCGGTCCACGTGAGCGGGGGGCATGTCCAGAAACTCCCATCCTCGGAGATCTATCCAGCTCATTCGAGGAACGGTAGGGTTAACGAAGACAGCTTTGCAGATGACCCAAATTGGTTGTAGCTAGCCAGAGCTAGCCAGCTGTGAATGTACGTGAGAGACCCTGTGCAAACGGCTTGCCATGTGCATATTCGCCACTCCACAACTTCGGTGAAAAATCCCGTGCCGTCAAAGCTTACTGGAAAAGAGTACAAGATGATTATTTTTGGATCTCGTTCGGGCCCTCACACATCTATTGTATTTTGTATTATCACAGTGGATAAAGATCGATCTAGACTAGTACTATCATGGGTGGACATGCACCTAGCTAGCTAGATAGCTAGATGACCTTTAATTCTATCTCATGAGCTCAGTTCAGGAACACATGATATGGTTGAAGATATTGTCTCGTACGTACACGGATCCGGAAGCCAAAGATAGTTACGCAAAGAAAACCAATATCGGTACTAAACTCCCTGAAAGCCATTCCAACAAGAACATCAATTACTTTTTTTAGAATCCGCAAAGCTTATATTGACTGTTTCAATGTTTCAATCCCAACGGCTTGCGGATAGCATGGTCCCAATTTACACGTGCACGCACGGATAATGTTTGGGAATACAACGTTCATACATCGCGGTAGCAATGGTGGCCAAGTAATATATCACTATATGGACTAGCTTAACCATACAAGCTTCCCAAGACCATCAATCAATCGGATATATCGTACAATTTTACCATTGAAGATAGAGGATCTCAGAACCCTAAGTTTGAATAGGACTAGAGGGCCCGAGTTTCAGGTACCGGATATGCATATATGGCTCCACAATTTCGGTGTGTAACAACCTAAAATATATATTAATTCTGGATGGCCGGTAGGGCTAGCTAACCGATATCGTGCCGTTAACTACTTCTTCCCTCCTCTTCAATATCGGTAATGTTAAGATTAGAAACTGGAGGCGAACTAGCTTGAGATCCGATGTTGGAAACTATTGGTTCAAAGATGAGATAAACGGTTCCTAGTTTCTGAAATCTCGTCTCGAGCTTGATAAAAAAAACGTTAAGAACGCCAATGTCTATAAATTTAGCGAAAGAAATACTCGGCGTATGAGAATACGATGTACAAACCCCCTTAAGCCTTGCTTTGTTGGAATAGTCATCAGAGATTCTTGCTTACACTGGTTGGTCAGATCATTGATCCTGGTCAGCTCAACTACTTAGCTATATGGTGTATGTGCCGCATAGTTCAATATGGCGGGTCCTCCACAAGACCTCGCTGAAACGATCGAAGAACATACCATGGTGTAACATTCTTAAGGACTATTTTTGCTATATATAGATCTATCTTTAAAAATTTTGCCGTTCTAGAAAGCCCATGGGCATCTGAGGGTGTTTGCTTTGACGTTTCAGATGTTCACCTGCAGGTACGGCATAAGCCAAAACATCTGCATTTACCCGGTGTGCGGGATACGCGAAAGAAACCATGTTCTTTTCCTGCCCCGGTACATATGTATGTACATGGGCCTCAGGTCTCATAAAATTGCAATTCAATGATGAAATGATATCGATATGAAGATAGAGGGTAAGTAAGCTAGATACATACATACTATACAACCGAAAACTCTCCCAGATCTTTGACTCCCCAATGCCTCCGAGTGCCATCAACAACATAATCTCTATTTCAAATGTCCTTTAAAGAAAATCATTCGCAATATGTACTAGTTCCAAAGCCAAAAAGCACATAAAAAGAATAGAGCTGGAATGGAAGGAGGGGATGTTTTCAAAGCGACTGCAAATGAATGGCATATCCGCTGACTCTTAATGAAAGTAAAAGCAGGAGTATCATGGCCACTATGAACCCGCCAATAATGATGAAATCAAGCACCGCAAACACCCCAAAAACGCCCTTAATCTGTTCTTTGCAGACTTTCCTATCCGAAGGTTTCTAACTAATCGCTAGAGCTTCCATTTGGCCGTTCACGGTGGTCTCAGGTAGAGCACCGTTGCTTCTTTCGCCATTCGTCTCAAGTGACTTCCCGCTGGCAACCTTTGCCTTCTTAACGGCGGCAAGGTCTGCACCTAGGGTACCAGGAGTATCAGAGAGATTCAAAGGTACAACGCCGGTTTCTCCGTTTATTACGTGGTTGACTGGTAGGTGATCCGGCATGGCGAGGACCCTGCTCCTTTTATGTCCGTTTTCTGACCCAACTGCCACAAGCCTTGCTCCAGGCCCGTCTCCACCAACCCATCTCATCGGTCCAATTGTCCATCCGGTCTCAGTGGTGTGCTGCATGTCGGAAAGCAGCTGCTTTGCGTCATCGTCGAGGTTAGGTAGCATGCCGAATTCGTAGTCTAGCTCGCCGCCATACTTTTTGGGGATGTTCTTCTTGTCGATGTACTTTTCGAGGGTGGATAGGACTTCATTTGGGGATAAGATAAAGATTTTGGAGACCGTGACGGGATCGAACCAACGTTTAACCCAACCCCAGACCTAGTGTCGATATTAGTTGATTGCCTCGCTTCATTGAGAGGAGGTGTGAGAACCTACGGTTGGGAAGAAACCTGGAGCTCCGATAATCTGCGAATACATGTCCCATTTATTAGTTTTGCTAATTCCCCGTCGCAGTATATCCGGCTTGTGGGTTTGAACATACGAAGATTCTGTCCAATGTCTCTGGATAATGTGCCGTAGCAAGTGTACTAGCATCCTGCATATGATTCTTCAGGTTCCAGAATGTCTTCAAACCAACACCCGAAATATCCACAATATTGTTCGTCGAGTCTACCGGGGTTTCTGGGTGTTCTCTCGGCAGAACGCTACACAAAGGAAGGATAAAATGGGTCATGGACTCGTAAAGGGCGAAAAGGCGAAGCATTCGGTCGGGTGTTTTCGAGGTTCCGGCCACTTGAATGGTTGAGCCCTTGTGAGCGGTGGATTTGGCATAGGCGTTCATGGTCTTGTCATTAAGATGGCCGACTTTGAAAAGGTAGACGGGAATTCCGCGTCGGTCGCGACGGCCGGTCCATTGTGGATACTACGATTATCATCATCGTCAGTGATTCTGCGGATAAATGCGATGACGCTGCACTAATGATATCTAGGAAAAGCGGGGGATGTCACTCACCACCGACCTCGCCTGCTCGTACTCGTTGATATCGATAGTATCGTACAGCTGCTCGATCTTAGTTTCTTGTCTCCATTTCTCGGTGTCTGCGAACTGGATGACAGCAGAAGGCACGTCGAACTTTCGCGCCCGTAGAAATCTCCTGTATCAATCGGGAATCCCGTGACGAGCACGAGCGGACTAGGATTAGCTTGGACACACCCCAATTTTCTTGTATCTATCGATAAAGCGAGTAACAGCCGCCACCATCCGTCGAAAGCATGGCAAACCCCGTTTTGAGCGAATAGAAATGAGCATGAAGGGCACACGTACAGCAGAGTAGTATCATCGTGACTTGCTTGTCCCTTCTCACTCGCTGGTGTATAAAGTCCCTTCTCGTATAATTCTCTGCGAAATTCCTGGGCGGCGCTTTCCTGATCCGATGTCAGATGGGCAAAATGACCTGCCAAAGGATGCTTTTCGCGAGCCTGGAACTCCTTCGCAGTTTCCTGTCGGAAGGATTTTGCTCTTTTGTGAGAGGCATTGCTGGCGGCCGAAACGGTCTTCGTGAGAGGCTGGTGGCCGTTCTCTTCTTGCGCAGGCGTGGTGTTTGCCATGTTGAATCCCGTGTCTCTTTGAATTGAACCTTTCTTCCTTAACAATAACTCTCAGGATCCTGATATTCTTGTCGATTCTGCTTTGCTTTCGACTATCCGTAATGTAGATTTAGGTAATAGGTTCTTTTGTGCCTATTTGTTGGGGGACGGTTAATAACCCGGGACAAGACCTCAGCGGAACACCAAAGTGCCGGACAATACTGAAATCGTGTGAGAGGGAGAGGGAGAGAAAGAGAAACAGGAAGAGGGAGGGGAAGAGAAACAGGACGTGCGTGAGAGGAATTACGTGCTGGCAGGTGAGAGGTCAGAGAGAGAGGAAGGAGATTTGTAATTTATAAGAGCGAGAGTGGTCGGGGAACGGGATGGAATTAAATTATTATACGAACTGCTCTGTAATAATAGCTTCCTTCTTACATACTTCTTCCTTACCTTAACTAACCCTGCTATATTATTATTTCTCCACGACAGAGCAAGCCCGGCCATCCAAGCAAGGGCTCGAGCTCTAGATCTGACTCGGAAGCTGATGTCTGTCTGGCTGCAGTCCGTAGGCGCCCCGTTCTGACCCGCGGATTCGATTCGCCTCGTTCGATTTCAGTTATTTATCTTCGTAACAAGTACCGGTATACCCAACAAGTAAGTACTGACACCTGCATGTGCAGTTTAGATAGCTATTGGCATTAACCTGGAGTAAATTCAACTCGCAGGATAGGATGTTGATATTACGGCGCTGCACGTTATCTTGACGAAGTACAGCTGTTTGGAGTCACACTTGAATTCGCTATCGGCGCCGGAACCTTCGGATGCCGTGCTGCACTAGCAAGTATCCTTCGTGAAGCACTCGAGGTCGTCTAGCTTAAGCTTAGTCTCGTTTTGTTCCCTTTTTCTTCTTTTGATTTGATGTAAAGATCGTTCGCGATCGGTGAATTGGTATATCGATCACCCTGGATCGAATTCGTCCTTCTGACCCTCGATCCCTAGCTTCATATTTATATTCTGACCTCGATCTCTTTTTTTATTTAGTTTTTTTTCAGTTGTATTCCGTGACGTCGACTCGAGGCAGGCCCACTTGCGCTTGGTCAAATGGGCGTAAACTTTACTAAACTCGATTTAGTTCCCCTAAGCTTATATCAGAAGTGGCTGTCGGCATTCGGACTTAAACCGTTCTTTTACTCCATTTAGTTTGGCGCACGCAGAGCTTATTCCCTTTCTGAATCTCTGGGCGTTATCTACCGATTTTGTGACATCACGACATGAATCAATATCCTCAATCCGGTGTGCACATGTGAGTGAATGAACGATCGAAAATTAAATTCGTGAACGATTGAAAAATTTCAGACCAACAGAGAACCGTCAAAATCTGGGAGGCTACGACCCTTGTTCGCAGACATCGATATCAAATCCCGTCCGTCTTTGTGAATACAACAAAAATTGCAAAATTGTCGACTTTCCCGTTCGGTACCATACCAGTTCTACCGTTTTTCTCCAGTTCACGCCGGTTGGTAGCACATAACTAGGTGGCACTTCGGTATTCGTCGAGTGACAATGCACTAGTAGGAGCTCATAACAAAGGTTCCTCTCCCACAAAGGAATCAATTGCGGGGTCAATACAGGGTAGCACCTTCGCAAATCTCTTTCGGTTTTTGGCTGGGGCTTTGCATTTGTTGCTATAATCCTTGTGTCCAGCACTACCAAGCGCACTTCGGACCTTAATATTACTCTATATTAACGCCGACCATTAACTTCTAATTACAATTCGAACGTTTGCCATTTGCCTCCAATGGAACAATTCTAGGCACGAGACAAGCTGGTGTTTATGTCTGTGAGGTGGTGTTTTCAAAGAGGCGTATATATCAGAGTTCAGGCTTTGCTAGTGACTCTGAACTAGCCTAGAAAAAAATATTTTCGAAAAATGTTAGCCTTGCGCATTGAAAATGTTCAAAGTCTGATCCTCGGCTTCGGCTTTAGGTATAAAGTACTCTCTGCATGTAGATACAACGTAAATACAACCTTTCCAGCAAACCGCACAGCAAACAAACTGGACTTGCGACACACTGTGAAGGCACATATATGGCGAGGTTCGAAGCTATTAATGGAGGTTTTTCAACAGCTACAAATAATGTTGCGCAAGGTGAACTGGTTTAACTACTCGTTCGGAGCTAGGGGGGGGGGGGGGGGGGGCGTAGGCGCTCCCGCCGCGAACATATACTGGCGCGTTAACTTAGCTTCGCGGCGTCGAAACTCGGAATAGACTGGTCTCGTAACAATAAACTCCTTAGATTGGCATCCCTGTTGGATTGTCAAAAATGTGAGATCCTTCCGGGGTCTCTTTGGGTACGAGACAGGTGGTATTGCAAATTATAATATTAATATTATATGCTATGTCATGAGGGTACGAGACCAAGTATCCTTCGATTGATTCTAGTACACTCTGCGCTCCAAATTACACACTTTCTATATATATAAGACCATACCTTATGGCCGTTGTGCCCATTTTGTAACCGTTATTTGAATCGATAGCCATTAGCCCAGCACCTCAGGAAATAACTCTAGCTCTGCTTAGCTGGCTAGCAGGGACTTGGATATTAATCCGATTTTTTTAGAATTGAAATATGCCCCTTCAAATTCGCAACCTGAACTATGTTTGGGCCATTCTTGTTTTTTACCTCTTTCTCCGAGGCAATCTAGCCTTACCCCTACAGGACGAGGCAGCTAACACTCCAATTATTGATATTCATACGAATGCGTCGATACCAGCTCCAGCACTTCCAGTATCCCCTAAACAAAATGGTACAACAGTGGCGTTTCTTAATGACACCTCAAAGCAGACGGAGGCCCTGGAAATTTACCATTCATCAAGTAACAAAACCTCTCTTGCTCAAGATGGTAGAAAGCGTGTGGTTCCTTCTTCTATTTTTCACACGCCATTTAAAGTGCGATGTAGATGGCTGTCGCCAATCATATTCGATATGCCGGCAGACCCAGCCGATTATCCTGAGCTTATGATATTCAGGAGCAACTCGTTTAGCCCAGAGCTTACTAGACGCCCTAATTACCAGCAATTGATGGCTGCTCAAGCCGACAACCCCCAAGGCCAGCTGGAGATTAAGACGTCGATTAGGGGCAGGATTCAAAAATGTTACTCTTGTCTTTGTGATCAACCAACGGGCCGGATAATGTCGAATCCCGTGCGCCCCGCAAAGTCTAGTAATATGTGGTGCAAACCGGGCGATCAGCTACCTCTAGCTTGTAAACATTGGTGGGGTAAGCTTCTCTTTTCTCTTTTCTCTTTTCTCTTTTTCTCTTTCTTTCTTTCTTTCTTTTTCGAGATTTCTGCCATAAATTTAATTCACATTAGTGGTATAAATCAATAATGATTGGTTTCCAGGCCAGCGCTAATATTTTCATTGCAGGTTGTTACTGTGACACTAAAGCTCTCCAACCGGACTTGATTGAGGGTGAAGATTTTCAGGCGCATGTTGATGCGTTAAACAACCTCCCGCAAACCTTTAGGGATATGAACCCAGACTACGTATGGGCCCCCCGTAACATGGTGTTTCAGGTAGCACAATACCCAATTGTACCAAATTGGGCCCGGCAATTACAAGCAATACAGAGACCACCACCAACAGTAGGGCCTAGCTTGGATGCGCTGGCAACGGCTTCGGAACGAGTGCTAGACAACGATGGTGGTATGGGGCAAATAGATGCAAACCTACTAAATGTAGCCGATCAAGAGCTACGAAATATTAATACGGAGGGGCAAATAGATCCGGACCTGTTAGAGGAAGCCCGGCGACAACTAGATATTCTTGAAGGACAAATAGATCCCGAATTATTAAGAGTAGTACAGCAAGAACTAGATTTGGAGAACTTGGAATCCGTTGCTGGCCCTTCAGGAACGAACCGTCTTTATGGGCCTAATGATGCTCGGGGATGGGATAAAGGTCCATTTGGAGGGTCGGGTCCAGGATTTGGCTTTGGTGGCGGCGCCGGTGGGGGGGCAGGTGCTGGAGCTGTGAAAAAGCGTGAATTATCCACATTAAATGTAGCTCCTGGTCTGATTCCAGGGCAGGAACTCGAAGACAATAATTAATATTTGTTCACTTATACAAGATTGATTTGTCAACCAAAGTGGGACCAATGTGAATTGATTTTTCATATGCATTCGGTGGCCACGGTGTTTTCCTCGATATTTTATGGCATCCTTTCTCCGTTTTTGTTATTTCCTTCCCCTTCTATTTGTCCTTTTTCCTCCTTTCTCGATTCTTAATTGTTTATTTTTAACTTTTATAGCAGTCTAACTTCATATTCTTCTCTAGTTTTGTAATTGGTTAAGTTCACGGCTAGGTCATGTATATGTACAATGTCTTTCTTACAATTGCTCTTTGTTCATCCGCTCATCCTGTTTCCGAAGTTGTGGTATTTTGGGTGTTGCTAGCATTTGGGCGTTCGAGGGCTGGCTGTACCGTCCAGGGTAAAGAGCTAGGAGCACATGCATACTGGTGCTACAAACCCGATTCTCTAGATCTTCTGGAAGGCACATTGACTCTCTATTCCTGTCTATACGTCTGTGTGTCTGTGTGTCTGCGTGTCTGCGTGTTTATTTATTTGCCTGTGCACCTAATTAATTAACATTTGTTCGCAGTGATGCCATGAAATGGGTATTAACTATTAGACTCGGAGACATGGGACGATGTATTAATATTGGTAGCAGCTGTCCCTGGCCTGTCTGCAACCTTAGTGGCGCCCAAGCAGAAAATGTTCGAACGCTGCTCTTTCTGACGTCAACGCACGTCCCAGCATCTCACAACGTCAAGTAACGTAATTGACACGCGTGAAAGCGTCGGTGAGACCACTATCTTTGGTATCTTATTTTCGAAATATTTCTACGGATAATAGTTAGAAGAATTCCTTAGTATCGATCGGAAATTCGAATATCTGGAAAATGGCACCTGCACCTATTCGGGGTACCTGGACCAAAATTGCCGGGTCGGACCGATTAAAGCGGTCTTCGCAGAACCTTGCCGTCGTCGGCCAACAAGTTTACATATATGGCGGCGAAGTCACTGCCAGAGTGCCGGTCGACGGCGCTCTGGAGCTCATAAACTTCAATGGAAGTACCGGTACGTTCTACTGAGCCGCATCTTAGATCTCCTAACTTTCTTTCCTTTTTGGGTTTCTATTTTGTTGTACTTGAGTAACGATCCAGCTTGAAACCTGTATATTTAAATATGATACACCTGTGCGACAATAAATCAATACAGGGAAAGCTAACAGTCTATATTTCTTACAAACTTGGGAATGAGGCACAGTAACAACATCCACACTTTCTAACGTTTCCCCAGCCCCTACTCCTCGCGTGGGTGGCGCAACCGCTGTCCTTGATGGAGTTCTCTATCTATTCAGCGGTCGCGGAGGACTAGCGATGACACCGATCGAAGAAAATGGTGGTATATGGAAATATACTTCCTCCACAGGCTGGGAATTCATTCTACCCAAACACCCGTCGGCTTCATTCCCGCTCGGCCGTAGCTACCATGCAGCTACAGCAAGCCGAGCAGAAGGGCTGATATACATACATGCGGGATGTCCAGAGTCAGGACGGTTAGCCGATCTTTGGAGTTACAACCCCAAAGAAAATGTTTGGATCAAACTCCCCGATGCACCTGGTGCGTCTAGGGGTGGTAGTTCGATATGCTGTTTTGAGGAATTTCAATCTAAGACTATTAATGTCGCAAGAATGAATGGGTACTCTGGGACCGAAGAAATCGGTGGGATTATTGATATATACTCCCCGCGTAATCATTCATGGGAGAGGGTGGTTTTTGATCCAAACGGAATAGAAGGTCCAGGTCCCAGGAGTGTTGGAACATTGTTGACGGTTCGAGTAGAAGGGAAACAGTATCTATTCACAATGTTCGGTGAGGGAAGGCCGTCGCCATTAGGACACGCTGGGGCGGGAAGGATGTGGGATGATGCTTGGATATTTGATATTGAAGAGAAATCGTGGCAGAAGGTTGAGTGGGAAACAATCGGACCAGCCCCGAGAGGATGGTTCGCTGCTGATGTCATCGAGATTGAGGGGAAGGATGTGGTGGTTCTTCATGGTGGGCTTGGAGAGGATAATGAGAGACTTGGTGATGTTTGGCTGTTGGAGTTTAATTAATCAGTGATAGATGATTGGCGAAGGGTATCTGTCCTTATGCAAAGAAAGATAGCTATTAATAGAAGTGATATTATTCTTGGAACATCTCGTACCAGTAGATTATATGGCCATATGGGAATTCAAGCGCTTAAGTACTTTGATATCAAGAGTTTATAACTAGAAATGATTGAGATATTTAGGTTAACTGTCTTTCAGCCTCAATCAATGTCTCACAAAAGGCGATATGCGATATGGCGGTGGAGGCTAAGTAGAAATACATCCCTTCTACCAGATGATAAATATCCACCATTGCAGAAGGGTTTTCGAGATGGTAACCTAGTGGCGAGAACCCGGGTACCTGAGGAGAAAGTTTCAACATACATCTCGAATTCCATCTTTCTTACATGCCCGGAAAACTAAATTTCCGGGAATTGTAAATAATCAGATGCCACATATTCGTTCTAGACTTGCGGGTTTTCTTGGCAATTATGAAAATGGCAGAATAGCAAAGTCTGGATATAAAGTTCCTCGCCCTCGACCGGACGCGGAATAACCTTTGGTTCCTGAAAATGTGATGAGTTAGTTTTTAAGTAAACTATATCAATGAATCCGGGAACCTAAAACCCACATGTACATAGAAAAATAAGATTCTGTACCTTGTCTGCATCAATCGTTCATGTGGCGACTAAGGTAATCATTTGCAATTGCGATATAGAATGTTCTTTGAGGCTTCGATTGAGACAATGGCATTGTGGGCAAAATTAAAAAAGAAAAAGAAAATAAAGATTAAAATCTAATTGAAAACTTCAAAAACTTTGTCACAGCAGAATCAAGCTAGAAACATTAATAGCTATCGATATGCTTGTATTTTAATGTGCCCTCACCCTGCGCCTGGTCTCGAGGCTAGTTCGTCCGAACCGAAAGTTTATACTTTGTGAACGGGGACCGTGGCGTCCTGAACATCAAGTTGCCCAAAAGTTTAAGCAGTAGAAGCAAAGATATGAGCCTTTGAGATCAAGCATAGTTCGATAAGCCACATGCTGCTTAGAAGAATGGAAACAGTCTTTTATTGTTCATAGTGTCTGTAGTGTATCATAATTTCCCAGAACCCCAAAACTCCATAGAGTCCCCCGCTAATAAGTCGAATTTTAGAAAGAAGAGAAAAAAAAAGCAAAGCGCTCCTAGGTATAACAAGAGAGAAATCTGCATGTCAAAAGGGGCTTTAGTAAGAACGTAGGTGTAACGCTTGTTGTGTCATAAAAGTGGACAACAGAGCTGGAACTGTTTATTATGAAATCAGTAACAACCTGTGTTCTCTGAAAAAAAAGGTGTAAAAAGGGCCTAGCGGGAAGAAAAAACATGTAGTATAGTTTACAAAGAGACGAAACAAGCAATATCATTCATAAAAGGAAAAAGCAGGAACCGGATTTAAATGAGATGGCCCTGGGGGATAGCCAAGAACACCGCGATGAACGGGAGTGTTCCAAGGATAGTAAGCCCAAGACCTTGAAGCAAAATGATATCCTGGAGGCGGCGGACTTGGTTGTCTTCAACGGGGACAGTCTGGTTATAATGGTTAGCGAGAAGAAAATTTAGATATAGATGGGTGAAAACTTACATCTCCAAACACTCGGCGAAGCCAGGCCTTTTTCCTGTCACGTTGCATCCACGGAGCATCATCCCAGCTATCTGGAAGAGCTTCGTCGAAGCTGCTAGAAGCCATGCTCTTATCGTCTTCGATATCGTCGTGCTTGATTTCCCAAGGCTCAAGGAGGCGGCGATGACCCATAGCCATAAGAACGAGACATATTCCTTTCCAAGCACAGATAAGAATGATAACACCAATAGACCAGAGGAGAGCGCCGAATAGTCGCCATGCTCGAGGAGCCGAACTGAGTGTGAGGAAAAGGCTGAGGAGGATGGCGAGGACAAGCAAACCGGAACCCAATGAGTATGCAAAGTTCATACGAGGGTTAGTACAGTTGGCAATAACCCAGCGAATGAAGTTAGGATGAGATTGGTGGCGAAGATAGTTGTCACAGTCGACTTTGAGGTTCATGACAGCGGATGGGTGGGTCGTATAGGATAAAGCTTGAATTGTAGCCTCACGGTCACGAGAAGAAATATTGAGCTCCCTGGCACCGCCAGGGGCGATGTAACGAGCGATAATACGGGAAATCTCCGCTCGGAAGGGCTGAGCCGAAACTATTTGGTGGTTACACAAATAAAATTAGCTGACTGAAGAGATTCGGCATAAACGTCAAAAATGGAATAAGCAACTTACATTCTTCGGAAACTAAAGAAGGCTTCTTGGAGTTGTAGGAAAACAAGTTGTCCTTATCATCAAAGGAACTGCCTCGAGAGACGGTACTATTAGACCTGAGAGTAGAAACTGCAGAGCCATACCCAACAACTGGAGTGCCATTTTTATTGAAAGTCCAGGCGGGAGAGCGTGCTTTCTCTTCATCACTCAAGGCCTCGAATCTCTTAGTGTAGTCTTCGTGCCAGAGGTAGAATTCAAGATGCTCAGGGGAGTGTTCAATATAGCGCAAGTAATTGAGCAGATCCGAGATTGAACATGGCTGTGTTGCAAGTCAGAAAACCATTAGTATTCGGTCGATATCTGAATTGTACTACCCTCCATTAGGTGTTTTACTTACTGAAGCTGTTTCGTTTTGCAGAATCCTATCCAAAGAGAGGCTTTGTGGGATACCGGCAGCAGTGAAATTGGCACTACAGTTGCTTTTGACACAGTTCTGGTAGTCAATCTTCTCAGAGGTCTTCAGACCCTTAGCTGGACGTTGGTAAAAGATCCAGCTGAAGCTCTGCATGACTGTGCCGGTCGTGGATTCTGCAGTTGGTTGGGAGGCCATTTTTGAAAGAGAGAAACAGATACCGTCGGCAAAGCAGAATCTATATAATATATAAAAAAATAAACGATAGTGTAGAAAGCTTGAAGGATATCTACAATTGACAGGGGTATTGGAGATGTTGGAGGCACGAGAGGATTGGTGGATGATATCAGATATCGTGATGGAGTGTAGGTAAAGGAGAAGAGAAGAGGAAGAAGGAGAAGAGATGGTTATGATTGGCTTTGATCGGACGCTCTATAGGAATGTCTATTCCACAATACAGTGCAGTGCGTAGTGGTCGGTAGTCGTGCTGGTGCCTCCTCCTTTGAAGAGCTGGTCTCGGCGTCTAAAAGTGTTGTGATGGACGTTGCGGCGTGTTGAGGTCTCGGAATACCAACACAGTCCCCAGGTCGGTTGGCTGGTAGACGCTGTTGTCAGGGCAGGCTTCCTTTCGGTCTTAGTTTCAGGTAATCAATCTTGGTCGTGTGCTCCACCAGTCCTGTTGTATTTTGTACCCATCGGAAAGGAATATCAAGAACAAAGAGAGAGTGGGAAAAAGAAGGAAACGATACTGGGCTTCTAGAGCCTATGTTTTATGCAAGATCTCCTCGCCCCCGCGAAAGGAACCGACACACTCTTGGAATCGAGTCTCAATTACCCCGGCCGAGGAGATAAAAGCCTAACTTGGAGCCAATTCACACATGGCTGTGGAACGGCAGGCCAAAAAGCAAATCTTTTTAAGTTGGGCTGTCATGAAGGTTACAGAACCTTGATTTTTTCTGGCAAGTTTATTTCGCTCGATTCATGGAAGAAAAGAAAGAAGCATTAAGGATGGTGCATTCTGGTCCACGAAAAGTTTCGTGGGCAATACCCGGCCCCGTTCTGACGCCTCCCCTCACCCCTGTTCCTAGATCGAGATCTCTTCTAAACGAGTCCCGGCAACCAGATGTGCAGCCTACTGGCTGACTGAGCAAGAAGGATGGGCATTTCACTCAGCTTCTTCTGTTGGGAGGCGCTGGGCGGGAATCTGAATCCACAGGCGGATGTCTCCGTGGATCGTCCCATGAGCAAGAGGATACATCGGAAGGAAATTTCCATGTTTCTAATGAGATCTAATAAGAACGACCTAGTCTTGTGTGACCTGAGCTTTTCATCTCTCTTCAGCTGAAGCTCGATCTTTTGCATCAAGACTAAAGCTGGGGCGGGAGTCGCTAGTTCAGTACCCACATGGAACAGTCTAGTCTCTCTCGATCTCGGAATCATCTCCACAATTCCCTAACTTGCATGCATACCGTCATAAATGGATCCCAGGACCTCTATAATTGGACGGAATACTCCATGGATTAGATGCAACGGAACATGTTCCCCAACCAGCTCAAGTATTTTCGAAATTTATTTCCCCAACTAAAAGAGAATAGTAGAAACGGCAGCCTCGAAAAGGTTGTATCTCTGCGTCTGCACTATCATTTTCTGCGGCGACCAATTTTGTCAATCATTTCTCATTTTATTGGTATGACGCTTGGTGCCTGATGGTCGAAAAGCACGGCCCAGCAAGAGCACGGCTCGGATATTCTCGAAAATTTTACCCTGTCCAACGTATCACGGGGGACGTGTTTGGTTTCTCATAGGTGGTGTCAATGTTCATTTGTATGTAAGTTGGTCCAACTTAACCAGGCTCGTCGTGAAATTACTCTTCCACAAGTACACCCATTTTGTCCCAACAGTCCCAGCGTTCGACAAGGATCCAACAGGTTTTGTGCTCCCGCTGTCACCATCACCAACTCTTGTGCACGACTTCTGCATATCTGCACTGTCCTGGTCACGACCTCAGATTAATCCGAATCTAAGCGAACATCTAAAACAGTCGGCGAGCACCACATTTCTTCATCCTGAACTAAAAAATCAATTCTCGAATATGTACCTCCACGACTTTTACAGTGGCGTTTGGCCGCTGGTGACAAGCCCTATCTATCCATGACGCCATAGTAATAAGCCCCGAAAGGTTAAACGTTTGAAGTCAGAAACTAAGAGAATTTTGGCTTGGCCTAAGTGGCTTTGACAACGATTTCGGCCTGTACAGGGATGTCACAAACTTGTCAGCAACGGAACTTAAATCCAACAAAACCCAACTCCTAAGTTGTATCACTAAAGTATTCAAAGAAGGTTGGAACAATTTAAACTACCATGCTTTAACAACAGAGACGGCCTCGGCATTTTTAGTAACCCACTGATCTGGATGGAATGTTCCATGTTGGAAATCTGATCCTGGCATCAGTGAACTTGCTACCTGCGAGCTACCTAAGTTAGTCAGGGGCCAAACATCGGGACCAGGCTTATGCAAATCGATAGCCATCAACGGCTCGTGTATCTATGTCTTGATCCTAGTGCCCCGTAGATCCTTCGACGGTATGAGAGTGGATTAAATTCTTGGTCTCGCTTACTTACATAATATGCGGGCTGAGTATGCCGTGGTATGTTCCGTCGCACAGATTGCGACTTTGAAACTACACACATATTGGCAGGGCTACGAATCTATGGGATAAGGGTGTGACAAAGGGTTCAAATTGATCTTAATAATAATTATAGGCAAAAGAAACAAGGGACCATAAGCCTCTAGTCTAGTTGGCCACATCCATGGCCTAGCATTCGTCGAAGTATAGCGTTCGTGTCATTTGGATCCTCTTGTGGTTCTTCGCCATGGAAGATCCACCATCCTGCCAATGGCTGAATGACTGAACACACCGGGCCTTCATATTTTTTCCCTTCTGCCTTCAATTGGAGGTTTGCTTGTTCCCATTTCTCATCCCGCTCGACTGTTGGCCTTGACTCAATTGCGACCATTCCAGCTATCATCACAGTGTCTAACTTTTCTCCGTTATCATTAAGTTCGACTGGGACGTGAGCGTAACCTCCAGTCACATCGTGATCTTCGAGAAGACCGTAAACTTCCCCATCTAACTTAAGGGTTTCCACCTGCTGGCCCCAGCTCTTGCGATTAGTATGGTATTGCATGGCTCCTTTATCAGACCAAAGACAAAATGCGGTTATCCAACCACCAAGGTATCGTGGACCACTTCCACCCCCATGTCGGGTAACCACCGTTTGCCAGAACTCCTTCAAGTCTGGTGACTCTGGGTTCTCAAAGCACAATACGAAACGTTTCAAAATTGGACGAAGTAACTTGGCGAAAAACGTGGGTTCTTCTCCAAAAGCCTCGAATTTGTCGATCTTCTGCAAGAGAGCTTCCCAATCGGACTTCTCCCCGAGCATTGTGACACCGGGAAGGCCGCAGGCAAGTTGAAACCCATAAGCGAAATAGCTCTGGAGGGTTGCCATCATGAGGACCGATGCAACAATCTTGTCATTTTCTTCAGTAGTGGTAAAATCCGGAATTAACCATGTGCGAAGGTCAGGATCAACAACGTTTTGCTCGATCAATTCCCCCATTCGAACAGCTAGAGCACCGAAATTTACGGTATATCGGCTTCCCGCAGTAGTAACCGTGAGTTTCTTCTTCCCCTCGTGGGCTACGAAGTGGGAACGGAGCTCCTCAGCGTTTTTGTTGACATAAAGGGAGAATTGTGTCAAAATTGTGATCCATACATCATCTGGGCGTATGACGAGGTGGTGGTGGTGGTTATACGCGTTCATAGCAGCGTAGACGAAAGAACTAGACGACGGGTGGATCTTCCGGGAGTCCATGAGTTCCTGGTTGAACGTCGATTGAAAGACTTCCTTGCATATGTATGGAACCCCCTTCTGGAGAGGGACCCGGAGGATGTCGGCATGGTCTTTTGCTCTCGAGTCGCCATATTTGTAATCTTCTGGTTTAACACCGGAAGGGTAAAGTGTGACAGGCATTTTGAAGTCTTGTTATGGTAATAAGGAGAATGCTTGATCTTTCAATCTGTTATGATTGTGTATAGTCCAGGAGGAAGCCGTATGCTGATGCCCGGAATTTGTCGACCTGTATAACACGAGGTATTTATAGGCCTTTTGCAATATCAGGGAAGAGTGGCAATTGGATTATCTCAAGGCTGATCGATCGAACATCTTATCGATATCGACAAGTTTGCTCGTCAAACAGGTTAGAAGAGGGTTGATCCTGGGAGAGGGCTGGATCCTGCTACCTGCCAACCTCAGGCTAGCTGGTCTGGGTTGGTGGTATATGAACATCGTGCTGGTTTCGGACAATGCTATGACTTCATTTGCATACCTTCCGTTCAGATATGTACCCAAGTATGGATGCATCCCGCGAAGGACGCGGCAATGGCTTCCCCGCACCTCTCTAGCTGCAGATCAGCTGGTTCAGCCGCATGTGGGCAGCTAGTGCAACGCAGAAGGGCGTGGCATTTTGGATGGAAGGTCTATACCCTGCTGGAACTTGTGTAACCATCCGCGCCCAAACTGTCGGCACCAGTTTAAAGGTTTACGTTTTTCCGAGTTATCCATTTGTACTTAAACTTAAATTAAAAGGATAAAGATACTAAGCTAGTAACAAGTTATGCTCAAGTATAGTAGGGGGAATGGAGGGCTTTTGGGACGGAAATTTTATCTCAAAGCGGCTTTTGGAGCAGTCAAGATGTCCCGAACGTTGTATAAGGCTCCTGTAATTAATTGACTATAAAAGTCACCCCTAAGCCCTCTAGATCTAGTGAAAACGGCATAAAATACTTTCTAATGTCATAGATATGCTTAGGGTTCAGCATTAAAGTCGATTATTCTGCCAGATCTAGAATTCGCCTAGTTCCTGTTGTTGGAGTCATTACCCTTTTAAATTTTCGTCCCTTCTTTTCTCTCTAAGGGCAGAAACTCCAATTTAGGCTCGTCTTCTGGAGCGGTTAAAGATACCTTAACTTAAGCGCTGTCTGTATAAGATATCTAAAATCCAAACTATTCCCGAATATAGTTGGATCCCACTATTCCATACTCTGGCTCCGAGACTAATACTCTATATGGGAATTAGTAGACTATTGTACCCCAATGTTGCTCAAATCGAAGCCCCTTCTATATAAATCTAGCTTATGTTGCGTTGCTGTTGGAGTAAATACCATTAGAGTCGTGTTGAGTCTCATGGACTCGCCTCGAGGCCCGCGGCCTAATATTAGCTAACGGTCTTCAATCCTGCTAAAATCGGTGACAAATCACTTACGTGTTCAACTATCGGATGTTAATGACGCTCGATTCCTTGCATCCGGGATGGCATGGCCCTTGGCAGTACCCCGAAACAAGACATCGAGAAGACATCTTCGATTCCTTGGCTCCGAGTATTGAACCTTCTGATCAATCTGATAAGATAAATTTGCTCAATCTCGGTTCATCGGTCCAATCACTTCCCATCGGTCTCGCTAACGGAAACAAATGTCCAAATTTCTACCGTCGGTTTGGTGGTTTGATGTGGGTCACAAATCTCTGACTGGACCAAGAAACATCCGCTAAACCCTCCGGAGGACAGTTGTCAGGTTTCTACCGCTAAAAGGCCCGTCAAGCTGCATGAGAGGCTCTTCTCGTTCGTTTAAATATTCCCTGAATGAAATAGCGTTTGGCATCGAGAAGTACTCTGTACATGGCAGTTCGACTAATGCATGTTCAGGGACTGAGTGGAAATCTATACCGGCCTTGAATATAGCGAAATCTCTCCTGTCAATGCTACCCTATTAGGTTTTCTATACGAACGCAAAAAATCGTATTTTCTTCGCCAGCTATCTGTTATTCGGGAGATGAAATCCTAGCCTTGTCGAAATGCCATCTCGTACGATCGCACCTGGGCGTGATTTTTTATGCAATGCACCCTTTTTTGCCTGTCTTAACGTTAACTAACATACTGTGAAGCATATATGCAACGAAAATGCGTTTATTAAGCTTCGGGTCTTGTTATCCGTATAATCGGAGAGTATTTTGCACCGGTGGCGCAAAAGAAGCTCAAATCCTTCCGGGGGGTTTTTTTTTTTTTTTCAAATACCCCGTACTGCATATCCTTTACCGATGGACTAATCTTCCATGCAGCCGGAGGGGAAATACATAATGGGGCCAGGCAAGAAGGTGGCTCGAATCTGATACCATCGTCTATTTATTTCTTGGCTATGCCCAAGCCATTACGACCTGGGAAAAGGCCTTCCGACATTCGAAATAAATTTCCAAGTTCTACAAAAACACTATTGATTCTTCAAGTTTTTTTTTCTCGATTTTCAATTTCTGCGACTATTGGTCAAGTCCCCTCATCGACTCTTAACTTGCGACCGAAATATCGTCTCGGCCCATTTTTAGGCCGTTTTACCGTTTCTTGGCCATGCAGCCTTCGACAAACGCCTCGTTAGAGGCAGGGAGCAACACGGATATCTCGTCGAAGAAGATAGAGGCAGGAATGGCGACTCCGCAGACCATCGATGCCAGCACTGAAGCACAGATTACAGAATCCGAACCATCAGCGCCAGTTCCACTGCTCAGTGATGCCAGATTGTACATTATTGGTCTTGGGTATGTTTTTGTCATTGTTCTCCCCTGAAACCCCCCAAAATTACCACAACTTGTTAAAAGGCCAGAGTTGACTGAAACCTGGAAATTGGAATAGAATATGGATCGCCCTCTTCCTCGCGGCGTTTGAAACCACTGTTGTGGCCACTAGTTTGGTTGATATTACAAGTGAATTTCAAGATTTCAATCGAGCCAGTTGGATAGTTGTCGTCTATCTTTTAACATACAATGGCTTCCTCCTATTATCTTCGAAATTATGCGACATCTTGGGGATTAAGTCGATGTTCCTTGGGGCGATTTTCATTTTTGGGGTCTTCTCGATAGCCTGTGGAGCAGCTCAGAATATGACACAACTGTGAGTACTTCTCCATAGAAACCCTATAACTGTCCTGAACTAACCGTCAATGTTTCTAGGATTATCTTCCGAGCCTTCCAGGGCATCGGTGGAGGCGGGATATACTGTATCTCTTTCATTCTCATGTTGTCCATCATCACCAAGGAGAAGTTGGGAACATTTTCTGGCGGTATTTCCAGCGTCTTCGCTATTGCCAGTATCTGTGGGCCATTGCTAGGGGGTGTCATTACCGAAAAGTCCACATGGAGATGGATCTTCTATCTCAAGTAAGTTCTTTCCCATGATTAACAATGGTAAACTAGAGAAGGGGGTATCTTACAATGTCGGCTTTCTAGTGGACCCGGTGTCGTCGTAGCCTTCGCTATTTTATACTTCGCTATCCCCGACATCAATCAAGTCAAGATGAACCGACAAACTCTGAGCCGAATTGACTTTGGAGGCGGGTTCTTGTCGGTCGCCTGGTCAATCCTTCTTGTCTACGCCCTCCAAGAGGGTGGAGCCGAGTACCCTTGGAGCCACTCAGTCATCCTTGGAACTCTCATTAGTGGTATTGTCGGTTTGTTCATCTTTGCTGGGTACGAATGGTACATCGCAAGGAAGTCGAGTGTCATAGAGCCAATCTTCCCCCTGAGACTACTCAAATCGCCCGCCTTTACGTACCTCGTATTGTAAGTTTGATAATTCTAATACTTCAATCCCAAAATCGCGCGGATACTAACGATGAGCCCCTTTAAAATTTTAGAACAACATTTTGCATCGGTGTTCCGATCTATGTCACAATTATCGTTATTCCACAAAGATACCAAATCGTCAACGGCGTGTCACCAATTCGGTCGGGCGTTCTACTTCTCCCTATGCTAGTCGTATCCCCTGTTATGTCTCTCATTCCAGGCCTTGCACTGAAAACATACTGGAGATACGTCCCATACGGGTTTGCCGTCGGCGGCATTCTCTCTGTTGCTGGGTCAGCTGGACTCGGTGTCTTAGGGTACAGCGATAAAATCGAAGCGAAGACTTACGGTTTCCTAGTCCTTCTAGGTGCCGGTATGGGTCTTGTCATGCCAATTGGTGTGATGTTGGTCAAATTCATATGCGATCCTAAAGACGAAGCTGTCGCTCTTGGAGCACAGAATATGACCCGTGTCCTTGGCGGGCTAGTCGGTTTGGCCATCGGTACTGCGATACTTCACCAAAAAGTCGAACATGGGCTGCCCGGCGTTCTATCCCCGGAACAGTTACATGCACTATTGAAATCCCCGCAGGTCCTAGCTACACTACAGCCAGACCAGCTCATTGCGGTTAGAAAAGTCTATGCTGCTTCGTACGACCTGCAGTTCAACATGGCAACCGGGTTCGCGGCTCTTGGAACAGTCTTCTCAATCTTGACGACATACTATATCTTACAGGTTATGAAGACTATTGACGCGGAAGACTTCTTCAGCACTCTTGGATTGAAGAAGGGGGTAGACCAGAATAAGACTGAAAGCGAAAAGAAGGCGGAAGACGCGTGATTATTTGCCGGCCAATGGCCGTAGTATACCAAAATAGTTTTGCATTTTTTGGATGGGACTTTTACCAGCATGGTTTATTATGACGCCTCGGAGTTTTGGATTTTGGCAAAGCGATCTTTAAATTGTACCAGCATTTCGGGTTGATTTCATAAATTTGTTTATTCGCATTGTAGCAGTAGATCTCCACTAATCTTCAATTCGGTGTATTATACTCTATATCATATATATATCTCTGCTCCCTAGTAACCCTTCCGTCATATGGTTAGGATTCTATGAAGGCCATACCAAGAGCGAAGAACAAGCTTTTTTTCGATTTCCCATCTAGTAATTTTCGCATTACATTAGCATTAATATACCTCACAAATACAGGGAGCAAGCTGGAGAGATTCGGGTTGATGTGCACCGGAATCGACATGGAACTGCGGTAGAATAAATAATGTTAATAGCAGACACAGGAATTCAATCGTCAAATTTAGTTTCTATTACAAGGGCAATCCTCGACCCTTGCTCTATACATGCTTCAATCATTTGTTGGTATTTGGGCAAATTCTACACCTGGCCGTTCCCATTACCATGTTGTAGGTGGAGCTTCGTTCCATTGCTGGAATCGTGATAGTGGTAATACGTACCGAATCCCAACCTCCAATATTTACAGCCTTAAAACTCGATTTTAAAATCATATTAAAGCCGTCTTCAATTATGAAAATACGTATTGGTTGCCAAGATAAAATTGGCACTAGCTTCAAGGCATCCGTATATCCGAGCTCAGTACCCGCGTGGCTAAATGCTACGGCAAAATATCGAATCCAACACTACGATCTTCCTGCCGATGCGACGACTTTTACACCATCCCCGCAGACTCTCGTACCCCAGACCCGGAAGAACTCCAAAGAAGCTCGGATGCATATCTGCCATTACCCTCGTCCATGCTAAAAGGAGCTTGGGAATCTTGACTTTTTCCTTGAAGATCCACCAAACCCATGATCTGCTGTTCGCAACTGTATTATGACGCTTTCCTTCATCGAGGAAGTGAAGCAGTTAAAACAATTTAATTTAGCCAATCACGTTGATGAATCCCGAACGCCACGCTCTTAACTTCAACGCCATAACGGGATCCACTAATCATGCCTAAATATTATATATCCGGTAGTAACTTCATCCGCGAGCATTCGAACAGGGCTTCGGCTGAATTGGTCAACTGGAAATATCCAAGCTTTTTGTGTATTGAACCTTTGACCATGGAGACAATATGGTTAATGGCGGCGATCCTATATAAACCCCAGGTATCCCTTTTTCTCTACGTGGAAGTTTTACTGGAACTTCAGGGACCCCAAGTTTTCTAGAAACGTTCTTTTCCCCAGAAAAACTCCGATAAGCCTTTACCTATCCTTATCAATTTGATATCTGGCTAGTCTCAGATCTAGATTTCTAGAACCTCAAGATGTTGTACAAATCGCTTTTGACGCTGACATTGGCGACGACGTCCACATTGGCTAGCAGTTTGAGAAGGGATATTCATAAGGGTTTTGGGAATGTGGATACTTTGGTTGTGTTTGGAGACTCTTACACTGATGAGGGGCGATTGGGATACATGCAAGGTAATGGTGGAGCGCTTCCACCTGACAACTTTGTACCGTCGCAGGTATGTTGAATCTTTGGTCAAGTTCTGGGGAAATAATATCCGGAAAATGGATATTAACACTGTAATTCAATATAGGGCTCAATCAATGGCGCCTCTAGCGGTGGAAAAATCTGGGCGAGAATCGCTTCTGATTTAACTGGCCATTCCTTAATCAACTATGCTGTCTCCGGCGCTGTCTGCTCAAACGATCTGACACCAAGATGGCTGTAAGTTAAATATTCGCATGTCAGTTCGATTATTCTTCGAAAACAAGATTTCTGACATGAAACTATCACGTACAGCGACGGTATCAACGGAAACTTCCCGGCAGTCAAAGAATACGAAGTCCCACAGTTCAAGAAGGAGCACACAATCACAAGATACAAAGGCCCCGGAAACTTGAACCCTGACAAGGCTGTATTCGCTATCTGGATTGGAACCAATGATCTTGGAAGCGGTGCATTACTCACCGATGAGCATCTCGCCGGCGTCACTCTCCCCGATTACACAGACTGTGTCGCAGAACAAATTAGGGATCTGTACAACTATGGTGCAAGGAAATTCATAATCTTGAACGTAGCTCCGTTGGAGAGAGCCCCTCATTATACACAAAACGGGCCAAACGTAAGTTTCACGTCAGATCTGTCTATATATACCTCTTTTCGTTAAGAAATATATCTGAAACTAACTTTAAAAATCAGCACTACTGGCACGAACGCGACTCATTCCTTGAAGGAAACGCCACCGCTATCTCCCAAAAGATGGGAACCCACGTCCGTTCCGCCAATCAAATCTTCAAGTACCAAATCCCTGCTCTCGCCGATGAGCTTCGGGGTTCAAAGGTTGCGTTGTTGGACGCATACTCCATCTTCCAGGAAATCTACGCAAACCCAAGTAAATATCTAGACTCGCCAGCCGATACGGTCGGATACGCAAGCAGATGTGATACTTGGGAGGCTTGCAATAGTTGGTCGAATACCGTCGATCCCAATCCCGATAGGTTTTTGTGGTGGGATGAGTTGCATCCTGGTGTCAAGACTTCGACGGTTGTTGCCCAAGAATTTGCGAAGGCCCTGAGGAAGGAGAGTGACTTTGCTACATACTATTTTTAGACAATTGTAGTGAGAAGTTGAGTGTACGAGTAGTCCGACAGCGAGCGATATCATAATTAATATCTGGATACCATACATACTATGCATGTGAATTCGAATGTAGTAGTTACATGCAGCGTGCCTAACTCATCGTCGGGACCTGATCCTGTCTGTGCCACGAACTACGTTGCAATTTTCGACACAAAAGAGTTGGGGGAACACAAATCTACGGAATGGGAAGTTTGTGCATGAAATCCGTAGGCTGATCCTGATTGAAAGTCGATGGGACAGCGCGACTCCGCAAGGTTGGTCAACTTGGATATTACGTTCGAAAGACGAGTCTCTATTGGCCGGTTTGGACTTTCAAAATAATGGCAATATAATCAGCACAAGGGAAATATTAAAATATCGAACGCGTCATGCCAGATCTGTGCCACAGTGTGATATAATACGAAAAATGGTCAACAGGTGAAGAGAACCTGCGAGGCGCAAAGTTATAGCAACCACCACAGCATAAAATACCTGAAATCCCCCCCTCCTCTGTCAGCTCTTCTGCCCATATCTCTAGATCTTAAAAGTTTGGAAATTTCTAATCTGAGAGTCAAATCTAACTCGATTAGACTCTGTTTTTATTCTAAAACTACTTTGAATCTTCAATATAAATACCACGAAGAGATAGTTTCGAGATTCTATTTCATTTTCAATCAAAACCTCAAAATTGATTCGACATCGGCGGTGCCCTGATATCTGATAAATATTCTCTCATAATGCAGCATGAATTTTCGGTGAAAGCCTATGATGGAGCGAATACCCAAAAGCGTCGATGGGCTCCTAAAGCCTCTTGGGACCGTATAAAAACTTTCGTTCTCGACGAAGTCACCAAAGGGAAAACACAGAAAAATATAATTGAGGATCTTGAGGGACAGGGCATATCTATCGAGTAGGTTCCTTGGAAGAGTTATACTTTTAATACATTTCCAAATTAGCGAGTTCAGATCTGGCGTTCTGTAGCGGACTTTTGGTGAAGCTAACGATTTGAATTCCCTAGATCTTATCAGTTAAAGCGACTACTAAAGGAATGGGGCATAAGTGATCGGAATATCCGCCAGAAGAATCGAAAATATATTTTCGAAACAGAGAAGCGCCTTAAGGAGCAAGGAAAATGTGTTAGGACATGGCGATTTAAAGATAACCGCCAGCCGGTTAAGCAATCGCAGCTAGCGGCGATTAGGAGAAGCACCGGAAAGGAGTTTCAAGGTGGGGATCTCTATATCATCAACCCTTTTGAAATACATAGTTATACTCTCGGATGATGCTGCATGGGAGACAATGCTTGAGATATCCTTCGTAAATCAGAAATTCTGATAAAAAATAAAATGTCTAATACATCAAAAAAATGATTTTACATATAGATGTTAAAGCAAGCCCAGGCGCTCTGATTGTTTCGCCCGCAGAATTGATGGAGGAAAATTATCCTGCCGGGATGTCCCAGATAGGGTTTCCGAGTAACGACCATGTCCGCGAAAGCATCTCGGAAGCTCAACTTGAACATGACGAAGTCTCTCAAGATACACATATGGAACCAGTTATATATGTATCGAACATGGAGACTGTCGAGCCGGCGACTACAGAGCAATCACCGGCCTCTTCAGACGACGAGATTGAGTTTTCAGAAGGTTTCGTCTCTGAGCCGATGCCCACCAACCCTCCAATTCTTGGGATGCTAGGAATACCAACTACCTCAATATTCGAAAACGAAAGAAATACTAGTAAGGCTGAGAACAACTCTGGGATAACATTTAGCTCGCAAGCAAGCGCTGCGAGCAAAACTTGTGAAAGTGTCCAATCTAATCCCGAGATCCCAATCATTTTGCAGTCTCTTTGTGAAAGTTTTACTGCCTCGATCGATACGACTCAGGCTCTCGTTGCTCAAACTAGGGACTCATTGAGATCTCGAACTCTACTCAGTCTATTGACACCAGATGGTGAACCTAAAGGCTGCCTTGGTATTCCTTTTCATTCTCCATTTGAAGAGCATGTTCTCACCGTGGCAATGCAGGCTGGAGAGTTCAGGGACGGAGTGGATAGCCTCCAACAGAGATTTCAGAGTCTCACTATTTCTGCCCCAGAATCAGATAGCTCGCAGCGGGGCAAAATACCAGATAACAACTATTTTACTCTTTCAAGGTGTGAAGATATTGTTCGGTACCAGATGTCATTGGATTTGGCACCCTGTGAAAATCTTCCGGTCGATTATAATATGGCGTTTTGGATGTCAGGGGGACCGTCACAAATTCTAGGGAACATCGAAAGCAATTTAAGGCTATCATTCGTAGACGAGATCTTACAAGAGTTTTACACTGTTATTGAACCGATGTGGAATGCCATCTGCTCGCCAGCCGCAACAATGCAAAACTTGAAAGGACAGTATACATTTCGTGGTTTTCATAGGCAGCAGTTTCGCGAAAGAGTAGTCAAGCTACCCCAACTTCTGCAAACCTAGAGCCTGACTTCCTGGTCAACGTTCTCGACACTCCAACTTTTCCACGAATTTTGCATTCTGTGGTATGGCAAGTCTTACTGGGAGAGACCGATACTTCGAGATATCCTAAAGTTTTTGATCGGAGTATTATCGACGTTCAAACCATCTAAGGGACTTCTCACCTGCCTGGTAAACTTAATCACAGGACTTCATCACGCGCACCCTGAGGATCAAATGGTTGCCCTCAACGCCGCTAAATATATCTTTGACAAAGCGCGTAAGACCTTGGGAGATTATGAAATCTTTATAATTTGGGTCGCCGCAAAGATACAACTCCTCCTTCGAGGAATGAATCGTCAAGAGGAAGCACAGAATTTTGGGAAATACATTACGCATTTCCTTAAAAAGCCTTCCCAATCTGACTTAAGAGTCGATTTTGCCGAGTTGAACTTGGTCTTAGGTGCCGAAATCATAGATTTCCAAATACAGCAGAAAGCCTTCCCCCAGGCTGCAAATTACGCCCAACTTTTGGATTCCAAGCACATCTTAGGCGCACCCGAGGATGATTTCCATTGTCTCGAGAGTCTAGCGGGCCATTGTAACCGCGGGAACTTCGACTGCCTTAAAGCTCGGGCGTTCTCGGAAATCGAAGACTATGCTAGCGCGCTAACCGAACTCCAAAAATCGATGCGAAGACTAGAGACTCGTGGAGCGCCCTACCGGTCTTGTAATATATGGGTAATACGTGATTTTACTCAGCTGACGGCAGAATTCTTGACAAAAAGGGGTCTAGTCTTGTATGGTCAGCTTATATTGAAACAACTGTCCCAAGCGCTGGAGGATCAAGGTTTTTCGAATGATCATCCCGTATACAAGGGTGTCTTAGCTGCTGAGCTAGCCGTGGACTTCCAGATGTCTCTTGACGAAGAAGATTGGGCGATACCAATGATTGTATCTCAGGGTCTCGAACCCTCACTATATACTTTGAATTAAGCAAATTTACGCTTAAAATCAGGGTTAGTGATGTGCCGAAACCGTGGAGGAATCATCACGAAGTATGTACCAGGAGGGCAAGCGCATGGTTCTTAGGACTATTATTTTAGTGTAGTACTACAATATTCCAACGCCATGGCTCTCTCTCATTATATTAAAATCAAATTGCTCCAAGCCTGACACTCCCTCGGTACCGTCCCATCTCCCACCGCATAAAGTCTAACCTGTGCCCTTAGCTCCTTCCCCATGACCATCACACATCCAAACATCGTATTCCTATCTGTTCCCGTGATCTCCGTGTCAATATTAATGTATCCATTCTCCAAATTCAAAGCCACATATAAGAGTACACTGCCTTCATCGCTATTGATGTCGTTCAAAGTCTTTAAGCTGATACTATAGTCTGTGATTGCAGAGATACCGATTGGGACCGCGATCGACATGTAGTATTTTTCGCCATCAGGACCGTTGGTATATACTCTATAAGTCTCCATGTTTGGACGGTACTCTGTTATGAAGAAGGTAGCGTTGGTAGAGGGTAGAAGGAGGCATAATGCTGGGTCTAGAGTATCGCCGGCCCAGGAGAGATACCATCGATTATATGTACCCGAGTCCACCGTGAGGCGGCCAGCACCTGGGTAGGATATTTGGGTTGTATTAAGGACGGTTGTGGTTGAAGCCGCCAAAAGGACCTTAGTTTCGGTTTTTGTTGGAGCATCGGTCAGAGGTAGGGTCATGGTTTTGCCTTTGTTTGTTTTGGTTATGGTTGTAGGCTCAGAAGGTGCGACAATTTGTGAACACGCCTCACTAATGTCAATTTCGCAGAATGAAGCTAGTTGTGGAGGTGTTTTCTCCGGAGAATCTATTGGATAATCAATATCCGCATTGGTATTCGATCCAATCTCAACCTTTGTCAGTGCATCATCATCGTCCTCCTTTCCATAGACACCATCATAGGAACTCTTGTTCACCACCAAATAAGTGACTCCTGAAACAGTTTTCTCTTCGGTACTCTGCACATGCCGCTTTTCTGGCTGGTCACCGGCATTGTAGACCGTGGAAAAGGCGACGGTAGCTGTTTCTGTGTAATATGTCGAAGTTTCGACTTCCGTTTCCTCATCCCCTGTGATATTAACAGTCACAATGAGAGTGGATCCGGCCTTGGTCTTAACAACCGTAGCTGGACTTTTGTATCCGAGTAGGTTTGAACAGTAATTTCTGAGGTCCAACTGAGCTATAATCTGCACTATTTTCCACACTTGCGTTGGGTTTGGCGTCTTTGGACATTTTGTTAGTCTGCTTTTCGAAAGGGGAAGGGATGAGCTGTCGTTGGAGGTATCTTCATTATTAGAGCTTATTGTAAGGGCCTTAGAGGTTTCTTCATCATCTGGGCTAGTAATTAATGAATTAGAAGAGGTACTGGAAGGGGAAGATACTATGGCTTGAGGAATTGTAGTGGTGGGAGTTGCTGTCAGCCCGCTAGGCGGTATTACGCTATTCGTGGTGACTATCGTTGACGTGAGAAAATTTTGAAGAAGTGAAGTACTTGGATTTTGCTTAGAAAGTTTGATGTGGCTGAACCCTTCTGGAAATGCCGCTTTTGTCGGCCCCATAAACAACCAAGATACCGAATCCACATCAGTAGACACGTACCAATCAAACCGACTATTATTTTGGCCCTGTTCGAAGAACTCGAGAAAACCATCTTTTATACTAAATCTCGAAGTTAAATCATCAAAAGATATATTTGTTTTGGGGCCGTGAATCACTTTATAATATTCACTCGCTTCGTCGCGTTTGTGTCGCGTTTGGTTTTGATCGACAATTCGTAGGAATACAATGTCATTTGGATCATCTCCGCTGGTAAGATATCCATGATGATGCAAAATAAACATTGGAGGAACTGCTCGCTCGGGGTCTGGTATGACTGGTCCGATTATTATCGTGCCCTCCGGGCCAAATTGCACGAAATGGTCCGATCCCGCACTTTCAAGCATAAACGGTGAATGATGGTTTATAGTTGTGTGGGTGTCTGAAAGAGAGCTAGAGGGGATATTATTATCCGAAGAAGAAGAATCTAAATCGATTTCTTCACCAATACTTTCTGTTGTTGTAATAGTAGTAGTCGGACCATCGCTAGAAGTAGTGTCAGGAGCCGTAGAGGCTGACTGAGCGACCGATCCCTGGCTCGTCAGGACTCTGTTCTTCGTGTTGACCGCATTAAGTTTTGTACTAAAACTATTGTTGTCTAAGGTTTCAGATTCACCTATAGCGCTGTTCTTCGTCGCCGTAGTCGTCGTCGTAGTGGCACCATAGAAAGATGTTGATGTCGTTGTAACCTGATTATCGGAGAGTATTAATGCCGCCGTACTATTAGAGGTGGATAGGAAGAATAATTGTGAGCTTGAACGTGAATTGGATGCCCGTAGTACTTCGTGGCACAAAGGGAGCCCAAGGGAAGAGCATTGGGCTTCGTCCGTAACATAGACAGTCACAACAGGGTGCACTGTCTCATATATAAGCGTGGACTTCGTGACATATTTTGTTTTCGGTGCTAGCGCTAGACCGAGCGATATAAAATATATGATGAAGAGCGCTAAGATAAGGAGAGCCGACATGATGCATGGTTAGAAGCTAGAAGAAGCCCCGGCTATTAGAACAGGCGATTCGAGCGTCTTCCTGTTCAAAGAAATTTAAGGAGTCTTGATGTCATGAATATGTTTTTGGGCAGCAATAAGACTTCATATTTGACTAGCCTCGAGACCAGGCGCAGAATATTTGACCCAATCTCCTGTACAGAATCAGTATCATATTTGCATGTTTTTGTGGAATTTTAAGACATGTGGCCCAGGATGCCATGTGTTAGATCATGTAGAGCTTGACCAGTTGGAATGTGTTGTTGAGTAAAATACAACAGTCTCGAAGTGGCTTAGCCTTCCCGATTAGGACGTCGGCGACCACGGATGGCTTTGCCTGGCTTAGCTTAGGGCTAACGTTCCTTGAGGATTCAGTTTCCCACCGTTGGCGTTCAAGCTTTTCGTGGCCATGACATGATCGAGATGAAATGACTCTGTGAATCGATGGTGGACTCCATATGCTATCTGGGCAGGTTTGCAGAAATTGTGGTCAATGCAACTGCGGTCATTGTCCGGTCTTGGCTGATGCCATGTTCGTCAGCCTTGCAGCGTGAACGGAATGTCAACATCCCGCAAGTCGTGTCAAAACCAAGGAATCCAAGCTTTTGCTGGGCTTCTTGGTGCACGGGAACCAGCTCAGTTCCGACGGGATTGGCGACTTGCGAAAAGACCCTGAAATGTTAAGTTATGCGAACGTTCTGTTTTCCTTTTGAATGTTGAATCATCGAAATCCCAATATGAGATATACCAAGCGCCTCTCACAATTGTCGACGACGGCTGCTTGCCCAGCAGCTGCTTGACACCTGGCTGGTCCCCCTTTCGAACGGCTTGTTCCAGTATCTGACGTCTGATCTTTCCTTGCTTGGCGCTGTTTGCAAGGGAACTGCGGGAAAATCTGGAACTCGTTACGGTCAAATTAAAACATCGCGTCGAACCAATTGGCGATTTGGATTGCAATTCGTGAAGTCTAGTTCAAGGTTGTGGCGTGCAGGGCTAGGCTTCTTTTAAAACCCAAGTCAGTCCCCCAAGCTCTTTGCTCCGAAGTAGGGATTTCTTTTTACCTAATACTCGAACTTATCGAAGAAGAAGACTCAATTCCAGGACCAGCAGACCTTTTCTGCGCGTATTTAGGACATTGTTTTGTGGGATTCGGGAATACAACACCACGCTTTCCGTAGTACTGATATATCCCTGCCTTCAGACGACATCAACTTTTTGAAGGAATACTAAGCCGTTAGAACTGGATAACGCTGTTATTGTGGACGAAGGAGCGTAACGACGCCGTTTGGTGCACATTTTCATCCGATGGCTACCCCCGGCGACCTCGAAAATGGGCCTAAAGAGCCTGAAGTTACAGCCCCTACAGTTTCAACGGAGAGTGAACTCCCACTACCTGTAGCGCCTCGATCCTCTCAACACCATGACCCAGGTCTATGGAGAAATCCATTATTCCGTCGAAGAGGTCAGCATGAGACATTCGCAGGACTTACACCAGAGGAAGCCCAGGAAAAACATGAAAGGAGGTTGAGAAAAGGTGCTCAGCCTAAGCCTGCTCGGTTTAATCCCGTTAAGGCAACAAAAATCACAATTAAGAGTACCTCGACATTGAGTTCCTGGAGTAACATTTTGTTTCCGGCTATTCCTGCTGGTATTGTGATGTGGTACACTAGTAGGGATACGCATCCGCTGGCTGTATTTATTCTGAACTTCATTGCAATGGTGCCAAGTGGCAACCTTCTGGCTTTTGCAAGCGGAGAGCTACAAGCGAAACTACCAAAGGTAAGCGTTTCTGCATAGGCGCAAGCTAGATAATATGTTGTCTAATGTCTAATAATATCAATATAGACTATTGGGGCCACTCTCGAGATTTTTACAGGCGCTGTCGTCGAGCTCATTGTTTGTTTGATCCTTCTCATCGATAAGCAATACGACGTCGTCCGAGCCGCTCTCCTAGGATCTATGCTTGCCAATCTACTTCTAGTTACCGGTGCATGCTTCCTCGTGGGCGGTATTGCCTACCGCGAGCAAGATATCGCAGAATACGTAACAGAAGTATCCGGAGCTGCTTTGTTAGTTAGTGCTGTTGGAGTTATCCTCCCCAGCCAGTTCTACCAGGCAATATATACACGGGCAGACATTGGCGAACATGATGCTTCGCTTCGAGTCGTTGATGTTAGCCGTATTGTCAGTATTGGGCTCCTGATTGCATACGTCTGGTTAGTATCATACGGCCGGGTCGATTTAGGAGTGCTGAGCTAACCCTAACGTAGTTTCCTCTTTTTCCAACTCAAAACTCACAGTACCACGTTTCATCATGTTCTTGAACAGGCAGAAAAAGCAGATGCAGATGGTCACAAGGAGAGATATCGCCGAAAGCTTTCTCTTCTAGAGGCGATATTCCTTACCCTTGTCGGATTGACCTTCGTCTCATTCTGCGCCTACTTCATGGTGCAGGAGATCCCGTACATCGTGGAAACGAGGCACATTTCGGATCCTTTCATGGGTTTGATTTTGGTTCCACTCATCGAGAAGGCTGCAGAACATTTGACAGCCTTGGATGAAGCTTGGGATAGTAAGTACTTAAACTAAGATGGTGCATGATAATTATCCCACTAACAGCATTATAGGACAAATGGACCTTGCTCTATCCCATTGTCTCGGTGCAACCGTCCAAACAGCTCTTCTCGTCTCTCCCATCGTCGTTATTGTCGGATGGGCAAAAGGACTGAATATGGATCTTAACTTCGAGTACTTCATGGCATTCTCCCTTCTCCTATCCGTCCTAGTCGTCGGCAACTTTATCCGAGACAGAAAGACGAATTGGCTGGAAGGGAGTTTCTTGCTTATGGTCTACTTTATTGTTGCCGTAGCTGCTTTCTATTACCCCAATCCCGAGGGCCACGGTGCAAAAGTTGACTCTGGTGAAGGGGAATCTCACGGGGCGAGTGTGGGTGAAGAGTCGCATGGGTCTGAGACTACGAGCGCTTTACTGGAGGCGGCTACGTCTGCAACAGTAGAGCATGTCAAAAGGATTATTATGGGGTGATGACAGGTAGGCGGTAAGTGTAATTGACGGCTTTGAGGATCGCACATGGCTAGGAGAGGGCTTTGGGTGTTTTTTGGACCCACATCGGCATGCATTCAGCGCTTTGCATTTATTATTTTATTTCATCGTACACACAAGCATAGCCCTTTGATTTTATGTTTTGATCTATCACGAAAGTACTTCTTTGTAATGCCTATCCGTTTAATACTAATATAATACCGAGTTGAGAAGGGTCATCAATACAGTGTGCCGAAGCGTTTTAATATAAGACTACATAAATATAATGCAATAGTCACTTTTAGCCTATAGCTGGCTGGTCGACCAGTCTCGAAGACTGAATACTGAAGACCTGTCGAGGCCCCGCTTACCCTGCCGATTCTTGTGTAACTGGGGCCGGGCTACCGCAACACAAAAAATGCAACACAAGGTTTGCCTAATATATCCAGAGCAGCGCTAGGAGCAGCTGAGAGATCCGAATCAAGGGCTATGGTACTGATGTTATGTAGAGCGTAGAAAGTAGATATATATGGGAATAGAGTTAGAGATTCATTACCTAGCAATACATACAGGCATAGAGAGATGGCTGTTGCTGAGACTGGGCCTCCAGACCAACTGGTTCTCTGAATTGACTTGTTGCCATTGTTCTTGTTGTCATGGCTGGGAATGAGTAGACTTAGTGGATGGGGGTCTGGGGGAGAGCTGAGGGGGCAATGGTTGTGGAGGTGGAGGTGAGAAGGTGTGGGTGTTTATTTTTTCTTTATTTTTTTTGTTATTTCCGAACCGCCGTCAGTAGAGACACATGTTACTTGTCTACTGGCGGTGGTTCGGAAAACTGATAATGAAAAGTGTTTTCTGTACTCTTGAGCTTTCTATATAATTTTGTTTTCGTGATTCTGTAGACTGTAGTAACGTGAAATCTTGAAACCCTAAGTATAATTCGCAGACTTAAAGAGTAATCTATCACCACCAAACATCCAAAAGAGGCAATAAGTCTGTAGTTGGCACTATCATTCTGGTTCCCATTGGTCTATTAATTTTGATTATTTGTTGATATATACTTTAGATGCTTTACATATAACTCGAAACGAAGGAGCCTAGTGCTATCTTACTGCATACTAGCACACTTGAGATTCATCCTGACATCCTGACATCAAACCTTCAAAAGAATGGTTGTATCTCCTTTTTGCAACGATTATTATGGTCGGGCAGCGTTCCATTTTGGAAATAAGCTAGAGCATGACGGAATGCGCAGGTATTCCTAGTGAGGAAAGCCGTATGCTAGAAAAAGTCATCATATCGTTAGTTCCAAGGTCCGAGCTCTAGATCTACAAATCTAAAAAGGGATTCATGTATTTACCGCTATTTCGTCGACATAGAACATCTTTGCCCCCTTAAAGAGCTTTCTGGCCTTCTCAGAGCTATGAAATTCAAAATGTCAGTTAAAATACCCATCAGAAACCAAGTATCGGCAGACGTACTTTTCAAAAGGAGTAATAGGATCCAATAATGTTCCCGCAAACAAAATCGGAGTTTTAGTCGCACCACCAACAGGTCCATACCACTCCCACGAAGGTCGTATTTGCCACTGCGAGCACTGTATCTTGGCCCCCAATTTCGAGACACCACCGACCCTACTTGCCAATTTCCAAGCCTGTTCTTCAGCTGGAGTTATCTCTAAGCCGCGAATATCTCTCGCATCTGTACACGAAACTTGAGTAAAAGACTCTGGAATAGTCGTTACGGGAGCATAAGTCGTAAGTCCCATCTTCATCTGAAGTTCAAAAAAGGCCGCTTGTAAAGCTTCAAGGTCCCACTCTGCTGGATTAGGGACTAATATTGGCTCTGCGGCGACAAAGAAGTCCGATAGATGAGGCCAGGTTTCGTGTGCTCTGTAAATAGAGTTGAAGATGAGTAATTTTAGAGTTATGAGGATACTAGAGACCACGGGTGCGTATTCCTTCCCCTCTAGTTCGTACTTTGTTGCATTTAACCTTGAGGTGATTGTATTAAATCTATCGCGGAGATAGTGAGAATTTCTCGTCACGGGGACTTTTCCTGTACCAGAAGGGCTCCTGGCAGTGTAAAAACTACACCTTTCCGGACCGGCGTTGAAACACGAAGAGAAAAATAGTGACCATGCTTTGTCAGCGTGTGTAACAGTCGTGTTCACATCGCTATGAGAAATCCATGTTTCGGCGTCTACTACTCCGTCCAAGAGGAATCTTCCAACGTTATTGGGGTAAAGAGTTGCGAAATATTGGCCGAGAAGTGTACCGTAGCTGATACCGTAGAAGTTTACTAGGGTGGTGTCTTCGGGTTGGTTTCCTCCTCGAGCGAGAGCTTTGCCTATAGATAGCATATCCGTGGCTACGACAACGGTGTTCATATGTGGTCCTGCTTGGTTGTATTGAGAGACGTATTCTTGACAGGCGGTATTGAATTGAAATGCCGTTTGGTAAGCCTGGGGCTTCCAAGATGGTGGATCATCAGGTATTAGTATTCCATAGGAGACCTCGTCGTTATTGGGTGGAAGTTTAGTTGCACGTCGTCTGGATTTTAGTTTAGAAGGAGCCTGGAATAAAGTTGTCGCATTTTGACGTTCAGGCTCAACCGAATATGGTATAATATCACAACTTCCGTATGGAACCGAATAACCGATACCTCGAGGATCGAAGCCTAGAATATCCCATCCGGGGCCAATGATATTCGACCTGATTTGTCTGGCGGTTGGGACATCGTATACTGTTTCCGAACCTAAACCACCTGGACCACCCGGATTGATCAAAACCGAACCCTTGTATGGGACATCCTTATCCGCAGGATATTTGATGATTGGGATTATGGCGCGGAGTCCATTATTGGGTTTTTTGTAGTCTAGGGGAACGCTGAGTCTTGCGCATTCGAAAGGGATTTCGGTAGTTTCGTTACTACAGGGGTACCATTTTAGATCGACGGTTGCTGGGATCTGATAGTTGCTTCGTTAGCTTAGAGATCTTAATGGTTTTTTGTACATACTGGGGACTATATAACTGGGGCTATATGATAGACTTACATTTTCGAACAACCGCTCTCTTGGAGCTTGTCTTTTGAGGAGAAATGGATTATGGGCATGTGCATTGCCCAAATCTAGACATTCGACTCCATAGAGAAGGACCAAAGCAAGAAAGGTCTTTTGCTGCATTGCGTCGGATTATTTGATTGAAGATAACCTGACTCCCAATCACGCCGAAGTGAGATTGTAGATAGACGTCCTAAATCAAGACCCCGTAAATATAGGATTTAAAGAATATTGCCCCAAGGCTAGAACTGAGGACACACACTTATATAGGCCAATACCAAGGTCGTGATTTTATAAGATTTAAATCATCAATGGAAATTCAGGATGACCTACTTACGTAACTTCAATCCCTAGGGCTTCGTAAGTTCGCGCATGGTTATTGCGCCCTCGAATTCCTCGACAAGGCTAGGTTTTAGTATCGATACCAGCGGCTTAGATACGACCACGTCATTGGTAGCCGCAAGTTCGAATTCGCGGTAGATTGATAATAGCATTGTAGCCTAGTATTCCGAAATCTAATCAATCTTAAGATCGCGATGAGTCGGACCCCGAAATCTCGGCATCCGGGCGCGAACGTGTGGAAGGGCCATCAAATTGGGGCGAAGTCGGCCAAATCCTAGGTATTGGCTGCGAAATCGGGCTTTGATACGTAGCATGGTTGCATCAAGCGTGTGGAATGATTTTATTGTATAAATGTAACACTTTCACTCGCTAAGATTAATATTTTGTACCTTGTCGCTCAGGTCGAAGCGTCTGATTGTGGGGTCGGGAGAATGGAAGGTCCTACTGAGTATTAGTTCGCCCGAAAACCCGATCTGGAAAACTCGCAGTGGGGCTCTGCCACGGCTAGCTAGCTGCCTCTCCTGGTTCTAATCTTTCGCTAATCTTTCGCCGAGAGATAACTGGAGGTTCTTGAGGTCTTCTAGAACGAAAGGGGGGACAGATAGTTCCATTCTTCGATCCTCTGACATTTCGAAGAGAAATGTCTTCAGTCGATCGTAACGTTACTTTGCTCTCTGTTTCTGATAGCCCTCTGACGAATATTCGCGTAGTACAAGGCTTCATTGCTGTTTATTCTGCGAACAAGGTTTTTTTTTAGCAGGGTGTACCTGGAAGGATGAGGCTTAGACTCGGGTGCACCCGTACCTTTCCTCCGACGTTGGTTGGCATTAGGTAATTCACAGGAAAAGAATTTCTAGCTTGGGAGAAGGAACCCTGTTCATCGATTGTAGAATGTGCGAATACCGCCGCGTCATATTTTCTTGTGATAATTTTATCAGATAATGTGTACTTACCTAGTATATACTTGTCCCGGTGCCGCAGCGCACAGGAATGGTTAACTTTTGTTGCGACTGGTCTGGGGTTATGCCTGTTACTCGTCCATTGAGTTGCTTGATCGGGGAATATAAGAAGGCTGAATCATAAAGATTTTAACTATAATAAGGGCTCGCGGTTACCTGCTTAAAAAGAAGCTCCGAGGACGAGATATTGATGAGCCCCATTCAATTGATCAAGAGATTATGTATCAAACATCTTTTCTTACGCTCTTTCTCGAATTTTCATTACAAAATATCTAAAATTAGTCGTTACACAACAACACACGTTCCCCCGAAATACCACACAGTTAACCTGCGTGTCCAACGTCACTATTTCCCATTGTTGATCGACCTTCCTTCCTTCATTCATATTAGCAGCCTACCGAACCGAAGAGGTTTTTTTTTGTTTTTGAGATAATATTCGGGTATAACTGTGAAGTTGGGGGTGGGGATAAATAACGGGTAGATTTATAAGACGGAAGGCTTTTACAGGATGACCAGCTTACTTAGTCAAGTTTGCAAATGACGCCCTATAATATATTAATATTATTACTATTCTTCAACCCATAGGGAGTTAATAGAATCTTCGAGTTTATGAGTATGATGGTGAAAAATCAACTTGGCTTCGCGCGATAGTTTCTTGCTACTATAAAAAAAAATCAATCTTTCAACCTGTATTGGGGCTCCTTCGAGCCGCGAGATATATCCTACTACTTGGAATCATATGAATAATCATGCACGTTGCGTTTCTCTGGCTGGGATCTAGAGCTATAGAGAGCCAGTTGCAAAACGTGAAGTAAGAAATAGCGCAATTTGCCCGGTCGATCCAACTTTGGTCTCAAACAAGACCCAATACGTACCCCAGGCAGATTCAGATCTATGAACGGTTTTCCAAGATCACTTAAACGGTTCGTCCAAACTCATGTTTTGGGGCCAAATCGGCAAAAGAATCACAATTTGTTTGCACCTTAGGACTTAACTCACTTGATTTCGGCAGCTCCCCACTTTCAGCCTCAATCCTGTTGTACCTAAGTGCCGAAGGGAAAATTAAAACATTGTGACGGGTTTCATCCTGTCACAAAAGAAATTCAGTTCAATGAGAACTACGAGTATTCCACTACTATTATATTCCCCAAAATAAGAAAATACTGCGTAACAGTCGCGGTGGTTGCGAATATTGACCATCATGCATCACCGGGCGTGCAGCTTGCAGAGCGGCAGATATGCATGCCCATATTTCTACAGGGTCCAAAATCCCTTTCAGGTGTTGCAATTCGTTGTCAGCCTCTTGTGCCTATCCTGGACTGGATATGCCATGCAATGTGGCGTATCCTGCTTAAGCTTAGTGGTGCGCACGTTCGCTAGAAAATGGTGACACCACCAGCAAGGCCGAAAAAAACATTCGAATATAGACAAGTTTGGTGATATTGACATATTTAACTGGAGGAAACAATTTTGTGGACGGCTTGCATGATGAGAGCCCTGCCGGCTGCCGCCCCGGCTAGATAACGGTTTGAAAGAAATAGGGCTGCACGATATCGCTAAAGTTCAGCAAAGGATCCGGATATATCCCTCAGATTCTTCTGAATCAAAATGTAGTCGACCTGCTTGCTGGCTCAGAAAAGCTTTTGTTCTCAGTCCGAACTATCGTCCAAGGTACATATATATAATGTGATTTTTAAGAAGAATTTCGGTGCCAAAGACAAGACTGTCACTCAGAAGCATAGTTAGTCTGACTCTATAGATCTCCCGCCGCACTCGTCTATACATGAGATAGTTTCGAAAGGGAAGAGAAATATTACGTCTGCCTATCGTGCATAAGCCATGTTTTGAATTTGTGCTCGAAATATGGGAACAGGCACTCCGTCATTGCATTATAGCGAATACAAGTAATGGGACGCCACCGGGATGTATTCGGATCTGTTTTAATATTATAGAACGGAATAAAGTGCCGTTAGAATGTATAACGAGATTTTATAGATGCATTCTTGAGGCAATAAAATTTGACCAAAATCCATCCTGCAACATTTGATAAAAGTACAACTCTGTCTAGAAGTTCCGTCATCGGAATAGCACCAAGCTATAACAGGAACCCAGTATTCAAGTTCGCTAGTTGTCGTGGATCTGGTATTATCAGCCGTTAGTTTGGGTATTGGTGCTGTCCAAGGGGTGGAAGGATCCTATGCATGACATGCGAATATGGTTGTCCGTATAATCGGTTAATCGGTTTGTGGGTAACAATCTCCTAATTAACAACCTCAAACCATATTCATTGCCAAGCCATACTCTTTGTCCATCTCAGGATACAAACTGTGGGACGGGACCCATTTCGTCCGTGCCAATTGTTTAACGATCCTCCTCCGACATACCGAAATTTCCTCGGAAAAAGCAGGTTGGTATGAGAAGCGAAACACACAATACCGTGCATATGCATACCTGGATCTTTCGCTTATTGCATTTGCAGGAATTCCGGTATCAATTGGCTAGCAGTACACGGCTTTATCGATAGCCCTTATCAATTACTAACTAGCCTCTTCTAATATAATGCAGTTGTATGGGTGGGTAAGTTTAATTAAGTTTGCAAATATCAAGGGCGATAATTGGTCAGCCTCATATACCCTGGCTTACGCCCCTCTATATCAGAACTGCTCGTCAATATCACAATTCTGAGAAAGCCTTCTCGTTTTACATAATGCATATAGGGACATTGAAAAATCCAACATGAGGCCTCCACACAAACCTTCACATAGTATGAGGGTTTAGTCTCGAAGCCAGACGCCGGGTCAGCCACCAAAAAAATGAGGGTTATACAGTCTGGGAAATGCTGTAACGGCGTATTCGATGGAGCACTGTAATGCAGCGCAGCCAAGGTCGACTATAGGAAATCATATCTCAGTCTCGGCTCAGGACTATTCGTAAGTTCGTCAGTTCTTGCACTAAGAAAGTGGAGAATGCCCAGAGACCAGTATTGTTCTCTATAACTCCCTATTGGAGTTTGCCGTGTGTGGGTTAGCAATGGCTGGGAGGGATTACATTAATAGTTCCAAACTCCCGCTCTGGAGATAGGTTTTAATGTTTTGTAGCCATCCATTTTGTGTATTAAATTATACAAACCTCAATAACCATATACTAACTTGCGAAGGTATGGATAAATCGGTAGCTACCATGGAGTCGGGGTCAAGAAAAGAAGAGCACGGAGTCCCGCTGAAACCACTAAAGGGACTTAGGGCTTTTATTTTCTTAATCGGACATTCGGTTTTCTGCATCGCTCTAGCACTGGTGGTTGCTCTCGCTATAGACGGGTATCAAGCTATCGACACCTCGACCCATAGATATGTGGGTGGGAGGCTCAGATTACATGTCAGCGATGTCACAACATTCGTTTCTGTAGGCCTAGTCCTCGTCAAGTTGTTCGTCAGCTCATGGTCGGTTATTGCCATATGGGATTGTGCCTGTCAACTTAGCAAGAACAAGGAGTTCGGTGACTTTAAAATCGGTGCCCCCGGGTCAGCTAAAGAAACCGAAGCTGCCGAAGATTTCGAAATCACCAAGGTCGCTGCTACAGATCAAACGGCTGAGGTTAATGACGGTAGCAAAGCCAATACCACTGACGGCACCGTTACTGATGCTGGGGCTGAACGGGTATCATTTATGCTGTCATGGCGTGTACCTCCATGGTTCATGTTCCCCCCCAAGCTACCTAAGCAAGGCGGTAGCTGGGTTATTCTACTGGCATTACTCTTCATGCTACCCCAGCCATTCCTTGCGCCTCTACTCTCCGGCTCAATCGATTGGGCCTCATCATCCACGCTAGGAGATAAAAGCCAAAACATAAGCTCGGTTTCTCCCACTGCCAACTTCAATCTATGGTACTGGTACAATGTCGGAGGATATATTCATAACTCTCACTTGAGGCGGGCGGCAGGTTATGCGGCACTGGCCTGGGCTAATCCAGCAGCAGCCGCGAAAAACGGAACCTCAATCACCGGGAACGGATGCCGTCATGTCATGAATGATGACGGCCTGCCAGTCAACTCGACAGTATATAACGTTACAATCCCCTGCATTCGGGTACACAGCATCTCCTGGGCGGTCAGCGCTGAAGAAGTCTCATCGGCTGATGTTGAGTTGATTACTGGCGGCGAATCCAAGAGACTCAGCCAGATAAGTGAGGATCTGAGTTTATATTACACCGAGGGGGCAACGGTCGTTTTCGATGCCAATAAGACGTACAGGGTCACCGATGACACCTCGGTCCTACCTTCTTCCACCTTATTTTCTGGTACTAAATCTGTCGGCCTCTTACTCACCCGTCAAGACATAACGAGGCCTCTCTGTCGAGGTCTCCAACCCACCATTTTCGGCCCCGGAAACAGATATGACAAATATTACAATCCTCCCGACCATAATGACTTCCATCAAAACTGCTATCTTGTTGGTAAAATCGAATTTACAGCGGGGGTCACCACTAGCCGTCTCAGCAAATACATCGCCCCACGTATCATCGAAGATTCGACTCCTATCGATGAAGTCATTTTCGAGCCAGACCCATGGGTTCAAGAAGCAATCTGGCTTCTGCCTGACCTCATGACTATGCTATCCAACCTGAACTCCTCTCTGCTCCCAACATGGGATAATATAGATGGGTACACCGAAGCTTTGCTTAGGCAGGCGTACCTCGGGGCATGGGATGCTTTCCACGGCGCTTTTCAACCAGTTGGTCCTTCGGTCGTTGCTATACCCCAAGAACAGAGGATCGTTGCCAGTGTATCGTTCAAAAGAGTTTTCGGATGGCTGGCCGGATGTTTTTTGGTTCCGGTGGCCGGCATCCTATTGCTAACCGGTGGGGGGACAGTGAATTCAGATGAAGTCGGGGAAGCTTTAAATAGCATAGTATATGAGTTCTTGTCTCAGTCCGGTGGTGGATGAGGAAAGAAAGAAGCATGAATGGGAATTTATGAAAGGGTTTAGTGAGAGTTATGATTAGGTTGTTGACTGAGAATTCAACCCTATAGGTGGAGTTATATCAAGATAGGTTTTAACAGATCTTATAGCTATATAGTAACATTCTAAAATCTATTTGTCGATTTTATCAGCAGTCCTTTTTGTCTAACAAACTATTCTTTTGTTTAGAGGATAGCATTACTGTTATAAGATAGTGGCCTAAAGAGATACCGAGTCCTAATGTTGAATCCTCCGTACTATAAATGCCCAACGAGAAATCTAATGTTTTCTACTATATAATTAATAAGGCAATTCAATTCAGTCGCGGTAAGAGACTCGGGTCATTTAAATTATGGTTGTATTAAATTATTGTACGGAATACATGCAAGTTAAATTTCAAAGCAATGCAAAATCGTAGTGGGATGCAATAGGGCAAGGAGGCAGGATATTATGACTCCTTATACGTGCAAAGGCAACTTTATTATCTCTATAAGATTAACGAGGTAGAACAATATTAAGTAAAGTTAGTCAACAGCTACCGAGCAGCTATGCTGATAATAATAGCGGTGGCATAGGTTCAGTTAATATAATGCGGACGTCTAAACGTTCGAACTCGATTTTCAGAAAGTGAGAATAAGAAGAGAGAAGAAAAAGAGGAAAATAAGAAAGAAAAACTAGAAGAGGGAGACAAAGCAAAAAAGGACGAATATAAAGAAGAGAAAAAGGTAAGGAGGGAAGTGGAAAAATAGAAAAAAGGAAAAGAGGAAAAGAGGAAGAAAAGAAGAAAGGAAAAGAGGAAAAGAGAAAAAGTTAGAAAAAGAGGAAAAGTTAGAAAAAGTAGGAAAAGTATGAAAAGAGACAAGAGAGGAGGAAAGACAAAGGAAGAAAGACAAAAGAAGTAGAGCGAGAAAAGAGGAATAGAGGAAAAGAGGAAGAGAGACAAAAGGAGAATAATGGAAGGGAGAAGGAAGAAAAGGGGAAGAAAAGAAAAGAGATGAGGAAATGGAAAGAGTTTCCCTAGTCTATAAATTAAGAGCTTGGTTCGCGAGGCCCTGGACGACTGCCAGCATCTGGACGAGGTGGGTTTCTAGGTCTATCCTGAGCCAACGAACTCCCCCAACTCCGATAAGCATCTTCAATCCTCGCATCCATACTTCCAGTGGGTCCCACCACACGCATATTATGCATAATCTCCATTGTCGGGAGCTTGCCGTCTGTATCTCTCCTCCTTTCAGCAGCGGCGGCGGCGGCAAGTCTTTCAGCTCGTTTTAAATTCTCTGGTAGCAACGGCGGGAGCCTGGTACCAGTATAATCGACCGAGGGTCGATTTGGATGTGGGAAGAGGAGGTCCCTTGGTATAGGTGGTAATTGTTCTCGAGGGCGTGGGTCTGCATCAATTTGATCGGATGGAGGCGTAGTGAAGAAGCTTGTGGGTACCCCTGGTGCCGGTGCTGGGTATTGCGGATCAAATCCCATTTCTTTGGCAGGGGGTTGCTGTTGCATAGGAGGCTCTACGGCACCAATATCTCTTGTATTGGGTGAGTCTAGTGTCGTCCAAGCTGGTGGAGGACGAGGTTGAACTGGGTCAGCTCGGGCTTTCCCTTGTGCTCGCCCTGTAGCTTGCTCTTCTGGTGAACCTCTCGTCATGATTGCGAAACTTTGGTGATGTATAAAAATAGTAGTATCAACTATGAAAGTGGTTGATGCTATTCTGGTTACGGTTGTTACATTGGGGTGGAGCTGGTTGTTATTTGTAGGAAAGAACTGGTGGAAATGACTTGGAATGTACGTATGTAGATGGTTGGAGCTATTTCTGACATGATCTTAGTGTCTGAAAGGCTGATCGACGCTGCATATTGGTAGATCTACGAGGCAATCGATTGTTAACGCGACTGTGACCAGAGTAGGTATCGCGATATCATGGACTCCATGTTTTAAGTGAAGTGGGCCTTCAGACTCAATTAAAATATATTCCAGCAAAAACAGGCAACTGCCTAAGTACATAAACATGAAAAGACGCTCGCCCAGCGGTTAATATTCACTATTTCCCTCTCTGATTTAATGCTCGTGAAGCAAATTTCAGGGTCGTCGAATTCGAATGCCCTACATAAAACAAACAAAACAGCAATCTGCGTGCAATATGCTGAAAGGGTTCACTAGATTTTTTTTAGTAACCATCGCCAGCCGCTTTGCCAGCCGGACGACCTTCAGTAACTATGTCCAAGACTCTGTGATCCCCATATTGGGTGAGCTCGCCGGGGTTGTTTGAAATGGTGGCGGAACATTCAACAACAGAGATCTTTAAGGTATTGAGGCTCTGGCGTGGGATCTCCCTTCCATTCGGCTAATTTCCCCACGTGTTAGTTAACAATTGAGAACAATATAAAGTGAACTTTGGGAGGGATCAACATACGTCAGTGATACGCCAGTGCAGATGTCGTTGCAAATACGGGATAACCTCCTCGGGAATCAGGCTATTCAAGCCATTTGCTGAGTCTTCAACGTCGTCAAGAAGGGCGTTAGTGAGAGACACCTGACCCGTAACGATAGTGTGGTCCTGGGATTGAGTTTCGCAGTTGGAGCAAGCGCTTCCGTCTCCACGCTGAACACCGGCGACAAAGTTATAGATTCCACCGACACGATTCTTGTCCCACATCCAAGTTGCTGGGTCCGGGTTGAAGTCTCCAAGGAAGATGTGGACTGTGAATGGACGACCACCGAGGTCGAATCTATATTTCTAAGGTTAGCGGCTTGATACTTGGGGTTTCTTTGGTTGTTACGCAGTTTACCTCTCAAATCGGATGTTTGCATCGTATTCGTGGTAAGTAAGCGACTCTCCTGAGCCGAAACTTTGTTGGCCCAAGCTCATATCACCGAATCCACGGCTCAATTCTCCTTCTTGACCAGGTTCGTCATCAATACCACGGGTTCCAGGTTGGCCCGGCTGCTTCTTAGAACCAAGACGTTCTTGGGCCATATGAATACCGCCTCCAATAATACCACCAAATTTAGTAGCAAGAGCAGTACCACTGCTGCCAGGGTTTCCTGGAGTGTGAGTGGGCTGTTGATGCTGTTGTACAGGCTGCTGGTGGCCTTGAGCGGCTTCACGGCCTGCAGTAAGGGCTTCACCAAAGTGCAGTTTAGCAGAGGACATAAGGCCACTGAGGCCGCTTTTCTTGGGTGGTGGAGAGCTATGCTGTCCCTGTGGGGTATGGCCGCCTGGTCCTTGCTGGGGAGGCGCAAATTGCTGTTGCTGTTGCTGTTGCGGTTGTGGAGTGAATTGCTGTTGCGGCTGTGGAGTAAACTGCTGTCCGTGGGAATCACCAGTCGGTGGCGGCGAGAATGCCTGAGTTGGCGGAGGGGAGAATTGTGTCTGTGCAGGTGGTGACGTAACCGCCTGTCCGTGCTCCTGCGTAGGAGGAGGGGCGAATTGCTGCTGATGAGTCGGCGGCGGCGAGAACTGTTGCTGCTGAGTCGGCGGGGGTGGGAACTGTTGGCCCTGAGCAGTTTGAGGAGGAGGAGAGGTAAATTGCTGTCCCTGAGTGGGCAGCGTCGTTGGCGGGGTGAATGGTTGTCCTTGAGACTGGGCTTGGGCTTGGACTGTTGGTGGAGGGGCGAAGGCCTGTTGCCCGCCGGAAGGAGGGGGACCAAATTGCAACTGCTGACCGGGCCCTTGTGTTGTCGGTGGGGCCGCAAACGACCCGCCTGCAGTAGCGGAACTGCCTTGGAATGTCTGGGTGCCGGTCTGGGTGGCAGCAAAAAGGCGATTTCGTGGAACTTGAGTGTTCTGGACACGCCTTCTGACTCGCGAATACAAGTCGGTGACCTGTGCAACAACATCGTTACGATATAGCGTTGCGTTAAATTCACCAGTGGAATCTCGGTATTGAGGAAGCCATGGTTGCAATTCAGGGTACGAAGAGCCAAACCTAGTCCAATTGCGGACGTCATTGGAATTGTAGACGCTGCCTCTGTCGTCCTTATGGAATGGAGCTAGTGGAGTGTCAGCATTTTCGCGAGAACCTGCAGCAATCGACCAAGTTCCTCGTTCGTCTCGAAGTTGTGCTGATTGTGCATTAAACCAAGCATCAGGATATCGGCCGGTATCAGCGTAGATAGCTTGCCAGATGGCAAACAGACGATCCACGTTGCAGTGGTGGAGCCAGAAAATAGGATCTGAGGAATACAAGTTAGCAAGTATAAAAAAGCATCAATGAATTGGTAGAATCCATACCAAAAGATGAAACTCTGAGTGTGCGAAGTTAGGTATATTAGCTAACGTAGATTTTTAATTTTAATGTCAGGTTCATACGACTTACGTATTCCAGCTCATATGTCCACCCCCTCCTGTGATGCCGTGGATTTCATTGTGAATCGATTCGAGAGATTGGTAGCTAAGTGTTGGATAAGATTAGCCAGTGAGACTGGTATTTACTAGTATATTTACATTTCAAGTTTCATACCTGTTGGGCGCTGGGGGATTTGATTGTTGGGTGCTAGAGTACCAGGCATAATTGCTGGTCGTGAATGATCGGTAAACGTCCTCACCAAGAGAACTCAGATTCCGTAGTGCCTCCGTGATCGAGTCGTTATCAACGAATCCATTGGTCCACTGAGAAGAAACGGTGGGGTCGCGAGAATTGTATTGTGGTGGATAGCGGGAAGTTCCCATCGCGTTTGCGAACTACCAATCGAATGCTTATTAGTGACAATCCACGTAGTGAATCCTGGAGAATGGATGTTTCTATTACTGGAAAGAAATTTCCATCCTGGTCTTGGAAACTAGTAATTCCTTGTGTGGTGACAAATTTGTAGCTGTACAAGGGATTATCAATAGTTTCAAAAGGCCTGATAGTATCTCCAGCGGAAGTAGGAGTGAAGACTTGAACAGTAGGCAAGGTGCAAAGGTAAGGAACGTTCAAGGATCTTCTGCCCCCACGTTCCTTAAGTTGTGCACTGTCCCAGTATGGAATACGGAATGCTTCTGCGGCAGTCTGATATCGGGTTCGAAGCTCTTGGTCTGGATATGCTGCCGCAATTCGCTGCATAATCGAATGAAGGATTTGCTATAAATATCGAAATCAAGCGTTAACTATCTACGAAAGATTTTTCCTTTAGGTAGAAATTATATACCTCGAAGACAGCGAGATACGGCCGATGCCATGTTCTATTGTATCTTAAGTTAGACTAATATCCGGTCCGCGACAAGAAATTCGGCCCTGGGTTTTTATGCTTACGGGAAGAGGATTGATGCATGTGTACAATATCCTGTATTCAATAACTTGGTTAGTTTATTGGAATATAAAAACATATAGAGTAATAGGACCAATATACTGACCTCTCCACCTAGATCTTGGATTAGGACTGGTATTCTCATCCCACGGGATAAAAGGCTCCCCTTTTTTTAAGATAAATTAGTATATCTATCCAAGATACCAATATTGATACCATTCATACCATGAATCCCTACAACAACAAAAAATCGCAATTAGCCAAGGAATCTCAATGGATAAGAGAAGTAACGGTTGATCGGACTAACCAGCAATCTGGAAGTAAGAGAGCTTATCTGTCGCAGGCAACTGTTGGAAAGCAGCAAGCGCCTGGAGATATAAGTTCACCTGGTCAACATTGGCTGGGTTCGCAGACCAAGCATCAATCTCTTGACGAAGCGGGAGGGCTCCATCAGGGGCTCTGGTAGTTGGAATGCCCGTGATAGCGTATGGTGCTGATGCCATGTTGGAAACTGCAACGTCGTCGGATAATACACTAGTGAAGCTTACTATGGATATAGTAATCTTGGGTTAGCTAAAGTAACATTACCCAAGCGCATGCCCAGTAAAGATGATCGTGGGTTCAGTATTGGCAGAGTAAACATACTAGTGGGAAGTAGTTGAATAAATAGCAGATCGGATCCTCACGTAATCAGAACTACCGTACGTGATGAGTGCGAATATAGATCTTAGATGAGGTCGGCCTCGGCGGTACCGTTCCTTTTTAAAGTCCTCTTGTACCCGCGGGAAACCTCTTTCCCGTAGAGCAATCCTATTCAGTAGCTACCCCCGCTAATTCACGGATGTCGACATCCGAAAGACTTTTTGAACTGACAAAGCTTAGTCTATGAAACAACGAAACAAATAAATTCTGCTTTTTGCGGCTGAGGAATACCCACTTTTACTCAAGTTTAGTTATTTCGGAGTTACCTGTCGATAGCTGTCGTGATAGCTCTACCCCGCGCGTGTCGAATGAGGGGTTGGTCTAGCCGATGTCATCGTGCTGCCCACCCAATTTCAGCCCTAAACCGGGCCAAATCGACCGGGAATACTATCCCTCTCTCAGAAATTGTCCCGTTTACTGGTGCTGGTGCTGTTACATTACGACAGCCAATGAGCTCTGCAAGGCTGACTGCATGCTGATTGTGCCCCGCTGACGACGCGGCCTTTTGCAGGGCAGGTCGAAGCGTCTACAACACACAAATTGCAACAAACTACGACAGGGGTGGGTGGGTACGATTACGTATCTTACGGTTGCACAAAGTATAGGTTATATATTATATTCATGAGAGTACTTGCTGATTACAAGGATAAAAGTGCATGGCTGGTATCTTATTAGGAATTAGTAATTTTAGCTTTAACCTGTAGGTATCTACAATTGCAGGGAGTGCATTTCAGCTTTTGAATAGCGGCTAGCTGCTAATGAAGGTGGTGGTGGCTACATGACCGTGGGCCCAACTGATCTGGCATGGCTAAGGCTAAAAGCACCAATCCTTTGGTTGATACCGTTGCTTCTCTTCACACCCGCCAAATTACTATGTTGTACCACATCAACAACGGTGCCAAACGCAGTTCTTCCGCCGAGTTTCAAACTGAAGCGTTAGATTTGTAATGCATTTCCAACGACATCTGTCGAATCTCTCAAGGACGTTTCCTTCTTGGCAGCTGGCGCAGTAGTATTCAAGCCACTGGGTTGCGGGCTCTGGTATTGCGTTTGGTTTTACTAAGATATAGCATTATGATTCCCAGGTTGTACGGTTTACGTAGGTTTCTTGGGTGAAGTAGTCGTTTAAGCCGCCATGACTACGGTTGTCGAAGGATTTGGTGAAATGAGGGTGGTTTAATGATGTTGGAGCCGCTAGGACCCAAAATATGGAAACTATGGTCGCCATGGGTCGACTGTGAGTTATTCATTGTCTCCTTATATATAGAGTGAAGTTGGACAAAATAGGTGAACCGTTGTGTATTCAATTGATTAATTGACCAACAGCCATAATATTATAATAAGAAGAATTTAGATAGGGTTAAGGATAAATACGATCGATAGAAAATAATAACTCTAACCGGCGGCTCGAAGGTATATCTCTATAAAGAGTTTGCGAGATGTTTTTGCGGTCAATTAGCCGATGTTAATAGGAAGGCTGCCGACTGACATGACTCCAAGCATTTTATATAAAATAAAATCTAAATTAAAGCTCGAGAACCGATATGATCATAGATAAACTGAAATATCAATTTATAATATTACACTTTATAACTCAAAAGGGCCGGTGAATCTTAGGTGATTTTTTTAACGGCGCTTCGATTGTCCCGTAAGTTGATGCATGACTGCGGCTCTCGAGTTCTGCTCGATTGGGAAGCTGAGAATCTCCATCCGACCCGACAGACTGGTTCACCCACAAACGGCAGAGTACAGCACCTTGCGAGTAATTTTTCTCGCGCCTTAGGCATGCGCATGCCGAAGGCAGGGTATATCAAACAAAATCATTCTAGGTCAATATTAAACATCATGAGCTCGTCGCTCGCAACAGGTCGCCAGTGACTCTTCGGCATCAACATCTTCCTATCACGTCAATGCGGTCAGAATAGCCGCGATAAATCTATGCAATGGGTGAAGCACTTCCATGTCAATATTTTTCGGTTGTTGACTACAATGGCTTGGCAGTAAATTTAAGGGGCCGCTTCTTTCACCTTCCGAAAGAAAGCCATCGTCAGGATGAAAGGATACTACAGGATACAAGTTAACGGGATAGGAAACTACTACAGTGTTATAAATAGCACCCTCCCCATACAGTTAAATTTAGGAACGAGACAACAGTTCCCTATATCTCAATAAAGATCAGGGTCATCTGAATACCACGCTTCCCCGTCTTCTGCCCCAGCATCGTCTTCTGCCTCAGCATCGTCCGCAGCGAATGCTGGATCATCATCGTCTTCATCATCGACCTCGTCCCTCGGGGCGGGTTGTACCAATCTCTCATTCGAGAGATAAAAGTCGTCTAGTCGTTCGAACCTATACACCGTCTGGTCTGCAGTTCCGTCTTCCGCCTGACTAATTGCCCTCGACAACTCCCAACTTTGCAGAAGGCTTTCATACCAAAGCGGGGGTATGGCGTCGGGTTTACTTTGCTTCGGGAAACAAACTACTCCCTTGCTAATATCTTCATGGCTTAGTCTTAAAGACCGTCCGTTGAAGATTTCGCTGGTGGATGACCAAGCGTCTAGGCTCGTCAGCGTCGATTTCACATGTTGAGCAAGAAGGTTTGAGTCGCCTAACTCGAATGTCATATGTATGTCGAATAAACGAGGGCAAGCCGGTACAAGGTCCTCGACCATTTCGGTCACCCAGCTTGTTGATGTAAGGGTCCCCTCGCAGAATCCAATAGTAAGTTCTTCCAACTCTTTGCATTTGGGCAGAGACGCCTTAGCCTTGTTATCCGATTTGTTCAACCAACTCCAGCTCTTGTTCTCCGACTGTGCGTGATTCTGGACTTTTAATTTCCTTAAGGTCGGTGCGTGCCTAGGGATTATTTCGTCCCAGAAGGCGTGTACAAGGTCTTGGTTTATCCCGTACCAATATCCCCAAATCTCAAGTTCTGTTAGGGGACTGCAGTGTTGTAGGAGGTAGTTGTGGGTTGGTCGAATGTATGATTCAACAGATAGCTTGTTAAGACGAGTCCCAACTGTTTTAAGACCGTCATAAAGCTCCTCGAGGTCCTCATTATGTGTCACAGATCCCTCAACAGAAATCCAAAGGTCCTTCACATCTTTCAAGCTTGTCCAATCCATCTCGTGGGTGAATCCCAAGTTCGAATCAACTTTAAATACCTCAAGACCATCAAGGTCTCTTAGAGCGTCCCTCAAAGCATCGGATGTCGCATACGCAAAAACGGGAGCTTGGGAGTAAAACTCAAATCCTTTGATATCGGGACATCGCTTCACTACCTCGCCTGCTTCTCGCATTTCCTCAAGGCCATGGTGGTCTCCGCGATGAGGACCCGAACCCACAACCTTAATAGCCACGTATTGGACGTTGGATAGAGCATCAAGGTATTCGCATTTATCGGAGAACGTGCTTACTGAGATAGCTACGTCAAGGAGAAAGCCCCGAGTATCGATCGGTTTGCAGAGAAGTGAAGAGATTCCTTGGTGAATCTGGATAGGTAAACTCGATGTCGTCCGCCATCTAAGAAGTCACTATCATTAGCTCAAAGGTCGTTTGGGGCTGCGTTGTTTCGACATAACGTCATTGACTCAGGTTCTAAGCTTACTCTACAGTTCGTAGATTTCTCGTGGCAGCAAGAACTCCACCAACCAAATCTACGAACTCCGTTCTTTGTTTCTCCGGTATTAAAACCATCAAGTCATCAAACATCCTCCGTTGTTCGAGCCAAGCGTCATGGGGAACCCTGTCGTGGGGTACCTGGTTCGCCTTGATGCAACCTTCTGGCGTCACAACCCACGGGTATCGCGTATCGATCAAGAGCTTCTTGCATAGCGCCAACGGATGATCGAATGATTCATTGCTAGAAAAGGAGAGGCCATCTAAGTGCGAAAGTCGAGATTTGGCACCAGCAAAACTCCATTCTAAGGTCCCAAGACGTAGTTCGATCGTTTGGAAGAGCAGTTTAGCAGTAGCGGCGCGTAATTTCGGCTGAGGATACGCTAGACGTAGGGACTTGAGAGAAGTTTTATCGAGGTTCAAGCATATTTCTCTGATTAGCTCATAGGGCAGAGCTGCCAAAGGGTTGAGTTCGGTCGGTATCATAGCAAACTTGAGGTCTGAAACCTAGGCTATAATTCGCGCGATATGTTTGAAAACCAAGTCCAGGTTGAAGGATTAAGGCTGATCGGGGGATGGTGGTATTTAAAGGACGGTATGCAAGCTGACGTTTCCTGATGCTGAATGGAATGTGGATGGAATAAGTTAAGGTATCTAACAGGCGTCTCAATGTGGAGCCGAATCCTGGTTGTGTCGGCACAAGCCGTCGACGCCTTCGATCATCAGCTAACTATTTTCGGAAATCCAACAAAACGCGCGAGGCTCACTTCAATATACACCATTTTGTCCACTGAGTACTTAAGCAGCTATAATGCTTCACTACGCTCTGCCACGCGCCGAACTATTTTAATACAAAACTACTGAGCTAGCTATGATCAATCTTATAGCAATTGGATAACGTGATAAAATATTACTATGGGACCAGGCGCCAGCCATTAAACAAACTTGTTGAGAAGTGAGGGTCCAACTGCGTCGAGAATTCGCTACAGGCACATTTATATTCCAAAACAATAGAAGTTTAGATAGAAGTGGATGGGCTGTATCGGAGGGACTTACTTTGCAGCTTTATGTTATTGATAATACCATACTCTCCTGCCATATCCTATTAATATATTCCTCGGGCTCCGTTGTCAAAGACTGAGTAAAGATGAGGCATCAGACGTATAAAGATTGCCGGAATATTGACTATGGGTTTGTCATTAACAGGGGTCTTCACAAGTGTATTTCTCAAGTCCTTTCACTCTTGCGTCAAGAGTAGATCTACAGAGAGTAGAACTATATATATATATAGGCGAAATCATGCAAAAGTCACTGAGATCTTTAACACCGGATTCATAAGTGCTACTAGACTAGTTTACTTGGGCATCAACCTCGTTCTTAAGAAACAGCAACCATATATTCTGGAGCTTAAACAATAGAATAGAAGAGCAAAAGCTGGCGCGCGTGTTTAAATATAAAAACCCCAACAAGAAATTCCACGACACTCATTCATCTCCCAAATTCCGGACCCCGTAGCACATGGACAATAAACAACATGGGTATATATTACTCGTAAATCTCATCCAACTTATCCTGGTATCAATGAATACAATTTCGTCATAATCTCGTCTAATACGCTCTATAGTTTGCAGTGGCGGCTGGCATGGCCACTAGAACTTAAGCTTCCCTTGAGATTTCAACCATCTTTGCGTCTCAGGGTCAGACATATTCCAATGATTAAGAGTCTCATCCATTACTCCATTGAGAAGGAACTTTTTATCTTGCTGACATGGTGGTGCAAGTGTTTGTTCGTTACCGCATTCGACCTTGACTATCAGGATGTTAGTAGGAGCTCAACAAATTTTACGTATGCATGTATAGTAGGTTTAGTCTTACCAAGCATAAGAACACCCTCGACCTCGTCCTTTGCATTTCGCCACGGGAACTCGACGCAAGCATCCTTTATAGTCTCTGGATTCCTACCGAAGTTGCACACCTCTGTGTATGCTCCCATAGGCTGCCACAAAACACGCTTTGGCCACTTGCTCACAGTGCCACAGCTCCTCACCATTTTTGGAATAAAGGTGAAGAAAGCGCAGTATGGATGCAAGACATCCCACTTCGGAGCCGAATATGCCCTAGTATTCGTCCAGGTCCAGGATTTCTGAAGTGTCACACCAAGACCAACGCTGAGAACGGGAAGAGTGATTTGAAATCTATAGTCGATACCGACACCTAGGCTTATCATTTCACCTTTGCCGATTGTGACGGGAGGAGCATCTGGATAGGGAAATATTTCTTGGGCCGGGAGCCATCTTTGTTCCTTGCCGTAAAAGTAATCACGACGCTCCTCGCAGAAATATGTACAATCTGCATTCTCTGCTTTGCGAGGGCAAAACCCTGCTGGATCCAGGGGATCTTGATTGCACCCCTCAATGTGACTTGGTGGTCCTTCATCAGGGAAGATAGGATTAGGATGACGGCAAGGATTTGAAGGCTGAATCCCCTGTCGCTTAATGAACCTTTCGAACACATTGACGAGGAATGATTTTTCCTTATGTTCCTCTCGCGTAACCTTGGTAGCTGGGATCCCTCCGTCAACGATAACTGGTGAAACATTGCCCGACGCCATAGGATCCTTTCCTTTATCTTGTCCAGGACTATTAGGCATTGTATAGATTCCTGTGTCAACAGGAATTGCGTCGGACATCTTCTGTTCATCCTGCTGCATATCGATACGGAAGACTTCTTCACGGTTATCTGCGCACCAGCTGTGGGAGCTGAGGCCCGGGTTGCCGATTATCTCGGGGGTATCATCTTCTGGAACTGGCGCTGGAGCACCATAGACTAATGGAGATGATATAACGGAGAAGGCGAGGAGTGTGGTAAGGGCGGTAACAGGTTCTTTGAAGGATTTGACCATCTTAATGAAATTGGTTTCGATTGCTTATAGATGAAAGATATATTGAAGTCAAAGAAAGATTTCGACCCCTTATAGTTCTGGTAGTAAGAGTATAGTAGTAGATAGTCTTGTTGAAGCTTTGAAGAATGGTTTTCCGATCCGAGGAAGGGAAGCCTCTACTTATAGTCAATACGGGAGTATACTGATAGTACCCTGACGATCTAGCCTAAGCCTTGGCTTAATTCTAGATATCGACTTTATTGCCACCATATTGCAGCCTGTAACTGAGATAATCGCGATATAAACCCATCTACAGGAGTCGTGGTGTTGATGATTAGCATAAAGCGTCCCGGAAGACTGGTAGGCGTGGGATATGTTTGTGGCTGCCTACCTTATCGTAACATCAGCTAAATTAAGTTGGTCTCTCCGTGGTGGCTTGAGCATCGAGACTGAGTCGATACAATTGTACAATATCTTCACGCTTGTAGTAGCAATGATATTATTGGTAGTGTTCTAGAGATGATAGAGAAGCATCGATGCATCAAAGCCAAGGCCGACTTATTCCAACATAAAGCCTTTGTTGGAAGCTAGTACCTTCACACCATATTCTCGCCACCCCATAGGCCAAAGGATCCAGGGTCAAAGCTGTTGGGTATTAGCATACAACATCTTAAAATCGGAATAATGGCACTCCGATAGGAGGTTGTCGGAGCACTTAGGAATGATTGCACAATATATTAATATTGGTGCTCAGTGGACTTCGGCTCGCGCACGCCGATTTTAGGAGCTCACGGTTGCATCTTATTTCTCTCCCCGTCGGCTACTAACTACTATAGCGGTGTTGTTACTATATCGCCGTTTCTAGAATAGATAAGGCATGGCCCTGGCTGGAAGGCTGGTAGAATGTTGGTAATGTTGGCGAAAAATATTAAGCTTACAAGCTCGTCATTAATCGATAATAGGGTTTGGCAAACTAGACTAGGGTTTGGCTAGGATACGCCCTGAACCTCTTTGATTAAACAGCATTGTAGACCCTATGCACGTGCCATGCCATGATGTTGGTAGTATAGCTATAGAGTGTCATGTAGGGCTGCTCTTAGGAAGTAAAAGTAAGTGGATTAATTCGAGAGACTTCAATTCGTGTGTCCATAGAATTAAAACCTAAAGGAAAAACTGTTCCTCGAAGAATACCTAGATGTGACATTGATATTTATTCTCTGTAGACGCAGTTATCTAACAGTCTAGTAATAACTAACATACTTCGACGCGGGTCAGGAGAGTTAGGGACAGCCGACCTGATTGCCTGAAATTCGTCATTATCAGCAGTATACACATGCACATGCGCAAGGCAATATGGACTTTGTCTCTGACGGCCCGTTTATAATAATAAGATACGATTCTCCATCACCAAAAATCGGACATGCAGGGTACATGTATAAAGTCAATTGTAATGGATGGAATATATACAAGCGCCTCGAAGCTAGCCCAAGTGAGAAATATGTCCGAGGCTAAACTCCTTGTACAGAATATCTGTACTCTTAAATTCAGAAAAAGAAATGTACAGCGCTGGTTGCATACATGTGAACATTAAAATGAAGATTCTAGAGCTTACGTAAAATGGCGGTTGATAATCCGAAATCATTCTGTTGATAATCCCGTATTTGGCAGCGTGAGAGAACTCGAAGGTTATCAATATACCCTTATAGATTTCAAGCTTCAAGGGATATAATTAGCGACTCGTCTATGGAACGCGTGGCAACATCGATACACTTAATTGGCAACCGTGAATTAACCCCGATCAATCTATGACTGCCTAGTTAGACTCGACCACAAGATCGCGATCGGTAAACCACACTAATTACAACGTCGGAGCACCGGCTCAGAACCTGCTAAACCATAGAAGCTCGTCTTCTGTAGATCTTCTATACTAGGATTACTAATAGCGAATATTATTCCCTTATTGACACTAGTCCTCCGTACGTACCTCATATTGCCACAGTAAGTTCTAGCTGTGCAGCCACAGAATATTCGTCACTGCAGCAGGCATATTGTCTTCACAGCCCTGATAGGCTTTGAACAGTAATTGATAGCCAGGGGTTAGTTTCACTAGTCCAACCATACCAACAATTGCCTTTCCTGCAGGATTATGCTCTCCTGTAGGTGGGGGCGCTAAGTGTATCTGTTCTAGATTCCACGTGAAAATGGTGCTACTTGTCTATATTGATTATTTTCTTGTATTCAAACGGCTCCAATACCGGTGATAACTTTTTATTGGAAGTTGAGTATATGTTTGGCACTACATGTATACAAGGGCGATGTGGCTGGCACACCACGATTTGACCGGTGTCAGGGTTTTTTTTAGAGCCTGCTTTCTAATATACTATAGCCAAACCTCCTGCCCTCAAGCGTTATACCACTATTCTAATGCTAGGCGGCTGGAAGCCATATGAATATTATGCTTAGTCGTAAGCAACCCGTATGATATTTGATACGTGAACGTTATTTTGTAACCATTCACATTGTATGCCCTCGTCAAAATTATAATTATTGTCAATGAAGTTGATAGTATAGGGCGTGGGCAGCGTAGCGACCATCGATAATGTAATCCAGGCTAAAGATTACCCACCCACAAACTGGAGCGCTCGAGCAATCATCCCGTTCAGAATACAGACGCAATATTCTACCAGACTTGAACATGTGAATAGTCTGGTCACGAACCACATCTACATTACAAACGAAAAACCATCGCAACAAGGATTTAAACGCCTAAACATATTTTGCGGGGCATCAACGGAAGAAATTCGGAAATGGCCCCGTCTCGAGTCAGTTCTCTCTTCTTTGGGTGATATCGGCACAATATTCATTAAGTAATTCTAAAAGCCATCAACAGGGCTTAGGAGGCGCAATAAGCTTAAAATTAAGGCGAGCTACCCCTGCAACAGCATACCAAGGTTGTTAGTTGGATATACCGAACTTGACCCATAGGCCAGCCCAAGAAACTTATAGTAATGGAATGACCGTTAAGACGCCGAGGTGTACACTAGCCAGCTTATCTACGGAAACAATATGTTAATAAATTCATGGGTTTATAAATTTTTAAAGTTAAACATGCCCGCTTGGTAGATATAAGTTCTAGGATTTGCTGCCATCGCGGGGTCTAGGATATCGAGTCGAGATATTCTGCAGCACGATCGCACGATATCTAGGATTCATTAATATATTTACGGGTTTTGAGCAGTATATTATGAATGTATCAGAGATGCTGCTCGAGCTCTCTAACTCTACCACTATCTCGGTACCACGAAGGGCCCACGATACCTGCCCTGCGCAATATCCTAACGTACATCCTAGTCAAAGTCGGCCGTCAATCGGCAGCACAAAAATACCACATCTCATTTGTGTTGCAAATACTCTGCTTCTGATTCGTGATCACCTCGAACCGTCGACAAAATCCTTGAAGCTGGTACAAAACGCAAATGCGAAAATGTATATTTCGAACCCCAATTACGGTGTTGGATTGAGAATTAGCAACCACATCGATCTCGACGGTTCATTCGAAGCCTTCGGTTTCCCTAATCATGTGTTCATACTCTATTCACAACACCTGGGTAGGCAACCGACACATCCAACAATTCAGCGTAACTCCGTCAACGGGCAACGGGGGTTCCCTGGAAGGAATAATGTCACCCATGATCATCTTCCTTACATGTAACGTTGAAACGTGGTCTATAAATGGTGCAACTACTACTCAGGTTGTGTAGATTGCCCACACATAGTACATAGGAATCATTGTCGTGATCTTTGATATCAGCATGTGCGTGGTGACCTGGCCTATAGCGCCTAGACCTATGGGCTTCGCGAAAATATGTACGTAAACATAATTGTTGGATGATAGGCTAGGTTGAGGAACCAAACGGCGATATTACTAGAATATTCATTGCATTAACTCCTCCCTGATGCAGCCTAGTTCTCATCGGAAATGATTATTGTAATGCAGTTCGGATGAAACATGAAGGGTTCCAGAACATAGCGAGATGGAATCACTTTGACGTTTAATAAGGTATGGAAGGGACATTCGAGCAGTCTTCTGTGTCTAGAAAGTTAAGATTATAATTAAGACCATCGTTACATGCATGCTTGACACGTATGTACACATAATCGTATAAAGAGTTGCGCGACATGCTGCTGATATCGATATTAGGCTATGCCGGGGCTAAAATAAATATAACGGATACATGATAGGGAGATTTTAGGATATGTAATAATAGCAATTATATTGGGAGAAAGGAAACGGTATCAAATTTGCGGATTTATCGAAATGCAAATACTCCATGGACCAAGACGTGTATGCTACCAAAAAGAAAAGAAAAAGAAGTAAAGAGCATATACTTACTGTACAATCAATCTAGATATTGTAACCTGTATGTGTCCATCGCCACCTTTGAAATCTAATTTCCAGCGGCAAACTGACTTTTTTCTCTAAGATTCGCCCCCCATTTCCACAAAATAAACGGCCCGGGCCAGCCAATAACAATGCCAATCAATGCCAATGTAGTATTACCCCACCCATAGTCAAGCTTTTCATACATCGTCGGAGCGAATAACGGGAACGCGAACCCGGCTAAACTTCTCAAAACGGTGACCGAAGCGATAGCGCTAGCAGCATATCGAGTGTAGCAGTCGATAATATAGGTTTGGATACTCTGGAAGCCCATAATAGAGCCTCCGGCGAAGATACAGGCACCGATGTTTGGCCAGATCCAATGTGTTACTGATTGCGCTGTCCAACCGTAGATAAGCAGGCCTACGGGCACGAGAACAGCTCCGATCGGCATCAACGGTACCCGAAACTCTGGGAGGCCGATGTTGTTATTTCGTCTACTAAGTTTTACGTAGATCTATGTTATAACAGTTAGTAAACAAACGTTTTTCTGGCATAATACCATGGTAGGGTGAAGGGGGAAAGGGTGGTAGACAAGCCCTTGTGTTTATTACCCTATCGTTGATTGGAGCGCATATCTGGGTGCCGAGAAAGAAACCCAGTCCCAAAGATATGTAGTTCAGGCCCCCAATGCCAACTGATTGGCCATATTTCCCTTCCCACAGTGCTGGGAATGTCGACAGTACAAGGTACAGCATTCCGTATAAAAACGCCATATAGGCTGCCATGAATTGCACGATAGGTTGTGTCCCAAGAAGGATGAATGGCCGGACTAGAGCCTTTCTTAGGATCTTACTCAATTTCCTCTTCTCGTCAGCCTCGTAGGGTGTATGTAGATGTGTGTTTCCGGTTTCTTTTCGTAGACGGCGAGCCTTGATTTCCAGAAGTTTTGGAGCATAAGTTTCCTGAAGGAAGAGAAGACCTAGTACTTGGATAACAGCATCGGCGATCGAGACGATGAAAAAGATCCATCGCCATCCGAGACCGGATTGAACGATCCAACCACCAGCAATCGGTCCGATCGCTGGTCCAAGTAGTGGAGCTAACGAGTACATCGAGATACCTTTGCCACGTTGCTCTGGAGGCTATGAAGGATTCTGTTACTAATAGTCCCAAAGATAAGAGATCACAATTATGTGAAAGCTAAGTACTTACCCAAACATCACTGAGGATACCACCACCCAATGCCAAAGGAGCAGCACCTCCCGCCCCAGCTAGGAAGCGGAATACGATCATTTGAACCTTTGTCTGACTCGCACCACAAGCTGTATTGAAGATTAAGTAAAATAGGTTCGAAAGTTGAATTACGGGTACCCGCCCGTACACTTCACTTAGCGGACCCACGAACAAAGGTGCTATAGCATATGCAAGCACGAAAACGGATAGTGTTAGCTGTGCTTCCACGGTTCCTGTAATATTCAAATCCTGTGATATTGAACGTATTGCAGGAGCAACCATGGACGAAGACACCGGAGATATGAAAGTAAAGGATGAAACGACTACTGTCGCAATCCACTTCTTCTTGATACTCCAATTCAGAGGGTTCTCAGGGTCATCTGGCCCGTCCCAGTCCACCTTTTAAAATATCACAATGTCAGTCATCGAAAATGTGTTGTGTGTTGTAGACGTCTCTTCGACTCACCAAATTAGGATCCCGTCTGTTACTCCTTCCGCTCTTGCCACTCTTCGTCTTTGATAATTGCAACTTGCCATCATCGTCAGACGAGTCTAGAACACCTTTTTCAATATCACTATCGATCGGAGATTCTATATCGTCATCTTTTCCAAACTTCTTCGAGTCGCCTCCCTCATTTCCTAATCGAGATCGAGAGCCTGACTTTTCGGCCGCGGGTGAATCCCCATCTGAGCTGCTTGCATAATATGTTTGAGCTTCTCGTTGGTTATATACGGATTGGTCGTCGAAAAATTGGCCAGAAAAGCTCTTTTGAAGCTGTAGATCTAATCTTGAAGCATCTGGATCTATGGCACCACCTGGCTGTAGCCGACTAGCTTTGCTTGTCGTTGGTCGTTTATCTTCAGACGACATAGGTCAAGCGTTGGGGAGACCATGCACGGCCACCACTATTTGGCAGAATTCAGAGAGTTTGCAGTGTAACGGCGCGCAATGTCGCTAAAGGCGTGTATATCGCAATAGCTTGAAGAACCATGGATATCGCGAAATAAAAAAGCCAGGTTACTGGAAGGGAAACATGGAAACAATCTCGGCGGCCATAGGGCGGCGCAGGCATATTTATTAGAACTGCCAAATCCCCCCAAAAGCGCTCGCCTTTAGGAGGCCCAGCAGGGAAGGAAAAATTCTGTTCATAGAAATCGAAAAAGCTAAGTAATCTTGTCACAGTTCCATTTAGTTGCCGTATTATCCGAGCTTTTTTGTTGCCCAGCACCCCAATGTGGTAGCCGTAGAAGGTTCGGTTGAAACGACCAGGGCTAGCAAAACTGTTCTCCAAATGACAGATTCAAGATCTGAATGGCTTAAAGATGCGACAGAACGCTCTGGAGACGACGGAATCCGCCCGACATGACCTGCTTTGGGGGAAGGCACAACAGAAACTGGTTGTTGACAGCCGAGGGTATACTATCCACTTTGGCGCTCTTGAATAGTCAAGCTTTTAACTAAGGACCCACTTGCCACCTTGCTGGCGCTGCACATGCATCATGATTCAAACGGCACAAAAAGATAGTGCAATCTGCATTATCACTGCTAATGCATTGTATTTGATTTGCGAATTGGTTGGGATGGAACATGAACGGAAACTTTTCGAGAATTTTCGGTTCAATCAAGGGAGAAAATTTTTTTAGATCCTTCCTGTGGCGGGCAAGGTTGCGACGTGGGTAGCTTCGGTTTAAGCTTTCGTTTATCGCAAGTCTCAAATTTCGACGTCACAACGGCGACCTTTGTCTCGCCGTAGGGGCCGACGGTTGTAACGTACCGTCCTTAGAACTGATAAACCTTTTAATAGATCTCAATTTTTGAGTCATTCTGTTTGAAATTGTCCGTAAATTGTAAGAATCTTTAGAATGGGTAGAAACCCTCAGATTCTACTAATACCACTGCCTTTATACGCAATTGAATTGAAGATGATATAGGAGAAACGGGCTCCAAAGTCCGACAGATGAATTGTAAATCTCGAAGTTTTGGCTCGAGCTATAGGTTAAATAATTTGAAGTTGACGTCTAGAATTCTATAGTGTCAGCAAAAACCACGATAACAGTACCACTGATTCGGGTCCCAAATCAATCATAGCAATACGAATACGAAGGACACGTGATAAATAATGCATAGAGGTTCCTCGTGCTTCGTGAAAGCATTGGTCACAAGTTAGTTTTCCTGGGGGATAGAAGGGAAGCAAATTGCGGGGTTAGGCAAAATAGCGACTATCGCCGTTCAAAAACATATATTTGTGCGCCAGACTATCGTAGTAGCTTTCTATCCTTTATCCTGAAGAAAAAATTTGAATACTTAAATACCCGTAAACTGATTCATCGAATACATAAATTTTAAAACTAGTCTATAAATCCGCATGGCCCGTTTCTGCGCTAGTCTCTCCCGTGGCTTTTAGCTTTTGGTCCTCATCCTCAAGCCTTTTCAAAACCAGGTCGCTCTTCGCAAAAATCAATTCATTCCACAATGGATATTTCATGCCCCGAATTGTTGAATCAACATCTACAATAACATGCAAATGCAAATGTTTTACCGAAATAACATCTGGTACATGAAATTTGAGAGGGCCAACGAGATGAAGATCTCTTCTACCCCTGTGAAATCCAGTACGAAGACGATGATACCGAGTAGCAGGCGTAAGATCTGGATAATGTACTGCTAGTAATTGTTCCCTCACGGCAAGCATCTTGCGGTCTTTGACATCAAAACAAGTAAAGTAGTTAGTATGACTAATAATATCATCAAAAGAAATGTGTTGGGTGTGGTAGTTTGAAAGGGCGCGTTACACAGGGGTAAATCGGACGGTGTGAGGTCCTCAACTGAGCGAATATGGCGAAGGGGCATTACCAGCCAATGGGTTTTGCCGGTCTGGGTCCGAATGGTCGTTAGTTGCAGTTGCATCGATTCGTGTCATCAAGCCGGTACGTATGCAAATTGATGGATGGATATCTTGCGTGTATCATGCATCGGCAAACGGACTCGTAGGAATCAGACACATCGTGATATATATCATTCCCAATTATCGATTAACTTACCGGCCGGCGATCGTCTATTACTACCAAGTCCTCATCCTATAGAAGTATATAAAAATCTTCAGTACGTAGTACTCACGAACACGAACAAGGGATGTATAAATGATAAGGAGCCCAGATATCGGAGGTATTGCCAGAATCATAGCGCCATATGGCTTCAGGCAGAAGCTAGAACAGTAGCACAGTATACATACTCGGTACAGTTCTGCAGTTATAATGAAGTCACCCTTGCAGAATGAACATTCTGGATGTTCACCTACGGGAGAGACACCCGAAGCCGCCGAACCGCTGTTTAAGTTTGTCGACATTGCATTGGCCGATTGGTTGATGTTTTGGTCTCAATCAAGTTTAGAGGTCGTACAGGAGATTAAGACCGGCGATTGGCATCAATTGATAAGCTAGCTTTAAAACTAGATTTCTGAGCAATTGAGGCGAAGATAACCAATACGTCCGGGCGCCCATGCAAGGAGCCGCGACTTGAAAGCTTGTGCACTTTATCGAGGTATGGAGAGTAGCTCAAGTTGGTCGAAAATGTGACCGAATTGCGTGTACTCGAGCACTCTATGCTGGATTCTGCAGCTTGGCTTCGTACGTTGGTTGCACGCGTTTGACGTCGAGATCGATCGCTCGAGACCTCGACTTAGTAAATGAGTCTAAGATTGAGGGGAATGTCGGAGCTTATAAGGTGGGCCTTTCCCCAAGCTTAAGAAGCAATGGTCTTCCTTTTCTTTAATCTTATAACGTTGAATATATACCGCGAAGATTGATATTAATATCAATAAAGAGCTCGAGGGCGCTGCACTGCACTGCGAGTTTGGCTGCCGTCATTGCATTGCATTGCGTTTGAGCGACATACCGAGTGCTAACTAGGTAACTAGCGGCACAACACATCCCGGCCCGCCAAATAGTTACAGTTCAACAATTGCGATTGCGATTCGATTCAGAGACAGTTGCGATACCAGTCAATCTGACGACATCCGGACGTGTACAGGGAATCCCTGTCAACTTTCTTTCACAATCTCGATCAGCTCAGTTCATTCAATTTCATTGACGTTATTCGATTAAAGTACTTCCAGCTTCCGTTATTTGTGTTTTATCGACAGGCAGGTACGGTACTTTCAGCCAGAAAGATGGATTCCAGTCCCGTGAATTCGAGCTTTAGCTCTCAATCCTATGATGAGCTTACTTATGTACCAACTCCGACAGCGACCGAAATCGAAACGGGTGCAGCTCCGTTCCTCATAGCTGGTTCGCTATCGGAACTTGAGCACATCATTGATAACTGTCCAATCATTGATAACCATGCCCATCCTCTCCTTAGCGAGCAGACTCTTGGAGTTTACGAAGCCTCTGGCCTTAATCTCCTGAGGTGTCTATCCGAAGCTAACGACGATGCTCTCAAAGATGTTCCAAGTACTTTGGTGTATCATCGGGCCTTTAAATCTCTTCAAGAGGGATTTTTGCATCTCCGACGTGGTTCCGGTGAAGTCAATACTTGGGAAGATTGGAAAAGGTTTCGTTCCTCTTTAGATCCCGAACTATTTACCAGGGAATGCTTTAACGGGTTGCAAACGATTCTTCTCGATACTGGCCTCAAATACCCGCCTCATGAAGAAATCGAGGCCCATTCGGTTCCCTGGCACAATAAATTCCTGAAATCGCCGGCGAAGGAGATCCTGAGGTTGGAATGCATCGCGGAACAAGAGATTAAAATTCAGAAAAGCTTTCATAGTTGGAAAACAAAGTTACGGGACGTCATTCGAAAGGCGAACAAAGACGATAACATCGTAGGATTCAAATCCGTGGTTTGTTATAGGAGCGGATTGCATATCGACGAAGATGACCGTACCGAGGAATCCATTATTGATGCCTACACTAGTACTCTAACGAGCTGTAAGGAGGACGGCTGGAAACTCAGCCATTCTCGTTTGAACGGCTTTATTTTGCATTTATTTGCCAAAGAGATGACTCGTCATGTTGAACAGGGAGGCAAAGCAAAACCATTACAGTTCCACACGGGCCTCGGGGATAGTGACCTAAGATTGAAAGACGCAAATCCTATTCTTCTGCAGAAATTTGCCGAGGTTTACCCCCGAGTGCCGATTGTTTTACTCCACGCGGGGTATCCTTTCACTAGAGAAGGTATGCACCATCGCGACTATCATGTCTATCCATAGCTTAATTAATACTGACTCGTTATTTGTAGCCGGCTATCTCGCCTCAACATATGCCAATGTGTATTTGGATTTTGGACTAGTTTTCCCGACAGTCTCACAAGCAGGACAAGAATCCATCGTTAAACAGGTCCTGGAGCTCACACCTAGCTCGAAGGCAATGTGGTCAACAGATGGTCACCACTATGGGGAGACCTACTATCTTGCCCAGAAACAAGTACGAGAGGTATTCAAGACTGTTATGAGGGAAATATACGGTAAAGGAAATGTTTCCTTGCGAAATATATCGAATATAGTCACGGACCTATTTTTCAACACTTCAAACCGACTCTACAACCTCAAGCTGGATCTCAACATCCCTATCCCACTAAATCATGCCCCGCTCGAAATGGCTGGTGCTGAAGATGAGCTTGAGCATCGTGGTCGTACCGGCCTTAAAATCCTTCAGGATTTTCTCACGAAGAACCCAGGCATTGAGTATCTTCGTCTCAACTGGTTGGACTATTCATCAATTTTACGAACTCGGGTTGTAAAGCTCAAACACGTCATAGCCCAACTCGAAAATAACTCCAACGGCTCAATCATAGGCGTTACCAAAGCCGCCCTCTATATACTAGCAAATTGTACGCTGGCCGAGGGCGCTAATCCGTGTGGAGAAGATAGACTGGTTCCGGACTTCACATCTCTTCGCCTTCATCCTCACCAAAAAAATGGACAAGATCATCACAACCATGCAACAGTCATGTGCTGGATCCAAGATCCCGATAGCCATAAAACCATTGCTCTTTGCCCCCGAAACATTCTCAAAAATGCTCTTGTTAGGGCATCTGATGCTGGTCTCTCAAACTTCAAAGTCGGATTCGAAATTGAATTTTGCATGTTTAAACAGTCAGACCTCGATGAAGGCAAAATCGCGCCAATAACGACTCACCACACTTGGACCACTTCTCGCTCTCTCCAGACAAAAGCTTTAGATATTCTAGAGGAAATTGACCAAAAGCTTTCTAAAGCGGGTATTGAAATCGAACAGTTCCACAGTGAGGGTGCCCAGGGACAATATGAAATTGCTTTATCTCCATTACCACCAATGCAAGCAGTCGATGGCTTGATATATGCTCGTGAGGTCATCCAATGTGTTTGTGCCAAATACGGATATCGAGCGAGTCTTTTACCAAAGCCGTTTGACAATGAGTGTGGCACAGCTTCGCACGTCCACATGTCTTTCAAGCCTATCGAAAAACAATGGAACTTTTTTGCAGGGATTTTGGAGAATATGAGAGCGCTTAACGCGGTTATCCTAGGAGGAGAAATGAGTTTTGAGAGAATTGTCCCCGGGGCGTGGGCAGGTGGCATATGGGCTTGCTGGGGTAGACAAAATCGGGAGGCACCCCTTAGGCTAGTGGAAGAGGATAAAGCACACTGGGAGATCAAGGCTGTGGACGGAATGGCAAACATGTACTTAGCTCTCGCTGGCATTATTACAGCAGGGACTAAGGGTGTCATAGAGCAACTCGATATCTACGGGGAATCAGATCGTAAGTACCTAAGTTCGGATTACTCTAAAAAAGCTTTAAGAGTTTATACTGAAAACTTAACTATTGAATAGGTGACGCCAGCTTGATGACTGCAGAGGAAAGAAAAAGGCGAGGTATCAGGATTGAAATGGTCAAGTCAATGGACGAGGCTATCGCCGCCCTGTTTGAGAATGACGGTCAAACTCCTCTTGAGTTCTCTGAACAGATGGCGCCCGGATTCGCTAGACACATGAGCGTCCTAAAGAAAGCCGAGAATGAAAACATTTACTCGCAGTTCATAGATCCAAGAACAGGATCTATTGATATTCCTAGACGGAGAGCGTGGGCGGCGCAATGGTATTAGGTGCTTCGCATAAATGAGTTTTTTCCTTCTTTTTCCTTTGTATTTCAACGTGGTGATCAGAAATAGTACGTGGATCCGCGCCGATATTTTGCTCTCTTCGAAGCGCACATCTACCAGTCCTAAAGATATTCTATGTTCAAATTGTATATTGATACCGGGAAATCAAAGGCGGAATTCATGCATGGCCCTCTTACTCATATTGTCCAAAGGAACCTCAATTCCACGCTGGTGAGTTGAGGCTCTTATGTTATTGTAAACATGCTGCTAGGGCCTGTAGCCTGGGCGACGTTGAAATAACGTCCATGCTGTTGCCGAGTAGAGACTGTTCCCTAGCTGCGCAGACCCCATCCCACACGTTCTCCATCTCCGCTCCATCTCATCTAATATTTACGAAATCTTTTCCATTAACGTCTCTCAACCATCGACGGATCGACATCATCATCCATCTGACACGCAAGACCTACACGCAGTTGTCCAAGAAATCCTCCTAAACGACAATCCGGTAAGTCATCCTGTCCTCGACACCCTTTCTCCCTGACATCGTACCTTTCTCCTTACCCCTCCATCACCCACCAGTTTGATCTCTTGACCGTTGTTTCTTTGTTGCTTTGTTGCTTCCCTTCTGCTATATGTCTTCCTAGCTCTCTCAGACGTCTATAACTTTGGTTACTTATATAACATACCAGCTTCAGCTGCGACTTCACAATCACCTCCTTACTAATATATATACTAGAGCCCCCCTCCTCACGGATACAATCCCTAGAATCCCTCGACGCTAATTTCGTCTAGTATCTTCACATACCTGTTTGAGACTACGCTAGGCTCTTCTAGCTACATCATCAAGTTCTCTCCTTCAAATCAGTAACGTATTCAATAGCTTCCCTGCAAGGATTATTGCATACAGGATATACCTGTCTTTTCAAAAAATACCTCGAACTTCTCCAGTAACTGTAAGTGTTTCATCTCGAGCGTCTTTTGTTAGATGTCACAGACACCGCCATGCTAAAAGGAGTCTATTAGTCTACCTGAAAGTTGAAACCAAAGATGTGCTGGCTTTCCGTTCAATGCTCTTGCAAGCATAATATTGCCATTGCTCACCCGACAAAGTCGTGTGTTCGTCCACGCAATCCTCGTGGTTGTTGGATCATTCGCCGTGGAGATCCTCTGAAGAAGTCTTGTCCTGGATGTGAAGAATACCATACTCCTGGATCTGAGCAACCATCCTGGAGGGACGTTAAGCGCTGTCATAATGATCCGGCTATGGACTGGGCTGAAGTCAATCATTATGATATTATAACCATGGATAAGAACCGTCACAGAGTTTGTGACAACGAACGTCTTGAGTTTAGGAAGCGACTTCGATGGAAGACTATGATAGCGAACGGAATGGTGACAGGCTGGAGCTTGAATAACAGAGGTGTTGCCATTGTTGATACCTCCCCCGAGGAGATTGGCAATGAAGATATGGATTACTGTCAACAACATGAGGTCATCGAACCCTTCGATCCGGCCGATATTGACGATATGTTACTCGATACTGGAGAGGATAAGAATGGGAATCAGGATGGAGTCGATGGATACATGCTTGAACGCGTGTCATCTAGACCACGGCTAGCCCGTACCATCTATATGACTGGAAATGGTCAAGAATTCGAATCACTCTTTTCAGTATTCGATAATTCGGAAGGCGACATATCTTCTAACTCGGATAATTCCAATGAGGCAGTCATGGGATCTGATGAATCAACAAATACAATTACTGAGAACGATTCCAGTAAAGAAGAAGAATATGAGCCACTCATGGAGCTCGACGAAATGTTCGACCACATCGAAGCTTCGAAGCCTTTTGACCTATCTTCCTCCCTCCTTAACAGCGATGTTCCTGTCTGGGCTCCCGCTACACCCGAATCTCCCATCGGTGACCCTATCAAGAAGCCATTGCCCAAGGGCACACTGATCAAATTGGAGATAAAGAAAGAACTTGACACCGCCCCGGGGCCTGTCACTGCCATATCGGGGCTGGCACCACTTCTCGCAGCTACGTCTTCTGAAGGAACCACTTCAAACTATCGCGAAGGAATCGACCAGGCTCTTGCTAGGTTGAGACGTCTGTCTGCCGCACGTATGTCCGCCGCATATACTGAAGCGCGTAATGCGAGATTTCCTGATCTGGCTCCAATTACCCCCGTTGAAGATATTTTTCAAGAAGAAAAGCCCGAGGAGGACTCGGAGGAAGGCGGCGTAACCTTCCAATTCAACTAAATGCCCATCTGAAGCAACTTTCGGGACTCCTATGTCCACTCTTACTACTACTCTTTTTCGCTTTACACTTTCAAGAAACAACTACAGAAACACCAGAACACAAGAATTGTCTCCTATCTTTTCCTTATTGGAGTTGGGCTCCGGCCTATGGTCCCACATTTGAGACGACCACTTACTTTCGCGATTTTACGAATAAAGATCCCCTCGAAACCTTTCAACGCCCTTCACGACCGACTGTTAATGAGAATAATTAGCGTTGGTATTGCTAAATGAGGTACAAATATTCAACCTCATATTTGTGTTCTTTCCACTTTCTTCTTTCCCTATTTTTAGGGGGTGTATTCTTAGTGGTGGGTGGGGGAGGCTACCATCTCTCTGTAGCTAGCTTGTCTTTTTTTTAACGTTTCTTCAATCTCAGATAAGGAAGATAGATTTGCTGTGCTGCTCAAAAGGGTATGGAAACTAGCTGGGTGGAGGAGGATTTTGGGATAGAACTTACGAAATTAACTTTACAATGTCAAAAAAGAATTCCATTAACGTTTAAAATCTCATGGTGTTCTGGTTTATGCCTTGTGTATTCGGTGAGCTTGATGGCTTTTTAATGCTAATGAACCAGGGACATAGTATCTCCAGTCTAGCTTTTGCTGTGGAATTATGAGTTGATTTAATTTTGCTGGAGCCGCTTTAACGTATGAAGAACCGTGGCTGTAAATACGTATAAGTCGAGGATGAAACTTTGCCAACGTCTAAAAGTTGGAGCTCTCACGCCTTGCTAGCCTTATAAGCTTACAAAGAGGATCGATTCCCAGGCTTTTGGTTTTTAATTATTATCAACATTGAAAATCATGTCAGTTCCAGCTTTGGGGAAAATCAGTGTTTAACTGTTTATTGCTTTGCTTCAACTTATTAGACTAAACATATATTTTTACATTAAATATACACTCGACTGAGGAATATTCAATGCCGTATTAAACGACCTCACTATTATAGGAAGTTTCTAGAGTTTGCTAGTAATGAGTGTATGTAAACATTACAGGATTTAATCAGGCCGCGTAGACTAGTCACGACAGCTTCGCCGTCTAATATAATGTATATGGGTTGGACCACAACAATTTAGCATGTTGCATTCTTGAAACAGGAAGTTTTGGTATAACTTTGGTTCCAACATTGGAGGCCAATGTTCTCGACTTTTAACGTTGCATGAAACGGGCTCTTGGATATTAAGGGCCATGGAAGTTTGCAGTTTGAGTAGTATGTGTAAATTGCACTTCCATCATTACATTGGGGTAATATCTGATTTCAGACTTCGTGGTGCGAAATTGGGAATCTTGTTTATCTGTTTTAGGGCGTGGACCCCTTCTCTACGCTCGAGTTTTAAGTAAGTCCAGAGAGCCTTTTCTGCATAAATTCACGGGACCGGCTAGACTGGGATACACACATTTTGTTAATTTTTGATAACGGGAAGTTGTAGACAAAAAGTAAAATTTATCTAAAATGCCTTAGAAATCCAAAGCAGTCGAACTTCATCGTTCAAGCCAACTAGAATATACAGCAACTGACAGTTGAAATGTTGACACGTCATCGATTTGATATGTTGGACAACAGCCAACGGTGCCGGTCCGCGCCTCGAACTTTACAACGAAGATTCTCTAGAACCAAACATATAGAGGCAATGCTGTGTGTACACGATGTAGGAGAGATTGGCTTATCTCTAACATCCATATACGGAATGGTGTAAAAAAGGCGGCGGGGGAAAAATGCTTGTCATGTCAACTAAAACTTACCAACGCCTAGGGCACATGTATGTCAAGCATATGTTGGAATTCCCGAATATTCTATAAACGGCCATGAGATCTATAGATTCGAAACTCAACGATGAAATTCCAAATTACAATTTCGGAATAATTTGCACGAAACTGGTATTCTTGTGCCTCCCACGTGAAAATAAGTTACTTAGGGCTTCCTGCGGTTCCTTGTAGTAATCATAGCCATAAAAACCCGGCAAAGGAGTCAACATTCAACATTTATAATATGTTAATTGTTGGTTTCCTGTTATAATCTTTGCCACTATTGAATGATCTCTGACACTAATCTGTTTCAAAATGGTTGCTGCCTCGCCCAGAGTTTGTAGATGCTTTTGAGTTGGATGAGAGTAGTCTTAATCGTAAAGTTGGATCTCTTTAGAACTAGTACTTAGGCCATTCATAATACCATCTTTGATATACGTATATGGTAGATACACTCTTAAATCCGCGAACCGTGGCGTCCCAACCAGAGTCTGGAACGACTAAGACTATACCATTTCACATATGAAATTAATAGACGCAGCATAAAAATCGATGTACCGTATTACGGAACATACGCGCTATCCAAATGTTATAATTATATAAAGGTAGCGGCATAGACCATTTAACTAACCAAGCATCGTTGATTCTCTCACTTCCCTCTGCGCCATGCATAACCAAGATGTTGTGTTTTAAGCGGCGAAGAGGATATGTGGAAAGCACAAATTTGCTTTGCCTCTATACTAATGCTTCAGATTTATGTTCCTGGGTCGATTGAGCTCACAAGAGTGCATCTTCCCTGTTAATTCAATTGAGACCTTCGAAGTTGACCTTTTGCCGCCCGCGCAGGCGTATTGAAGAGTTGGAGGAGGTTTTCCCGGCTATAAGATACTTGGATAGGTCGCTTGATTTCATTTACATCCTTCATTCAGAGTTCATTCGATGTCCCACTAGTTATTTGCTACCAGAATAATCGTGCTAGGGGTTGCATCCTATTTCTTTCTTTCTTGTCCATTGAACTGGATCAATTTTCGGTAGTATTATTAGTCTAGTTATACCTAGCTCCTAGGTTTAAACTTAACAAGAGGGTTTTATTCATTTCAAAGCAGGGTTTCCTATTTTACATATCACAATCACTCCCACTTATAATTATATACACACTCTCGTTTTTATAAACCCTCTTCTTTGTTTTTAAAATTTGAAAGCCGAGAATAAGACCACCACACATTGCACGGGGCTATTTGTCAATCCTTCAAAATGGTTACAAGCAAGCTCCTTCTCGGGGCGATCCTCAGTTCAACCTCCGTCCTCGGAGCCTACATCCCGCACGCTCCGCGCGCTGAACCCTCAAAACCCCATACCACAAGTGGCATGGGTGGCTATCGCACCGTCTCTATTACTAGCGCGGGCAGTGTCGTATCCACCATGGTCTACAATAAAAGCATGACCATGCACGGAACTGGCACCGGTACCGGAGGCACATACATGCCCAGCATGACAGCATACCCAACCATGAAGCCTGGACATAACAAGACCAGCTCCATGAAGATGTCTTCATACATGGAAGATGAAGATGATGACATGGAAGAGACGTCTACCTACATGATGGGCGGCATGACGTCTACCTACGGTTTCGACGACATGGATGATATGACATCTACCATGATGGATGATGATATGGCTACCGCCTACCCGACCATGAACCCCAAGCATAATATGACAAAGTCCCACATGATGGATGATGATGATGATGAGGTTCCTACTCAGACCAAGTTGGCGGTTACTTTTACTGGAGTATCAAGCATGATGATGACTTCTACTATGATGGATGACGAGATGGAGACGGCTATGCCTACAACGGATTACGAGGATTATATGCCTTCTTCCACGGACGATGAGGATATGCCCGAAGAAACCAGTACCATGGAAGATGAATATATGCCTGAAAAAACCAGTACCATGGAAGATGATATGCCCGAGCCAACCAGCACCATGGAAGATGAATATATGCCTGAACAAACCAGCACCATGGAAGATGATATGCCCGAAGCAACGAGTACTATGGAGGATGAATATATGCCCGAAAAAACTAGCACCATGGAGGGCGAGGATATGCCTGAACAAACCAGCACCATGGCCTATGATGACATGCAATCTACCATGATGACTGAAATGTCTTCAACAATGGCCATGACAACCGAAATGCCTACCATGACTGCCATGTCCACCACTACCACCATGATGATGATGAGTATGCCCGCCAGTTCATCCGTCACCGCCACCCCAGTCGCAGCAATCCCCACCTCTCCACCCGTCAACATCTTCACCGACAAGTCCCGTTACCAATCCTACTCTAAAATCCCCCAAGACCAACTAGTCTACATCTCCAACCACATCTTCGAAGAAGTTGACAAGTGGGGTAAGATCAAGTTGACTGCTAACGCTGAGCTTCAAAACAGCATGGTCGCCGGAAAAGCATGGTTCGAGAAGGAGAAGGAAAAGAACGGAAAGGACTCCATTTGTACCGCACCAGCTTATACAGGCGGTGAACCTCAGGACACACTGATCTACTGCAATAAGGAGAGTAGATATGGTATTAGAATCAATAACTTGATGGACGCTGCTTGGAGTGAAACTTGTTGGGATATCGTTAATAATGCGGTTTGGTTGTCCCAAGCTATTACCAGCGGTAACGTTGGAATTCCTGAAGGTGAAGTACCGGAGTATTATATGACCGCGAATAACCCTATTCCAACGAGGTTCTTCCAACATAAAGAAATCCAGGTTACTGAAGGAAGACCATGGAATGTCACTGGTCAAGTCTTTAAGGGTGGTAATCCATTACGAATGGCTTATATTACTCTTGAGAACCCAGGGTGCCCAGACGCCTGGAAGAATGCTGAGGCGTAAGTTTACAGGGGTGATTGATATACGCTAGATTTAGAAAGCGGAGTACTCTGGGTGGGAAATTTTGAAGGAAAAGTTTGTTTTACGTGTTAAAGGTAGCGCGGTGTAAGTTAGCCGTACGTGTCTCTCGGGTGACTGGCCTGAATGGGAAAGAGATAGTGCGGAAGAAAACTGTGAAAGACATGCATGCAACATATTTCTGTACTCTGGAGTTTTCTCGCCGAACCCATTGCAATATTGGTTATTTTGTTCGTTATTTTCCTTGCGAGTCTTTTGTGCATTCTGCTCTCCTGAAGTTTCTGTTAAACAATCATCCTTTGTAGATATATTCTTAATTTGACTGTCAAGTTCCTAGTTTAAGTTCCGTCTTAATATTGTTCGTGATATTAATCGTGTTTTAGATTTTCACTTTGAATCGCAGGTATTTACGAGTACAAGACAGGAAATTAGGTAGATACTAAAATTCTCAGCAGAATTAGTTCATTAAACTTTAGACATCAGATCTCTAACTACATATTTGACACCCACTCAAAGCAGCATCAATGAGCTATACTAAATGTTAAACGGCGTCGATGCAATCGCATAAAAAGAGAACACATTTCATCTAAAAGTTTCTCCAGAGCCTCTTCAAGAAGCTGTCATTCGGATTGAGACCTTGGTTCCTATATTCGGCATTATAATCCGTAGTCTCATGCTCCAAAGTCTTCTTCGCATTATCAAGATCCAATCTTCTTCCATCATCAAGGTTGATATCCTCCAAATTCCAGTAGGTAGTTTTGTTCCACCACTTGAACACAAAGAAAATGATAGGGAAAAGCGGGAGCAAAATATACGCATCTACAAAATTTGCGGCATCGAAGGGGGAAAGGGTACTCCATCCCTGTACCAAAGCAAGAAAGACATTGGCAAAGACGCCAAAGTATGCGTTCCACGGGTATCCGAAGGACTTGAATGGCAATTCCTCCAAACTTCGACCTTGTTTAGCCCATGCGGATCTAAACCTAATATGGATAAAACTAATAGCGCCCCAAACTAAAAAGGTTGAGACACCGGAAAGATTAACGATGTAACCGTAGGCTTTTCCGGCGCCCGTGGAGACGTTCATCATGGATAGTGCGCCGAAAAGGTTCGAGAAGACAATGGCGGCTACTGGGACACCCCGGTCATTAGTCCATCCGAGGAACCTTGGTGCTTTTCCGTCTTGGGCCATGAAAAGGACAGTACGGGAGGCGATATAGATGGAGGCGTTGACAGCGGACAAACAGGTGACGAAGATAAAGGTATTGATGAGGTGGACACCACCTTCCCATCCGGCATTCTGAATGGCAATGGTCATTGGGGACTTTAGCGCTCGAGACTTTCCGTTCGCAAGACCGTCGGCGTTCCATGGGCAGACGAGGCCGAAGAAGAAGGCGGAACCCATGTAGATGAAGACAATACGCCAGAAGACTTGACGAATCGCCAATGGGACGGCCTTAGAGGGGTTCTTGGTTTCGGTGGCTGCAACGGCAACTGACTCGACACCGGCGTAGAAGGTAGAACAGAAGACAAAGACGGTAGCAACGCCTCTGAAGCCATTTGCGAAGGCGCCGGGATCGTTCCAATATCTGAAGCCGAGTGGCTCTGCTTGGCCAATGAGACCTCCAGAGGCGTAGATTATCGCAAAGAAAAAGAATGCGACGAGACCAGTCAGCTTGATCAGTGCAAGCCAGAACTCAGCCTCGCCGAAAGCCTCAACTCCTAGCAATTGGAATGCAGTAAACGCGAACCAGAAGATTAAGAAGTAGCCCCATAATGGAACTTTGTCAGACCAGAAGACCATAATTGAAGAAATAGCATTGTATTCGTTGGCGAGGACTGCAACCCAGATGATAAAATAATTCCAACCGACCGCTGCCCCAAAAGCTCGATCGACAAAGCGATCAGCAAGTTTGGTAAAGGCACCACCGGAGGGATAAAGAGTCGTAAGTTCTCCAAGAGACTGCATGATACTGAAGGCAATTATACCAATGACACCAAAGCCAATGATTAACGCAGCTGGACCACCGGAAGCCAAAGCGCCACCGGATCCAACGAGAAGACCGGGTCCAATGATACCAGCGAGGGCCATCATAGACAAGTGCCTAGTCTTGAGACCACGCTTGACACCCGATTCGGGGTCAATTGCGTCTGCGTCTGCCACGACATGCTGGTCAGCGGTACCAACAGCGGCGGAGCCGTGTTTGTTATCTATATCATCTGAGGATACCATCTTGAGCACTATCGGCAACGGGGGTCGATGTTCGCCTTTTTTTGTGTAACTTTCGACCGTCCGAACTCTAATGAAAGATTAGAGCCGTAAAGCTGTTAAAGCTGCAGAGCTGTAGAGTCGTAAGAGGAGCTGGGAGGGTTCCGATTGAACCATGAGCAGGTTGACTGCTGCATGGACCCCTTCTATACTTTATACTTTTCGAAAGTGTCCCCCCCATCTCCCAAGCTAGGTTTCTGACTTCCTCTTCGTCCAGGTTATCTTGCCTCTTCCCCTCTTATCAGTTAGCTTTTTTTTAATCTATTTTTCTTAATTTTCGCAACAACAAGGGCCTGCATACATCTCATGCACTCTCGGTTGGAGCCAAAGCAAGTGGGTCCTTTCCTTTCCCATGTGGTCGGTCGACGTTAGCACGCGTATAATATAGGTCCCCGTTGTGGATTTTAGCGTGGGGAAGCGGTACCGCAATTCGTATCCCTGTGGCCCATACAAAATGCTGCTTCATGACGCCATACCGAACTAAAAGCACACAAAGAACCAAACTGGGCAACGAAACGGTGAAAAATCTGTCAAAGTGGTCTCAGACGGTGCCCGTTCTGAGTACAACTTTACAACCTGACCACCGCGCATTACGTGAAAAGATCTTTAGCATTGACATCCTTAAGTAATCCAGAAGGCTGGAAAGCCAAAAAATGCGAATGCGAATGGAATGTTGGTAGTTTGTCAGTTAACAGCTTCCCGGGTTTTGCATTCGGAGCTGGGACTGGGAGAAGGGAGGGCTTGAATTTGGCGAACGTCGGTATTGGTTACCTAGGTAGTAATGTTAATTGACCATGGTCATGTCCATGTCCTCGGTGCTGGCCGAATCGAATCCAATCGTAATCTTCGTTATCAAGATCATGTGGTCCAACGGATGCATCTCCTGTTGACGCTGACTCTGTGACTGGCCGCCACCGAACTCCAAGATCCGTCGCGTGATTTGAGGCTTGAATTTGGCAACCTAGTCAGCCGGCTTAGACATAATTTAACATTCATATCGGTGCCGTGGATTGCATTGCATATTCGAAGATGGCCGAATTGGGGGCACACTACACGCCAGTTAAGTTATGTTGGATACTGTTGGAAAGTCTTGGACAACGCATTTTACCTTGGAAAATGCAGGCAAAGCATTTCCAGGCATGCAAGATATACCAACAAGCCTTTGCTTGGTTAATCTTGCGCCTCCTCTTCACAATCCTTCATAATACAAAAGAAAAAGAAAAATTATATTTCTTGGACAGTTTTAGGTTACTTGGAAGATATGCTGGAAGAGAACGAGCGGGGTCCTTGGGCTATATATAAACATAGTAGTGTCAGGATAGTATACAGGGAGCGTGCTTGACAGGCTCGTGCTCATCGGAGCTCTGCTGGACAAAGAACAAAACATCCGCAGCAAAATCTGACAATGAGCGATGAACTGTCATAAAAGACGGTTCCTTTCGCAGTTGGTCAAGATGTCGTGCTGAAACAAAAGCTAGAAGCTTGCGGAAGTTATCCTGTGGAACCCGACTTCCGACTGCTCCAATCGTTTGAGGCTCATCATGAGAGACTATAACAAAATCCATCTGCAGGTCTAGCTCTTCTAGTACGCTTTGCATTAAAACCCCTTCTTCGGTGTCTGCACTGTATGTATTCTCGTAGACAAATTCTATAGTTTCGGGTAAGATCGATAGGTTGGCCTGAATTGTAGATTTGTCTTTAGAATTACACAGTGCTTTCGCTTGTTTGACTGCGAAATCCTGGAGGTCGTCGCACATAACTCTCGATGCGAAGACATAGACAGCGGCGTCAATCGATAATAGCGGCAGGTTCTTATCGTTGTCATAGATGTAGTATCCGAAGTAGCACCACTGTATAAACCGGTCAAAGGCTATTTTCGTATCGACCTCAAGGCCTAGGGAGACTTCTCGTGTTTGTGATTCGAGCATTTTAATCTCTAGCATCCTTTGGAAATAAAGGCTTTCCGCCAAAAGGAGACTTTCGTGGATGTTGTATTTGATGTTCTCCTTGGTGAGATGGATGGTCACGATGCCTGACTGGGAAAATCTATAAGATTACATTAGATGGGTTAGAGGTTATATAGCACGTTACATAAATATTCCTAGCCGCATTTAGCTTTGAGACCAGTATACCAGGCGCAGATGAGGGTGAGAACCATCCCGCGCCTGGTCTTAAGGTTAGGACTGGTCTCGTTGGTACCAGACAACACGAAGTACAGTTAGGACCATATCATTCGATTGATAAAGTTGCTTCGCATGTGGTCTTGCTTTGGGGTGCTTTGGACATAGCAGCGCTGGTGTCTCAAGTTTTGTGTTGTGGGAACCTTGCGGCTCTGCACATTCACCCAGCTCGAAGACAAGAATCGAAAGACAAAGCCTCAAGGCGGGCCTGGCACACGCGGACTAAAAGGTGGCTGGGATAACGTACTTTTCAAAGTTGACTTGATTGCCAGGTGAAGTTCCTCTGAGCCTCACAAACGAGTCCCAACAGCTCTTCCCCTCTTCAGGGATCGTTTTATCCATTTTAGGTGCATCATCGAGGCAGTCGTGCTGGTAGGTCTTGCAGTCAGACGACTTTTCCTTCGAACTCCGATCCCGAAGATTCTCGCCCGAGGCCTCAAAGCTACGAAGTCTGCAGGTATGGCATCTATCACAAGCTGAGCATCTACAGTCCTGCTTACAGAACTTGCAGAAGCGAGAGCAACTACCATGTTTGCATGTTAGGTTGACGTAACCATCAGAAAGAAATAAACCCTAAGGAATCGAGAAACATACCGTGTGTATCCCCGAACCATTTTTGATACCGCATATACGTACTGGCTTGGGGCAGGTTTTCTTAAAGATAGGAAGGAAAGTTAACTGTTTTTAGATCCTAGCAATATATTAATACTGATGGTAAGCGCGACGTCGCGTCGGGATCTGAAACCGATGGAATTGTATGAGCCTCGGGGCTGGGCACGAATTTTATCAGCCTCGTATCCAAAAGTGTATAAGAAACCTAAGCGACTTGTACAAATGTATGGGATTTCTCCTATAACTTCTAAGACATGAAGCAGTTTAAGGCCAGCTTAGGCTTACATTAACTACGTTAACTTTTAGCTTGGGAAATAGTAGTATTTCAATAAGGTCATTAGACGATACGAATAGCATCCGGTCCCGAGGGTCGACTACTATAAAATTGCAAAGGGGAATACTCATCAATGCATTGCGAATTTAAATGCTATGGCAAGGCGATATGAACAGTTCAAAAATCAATAACAAATAACTCGAAAAGTGTAAGTTTTGAAAAGTGTCTAAGTCTCTTCGAGTGGGAATTCAACCATTCGAAACTTAATCCTTAGGATCCCGTTCTCATCAGTACTGATATCCCCCCCAGGTCGCACGAATAAAATCAAGTCGGAACTAAAGTCGGGTAATGAACGGTGTAATCTCATGAAGGACGGAGATGCTCGAAATTTTTCCAAATGGGTCGCAGAATATGCTGCCAAAAGCATTCTAAACCCATCTCGAACAATATCATCTCCCGCGGAACTTTTTGGCACCTTTGGAACAGACTCTTTTGTGCTTGAAGCCGTTACCGTAGCATGTTGCCATTGCACTTGACCAAAAAGGGAGCTCGGAATCATCTCTCCCATTCGGGGGTTGGGCCCGGGAGCGGATGGCACTGGCTTCAGATTCTCGATCCCGAAAACCACAGCAGCACTACGGTCCGAAGTATGGTTATACACCAAAGTAATGACCTGATCAAAAATTTCAAGTAGCTTATCTGCGTCTCCAGACGAGGTGGGGAAGGGTTTTTGACAGATTGAAGTTGCCTTTCTTAATGCCATCGCTTTCAAGCGTTGGCATCGAGTCCGCTCCGCAAAGACGTAAACTTGGGCATGCAGTTGGAAGTTTTTGGGGATGCTATCCTTCTCGGAGTAATCTCCAACATAGCAATATTCGAGAAATGCCCCAACTGCATCAGGTATATCCACCTCCGGGTCGTCCAGTTCTACAGTTCCGGTCTGCGATTCCACCAGTTTGGACGAACTAAGACAACTAAAATACTCACTATGCCGTTCGAGAGCTGTTTTGTGGGCCCAATAGGTATCTCCTGACGGTATCTGGATCTTGATAACGCCATCTTTTAATATTGAGTCTATATATATACACGGGATCTCAAGCCTTTTGTTAGCAGTACTCTTATAACTTCATTTATAACTGGCAGATATAAAAACCCCATTGCAGTAGGTAGGAACTTACCGAATACTGCACCAGTAGAATTCAATGAGGCGTCCCGGACATACGTATTCTCGGAGGAGCAGTCATGTTTTAATTCGTCGCATGATGGAACATGTTCAGTCCTTGTAATGACATCCCCCATTTTAAAGGTTATGGTACGTGGGGGGCATGTGTGACACATTGTACACCGGTCACATAAACAATCATTTTGACATTTCTTGCAAAAGCTTGGACAGCTTGTTATTCGTACGCAAATATCATGTTAGAATTTTTGTGAGAGGACAAAATGACGGGGGGTTTCCACATGCATACCTGGAGTGTCCACGAACCATAGCGCTCTATATATATATATGTGCACCGGTCTGATTCGAACAAATCTTGGACAAGACTGGGTTGTTTTAAGATTGCTGATAAGATAAGGAGTAAATCTAAGTCGACTATCGAAGATAGGTGTCACGGATTATATTAAGGTAATCGTTCATCTAGAGACCTCGAGGAGACGGTATTGCGATATATATAAATGCCATATGTCGAATTGTTCTTGACTTAAGGTCATTTAATATTTGCTTCATGACCAAGATCTATAAATTTCGTACTCATAGGGTCTCAGGCACGCTGGCACCATGCTCCAGGCTCCCTTAGTCTGGGGTCAGGCTTCCAAAAGTTGCCTGAAATCTTCGAGTTCAAGCCTGCTCAAAATGCAACGCCCAGGCACAGTAGTGTGCCAAGGCGGGTGCCAAGAGCCTTGCGATGTTACACGAATCGATCGCGACACTAGCTCTGAGCCAAGTACCGGTACGGTACCCTCGCGAGTTAACGTTCGCTGGGCCCCCAAGCTGGCATTTGAAAGCCCATAATATTCCATAGTTTTGTCCGGTTTCTCTTTTTATCTAATTTTTTATCTAATTTTTTATGAGCAATCTAGTTCTCATTTCGTATTTCAATATCTATCAAAGGTAAAGCAGAATGCTGTGATTCTCCATAAGCTAATTATTCGACAATATCTTCAAGCACGTACGCTACACTTGCTAAAGTCCCTCAAATCATCAAAGGCGGATTGCCCGGATTAACAAAAAGAATCAAATCCGCCATAAACTCCGGGCATTCCTGATAAGTCAATGCAACGGCCTCTTGTTTCCTCAATTCAACAAGATGAGTAGCCCAATACTTCGCCAGCAGTATTCGAAACCCATCTCTTACAACACCATCACAATTTGGCCACTTCTCCTTTGGGCTGGCTGGGAATTTTCCAGTATTTACGTCATGAGTATGGTTATAGATGATTAAAATAGTCTCCGTCATTTTCTCCGAGTTTGCCGAAGGTGTTGAAGTAAAGCAACGATGGCTGGCTTTGTGGAGGGCTGTTGTCTTTAGTCCCATACATTGTAGTCTTTCTGCGAGGATGTAGACTTTGGCGTGTAGATAGAGTGGTTCTGGATGATCTTTATCTTCGTAGCTATAGTCTTGCATATAGCAATATTGTGCGAAAAGTGCAAAGGTTTCTGCATCGATACCTTCGTCGAGCGTTACGGTTTTATCGTGGGATTCGGCCATCCCCGAGTTCACAATATTATTGAAGTATATCGACGCCGCGCAGAGGGCTTTGGTGTGGATATTAAACTCCTTTTTCTCGGGTCCCACGATTATGGCAAAGAAATCCGAGTTCATGGCGCTAAAGTGTATGTATATATTAGCAACTTAACAATCCCACAGTATCGATGTCCCACCAACCCTTGTAAAGTGATAGCATGATCCTTGCTCTTTAAATTCACAGTATCGCTCTGAGGCTGCGTCTCGCCTAAATCACAGCTATGTGATCGGTCATAGTTATCGCAGGCGATATTGTGGTCATTATCGCGCTGAGTACGTGTCTCAGGCAGACTGTCTAAGAGGTCTTTGTGTGGCCGGCATGTATGGCACCAGTCGCAGTTTCCACATATGCAATCGGATTTGCATTGTTGACAGAAGCGATAACAGCTAAAGATTTCTTAGTCTTAATCAACCGAGCTAGTGGGAGGGCTCCAATGGTCTAGGGAGTACATACTTTGGATACCCTCGTACCATAATGACTGATTGTGAGTGCTAACCAAGAACAACTGGTAGTACAACCGGCTGTAGCTTCAGTAGCTTAGGGTATTGTTTGATGTCAAAAGGTTGAATCTTGAACCGTGTTCCAACCTTTGAGGAGGGTTTATAGGCGAAAGAATTCAAAGCTCGCCCTGTTTATAATTTAAAAGGCAGCGTGGTCTGCTATCTCGTGCGCTTCTTAACCCGAGCTTTTATGCCCAACGAGAGCGACTCTGGCTAGTATGTAGTACTCGTGTTGCGAGTTGTGAGTTGTGAGTTGTTCTAAACGGGCTGTATCGAGCTTCAGGCTTGCCAAACTACAATACACGGAGTGGATTTCAAGGAAGAGAAGGATGTTTTGAAAGAACTAAAGAAGAGGTTTATCAACGTGAATGTATACATATGAATCGCGGAGTCACATGATAGCGAGTATAGAGGACAACCTCAGATGAGTTGGCCCTTCGGATGGATGAGTCAGGAGCTACTTAACGTGATTAGCTTGTAAATACGTAAACTGCAGTATGGTCCTACATGAGTCTCTTGGCTTGCAGCATAAACAGTCATACTTCAAAGGAAAAGTCATGGAATTACTATTTCGATTAATTGCAAAATTAAAAGTCTCTAACGTCTCATCCTATGTTAATTATTGGTCGTTCTAGCGTTATCTTATTAGCTATTGCATGCTGTGGGTTGGCAGGAAGTTTTGCCTAACACGCACGACATATTCAACAGTCACAGCGCCAAAAAACCAAACTAACACCTTTTTAAACAAACTGGAATGGATAAACCATGTTGCCATTCTTGTCGACTTGCATCTTTTCTCCAGAGCCAAGGAATAGGAGGAGGTCAGTTGCGAAATCAGAGCGGGTGCTGTGAATTCTAAGGAAATCCTGCTTTGTCTTCAATTCCGCGAGATGACAGCTGGAGATCTTAGCGAGCAACAACCTGAAAGGATCACGGATGATATACTCCACCAAACTTCCTTCTGTTTCTCCTCCCTTGCGTCCGGGGGGTCTTCCGGAATTAGGATCAACCGTGAAGCTATAGATCGTCGAAATCGCACGCGGAAGGCTAGCGATGACTCCGTTGTATCGGGATGCGGTATCGAAACTCCCAAGGCAGTATCTCGTGGCGCGTTTGACGGCCAATGCCTTGAGGTCTGTGCATTCCAATCTTTCGGCGAGAACATACACTTTGGCGTGAATGAAGAGTTGATCCAAGGCTCTCTTGTTGGGGACGATGTAGTTCTTGATGTATGCAAACTGAATGAACATCTCAAAGGCTTCGGGGTCATCAACTTTCTCTGTCAACGTGATATTCTGGATGTGAGAGTCCTTCGACTTCTGCAAGGTCTCCTTTTCAAAGAATGGTGACGCGCCACGGAAAGCATCGAGATGGACCCTGTACTTTCTTTTATTTTCTCCAACGAAAACAACGAGGATTCCAGATGCACAATGTCTATGGCCAATCCCAGCGGTTAGTACACACACACTATGTTAGAAAGAAGATAGAGACAGCTCAGGCTGATTACAAAGACGGGGAAGCAGTATTGACTGCTGACCTACCGGGGAAGTCTTTCAATCTCATTCCTAGCGTTAACATCAATCTCCAAGATCTCACAAAAGTGAACCAAATTTCTACAGCGAAAAGCAGATTTCAGCTCGGACCTAATGTCTTCGCAAGTATGACATCGTTTGCAATTGTCACATAGACAATCAAGTTTGCAAGTCGAGCAAAACTTAGAGCAGCTGGTAGATGGTTGATATCAGTCTCGGAACGGCGTGGACTTGGAAGGACCTCCAAAATGCAATGGTCTCACGTACTCAGTATGTCCTCTGACCATGATTGAAGGTTATTAGCCGTTGGCTTGGTTCCCTGTGGTGTTAGTAAGGAGTGGAAATAAGAATAGCAAAGAGCTAGATGGGGCTTGCAGATGGTGTCGAAGTCGAAGTTGTCGTGTAAGGATTCAGCTTGAAGGTGGGTGACGATTGGATTTTAAGCTATGTTATGATACTGTTCGAGTAAAAAGCTGGTCAATGGGTCAATGACATCGGTGTCAGGTGATTACACGTTTCAATTCGGCGTTGAATCTCCTACGTATTCTGGCTGAGCTAGAAATGAATTCATTTGGCGCTGACTTGAGCGCTTCTCCTGAAATTGAATTATGAAACCAACTGCACATACATAATAACAGAAACCTTTTGCAAAAATACAACGTGAAAGCCTAATTAATGTTGAAAAAACCAGAACCTATGAATAAAACTACCCGAATTGACCATGAAAAGCTCCTGGTAGCGCAAAAAAATACCATAATACTGTTGGTTACTGACCTACACTTACTAGTAAAGGGACTTGGAAGCATCTTGATGTCTGCTAGCTCACGACGTCTATATCCGAATGTGGTCCGGCGTCCAGGGGGTCTGAACGAGCAAGTTTTAGAACTCCAAGCAACCCTTGCCATCCGTTTTGAATCCAGCAGAAGCCCCAGTGAACAGAAGAACATCAGCGCTGAACGCAGGCTGATCCTGTAAAACACTCATGAAGGACTCGTTTCGGCGCAAACTGTCAATATTATGAGCAGCGAATTTAGCAAGGAGCATCCGAAACCCGTCTCTGCTGGTTGTCGTGATGGAAATTGCATCCTTATCCGCTGATTCCGTTACGGTAGATGGATACTTCCCGGTATTTGAGTCATATGTTGAATTGTAAATGATTGGAATAGTTTCTGGGAGGATGAATTGCAGGACCTTTATAAGGCTAGTAGCGGAAGTGTCTGTGATTGCTTTGGAACATAGCGAGGTTGCCTTCTTCAGGGCAAGGGATTTTAGTTCTAGAACTTCGAACTTTTCTGCGAAGACATAGACCATAGCGTGTACTTGAAGAGCGTCTTCTTTCTCACTATCGTCGTAACCGTATGTACCAAAATAACTGAACTGGATGAACAAGATGAAGGCGACATCGTTGTCGACTATGTCTTTGAATTCTATCGTCTTACTTGTCTTTTCTTTCATCTCGAGCTCAATGTGTTTTTTCATGACGGGGGAGGTCTGGCGAAGGGCTTCTGAGTGTATAAAATACTTTTTATCCTCGCCGATTTTGATAGTGTAGACTTCTGATACACAGTATCTACAGTATTCACATGTCAGCTCTAAGACGTAGTGAATGACGGTATTATATCATCTTTTATTGTACTACCCTAGACTAGATTTATAAAGACTTACTGTGCAAATCTATCTGAGGTTTCCCTCAGAAACTTTCCCACTGAACGACCATCAGGCCCAGTGCAATTATGGCGCCACGGATGATTCGTTCCTCCAGTGGTGTATGCTGCACTCGTCTGACAGCTGTGGCAGTAGTTACATTGCTCACAGGTACAGTCTAGTTTGCAGTTGTTACAATAGCGTGGGCAACTATTTGCAGCACTTTAGTGGGCCCAAGGCTTTTCTAATATCGCCAAATGCACTTGAAGACATAGAAAATTGTTCGTAATAACTTCGCGAAGTGTGAGCGTAACAACTTACCCTGGGACGCCTCGTTTAGTCATCTTAATATTGTTCGTATCAGGGTGCTCTGGATTTATGCCAGTAGCTCCTGTGATCCCCTTCTCTTTTTGGCGGTATTTTGAGTGACCGAGGATAAACTATCCCCAGACTAACAATACTCCTCCTTTCGTTTCGCGAACTTAGGGCTAGCGCTGGGGAGCAATGTTAACTCTTAACTAGGACTTGACGAGTTGAAATTGTTGTATTCTGAACAGGCTAGTCGAAATGAAAAATTCTACAGCGGTGTGTTGAAGAGACCCAGAAAATTCTCGTATCCAATTCCATTTGATCGGTGCGGGGTTCGCACTTAAGTACGCCAGGACGACATATGAGTAGGCACTGTTGAGGATCAGGCATCATTTGGCCTGTTCAGATCTTGAACCTGGTAGATTCAGGTTTCTGACGGTACGTTCCAGCCTTGTCTCGATACTCCGGGTTCATCCTCCCGCAATTCAATTCCCTGGGTTTCTCCTCTCTGCCAGACACTGCAAAGTGCACCAAAACTAGCGTTTCTCGGCAAGCGGTGCCACATATTTGCTGTGACACAAGGCTGAAGCGGGGTTAGCATCTTGAAAATCGAAATCAATTTCGTTCTTGCACGTGCAATACACTTTTACGCACCTTGCAAGGCTGAGGGTTTCCTTCAAATATGAGCTGCGGGGAAAGAAAGAAACAGTATTGATTGTTAGTCTAAATAGCGTTTAGATTTCTGTCCAGACTCTTGAACCTCAAAGGCTCCACCTACCCACTGAAAAGAGACTTGAACCTACTTAAATAGGTTCTCCAGATACATCTATTCGAAACTTCTCTGGGCCGCACGCCCGCTACACTGAACAGCACTAATCCACCACGATGGATCTTTCAGAGTAAGTGAAGTCACCCTGTGGGCTTGGTTCCTAAACAAAAAATGCCACAACAGCAACAAAATCGGCAGCGCAGGGATTCTCGCTATATCGTGCCTGAAAACTTGCGCTACCCCGGTACATGCATATGCCTACCCGAATTGCACGGCAGTAGATACCTCAAGAGCTTTGTGACCTAGGGCTTGGGAGGGGGGGCGTTTTTTTCTTTGTAGTCTTACTATCTTGAGTAAAGCAGCAGTTCACTCACAAATCTTACCCCTCTTTACAATAGAGTGCTGAAATCGCCCACGATCGCCCTGAAAGTGGGTCCATTGGACTCAGAAGATGTGGCAACTTACCATGTCCATGAATCCGTACTCATAAAATCTTCTCATTATTTCAAGCAAGTCTTGAACTCCAAATTTTCAGAAACAGTAAAGAGGGAAATAGCCCTATCCTCCCCAGTGGACACGCCACAAGCGTGCGAACTGTTCTTCGACTTCGCATATAAAGGGAAATGCGAACCCAAAACATTGAACCCGCTGCTATCCTACGGCGAAGCGTATCTTTTCGGGGAGAAGATACAAGCTATCGAGTTCAAAGAGTACATCTATACTCAGGCAAGAGCGGAAGCCGACCAAAAATTCAGAGATCTGGACTTCTTATTCAAGTCTATAAAACCCACGGATACCTTCTCCAAGCCACGGGCGGAACTACTCGACACATGGGGGTTATTGATCGAAATGATATACGAGGATACGTACGATAACAAGGAAGAAATTCTTAGCGCCGCAACCCCCTCAGATGCCGGAACACCGTTCAAGGATCACCTGGACAACGTCAAATCATGGCTAGAAACTTCGAAGCTCGATCCATTCCGTGGATTACTATCGCAGATTTCCGCTCAATACCCATTGGTCATAGCCAGCAATCCCCGAATTGTTGGATTAATCCGTTCCATCCCTGGATTCGCGGCGGATATTCTGAACTATCAATTGAAATCAGCGGTGGAGGAGGTCGAACAAAAGCATGTCTTTGAACTACCACATCTTTATGCCGTGACCCGGAAAAAATCGCCATAGTAAAGTGAAGGTGGTGGGTATTGGAAGGAACGAACGCTAGGAGGCACGTTCGCGGGATAAACTGGTCGCGTAACCAGCCGCCATAGGGGGAGGAGTGGCGAAATTGAAACAAAGGGACTCCTCCCTTTGTGGCGTCCGGGTGTGAGACCAGGACAAATTCATCTTTAGTATTCAAATTGTATTCCTTTGACCAGATTGTCAATTTGAAATTAAACCATACAAAACCCTTTTAAAAAAAACATGTTTCCTTGGTAAACAAATCCATTTTCAAGCTAGTCTTCGTCTTCTCAATCGCTCTCCCAATTCTCACCTCCCCACCAAGAAGGCTTTCTCCCACATCTCCATTTCCCCTTCATTCTCTTAAACCACCAGTAATCTCTCTCAACTTCCACATTAGCATCCATTAAAGTCTCCTTATGCTCCAACAAAGCCCGTTGTACAACCCCCAAATTGAATGTCTCTTCCATATCCTCCCAATTTTCCAAAATACCCATATCAACCCACTCAAACCTAACTTTAACATACTCCAACCCTTCACAGAACTCAAAGAGTCTTGCAAGCTCCGTTGCTTCGCATTCGAGGTTGAATAGTGTAAGATCTTTGACTTTACACAGATATGAGGATTCCTCGAAACGATTAAGGAGGGAGAAGTCGCCGCCCAGCGTGTTTAATCCGATCTTTTCGATGTTTGGAAATAAGAAAACGGGGAAGATTTTATCGATGTCAAATGCGTTTTCGTTATCCATGTGCCCCCTTGAAAATCTTTTTAAATTTTTCAACGATTCAGGAAATCCTTCTTGTATCTCTTCAGGCTCTGTAATATGTTTTTTGTCATCCATAATAAGTCTATGAATAAACTCTTCCAGATGCGCGTCCAAACAGTCGGAATAGACCCCTTCGAGTTCAATATCAACGACAGGGGTACCCATATCCAACTCCTCCAGCTCCGGGAGCAAACATAGGATTGGGATAAGAAGAGAAGCAGGGTCCTGAAGTTCTAGAATAGATTTAACCCACCGTGGGTGGAAACTATACTTCTTCGCCACAACGTCCAAACCTTCAAGTTCTTGGTCCGTCCATTGAAAGTCCCCAGCTCCGTCTTTTATTTCATCCCCACCTGAGGCATCGGAGTCAGAATCATTCCTTCGCTCCGCATACCCCCATATCACACTCAATTCTTTGAAATTCTGACCAAAGGAAGGTTCGACCAATAGTCTTCGAAGGAAACTTGTCAACTGCCCCGGACGATTGCTGCAAAGGGAGATATCTGGATCGCGTGGAATATATTCTTTCGCGACATTATAGAATGTTTTGCATATACGAATCGCTACCCAAAGGTCCGAGCGGCTCAGATCCGGATGGCCCAAGATCTCGTGAAGTATTTCTGTTGGGAGAGCGGTAATACTAGAGGCCATGGTTTCTTTTGGCCTGTGGCTATTCAAGCCCAAGCCGCCGAAATTTAGCTAATGGAAGAAAGAAAATTAAGTTCGGAGCATAAATACCCACCAACGCGTGGAGAGTCGAAAGAAGAAAGGGGTCACTGTTTAAAATGGCCAAAAGTGAATTCTGCTGTATCATTACATGCGCGTGTTATTTTTGAAGAGATTGCGTTGTCGATGTATCCCAAGATTTCTCGTACGAGACGCTCCCGTTGGAAGCGGTGCCTTGGCGACTTCCCGCTGGAAGGTGGGCGTCACAAGCAAAATAATAATAATAATAACAAAAACAATAACGGAGAGAGGGTTTTAGGATTTTTGGAAAGAAACATTGAATTCTGATTAATTCGCCAGAATGCCATATTTTACAAAACAGAAGTAGTTTGGGCGGCAACAGAACCATGTCCACCGTTCATGAACTCGATGCAAGAACGCTATATGGGATATAAAACCAACTAATCAATCAGGCTGTGGTTCATCTCGATAATGGTATTCCTGTTCGAATATCATATAATGAAAGAACCCCGGAATTCAGAATGGGAATACACTTCCATCAAAGATGGAAACTATTAAGCACTAAGAAAAGACCCATAAACTGTAATCCCACAGAAAAGTGACACCTTTTGTCTAAAGAATTTAGTACATGCTCATAAACGTCGTGATAATCATGACAATGGCAATATGCCATGCAGAAATATGTACCGAACTCGCGGAGTTTGGTTTCGATGTTGAAGTTGCTGGAATTTCCGAATTAGAACTCGCTGGACTCGAAGTGGTTGTAATACTCGTAAAACGTGCGGAAGGGGTGGAGGAAGAGGGAGCGCGCGAAGGGGACAAACCAGTACTAGTAGACGCAGGCAGGGACGTTGCGATATCTCCGATGGTTGGGATGCTGGCACTCGGGTCAATTGTCCAAGCGCTAGCAGAGCTGGCTGGGCAGTCGACCTGAGTATTGGTTGGAGTATACCTAGTTTTCAGGTATTAGTATATATGTATCTAGGCTGCGCGTGTTATCGGAATCTGGACGTACGCGCTCAAGGTGAGGCTTGTAGGGCTGACACTAGCCCAAACGGTTTTCAAGTTATTAAAGTCCGGAGAAACTGGCGTTGGGGTACCAGATCTACAGTACGTATCCGGGTTAGTTGATTTCATCCCAAATTAGCGGCTCAGCGCGAAGTACCTTTCATATGGATCGCCACCAACGGCTGTAGATGTGTCTTTGACCATTCCATAGCTAACCAAGCCGTACTTGTTGTCTTCGTTGATCCATTCGTAGACGATAGCTCCAGACCACCACTAAGTAAAATTTAGAAAATTCGTCCTTCAGAAGCTTCGCAACCATGCATTTTTTCTCTCGAAAACTTACATCAGTCATATTAGGACCGAAGATGGAGTACATATCCTCGAATAATCTAGGTGGGCTTGTATTGCATCCATCTTCACTTAGGAAGGCTGGAATATCGTACTGAGCAGCAGATAGATAGCCTGTCAGGCGAGAGTAACCGCTTGTCTGGAAAGTATCTGTTGGATTGCACCATTCGTAGGCATTGACGCCGTAGAAGTCGATCGAGGAGTCCCGGTCGGTGAAACCTTCGTGATTACATGCCAAATAGTTTTGAACAAACGGGCTATCAAAATTAACCACAGTTTTCGGGATTTATTTAGCGAGATATCTTCAAACTTACCGAGTGTCGGCGTTATCAGTGGAAGCATAGCCAATATACACAGAATGATCGTATTTCTTGTTCTTTATATGGGTCTTGATATCAGCAACAGCGGCAGCGATAAAGTACACCGCCCGTTCACCAGAGGCTATATATTTTACATTGATTAGTAGTTTTTTTTGTTCGATGGCGATCGATCAATTGAGTGATAGTGAATATATTTACCCTTAGTAATGACTTCATTTCCGATCCAGAAACCAACGGTGTTTTCATATTTTGCAAATGCATCTAAAGTAGCCGCGAAAGAAGAGAGTTGCTGTTGACTCCAATACGGATTATCCTCGTTAATACCGGTTTCATAGTTGGCGAGGTCAACGAAAAGGTATATCCCGGCGTCTGCGAATATCTTCATACAGTCGTCATGGTTGGCAGTATAATCAGTTTGGTAGACACGGATTGTGTTCACACCAAGCTCCTTCATCAAGGTGGCATCAAGCTGACACTGCTCCTTGTCCACCAACGGGTCCTACTCTAGATGTTAGCCCAATTACAAGCACTCCCAACCGGCATCATTCCGGAATTTCTATAAATTTTAATCTAACTTACGACTCGAGCACGTAGTTGGTATGCAACACCTATTCGCGTAAAAGTGTTGTTACATTGTCAGCCTCATATACCTCCAAACCGAATTCATTCGGTGCGCTCGTTGCACAGCCTTGCCGGGGAAAAGCCATTGCTTTCAGTAGAAGTAGGCATACCTTTGATGTAAAACTGTGCACCTGTTTCGGAGTTGAAGAATTTGTTTCCCTTGATTGTTAAGGGAGCAATTGCCTCGACGAGCCCGATACTCGTGGTAAGCAGAGCCGCGACAAGCCCGCCCAGTTTACCCCGGAGATTGATCATAGCGGTATCTCGATAATGCGGAATGCAGACGTTAGTATTCTTCCGGGGGAGATATTAAAGTCTTGGCCTTGGCGATATAAGCACTCTTGGAAAGATGAAATAATACGAAAGGAAAGGAAAGAAGGAAAGGAAGGAAAAGAAGGAAAGAAACGGGAAAAGAATCGACTATTATTATTTTATTTACAACCAGCGCGACGTCAGCCTTTTAAAGGAGATCCAAAGCAACGGGGCTGCAATGCAAATGACGCGCGACACTATAAATACAAAAGAATATTGCATAGTATTGCCTGGTCGACTCGGCTCGAGGTCTAAAACGGAATGGTTGCCAGACAACCAGCCGTTGATCGAGGAATCTCCATGGCCAGGGGTCCCCACTCTGTCGCTGTATTCGAGTGCCTTTCGGTAAGTACATTTACTTATTCATACTCGGACTTGTGCGTGCTTGTACTTATACATGTATCTTACTATTATCCGCCTTGTTCGGTCTTTTCCTGGCCCGCAAAATGGATTAAATGCCGACGCAGCCGGAATATAATTGGAAGTAGAGGTACGGGGGAGTACAATTGGTATGTGACTTCCTTGTTCCCGTCTTGTTCATACTAATACTCTTTAATTGCTGGCTTGCGTATGCACTGTCTCGTCTTAGCCAGGAACAAGTGGATGTATCCGGCTGAAAGAAGGTCCGCAGGTTCCACTAAGGAATAATAAGGCTTGTATCCTTTGATTTCAGCGAACGAACAGTTGCCATTCTTATCGATAATGGGCGAAAAGAGAGGGTGACATCGACCATTATTTCTATTTCTGTTCGAGACCTCGACATCCCTTGTCATCCCTCCGCCCAAGAAATGTGTCAGCGACTTGGCCAGAAGCTTGACTGCCTTGAGTCTCCTTGTCCAAATCAAACGGCGCCCGCTTGTTAAACTGCGCCCAGCCCGACCAGCCCGCTTTGGGCTTAAATTGGTCGAAATTGTGTGCAACCGGGACTTACCGAGAATGGAAATACCACAACTTAGAATGTGTTGGCGGCTTTCCCTTCGGACTGACGATTTCGGTCTAGATAATTGAAATCGCCGGCAGTTATCGCTTTACCATCCACCGATTAAATTAAAGGACTGAATGATATGAATTCTTGACGTGTCTAGCACGCCAACTGAAAACTCTTTCTATTAAGATTTAATTATTCGCAACTTTTATTTCTACGTAAGGTCTTAATTCGCATCGGTCAGACTTTGGTACCTGAATCCTCGATCATTATTCTCAATCTGAGAAGATGGTAAGGAGTAGTTGATCAATTGAGTTTGGATTTTGTTTCAAGTAAGGGATTCCCTAGCATGCGAGTATGCAAACCTTCGGAAAAACTCCTGCCTGTAAATCCGGGCCGTTGGAAAGACGGGAAAGCGGCTAGACCCAGGTTCCTGGGCAAAGATCATAATATTATACGGCATGACTCGCACATGCACAGAAGCTGTCACTGTCATGTTCGCCGTGAGAGGCCATTATAGAGCTTCGTGCCTTGTGCCTGGATCCCAAAGACCAATTGGGCATATATCATGCTAGTATCACACAGGATAGGTCGATAGCGCTATAGCACTGGCCCTTGCCCCACATACACAAGGCCGTCCTTCACCCCATATCCGCTAGTACAGGGTTGCGGGTTTCACTTTCCAATAACTCCAATCCATCTCGCCGCCGTATTTACGGTTGGTCAGAAATTATCTTGTAAACATTTGGATGGGTGACTACCTCAACATGACTTTCTCGGTTCTTCGGCAATCGACCATATCGATCTATGGGATGAAGATACGGAAACCTTATAAGATCAAACCCAAAAACTCGGCAACATATCTAAGTATGAACTCAGGAACAAAGTTCTGGCTCGCCTTAAACGAGAATCCAGACTCTTCCCCACTACTCTCTTCATTAAGATTTAGCTCGGGTTGGGCTCGGGAGAGTAAACTTTATGGCCACACTTCCACATCCGGCCTAATCTACAATATGATTTTCTGGGAGTATTTCCACATCCGTCAAAATATAACCATGCGAAGCGAAAGGTTGACCGGCCGTGCAAATGCAGTTCGATATCAATATCGCTCCCTACCGCCAGGCAACGCAAGAAACCCATTTTTTCCCTTCAAACTGAGATCGATATTACCTTTCGTAGATCATATTAACATTGACGAACAAAGTTCGGCATGTCGGGAAAATTTGCATCGGTAGCGTCAACCCTATACTGTGTTCGTCTCGCCGTTCTATTCTAGTATTCCTAACGTTCCCGCTACGAGCTTCCCCAGCCGGAAAAATTGACTTCGATGAAGATGCTATAAAGGTTGGAAAGGTCCACGATTGGCTTTAGAAATGCCGCCACTCTTTGAATTATACAACTATCATATGATCGAATATCTCATTAATTCAACTTCGGAGCTAGTTTTTTCTACCCTCAGGCTTGTACCACCCGGCTCGAGTGCTGAAGGGTAGTTCCCTTTTAATCTTCACATTACATCACGGCTGTAACACGCTATTTTTGTTGAAAGTGGAGTCATAAATCCTCATTGTCAAGATGGCGAACCTTCTCGATGTTTTGCTGTCTATTTACAGTCAGCTTTTAGCTCTGCAGAGTCAGATCCAGACTGCAACTGTAAAATCTTCGACCACAACAGCCAAGGTTCCATCAGCTACTAGCGCTAAGATTACCAGCTCGACATCAAAGCTGGTTAGCACTTCTGCAACAGCTAAAGCTTCGGTATCAAGCGTTCGGTCTACCGTCCCAGCTTCCAGTGTTCGTTCTACCACGACTACCGCCAAAGCAACCTCCACAAGTTCAAAGGCTGCATCCAGCGCCGCCAGTTCCAAGGCTCCATCTTCCTCAATTGCTATTCCCTCCGCTCAAATTTCTTCAGCTATAAATATTGATTCTGTTTTATCGTCTATTGCTTCTGTCATTTCAACCTCGGTTCTTCCTGTCGCCTCTACTGCACTTCCATCTGTTGAGATACAAAACCCCTTGTCTTCATCAGTGGGGCCGGGACCGTCTGCCCCGTCTGCAGATACATCATCCCTAAGCTCAACCTCTACTGCTGCAGCTCCTTCTGCCACATATACATTGCTCAACAATGTACTTATTTTGGCACCTGACCAATCAACTGCTGCGTTGACTGAACAGCCACTCGATGGGTATGGCATGGCCTGGGATACTTTTATCGTACCGAAAGAAGGGATCGAACTACCGGCTTTGACTTCAAACAACAGCAATGGAACAATCACTTGCAAGTATAATATAATTGCGATGCACTCGCAGTTGTCTTATGACTATGGTGATCTCGGCTGGAGAAGTGCCCTGACGCAAGATCAGATGAACCAAATTTATGCCTATCAGGTATCTTGCAACGTCCGAATGGTCCACTTTAACATCTGGCCGGGCAACTACGCCTTTGGTGCTGATGCTATCGGAGGGTGCTGTGATGCTGCGGACGTACAAGATGTCACTGTCATCAAGGAAGTTGCAGACGCACGTTTCCCATCTGCCGGGCTCAATTCTGTTCCTCTCCCGCTTAATGGATTATACCACGTTCCATCGAAAATCACTGATACCAACCTTACTCAAACCACTGCATTCCTTGAATTTGGCCCTAATCTGCAGTATGCCGAAACCACTGTCGGTGGCGTTATTAACACATTCCCCGATGGGAGATCTCAAATGGCGTTCTTCTGCAGTTTTGGAACCTGGAGTCCAACCAGTGCGTACCTAAATCATATTTGGATTCACTGGGCGACTCATGGTCTCTACGATGGGTATAGGCGTGCTTTATTGAGCACCCAAATCGATGATGTTCTATTGGGTACTGAAGCCTGGGATACTGGTATAACTTATCGCACCACAGTCACGGACATGATAGTTCATGCTGATTGGGTCAACGATGTCAATACCCGCCTTGCAAAGACCAATCCAGGCTCTCATTATATGGTGGAGCTTGGATTGAACGGAAACGGTAATGTTCTTCAGTCCTATGATCAACAACTACTGAAGACATCTCTCAAGGGCACTTGCCAGGATCCAATCTGGTATGCAAAGGATCCTGATACTACCCCTCTCGAATTTCAAAAGGTTTTGGGTACTGGTACGGACAGTTGGCCTACCGATATCACCGAATTTTCTCTCTACACTTTAACTTGCCTCAAGCTTGATCCCTTGTCCGTATGGCTCTGGAGTACAGTTCCCGCACGGACTGCGTACTACTTTGTCAGCCATACATTTACCCACCTGAGCTTGAACAATGCAACTTACAACGATACTTATCGTGAGATCAATTGGAACTTGAAGTATTTCAAGGCCACTGGTCTTGATGTCAATACTCAAATCAGTCAAGGCGGTCTCATTCCCCCAGCTATCACGGGTATGCATAACGGAGACGCTTTGCGAGCCATGATGGATAATGGCGTTTGGAATGCTGTTGGTGATAATACTCGGCCTCCTTTAAGGAACCAGGACAGTGTGTATTGGCCATTGTTTACCACTGTCGCAAATAATGGCTATGACGGCTTCCAAATCACTCCCCGATTTGCAACTCGAATCTACTTCAATTGGTTTGTCTTCACTAATCTAATGACTCGAAATGGTATAAGGGACTAACAAAAGTTTCAGCGATACTTCCGATTGTACTGTCGCCGAGTGGGTCGCAACATCGACGGCAAAGGGCGACATCAATGACCTCCTCGATGTTGAGCAAGAGACTACTATTAACTCACTTCTTAACTTGATGCATGGTAAGCCTAAGAACTATTTTCACAGATTTGGCAGTATATGTTAATATATATATTATGTAGACCCTTACATGTTCCACCAAGCCAACATGAGGACTAACATCACCAACTTGGTCAACATCCCCGGCACTTCATTAACGTCCAAGTTCTCCTTACTTCAAATGTGGACTGAAACCCAAATCGCCGAATTCCAGCGTCTGGTAACTTGGCCGCTACTAACCTACAAACATGATGACATCGCTACTGCCTTCAAGAACCGTTACCAGCGAGATCTCTGCTATGCTCAGGTTAGTCAAGGTGTTAGCGAGGGTAAGGTTGTTAGTATCACGGTTTCCACACCTAATAATACCTGCCCAGTTGAAATTGCAGTTACAGTTCCTGGTGGTGTTAAGGAGACTGGAAGCAACATCCGTGTTGAAAAGATTGGAAACGATTTGCCTACTGTTTGGTTGAAGCTAAATGGGCAACCGATTACACTTACCCTCAATACGCCGCTTGCTATCGGTGGGCTATAATCAATATATGGTATTTTTAGTTGCTTCCTTCAGCTTTTGTCCTTTTTACGGAAACCGTGTAGATGTAAAATATTCGTTTTTATTTGGTACTGGTGCGCTGCTTTAGTATTCCTCTTATTACCAGCTGTATATAGACTCTAAGTATTTCTTGCCCGGATAATAAGAATTTGAATGTACACGAATCTTTAAATATTAGTGCGGTGTGTAAATACTCTCTTGCACGGCATAAAAACGAAGATTTAGGTGGATTTGACGAGATCAAACCGCTACTAACTCTCGAGGGTCTTCCTGTTTCGGTTATACGTTCCAACGATGCAACCCATCCCGGGTGATTCTTCGCAGAGGGTGCCGCTTTCAAAATCTACTAGCTACTCAAAGGGTCATCATCTAGATATATAGTTAGCTCTACTGAAGCACGTTCATGAAAAGTGTGTGCACTTACCCCAATCATAACTGGTGGGACCCTGCCTTGCACTTTGGCTTCTTCAATTAACTTTATCTCTTCCGGCGATGGTAGTAGCAACGAAGTAGTTTTAGCCATCTCCTGAACACGCGATTGCATCTCTGACTGGATTTTTTCTTGCGTCTGCACATGGTAACGAGATTCGTCAGTTCCCGGTAGGGCACATGGTTATAGTAAATCAAGGCAGTCATCCATATGGATCCATTGGCACATTCTTTTTTTAACATACCGCTTTTGCTAGGTTCCCAATCCCAGCCCCAGCGCCGCTTACCCAACTCTCCAATTTGTCTATTTTAGCATTCATCTCTCTTCTAGTATTTGTATCTCCGTATTTAGGATCGATTCCTGCAGATAACACCCCAATTTCTTCTACGATGGTGAGGCCTGGTATAATGTGTTTATCCGATAAAGTAATCCACATCTTGGCAACGTCCGTAAAGCTGCTGAAGTATGCTCTGATCGTCAATACTCCATGAAAGATCGATGTTCGCATGAAGTCATCGAGAGAATAGTGCTCATTAAAATTCTCGAGACTGATAGCAGTCTCCTGCATGAAGGGTTCCACTACTGTTTTCACGACAGCATCAACTGCGGTTGAGACGACGGAGAAGAATTTCGCGAGCGTTTCTATCTGTGCCTTCATTTTAACGATTAAGGCGATTGACTGAACAAGCATAGCTCTGACTTCTTCGAGAGTTATTTCGCTTGTTTGGAGTTTCGTCAAACTGGCCTGGACCTCGGTTACCGCTTTCTTTTGTTCTGCTAGCATTTTGTTCGATTCCATGAGTTTATCGTTGACCTCCCTCAATGCAGCATTTGCGGCATCAGCTTTGGCTCTTGCATTGTCAACCATAGCTTGAGCTACACCCTTTTCACCACCCGTTTGAATGGAATTGAGGGTATTTAGAGCGGCTTGCTGCAGTCCACCTATCACTGGCATCTAGAGAAGAGTGCGATTAGAATTATAGTCCAGTATTTATTAAGCGATGCATCGATGAAAGTGGAAAGTCCCTACAGAATTGATAGGATTTCCCGGTAGTTTACGCCCCTTAGCTTGCAATTCATAGGCAATATTATACTGGGTATTAAACTCGTCCTGCCATTTTATCACAATTGGGTCCGCTTTATCAAGGTTGTCTGCAGTAGCAGCGGTGTCTCTAATCTCTTTCAGTACCTAGTATAGTCACAAAAGCCCTAGATTAGCCATATATGCCGAGTTCACTTAGGGAGTAATGATGAGAATTCGGCTAACCTGGGTAATTGCATGTAAGACTGCCACCAACTTCGCGCTCGCATCACCCACGGGATCTGAAGGCCTAAATGTATCTTTAATTGAAGAAAGCATCTGGTAGGCAAATAAGTAAATACTATTCCCATTAGAGTCATTTGAAGCCTGCGCCCAGTCGATTCCTCCATCTGGACCATTGATGACAGACTTGAATATATTGAGATAAACCATAATATTGTTCAACTGGACATATGCTGGGTCTGCAATATCGGTTAATGTATCTCCGGCGGAACCCACGAGGGCTTCACTTAGACTTTGGCCAATGCTCGATTGTGTGGCTAGCTGTCGAGCAAGTCCTTGCACACCAGTGGCGCCCTGGTCTGCTCCCACAGACGTGATAGCATTTATTGCTGTATTCATGGTGTTGACGTAACCAGATGCCAGATCTCCTAGTAATCCTTCCCACCTGAACCGCTCTCCGCCAAGTTAGCAACTTATAAGTCTGGCTTATTTAGGTTTTGTGCTTTACCCATTCGGAAAATTATCCATGGCCTTCCTGTAGTCTTCTCGAGCATCTTCAACCTGATGGTTAAACTTTTCAGACTGCTGTTTCGTAAAACAAAAATGATCTTGCGCCGCCTTCTCCTTGATATCTTGGATTTTCAAATCAAGCTCATTGTTTTGACGTTGCTTCTCCGTCGTCAATTGATGTTCGTCGGAGGAAATCTGGAGATTGTAGGTGTATAAAAGCCATTCTTCAAGCCTCTGGTCCATCAGCAGAGCCGCTTCATGGCAATCATCGGCAGCTTTCTTCAACTGGCTCATCCTCAAGGAAAGATACTTTTTGGCATTCGGCGGGCTGTTAAGGCATTCTATAACTTGTTGACAGTTCTGGACAAAAAGACGGAAACCCGAAATCAGCCTTCGCGACACTCCGCGCTTTCTCGACCCGTAAACAAATCCGAAATATGAATAGCTATGAAGGCTTACTGTGGTAATCGTACGTGAACCCAACGTGCTGATCCGTCCCATGCCCCTTTCAGCCTCGAGAAAAGCATGCCGGCCAAGATTACTACATTCGACGAGTGCTACTTGTAAATTCTCTGGGCTAGGGTGCTCATTAATTGTCAGTGGACACTACATTTCTCTACGCGGCATCTAATATAGAGGTTTCCTTACCTTGTCTCGATTTTCGGTGCTTGACCTGCGTATTCCGTTTTTCTGTAATCGAACGTGGGAATCGTAGTGGTCGACGCAATCGGGGATGAACCAGCGATGAAACAGCCACCTAGGCAGTTTATAGCCACTGGCACCGTCACCAAAAGTTCTTCCCAGCGATAATGAGGGACAATAGTGGATTTGATTTCCTTCGTCACATTATTAATTGCTCCCGCGCTGAGGTTAGTAATGAGTTTAGTCTCGTTCGCCACCACAAATGCAAGCTTTTCTTCTTGAGAGCTCATTTTGTGAACAGGATGTGGAGAGATATCAAGATAAGATGAAAGGTTGTCTCTCCTCGAAGTTTCTGATTAGGGTGACTTCGGATGTATTTGTAGCTGGGCGCGAAATGTAAAAGAGGGGTATAATCGATCTTGTAGAGTAAGCTTTCCAAAGAATGAAGGTAATTAAAGGAGCCTAGAAGCTCGACCGGACTATGATTAGAAAGTCAAGGTTGAGAGCATACTTGGCGCCGCATACATACCCTAACTCCATGTCAAAAAATAAACCCCTTCGCAACTTGTAAAGTTTCATTCTGCACCGCGACTGAGTTATTTCGTAGTCTGCGGGGTTGTTTTCCTTGCTAACTTTCTGGCGTGCAGGTGCCACTAACCCATTCTGAAGAGTAGCGCGAAAACAATTGTGTCTGTTCAGCTCGGCCCACTTCTATACATGGAATTATATTGAAACCGTGGACCCCGCACCAGACCGCTTTTTATGTATACCGAAAAGTCAATGGGAAAGTGAAAGACGACTCCCATCCACTAAGCTATTTCGAATGCGGATTTGATAGGAACGGCCCTCCAAGATTGTCCCAAATAATGTCGCCTTTTTGGATGGGAATTGGGAATCCACTTTGGTTTTGTTCAAACGAAGTTGGTACCGATTGGTCTCGTTGATATATATATATATATCGATAATCGGTTATATGTGTGCTTAAGTAGGTATGTATGCAACAATCCACAACGCGACAGTACCCAAGAGTCTCTGCCCTCACCCTGCGCCTGGTCTCGAGGCTACCCAAGGGTATGCATAATGCATATGCAAGGATGGAGAGTTGAGACGTTAGAACTTTTTGTACTTACTGTATTCTCAACTGCTCAATGCCGTATTATAACACTGAAATTGTATTGAGATAGCTATCGATAGCTATCGATAGCATTCCCTCTCACAGTTCGTCCTTGGTTGCAGACGAAAGCCACATACGTCAATTGCATTAACTATTATTATAATTATTATATTAAAATTTTTAAATGTACGGCTACGGATCAGGTGTCAATCCTAAAATGCCATTAGCCCTCGGACCCACAGCCGGTCACTTGGTTAATGTAACATTAAAGATATACCGACTGGACGTCAAATGGCCTTTTAGTGCCTAAAACCGGTCAGTTTTCTGGCCCGCTGTGGATCTTTTTATTCTAAGGACCAATATATTAATATACACATAACTAAGCTTCCAGGTCTGGGTACGAGACAAATAACTAAGACAATATTAGGTGCTGCAACATAGCATACGATGCTATCTTAGTCGCCTCACAAAATGTGCTAGAAAGTTACTGATAGAACATTGCTTTTACTAGTTGCCTTTCAATCTTGTAGCCAACGGCTTATTGTATAAACTGTCCTGCTAATCACCTTCTCAACTTTTAATTAACTTGAATGTTGCATCGTTAAATTCAACTTCATATTTCTCAGATAACGGTATCTTTCGAATACAACTCCGAACTCCATTACGTCCAGAAACCCCGCACACTGAACAGAAATTATGACGGGCCAATTTGTATCCATCCGTATGTTTAAAGGGCTTCACCTCTAGATCCCTCTTCGCATTTCAACATTATGTTACTAATAGCATATATATAACATATAGGATATTTTAGATCAGGCACGAAAAAATTGAAGTTCCGCCCTAAGCGCCAAGGGTTGGGTGGTTTGCTATGTTGTCTGCCGTAATATACCTCCTAACAATTGGGACTAAGTTTCTGCATTTTACCTTAGTTCATGTATGTACCAGTATACCTCGCATAAAATATCCTAGGTCTCATTGGCAAACTAAAATGCTTCGGCGGCTGATGTTTACAGACCTCTCGCTGCGAAATTAATCGCGGATCTTCTAGTTATTCAATCTGCTCACTTAAAATTAATATTCTCAAACAATGAATTGGGCGCAGATGCTTCGACCAAACTTACACATTTTCTGGGCCTGCTCCTGCGTTGTGAACGCCGGGAAGTGACCCCCATACCATCTGGGCCTGTACAGCTAGCTGTACCTACAGCTGAACGAAGAAAGTTTAGCCTTCTTCGCTCCTGCCCACAGCCGAGGAGGCATGATCCGACAATTGTGGCTCGGCTCCCAATCCGATTGGGAAACAGCCCGTCAAACTTGCATTGAATCCTTTCAACAGCCTATCCTGACGGGGATATCTAAATGCAAGCCTGCAAAAGTGGAAATTAAACTCTACCTTGCTATATTTTACACTTACAGGCTCAAGATGTGAACGCCAGGTTGATTATTTACTGAAAAAACGAGCCTGTATTCATGTTGCAGATTGACGGAACCTAGTTATAATGAATTAGGGTCGGGCTGGTGTACCTTGAGGGAAAGCTAGTGATCTATCTATATAGTGCACCGGTAGCCCACTTATTACCAGAATAGGGCGTGTTTTCACAATTCTCATTTACATTTACTTTTAACACGCCGAGTCTTTGAATTTGAGTGACACGTAGCCGTGCACCTGTGGCTGTAGCTGCATAATCGCCGCAAATCTGGCGGTGATAGGTTTTGGCAAACGAGGCTGCTCATATTTGTATCGATGTGGGTAGGCCCCGCTTTTCTACTTCATAGAGTTCTCTTTGAAGTCTGCTACAGGTTCAAAAACAATGCCCACCCCCTTCAAGTTCCATGCTGACTCCTAATCCGCTCCGTTTAACCTTTGGTAATAGGGTCGTAAATCATCATAGCTTATAAGCTTAAGCGACGCTTGTCCCGTATCCCAGCACCGATCGATGCCTCCAGATTCAAACCCAGCCGCGCCCTTTCCCGTCAGGCCTAGGTCAAAATCCCACAATGATTACACTGTGGGGTGGGTTTGCGCTTTATCGAAAGAGCTGACCGCTGCAAGGGCGATGCTAAATCAAGAGGATCTACCACTTTCCAAGCCGCCAAACGACACCAATACATACGTTCTGGGATCTATTGGGGAACACAACATTGTAATAGCCTGCCTCCCAGATGGTATGATCGGAACAAATCAGGCGGCAATCATCGCAACACGAATGATTAGCACTTTTCAGGCTATTAAAGTCGGTCTTATGGTCGGCATTGGCGGCGGTATCCCACCAAAAGTTAAACTCGGCGATATTGTGGTTAGTAGACCGACTGATCAGTACCCTGGAGTCGTTCAATGGGATCTCGGGAAGACGGAAAGCGGCAAATTTAGGCGAACGGGCGCGTTAAATAAACCCCCCCAAGCGCTCCTGACAGCCTTATCGATGCTAAAGTCAGAACATGATTTACATGGAATAAAAATACAACAATACCTGGACCAGCTAGAAGAGCGTTATCCACACCTGGCGCCAAAGTACAGACGGCCTGGGCCCTCTAAAGACTCTTTGCCGGCGTCTAACAAAACCCATCACCAGAGCGGAGTCCAATCTTTGCTTCACAACATATTTTCTTGGTGGGGGGCAGAGGGAACGGCGGGAGCTGTTGACTTCGGTGCGGCTGAGCACGAGACGAAAGACGTAGACATTCATTATGGCCTGGTCGCGTCCGGCAACCAAGTAATCAAAGATGCTGTCCTCCGTGACCGTCTCAACGAGAACCTCGGCGGGAATGTTTTATGCATTGAGATGGAAGCCGCAGGGCTAATGGATGATTTTCCATGTCTTGTTATTCGCGGTGTTTGCGACTATGCCGATTCAGAGAAAAACGGCGAATGGCAACAGTACGCCGCAGCCATAGCTGCGGCATATGCAAAAGACTTTCTTAGATGTCTACAGCCGGCTGCAATTGCCAACGAACCCCTAATGAGGGATGTTCTAAACCAGGGTTAGTCCTTCGAATTTGTACCTTTGTCGAAGATAGGGATAGCTAGGTAGCTTCGCTCACGAAACACGCAACGCAACTGTTTCTGGTGAACTCACACCCGTCTATATCTAGATTCGAAAACTCTATATTTCAAAACTAAATATCTTGAATAAAACTCTATAGTTCGCGATAATATGGTCAAAGTGACATCGATATTGGAGAACAAAGATGACCTCGAAATTCTTGACTGGTTAACCCCGATCGAATACGGCCCCCAACATAACGACATTGCCCAAAAGCGACAGCTAGGTACCGGCCAGTGGCTTCTGAAACACGACAAATATGACAATTGGCTGCAGAATTCCAAAAAAATATTATTCTGTCCAGGTATGCCTGGAGCAGGGAAGACATTTCTAGCGTCAATAGTTGTCGATCATTTATTCCGCCTGTTTAATAACACTCCAGAGGTTGGTATAGCATACATTTATTTCAATTATAAACGACAGGATCAACAGACAATCTATAATATGCTCGCTAGTATACTAAAACAACTAGCACACCGTCAATGCTCTGTGCTTACGATGGTGAAAACGCTTTACGATCGACATAGAGCTAACAAGACAAAACCATCAGTTGGTGATATCACCAAAGCGCTTCAATTTGCGACTACTAAATACTCAAGAGTCTTTATCATTATCGACGCGCTTGACGAGTGCCAAACATCTAATTACTGTCGCGGGAATTTTTTGTCAGAAATCTTTCGACTATATACCCAGTGTGGCATAAATATATTTGCCACCTCGAGGCACATCCAAGAGATTATTGCGCAATTTGAACTCGAAGGTGGTACGACACTCGAAATCCGCGCCCATGAAGAAGACATACGGAGTTATTTGGACGACCAGATAAAACAATCAAGAAGGCCCATATTGTTGAAGAATTGCGAAGTTATCAAATCCGAGATTGTGAGAATCGTTGATGGAATGTCGGTTCTTATGACCCCCTCCAGCACTCCAGTTGCGCTAGAAAAGGACTGGCATTCTGGCTTGCGAGGCTACTTATACCCATAATTACAAGAGATTATCTAATATTCAGAGTAGGTTTCTTCTTGCAACATTTCATTTTCAATCTATCAAGAACAAAACGACAGTTACGCAACTGAATGAGGCCCTAGAATCCCTCGCGACAGGACCGCAGGGAGAGATGGCATATGATCTTGCTTATAAAGGGGCCATGGAAAGGATCGAAAACCAACATCCGGACTTTAAGTCCCTAGCTGATCAGGTTCTATCGTGGGTCGTCTGCGCAGAAAGACCACTCATTAAAGAGGAATTACAGCATGCACTTGCCGTAAAACTGGAAGTTGATCAGCCTGAGATTGACAAAAACAACTTCACGGAAGTTAGTGATATGATCTCAGTATGCGCTGGATTAGTTACAATTGACGAAGAAAGCAATGTCGTTCGATTAGTTCACTATACGACACAAGAATACTTCAATCAAGCTCACAAACAATGGATCTATGATGCTCAAAGCAATATTGCGAGGGTGTGTGCCACATATCTATCGTTTAAAACCTTTGATACAGGCTTTATTCCCACTTCGGCCAGTTTATACCGTTACGCGGCACAAAACTGGGGACATCACACCCGAAAGTCTTTAGTTAAAACGACGCAGTCGAGTATATTAAGTCTTCTCAAGAGCGAGAATATAGTATCAGTCTGCAGCAAGGGTTTAGAGCCAGGGCCATTTGAAGATTTTAATATCTATCCGGCAACAAATATGACAGGAATGCACCTTGCAGCATATTTTGGACTATCGGAATATATTGGTCAACTGTTACGTGAGGGCGTTGATCTAGAGACTAAAGACAGATGGGGTCAGAGGCCACTACTAATCGCCGCAGGAGAAGGGCACGCTGATGTTGTGGAACTGCTGATATGTGGGGGCGCTGATCGAGACGCTAAAGATGGGCGGCATGAGACGCCATTATCATTCGCCGCGCAAAAAGGGCACGCTGATGTTGTGGAACTGCTGATACGTGAAAGCGCTGATAGAGACGCTAAAAATAAATGGGGTCGGACGCCATTATTACTCGCCGCGAGAGAAGGGCACGCTGATGTTGTGGAACTGCTGATACGTAAAGGCGCCGATCGAGATGCTAAAGATTACTATAATCAAACACCATTATCACTTGCCGCGCAAAAAGGGCACGCTGATGTTGTGGAACTGCTGATACGTGAAGGCACCGATCGAGATGCTAAAGATATATGGGGTCAGACGGCATTATCTTACGCCAAGGAGAAAGAGGACGCTGCTATTATAGAGTTGTTGTTGCGCGAAAACACTGATCAAGAGGCTAAAGATAAACAGGGTCAAACGTCCACCACGAGTGCTGAGCGAGCGCAAGTATCCTAAGCGTCGTTTCCGCCGTGGAGAGGTCATGGGAAGGGGATTCTTCAAAAACGTAGATAAACAAACTAGCCTACGAGGTATAAGTTGTGGAGAGAATGAATGATATCATGTCGAAAAGATAAACAATATCTCTACAATGATGATTCAGAACTCTTAACTGTATTCACCACTTTAGTTTGCGAAATAGCTATCATTCTCATGTCCTTACTATGTCCCGGCCATGTCGCAGCCACACGGTCTTTGCTTAGCCTGTGTATCGAGAATGGTTATCACAATAGGGATGAAGCTGTACAAAGCTAAACTAATCGGAGGATCGCCTGACAAATGCCCTTTATTAACATAATGAAACCCGTTCAATGGGACTTGTTTATAGGATTAAGAATATAGCTAAGTTTTTAAAGCAATCGAATAGTGGTATTTAAACCTGAAAGGCTGTTATCTGATGAAGTATTATTCTACATGTGGTAAGATGTCTCCAATAAATATGCTGGAAAAACCAGGAGATGTAGTATTGCCTTGTGATTGTTAACAGAAATAATTAACATGCTTCTGGCTAACATGCTTCTATGAGAAAAATGAGGAACGCCCCTTCACAAGAACAAACAAAAACAAGTGGCAGACGTAAGTCGATTCAGAACTGTGAAAAGACGGTATACTATTGATCAAGAGATATAACTTATATCCTAAAAATAACGTAAAAGTAAGATAATAATATATTACTTAGGAGGTGATGCCAAGTTCGAGAGTGGACAGCCAGCAGAAGGGCTTTCATAATCCGAATTCTGGAGGCTGTTAGAATTATTTGATCGATGGAGGCCTCTAGGATCCTGCTTACTTTGAACCTCCAAAATCCTCACGTGTTCGTTTAAGCCTTTCTACTGATCGATGGGCTTCAACGAAGATGGTGATACGATATCAAATAAATCGATATTCTATATATTTGCCGGCCCTGTCTTTTTAGTAATTGAAACATGGTGAATTATTTATTACTCAGCAAAGCAAACTGGCGTTACTGGTAAACTTAAAAATCTTAAATTGTTGCAGAAAATGAAGTAGGACAAGCCTTTGTGCTTGCTGTATACCGGTACTGGGGAATAAGACTATCCCAAGATCTTAAAATAATTGAAATGACACGGTTTCTAATGTTAAACAACAGAACCAGCTACAGAGGGAGCTAAAGACCCGTGTGCTCCATCCTTGTTCTCCAAGCTCTCGTTCTTTTCCAATGTCCCCCCACAGGCTCCTTGCCCCTCTTCTCTCATCCTCTTTTTCTCTCTAAGCATCATCTTCCTAAAAATATTCGACCCATGTAATTGTGCGGCCGAAAATGCAACATGCAAAATCGGCGTAGCGAGCTTAAAGCTCAACTCCCACTGATCCCAAAGAATTCCAAAGAGGTACATCGCGATAACGCTCTCAAGTACGGTGCCGATGAAAGTCCAGATCATTGTAAATTTAAAGAGATAGTAAAGGTGAGAGTGGGATTCTAGAGCCGTTCGGTACCGAATTATAGCTAGAGAGGGGAGAAACTCAACGATCACGTCGAAAGCGCCTGTTTATATCATGATTTCTAAGATTAGTTAACTGCCTCATTTATATATAGACTTCTGCCCTATTCCCAAGAAAAGCGTATGCATACTTCTTGTCGAGAATCAAGGAGAGAAATTGATTCGGAAAACTTACCCCAAACGCAGCACAAAATAAATTCATTCCTAGCATCTTTATGCCCATAAACACTAATCGCCACAGAGCACTGAGCCACCAAGATAGTCCCCAAATGATGTAAGGCGCTAACAACAGATATTTTAACCCGATAAATAAGCTCAAAGATATAAATCCCGACTAATAACTGAGACGATACGACCAACAGGTCCCCCATCTTCACTGTTCCGTTCCTAGTAACGGGAGTCGATAGGAGTGATGATCCGAATACAATGGCGAAAAATGGATATCCGCCTAATGAGAGAATTACTAAACGCATCCCGACGGCAACATGTTGGTTCAGAAATGAACGTTTCGTAACGTCGGAGAGGCGAGCATGGTGATGTTTGTAAAGGCGGGGGAGGAGGGGTTCGAGAACGTAGTTCTTGAGGATGAAAAGTGCGCTAAGGGTTATAGTGAGGATTAAACCGGCATATAAGGCAAGGACCGAGATATGGTTATCTGTGTCACCGCCATGTCTCTCGTTGAAATCAGCTATGGTCATGGTATTGATTCTTGATAGCACGAGGATGACGTAGACCCGCAATTAAGATCAGGAATAGGATGGAGACTAACGAGCTGGGGCGCTAAGAATAAGGGTATCAAGCACGTTCTCAGTTTATATAAAAATGATGTATTAATAAATTTTACCTGGAAGTCTAAGGTACAATATCCCCGTTACGAATGTCTAGAACATTATGGTGGTATTTCTGGGGAAGTGAAGGGCTAAAGTCTATAAAATAAAGTTTGAATCTCCATAAGCGGAGCAAGGTTATTCTTAAATTGCCGTTTTATCCAACCAAATGATTCTTAAATTGTTTTCTTGTTCAAAAGCGGTAATTTTCGTGAAAACTATAAACTTTATGGGATACATTGGACACCCGGCTATGCGAGCTTATTTTCGACGATAGAGATCCATGGAGAGCCATCTACTTTGCCCCCAATACAAGTGAATATACGTATCTTACCAATATTGGGTCCCAGATTTCGTAGGCATCCTATACTATCTTATCGTAGGATAGATGCATATTCACATGATGGTGTACTATATACTGACCATCTGCTTCTATATACGCATGCGGCCACGACCTCGATCTACTTCATGATACGGGTCTCTCTCTCGCAACCTCTATTCTTTCACGGAAATCATTGGAACATTAAACCTCAAGATTTTTAAAGTCTACGAACGGTTTGATGTTTTATCCAAGAGATTGTTTCATAGCTATAGCTAGCGCTATAGCGAACTATTTCGGGCTGACATGACCGCTACCTGTTAAAATAAAAAATGCTCCGAGCATTTTAGGGCCTAGGAACTCAAATAGCCAGCGCATTCGCAGTCTCTACTTGAACCAATTCTCGATATTTGGAGTACAAGTAGTCCGTCGAATAGGTGATATCATAATTTTGTTTCAGGTGATCAAGATCATTCAATATGTCAGTACCAAAACTATAGTACTAAATATACTCACATAAATCTATGTTGAGGTACACTCTAAATTGAATATACTGACTTATAAGCCGCTTGCAGTGGAGTTTGGAACCTTGCATGACATCTCGTGTGTTTGAATTCAACGTAATTTGCAATACGATGGTTATGGTAGGCCCGAGTGGCCCTACATCTTAAATTCAACAATCGGGCGGTTAGCAATAATAGCCTGGATTCGAAGGACTTTGTCTTCCAGGTATCAAATCACCTAATACCTCACCCTGGAGCTAGAGCAATCTCTAGAACGCCGCCAGTTTAAAATAACTTATAGGCTCAAAGCCGAACCAATTAAAAAATAGAATCCTCTGCGAGAGACCCTAGAGATACATTACGACAAGCCTCAGATAAAGATCCCAAAAAGTGCGGCAGTCTAGTTTCTGAGACAATGCTAAAGGTTCGATACCAAAGTATGGTTCTGGCTCTCGGAGTGCTCGAATTTTTAACAAAAATCGATAATACAATTTTGGGCTAAAGGAATATAGAATCTATTAAAGTACAGTTCAGGAATGATATCGAGACAAGCGATTTTGTGGAACACTAGTAATCAAAAGCTTTAGGGGTGGGTCAATCTCCTAAAGAATTTCGCAGTTAGGGTGTATCAGCAGGATATATTTAATACTCTTGGTGAATAGAGCGACCTGATGGCCTTAAATTCGTGAGGAATACACCGAGCTGAGCTGACGGGGATAACGATTTATTTATATTTCCCATCTGCAAGTTACAATTCCCCAAAGCCCCGAAATATAATTTACAGCTAGGTTAGCTTCGAATCGGGGAAGTAGCCACGGGAACATACGACGACAAGCCGAATAGGGTAGCTAATGGCCTGTCACACAGGAAGAACACACGCACAAATCGGGGTAGGTGACGGAACACCAGGATTGATGATTCCGAGAGACTGTTGGATTTGCATTGCGTTGAGGGGCGCTACATGTGTCTGTAACTCCCCAGTTGTAGTTCTAGCGGATACGACATCTATTTCGGAAGCGAGTACCAGTAATAAAGGGATATCGCGGTCATTCGTACTTATCGGATTGAAAGCTTCGAGTACTGTGAACTTGATAGGAATCACGCAACCGCAATGTCCGAGGCCTAAAATTTTGGCATCGGCTTTTTTAGATGATTCAGAGGGGAGCCAGCACTTGCAAGTTCTTTCGTTCCAAAGATCATCCGGCGTCCCAGAGTAGGAGACTGGAAGTAGGCAGTGGCGACAGAGTTCATCGTAGAAAACGTGTTTATGATCTATTTCACCAAATGGCGACGTACTAGAAGCTTTTATCGTTTCTGCCATTATATTTTCTCCTACAATCCGGCTAGGTAAGGGTGGTATCTGGCTGTAAGGTAGTTCGTAGCCACTCCGTACTGCTTTCCACATGCCGTTGGAATAGTAATCCTCGTAGAATCGGTAAGAGCCCATTGGGGCATTTTTTCGATGGTAGTTGTTGCGGATAAGGGATGGGGGACAACGGTGGTGATCACACCAAATAGTCCTATATAGCGCAGGTACCGGTTTGGGGTAAATATCATGGGTCTGAGAGGGTAGAGAAGCGGGCGTATTCTGTTCGGCCAGGGAGCTGTCGTCCTGGCTGCGTAGGGAACGTTTGTTTATGTAGTGTGGGTGGCATCCAGAGTTTTTACAGAAGCCCTTTTTTGGTGCAAGTGTGGCATTATGGGCTGGATATAGTGATGCAGGATAGAAAATACCTGTTTCATAGTCTAGGAAGAGGGCTGTGGGGCAAGTTGAGGGGCAAAGCCGTTCGGAACAGTAAGAGCACCGTCCGGGATGAGAGACTTGGGTGTTTGGTAGTCTAGATCTGTTGAGGGGCTCTTTACAAAGAAGACGCTCATAGATTCTATAGTTAGCTATGAGTCCTGGCGAGTCGAGCGAATGCCGGTTTGGAGCGAGACGACGTAGAGTTTTGGTGGTCAAAGAAAGTGATACTCGATCACAATATCCGAGATATGTTGTCAAAAGAGTAATTATATCCGGAGGGAGGTTCAGAAGTGGCGAGCCTGAGGGGGATGTTTTGGTGACTTGAAGCTTTTGCATTAATCGTTTAAGCATCTTGTATTAATGTATATCAGACAAAAGAACAGGACAAAAGAAATAGTAGAAATATCGGAAAGATGATATTGTGTTGATTATGTTGTATTTCTACGATAGCTATGCAGATTCAAAGCAGAAATGGCATATATATACTTAATTTAAGTACTAGGTAAGTACTTACTTACTTACAACAGCCTTGGCCTACAGCGCCAATTATACTTATAAATAGCTTGTACAAGACTATATAGCATGCATGCATAGTAGGCTCTATTTTAACATTTCTGAAAGAACTTTTCGTATCCGAGTGAAACTCGTCTAGTTCCTTTTCTTCGCGTGGCTGTGTCACCACAACGCAGCAATTATCAAATGGTGAGTCAAGACGGCCTTGAAGTCTAGTCTAGGGATAGCCATCATACTCTCTGCAAAGCAAAAGTCAAGCTGAAAGATGTCAATCTCATACCGAAAGCTCCCTCGGCGCAGGGTCGCTTCGCTTTGGGCTTGATAGAAGTGCCAACCAGTAGCAACGCATCGCTATCAACATTGGATTCGTGGAAGTCTACCTTTGGGCCATGGGCTTAAATTAGCCTAGCACTGGATCAAACGCGCGCGGGGGGCTCTCCTTGTTTAAACGGAGGTGTGTATGCACAAAGGGTTCTGAAAACGGCTATTTAAAAGACCACGGGTGAAACGTTTACTAAATTACGAGCAAAATCAATCATATCTATCTATTCGTAAGATGGTACCCATAAGCCTGGTACAACTGGCTAGATCGCCCGAGATTCTCTATCTCATTCTCGAGTATCTCCCAAATGCGGACCTCTTCTCACTCCTTCAAACCTGTAAATCTCTTTATCCCACGTGTTATCGTCACCTGTGGTCGGTGTTAGTTTTCGATAGCACTGATTGGCATTGGTGCCCTAGAAAGGGTATTACGTATAACGCCATTGGAAAACTTTTGCAAACACAAGATAATGTTGGTTATCAATATACTAAAGTCTTGGGTCTTGGGTCTGCAATGTTTTATAATACTGTCCATGTAGAATTTAGAAAACAGTTAGAAAGGCTACTCGACATCGGGCAACTGGCCCCTACGACAGTAATAGCGGACATATCCGTTTTAAGTATATTCCCAAATAGCCTCAGAGTTATAGCCTTATGACTAGCTCTCCCACAGTATTTGACATTCTAATAATGGCGATATTTTAGATGATGAGGGACGGGATTGTTATCCGGATACGCTCCGACTACTCCAGGGCCTCAAGAAATACTCCGAGACAAAATCGCCAGGGGAATTTTCAGTCCAACTCCGCACAGGATTTATTCGCTTACTCCCTGAGTACTTCGACTTACCAAAAATTACGAAATATGAATTAGTAGTCGCCTATAAACTGGGCCCAAATGAAAAAATCTGGTCCGTCGACGGCCCCTCAGCTAAGGAACACATTAAAGAATTGACAAACGTTCTCGCCCAACTCGTCAATCTTCAGTGGTTTTCCTGGGATTCCCATACCGGTAAATATTATAACGATAGACGCACAAGATTTAAGCTATCTGAGGGACGGCAGGAACTGGAGAAGCTTCAAACTACGTTTACGAACATGCGGCATCTTAAAACGTTAATTTGCAAAAATCATTTCTTTGACCCGTCATTCTTTGTCGTCCCACCTCCGACTGTGAAGGTTCTCGAATTGGGGGGGCTCTTATCATTCAGCTGGTGGAGGAAGTTCGCTGCTTGTCCTCTTACGAGTGTTGAACTCCTAGAAATTCGCAAACCAGAATCTCGGCATGAGATTGAGGATCCCATCGGCGATCGGGACGAATTTAAGCCAATAAATGAACTAGTTTTAGGGGATGTAGCTGTCACAGGGCTAAGGGACTTTAACGCCAAACAGCACGACTATTGGAGCCGACGGGGAAACGGTTATTGCCCCATCGATTTGAATGAATGCATACTCCGACGGAACAAGAAAATTGGGCCAAATACATTTAAAGCAATCGCAACCTCCCGAGCGATAGACTTTATATACCAATGGGAACGGAGTTTCGTACGCAAAATCAAGGCCTGCTCGCTAGTCCTTAGAGATATATACACTCGGAAGTTCAACAAAAGGGACATTGACGAAAGCCTCCCCGCATTTAAAAAGATATGCGCAAAAATAATTATTGAAGGTCCGAAGATTGGGAGCCTGGAAACGTGGGAGGTTGGGATAAAGCATGCGTGGAAATTTGCTATAGATTGTCAAGATACAATTCACTACAGGCTGGCATGGTACATGGAAATGATTCAAAAGGATCAAAATTCTGCGAATAGAGATGAATTGGATGACGAAATGGTTAGTAGGGAATGCCTGCAAATGCTTGTTAGGAATCCTGAGTTCGGAAATTCGGGAACTTTGGGGACCGGACGGGAACCTAGTGAGACCATACAACATTGCGGCCGTATGTGGGAAGCGGTTCACCGATGTGTGGGAATGGCTCGACACGAGTATACACGTAGGTTTGCAAATTATGAGCCACCAAATGAAAAGAAGTTTATGAGAACATGCCTGAAAATGCTCTCGAGATGGCCGAACTTGAAGGATGCTCGGAAATGGGAAGCAAAAACGCGGGCGGGTGGGCTGGTCTTCGGTCATACAAACACCCTTATTCAAGACGTACAGCTTAGTCGGTCTGCCCTTATCAATGAATACACGGAGAAATTTTTCAAGGGCGAGGAAGTAGAGATGGAAAGTGTCACAAATCAATGGGTGCGGAGACTGGCGGAGGGTAAGTAGTTACTTACCGTTTACTTCATGGCTTACCCCATGGACTAACTACTCTAGCGTTTAACTACCTTTTGCCTCGTATTGCCCTCCAGGATAGTACTATAGTACTGCTCGTAGCTAGGCGCCTTGTTAGTAGTTACTTGGCGAGGGCGGAGGGTAACTGTACATGTACACGGTTGCGTAGCAACGCAGAAGTACTAGTATACTCGCAGGCCTCGGTCAATATTTCTATAGACGAAGCAAGACATTCCAAGAAATCTAGAGATCAACATGCGCAGATGCGCCAATTGTCAGGTTCGCCTCTCTAATGTTGTAGCATGCCCTAGTTACTCGCGCACGAGGTGACAACCGTGAGCGCTATTCGATTCCTCTTTAGGAAATTCCAACACTTACAACGCATATTTCGAACTATCTGCATAGTCCATTAGAAAGAAAATGCCACGAGTCGGTGTTATAGATAGTATATTGCTCAGTACATGAAACCCAAGACAGAAAACAAAATTTTATACTGTAGTACTACTTAATCCATTAGGCGAGTAAGCTGAGGGCTTAGGGCTACCCTTCATATTTAATCCGAAGACGGGCAGCCGCACTCTTCAGAAACCTCTCCGTGTCCACTATCCCCATAGCCTCTCTTTCGTGCCACTTCACAGACTTTCGTACTCTCTAAACACATAGTTTTATTAATAATCCATCCGTTAATCACAATTCCTCGCTCAACATGAAGGTTTCGGCACTACTATTGCCAGTTCTGGCCGCCTCCTGGGCTTCAGCTGCCGTTCTGCCCAGGCAGAGGGTCTCGCACGGCATGGTCCAAGCTTCGGCTGCTCATATGGCCTCTGGCCATGGGAAATTTCCCGTGAATAAGGCTCCTCAGGACCCTACGTCTACCGCAACGGACTCAGCTACTTCCACTGATACAGATGTGATCACTTCAACATCTACAAACACTGATTTGTCCACGTCAACCATTACTATCGACACCGATACTGATGATACTAGCACCAATACACCTACTGACTCGGTAACAACTACAACTTCTACTAATGTCACTACTTCTACCAGTACTGATGTCAGTACTACTACTTCCTCCTCGGTTAGCACTTCTGTCGTCTCTTCTAGCAGCTCCACTGTAACCCTGACCACTAGCTCGTCAGCTTCTCCAAGTAGCTCCGCTAGCAGCATCCCAACTTCTACAACCTCTTCGCCAAATCTTGTTTCGAGCATTTTGTCTGGAGTAACCCCGGTCATCACCAAGATCACCGAGATTGTGCCTGCTGCTACCACCACAATCACTCAAACTCCTCCCGGAGGCATTGCGAAGGTGATTATCAGCACCGTCAGAGCTAGCTTCACCACTGTCAGGACCTATGTTATTGAGGCTCATGGACATACTACTATCACCCGTGTGTATACTGTCCCATTCCCTAGCCCGTCCGTGGTCAGGTCTACTAGTGTTACGTACTCTCCCATCACAATTGAGACTACGTATACTACTGTTGTCACCGTGACTAGGACTCTTTCCACGACTTTCAGGTCATGGGATATCTCTCGATACACCACTCATCGTCCTATCACCGAAGTTGCTGTTGGTGAAGTCACTGGTATTGTTACTGTCCACCCGGTTACTTATACTATCACTACGACATATACTACTACCGAAGAGATTTTCCCAAGTTATGCTACTACCACCTTTGTTGAAAATGGAACACCGGTTATTAGCACCATCCATATTCATCATCACTCAGATGACTTTGGAATTCACTCCACTTGGGGCCCTGGTGATTCCGCTTTTAACATCCCAACCACTCAGGGTGGGCTTGTAAGCACTCCCTCTGGAACTCCGGGTCTGTCATTGCCAACGATTTCACTCCCATCGGAGACAATCCCTTCGATTTCTATTCCTTCGATTTCTATTCCTTCGATTTCTGTTCCTTCAATTTCCGCTCCTTCAATTTCGATCCCTTCGGTATCGATTCCCTCAATTTCTGTTCCATCTATCTCAATCCCCCCTCTTTCAATCCCATCTGATATTGTCAGCGAGATTTTCCCATCTGATGTCCCAACCCCGACTTCAGTTCCATCTATCTCTGTTCCATCTATCTCTGTTCCCTCCATCTCTGTTCCATCTATCTCTCTTCCGTCTATTTCCCTTCCAACTCAAAACTTCGATTTAAATGCCTTGACTACCAGCTTAAGCACCAGCACTTGGATTACCACTGAGCTTGTTACACTCTCAGATGCTGTCACAACCGTGGTTGGTATTCCTACCCACATTCCGGCTGTGTCTCTTTTCACTAGCATCCAAAGCCTAGTTACTACTCTTGAGAACGTTGTCACTGTCACTGGTATCCCAACCACCTTCGAGGTTCCTACCACTTCTTTGATCACTATTCCTACTACTCTTTCTCTCCCCACTCCCTCTATTCCGTCTATTTCAGTTCCTTCGATCAGTTTCCCTTCAGTTTCGGTTCCCTCAATTTCGCTGCCCTCAATTCAGCTCCCTACCGATCTTCCAACTTCAATCCCCTCCATCTCTCTTCCTTCAGTATCACTTCCAACTATCTCTCTTCCCACCATTTCCCTCCCCTCGGCCTCAGTACCTTCGGTTTCGGCTCCTAGCTTACCGATTCCATCGGTCTCTTTCCCAAGTATCTCGATCGTTAGCGTGACCGCCCCGGCATCCACAGTTTTCCCAACTACTGGACTACTTGACCCTCTTGTTACTCCAATCGAGAGTATTATCGTCGACCCAGTCACTAGCTTGGTTGGAAATCTCGTGAGCACTCTTGTCAACAATATCCTTCACCCGAGTATTCCAAGTGCCAGTCTCCCAAGTATCAGTATCCCGACCCTGAGTGTCCCGTCAATCTCGGTTCCTTCAATTACTCTCCCCTCTCTGAGCGTCCCAACGTTGTCATCGGTTAGTATACCCTCGATCAGCATTCCGACTCTTCCATCAGTCAGTGTCCCATCGGCCACTCTTCCATCGATCTCGGTCCCGTCAGCCTCCATCCCATCCATTAACATTCCATCTCTGAGCCTCCAAACACTTCCGTCTGTGAGCATCCCATCGGTCACTGCTCCATCGATCAGTGTTCCAACATTACCATCGATCAGTGTTCCTTCCATCAGTATCCCTACACTACCATCAATTAGTCTACCAACACTACCATCGATTAGCGTCCCGTCTATCAGTATTCCTTCCATCAGTGCTCCATCGATAAGCGTTCCTACGCTTCCTTCTATCAGCGTCCCTTCGATCAGCATTCCATCGGTTTCAGTTCCAACAATTAGTGTTCCAAGTGTTACTCTGCCAACTATCAGTGTTCCAAGTATCACTCTGCCAACCATCAGTGTTCCAAGTATCACTCTCCCATCAATTAGTGTTCCAACACTTCCATCGGTCAGTATTCCTTCGATCAGCGCGCCAAGGGTCAGTCTCCCGAGTGCCTCAATCCCAAGCATCTCGGTCCCAACCGTCAGCGTCCCCAAGGTCACTGTCCCAACCGTCAGTGTTCCAAGTGTGACCCTCCCAACAGTCAGTGCTCCAAAGGTCACGGTACCAACTAGCGCCGTCAAGCCCACCGCCCCACCTGCTCACCCGGTTGTCAACAAGAACCCTGCGGCTAAGGGACCTAGCCCTCACCAGATGCTTGAGTCTCAGGGATTTAACCTTGTTGAGGAGAGCCATCCAAGTAAGTTGCACATTCGCAAAAGTGAGTCGAGAGAAGGTGATACTGACGGGCGAATTGCCAAATCAAGAAATCAGACGCGCCCGAGCTGAGACCTTCCAGATCCGTGGTCGCCGAGAGGCATAGGTCGGAGCTCGATATTTCACCTTAAATCCTGACAGATTTCATTGAAATGAATTCAAAATAAACGCATGCTTTAGTTATCTCGTACCCAGTTCTATAAAAAAAAAATTACGTGGTCGATGCCTTAATAGTTTTAAATATTTTGGGTTCAACCTAATCGTCGCTATATTTATACTATTTTAACTATTGATTTTTTTTATTTCTTGTATTTGTTATGTTCTAAAAATCGATATATGCTACTACTTGTTGTATAGATCAAAGGCATCGACGCTTAATACTGAATACATTGGTTTGCTCTGGTTTTCACAGGATTTCAGAAGTTCACTACAATTAATTTGCAGATGTTGACAGTATATCAAATTTGCAAAACCTATGGACTAATTCATATATACAGCAGCTTGACCCTTATATCAAGGTATATAGAACGCAATCTAGTTTGGACGAGTAGGCTAAGAGCCACAAAAACTGGAGTGTTCAGCACCTATCTAACAATTAGATTATATGGACTATATGGAAAAATCTTCCTCATTGTCTTATGTCAAGGCTACCTCCAAATAATGCCGTGCTCACACAAACCTTTCGACGCTCTCGGCCGTGGCAAGAACACTATCCTCGAGAGATATATAATTCAAACCCAAAACATCCTTACTCTTCGCATTATTAAAAAAGTAACTATCAACTTTTTCGCCAGTAGGGGGGTAATCATTCTTTGTAAGCTTGTTATGCTTCCTCAAGATCTCAACAACTTCCGCCCATTTGAAAGCACCAGCAACATTGAAGAACCTCTGTCCTTTTGCCTCTTCAACTTGCAACGCTTTAATATGTGCATCTGCAACATCTCTAACGTCAACAAATGCTTTCGGTGCAACGCCTTCTTCAACCTTGGCGTTGAGTCCGGCGATGAACTTGTATAACAGGAATACAGAGGTATTGATGCTTTCTGCGTCCTTAACTGAGTGGATGACGGGTCCGAAAACGAAAACTGGGTTGATGGCTGCAACTTCGAAGGAAGGCTTTTCCGTTTTTACGAAGTCCCAGAGCGCTCTTTCAGCAAGTGATTTGGATGCTCGATAGGCTTCGTTTGGAGGAACCTGTTTCGAGGGATTGGTAGGATCGGCTTTAAAAGTTTCAGCGAGGTTGATGGAATGTTGGTTCCATTGTGTTTCGTCGAATGAATGTCCTGGCTTATGGGGCTCTACAATCGCAGCGAAGGAAGAAGTTATGACGACACGTTTAAGTTGTGGCCCGGCATACTTTTTTTGTCATTAGCCAAGATACTTTGTTGGGGGGCTAGGGAAATGAGCTACATACCTCTTTTGCAGCCTTTAATAAATTTACAGTCCCGTTAACGGCCGGATTGATCAAATCCACATAGGGGTCTGTAACCCTAAAATGGAACGGACTGGCAATATGTGCAATGCCATCAACACCTTTTACTGCTTCATTGAAAGCCCCATTGTCTTCCAAATCTGCTACTTCGACGATTTCGAAATTTGATGCGTATTTGGATAAGGGACCATCCTTAAGGAATTCGGCCTTGGAGAGGGTACGGGCTGTGCCTCGGACTTTGTAGCCTTGTTCGAGGAGTTTAAGGGCTGTCCAGGATGCGATCTGTGGTTATAGTACAATTAGTTTGGGAAACTACATATGTATATTTCGGATATTGTTGGGATTTACGCACGTATCCTGTAATCAAAAGTTAGTATAGGGTCAATGATACTATTCTGGCTAGATATGAGGGCATGTTGAACTCACCAGTAACACCGGTTACAAGAATCAAGCCGCCTTTTGGTGGTGTTGTCATTTTTGCGTTGTTTGGGAGCTGGGATGTTGCTTTATTTGGTGTAACAATAACAGCTTCGACGATCGGGCTTTGTGCACGTATTTGTGACAATTGAAGGGAATTCTCGAGAAAATTACAAGTGCGACTGGCAGGAATCAACCCTCAATATGGTTTGGATAAGATATCGATACACAATTGCGTGATGAAATATTCCAGAACTTCGAGGGAAGCTCCCTCAACCCTATTTATAATAGCTCTTAAGGTTGGTAGCTAGCTCCTGATCGGATACTGCCCCTCCTTGCCCTCAAGCTTGCCGACCGAGCTTCCGGAACTCCACTGTGGGGACCGGGTTAGGATACGCTATCCCCCAGCGAAATCTCGCAATTCCAAAGACATGTTTTCCAAGAAGCTTGACATAGAGATGCCAGATTTAATCCATTTGCGGATATCGATGCGAAAATTTGACACAATTTAAGGCGCAGAAAGATACCGATGAGCTCATACGCAGGAACTCTGTTTCTGTCCGGTAAAATTTGTGCCGTGGGTTTATAATTAGTCAGGCAGACGGGATTACTAATGCGGGACGCCGACCCCAGTCGCAGTTTGGCGGTTCGTGTCGGTTAACATTCGAGCACCCTTTTGTGTCCCCGGTCTGGTCAAAAGTCTATTAATTTCGAATCCTTTACGCTTCAATTTTCAGATGATATTTCCGTTTGTGTTCGTGACGACCTTACGCTAAGATAACAGCGGGGTTTACGGCCGGGGATTAGGTAAATGCCATTGTTTTCGCAAACCAAGTGAGGAGTTAATGCACTGAAATACTAGGACGTGTGGACTTAAGCCTAACTGGCTTAGTGACTGATGTTGGATTCAAAACTGTTGCATTGGAAAGATGTCGCCAAGAATGCGAAATTCTGAGTCAAACATTCAATCCATGGACAATGGCATTACATTATTATATTATCTAAAATGTTATAATTGAGGTTTGTAGCGATTAAGAAAGTCTTTGGGAGTTCTCGGAGGAAGTAAGGCCCGTATATCGCCCAAGAAATTTCAATTTTGTTTGAGTTCATTGCATAGTTGCTCTGCTATCGTGACACCATTATGCTGCCTGCACAAATGTGGTAATTTACCACACTTATGCCACATCCACACTAGTTATGCGCGCAAGACAGAATCAACTTAAGAACAGCATTTTAATCTATAAACTCTCCAAAGGTCCCAAATACCACGTCGCCCCCAATACCAACTTTTTTTTCGTACTGAATCCCGTAGAACTCTGTAGAGTCCCTGCGGTATCCCGATTAGCATAACTAACACTAAATTCTCCTTCGCCCTGTCCATCCAGCCCAGGCTCCAATGCACATTGTTCCAATGCTTCTTCCTTAATTGCATCGAATTGACACTCCATCCCGTCATATTGCTCCGCCACTTTCAAACTATATGTTCTGTGTCCAGTTGTTAACGGCCACGCAATATATGCGAGCTGGTGGAAGTATCCTTGATTCGAAGCTTGAGGGCCGTAAACGGCTACAAACGAGAAATTCTCTTTGTGTACACATCGGTGGATTGTTATATTCAAATTTATAGTTTGCTTTTCATCAGCAATTAAAGATGCAAGTCGATGCTCGACAGGGACCAGCATTGATTTTAGAATCCTTCTATTCCGGCGTTCCGGGTCCCCAGGAGCAGGGATTTCATCGACCCACTGGCTTGACCTATAGTCCCTAATAGATACAGAGAAGCGACGGAGGAGACGCCGGTAACGTTGAGCTGGTGGTAACTTAAATCGTCCATCTGTAATTCTCTGAAACCATAGCTTATGTCTCTCAGGGACAGCATCGATATCGTCGCGACTTCTAAGATTATCATTTAATTAACTCCGGTCGACCGGTCATCTTATTACCTGTATCGTGCTTAGACGCTAGAGCCGCGATCACGAGGGTGTGTAAACATACCTTCTTTCCAGTCGACAAACATACCCAACACTCTCCCACACAGTTTCATAAGAAACCGAAAACCAATGGTGAGGCTTACTATCTCTAAATCCGGATCCTTCCACACAGACTCGAAGCGGGAAGACATTGCGTCCGTAGAGGATCTGTGACGCTTCCTCGTGTATTTGGTGGTTCACTCGCAGGATTGATACATTAAGACATGGTCTCCCCTGAGCACCCCAGGGGGAGCTTTTTATTTCATGATCTGGGGGGACGTTGAAGAGGAGGAGGGATAGGTAGATTTCGTCCCGGATTTCACGAGGGAGATCGAGGAAGGTGGGCATGCTTGAATTCCCTCTTATATATATTAAGATCAGAGAAGATTTTCGTAGAAGTGAGTATCCTCAGAACCAACCGACCGGTATTATTGCGCCAGCCTCTGTTCTTCCGTTGCGTAAGCTGGGGCCATGCAATGATATATATCATACGGCCTGGCCAGCTACATAATAAAATATCCGAAGGATCCAATTCTCGGGTCAAGTGGCTAACCATCTTATATTATATAAGTAATTAATAGACAACGCAAATAATACAACAATACTTGCCCAAATCGCAAAACTATGAAGCTAAGTATATATTATATTAGACATCTAGATTGATAGCTTATAGCAATTGGGTTTAAGTATCATGGCAGCTGTGCAGGCGGACAACAGGCAATAATATATATATACGGTGATTTACTCTATACGGTGAAATATTTACAACGAGCTCCAGCTCGCCAACTTCCTCCCTTTTAAAATTTAACCATACCTCTTCCCCCAATCTGCCTCCTGCCCACCCCTCACAAGCCCAATATACCCCACCTCACTATCAGGCTCCAAATCCCCAACCATACCAGGCAGTCTCTCCAAAACCGCCGCATTATCAAATTCTCCAGCCAACATTTCAGGTAATACGTCATCCGGTCTATCAACTCCAAATCTAAATATGGTATACCCATCCAGAGTCTCCGTCCATCTTCTTCTGAACTGATATGTTACCGATAAGATCACAATCGATAACGCCCATGCCGTCAACATCCCCAATATAATCTCAGGTGGGACAACTCCGCGGGTCAAAATCATTGTCGGAGTGCCCATAGTGACATTCTCAAGTTTCCATGCGAAGGTGGGGTCCGCGAGTCCGTCGTACATGATGTGAACGGCATGAGTCTTGTAAGCCCTTAGAAGAGCTCTTTTAAGGTCCTCGGCTTGAAGAACACTTGGCGCAGCACCTAGGAAATCTCCAAAGGCGTTTGTTGTTAGAGAAGACATTTCGATAGATGCGTAGAGAGCTGAGAACCAGTCTACATTATCCAATAATTGAAAGTTGGAGGGAATATATGGCGTTTGAACGATCATGTGAGGAATGCCGGTTTCAAATCGTTTAATACCACCGCCGTTTCGAATTTCTGCGTCCAGTTGGGTGAAGTTTGTATAGGTACCATCAACACCGTTGATTAGTGCTGTCCCTATTGCGGAGGAAGCTTCGCAACGAACCCCGACAGCCTTTTGACCCGGATACCGAAGAGTATTTCGAAACTCCGGGATATCATTTTCGGCATCACGGAAATTGAAGTTTTCGGGGTTGACGCTAATGCGACCGTAGGACTCTATTGGGGAGATCGATTGCCACAATGCAGCTTCAAGAACCACCGTGGTATTTAGGCCCGGGTAGCTTTTAAAAATTGAGGCGTAGCCGATATTTTCGGAGTCGGTTGGGTCGGTGAGTTCAGAAATCGTCATGGATGTTCCAAGTTCTAGAGAACCATTGACGTTGGATATCAAGTTAATACTTGAAGATTGATTTCGTACAATTATTACGGACTGATCAGGAAGGACGTATCCGAAGCTAGAACCACTGCGATCCAAGTCGAAAGTATCATTCCGACGTGATAGGACTGTGAATTGAGAGGTTTGATTCACAATACTACAGTTGTAACGGATCGCTAGACCGAAAACTGATCCGAGAAGGGGACCTGTGGATTGAGGCCCCAAAAAGATAGACTCGGATGCGTCGTCAGGTAATGTATTATCGGGAGAAGATACGTTTAACTGAATAGAAGAACCTGGCGTGATGTAAAATTGCTTTCGAAGAGGCAGTTGAGGTGAGAATCCAGAGGACCAGAATGTAGTAACACGACTTGTCGTTAGAGCACCGTCGCGACCACTTCACATACGTCTAGTTAGCATAGGGGAACAGACTGCCTATCATATGTAAAATAGCGGCTATGAAACCTACTTTATGCTTGAATGATTCCGTCCAACAACGAAGACCTGGTCACCCTTGTATCTACGGCTGATGGTAAACCCGTCCTCTGTCTGCATGGTCAGACCGGTCAATGGCCATGCCGCGAAGCCGATAATGCTGAAAAAAGCTAGAATATCCCATAGAGCGCCATTTCTCTTGTATAATCTTCGTTTCTGGACTAATTTTATCAAAGCATTAAACCAGCCTGCGGGATCTTGGAACGTATTTCCAGAGAGGATCAAAAGCCTACCATCGACGTTAGAGTTACTCCAGACTAAGGTATGGGTGTGTGTGTCGCATAGAAAAGATAAAATACCTTCTAAAGTTTTTCGCTGCCCATCTTTTTCTCATCACCATACTCGCCACACTCCCAGCGACCGCATAAGTACCCAGGTTCAAGGCGAATGTTGCAATAACGAACCAACTGTAGTTGACGATATTCACATTATCGAGAATCCCCGTTCGCTGCCAAACTTCTGAACTTCCTTCTGGAAATCTCAACCATCTCCACCATGTAAAAAAATAGTAGACCACAAGAGCGACTGGAATTATAATAGAAATGATCCCACGGATAATAAATCTTGGAAGTGGGAAACCAAAATCTGGAACGTTGGCGGTCTTGCGGCGAGAGACAGAAGCTTCTGACTAAAAACTCGGATTAATTACTTTATCTCGATAATATTTGTAATTAATTGGGAAACAAGTCTCTCCACCGTGCACCTACATTTTTGTAAATGGAACTGTGGAGTGTTGTAGACGAAGACAAGTTTGGCGGAGGAGGCATAGGTTGTTCCTCCAGCAAAGGCGTGTAGGCGGTCCCGACTCGAGCTATCCTCGAGAAATTCAATAATGCAGACTATGCATAACCTATTAACTTTCGCAAATACGACAAAGCAGACGCTTTATACAAAGTCAACCAAAAAAAGAAAGAGCTATCACCTACATTCGGTGATTGGTCCGGGTTTGGTTGCCCTCCTGTTCCCTTCTCGTCGCTAAAATCTTCAACAGAATTTCGTGATAGATTTGTATGGGTGGGAACAATAGTCCCCTCTGACCGTGCCGACATTGAAGAAACCGTAGAAATTGTATTGTCGGAATTAGATGACGTGGTGCGCATAGTACTGGCCCGCGAGTAATTCATCGAGGGCTGGCTGTATACACTCGGACTGTACCCCTCGGACTCCCTTCTTGCCGCCATTTTTGCTGAGTCCGGACTTGGGCCGGGATAACAAATTTTCAATTTATATCCTTGATAGTTCTCTTGTTCTTTTTGCGGTATACAAAATAAAATAATAATCGATTGTAAAGATCTAAACCTTGAAGAAATCGCTATGAATTAATTTACGATATTAACTTGAAGCTTTTAGAATGAGGACTATAGACTTACTTCTTAAATACAAAACGTACGTGGGTCGGATATAGAATTCCGTTATCACAGGCTCTATAAACCGGCTTTGTAAAGCAGGCACCAAGCGTACACAAAAACTGACAAATTCTTACGCACAGATAAACTTAATATATACCAATCTTTGACCGGCCTTTCTCCTGGGTTCTGCAGAATTGTGCATTTCTGCAGCAGGAGTGGAGAAAAGAGAAGAAAGAGCAAAAAGAAAAACAAGAATAGCCAACCTGCTCGAAGTATGAATCCTTGATCTTCGTCAGCGGGACGAAAAAAGCGGCCTGAATTCGTCAACGAGCATGATGCTAGCATGGCGGGAGGTCTAAAATCTGACAGAGCGGCATGGGCCAACCCAATAAGCTTTTCTTGTCGGTACGTCCTCCCCGCCACCACATCTACGAATCAAAGCGGTGCATGTCGGATTTACATAGAACCAAAAAAAAAGGTCCAGGTTTCCCTGAAATATTTTGGGATCTTGCATAGAAATGTCTTTCCGCAGCCATGGTACGCGGGACGATCTTCGAAACTCATACGACTTTTTGTGGCAGTAGATGGAGATTTTCCGTGGAGAATTCGTAATCCCAGGCAGCCTTTTGCGGGCCCGGGGAGACTAGTTTGTAAATTTAGCTGATGGCTTCTAACGAGCTAGATTAGCCCCGAGTATATACCTGGATTGGCTAACTATAGAGACAAGCTAGCGCTAGCCTACACTTAGCTTCTAGACAGAAATTCGGCCGATTCTTCGCGTGACTTTCTATAATTATTCAAGATGCATATGCATACCCATGAATCCGGGACGAATGATCAAACAAACGGCAGAGGAATCGGTGTTGACTAATCACAGCCACAATGACTCCTGCATAATTGCGAGTGCAGGAAGCTCCCCTGATGACAAAGACGCTCGATCTTCTAATGCTTTCAAATAGTTTGAAATATTTTTCGGATGAGGTTTAATTTACTTTCGATTCAAATAAAGATCAACGGTCAAGACACTAAAATCCTATAATGTGACATAAAATATACAAGTCGTAAGAAAAAGAGGCTAAAAAATGCGCAAGCACTCAAACTCGAGAGCGAAATCAGATATAAAAGAAAAAGCGGAGACTTCGAGCAGTGCCTTTAGATAACTAAAAGTCCGCCAGCCATGAATCCGAGAGTTGTCAATCCAGCCATGGCCAAGACTGCAAATCCGTTTCCACCAACCTTCAATCCCGGTGCGGCATTCTTGCTCTCTTTGCTTTCGCTGCCTCCAGTAGTCTGGGATTTGCTGGGGACTTGGTTCCAGGTGTTAACTCGCTGGATGGTGGGGTTTTGAACAGTATTTCCCTCAACATCTGTGATAGTCCACTTGTGGCTAGAAAGATCCAAATCGACGTCAACGAGCTTGCCTGGTGTAACCTTGACACCATTCTTGATCAAAGCGCTGATCTCCTTCAGCTGTGGGATAGCGGCACGAGCGTCAAATGCCTTGATATTTGGGAAGACCGTGGAGCATTTTGGTCGGTTGATTTTACGGGCGGTTTCACCGGTCGGCAGTTCGACTTTAGAGTAGACCTCGCGGAGGGTGTTGTAGTCAGGAAGGATCTTTGCGTTACCAGTCTTGATGTTGACGTCAACGAGGCCGTAGTTCTATTTATGATCGTCAGCGCGCATATTCAATACCCATCATTTATAATAATCCAAGAACATAATACTCACGTTCTCCTCCTGGTTATATTCGTAAACAATACCGCCAGAGAATACATGGTTCATATCGGCAGAGTAAATGGCGTTGGCATCACCGAAGGTACGAGGAAGAACTTCGTTACATCCGTACTCAGAGAAGAAGTTGGGCATTTGAACTTCCTCCATCAAGTTGGTCAACTTTTCGTATCCACTCCTCTGGAAGGTAGTATCACCACACCACTCGTAGCTGTTGATACCATAGAAATCGCTGTGGCCCTCATCCTCTCCGATACAGCTGAGATAAAATCCAAGGTCTTGACGGAATTCTACAACATCGGCAGTCGAATAACCGATTGGGACTTCGCGAAGTTTCTGGGCCTTCTGGTATTGTCTCATATCACGCTGAATAGCACGCATGTATGGAGCGGTAGCATTGGCGTTCTTGGGCTCGTTTGCAAGTTCGTTACCAGAGAAGAAACCAAGAACGTTTGGGTATGCCGAAAATTGCTCCATGACAGAGAAAACGTTTGCCATGTATCCCCCGTGGTAGGATGTCCATGGCTCTTCACGATTAATGGAGTACCTCCAGCCAGGAGCATTGACATCGAGAACGACGTAGATACCGGCGGCGGCGAAGAGCGACATACACTCATCGTGGTTGAGGGTAGTGTTGACGGCATAGGTACGGATAGTATTAATACCTAGCTGTTGGAGGAGGTAGACGTCACGCTGACAGTCGGAAATAGTAGAGAAGGGATCGATACCCTTGTCGAGTTCAACGGGTCCACCGGGTTGGTACCCGACACCGACCATGAAGAACTGATATCAAAACTAAATTAGCATTTTTCTTCTTGCCATCCACCTGAACCGACATATTCAATCAGAGCATCCATACTTGTTTATCGCCACCGAAGAAGCCGCCATCTTTGATAACGATTGGATCCACTGCCTGAGTGAACCGCGCCAAGCCGGCGAGGAGGAAGAGCGCTGTCGAGAGCATTTTTTTTTGCAATTTCAAACAAAACTTTGTTATTTGTTGTCACTAATGATAGACTGGAAGAGTAGAATGTCGCGGAGAGTTTGGTTAAAGAGTGTACGAATATATCAGCGACAGCTGTATATATTCCAGATTTTGCAACGGAAAACACAGAAGGATAGGACGTCGATAAGAATCGAGAGAGAGGCTCGAAGGAATGTCTGCTGAGAGAGTGCAAGAAAAACCAAGAGAGAGAAAGAGGGAAGGAGGGAGATTAAGAAGTCTTACGGTTCTCGGCTGCAAAGCTTAAATTGCCTGAGGCTGCAGGTACGCCATTAGATATCAATGTAACCATTTCATGCTCGGCCGCCCCTCATTGGACGCATTGGAAAGGGGCTGTGGAGTGAGGCAGGGGTATTGTTCCCCAGCTGCGAAAAAGGTAGCGATTGTTTCATGAACTTGTGGCCGTTTCACCACGCCACCCAATCAAAGAGGGTATTCAGATGAGAGCCACCTCGTGAAGTTTGCGATGCTCCGTGGTGCTGCGCTTGCTGCGACTAAAAGGCGATAGCCATCAATCATAGGGACGAGTTTTCTTCAGGATCGAGAAGATATCCGGATACGGTCCTGTTTCGCATACCGAATACGCTTACAGACAGGCCAATTGCTGTTCCCAAATCGAGTTCGAAATCACAAGCGACTCTTGTCTTAGCGCCGAGGGGATGCCAGAAAATTCGAACGGTATAAGCTTTTTCTGGTGAATAATCTCAGATCATGACCCAACATCCTAGCACTTGCCATCTTCGCCCAAGCTTCCTCTACGCTTTTGTGGACCGTCAAAAATTGTGATTCATCGAACCTTCGGGTATTGAACAAAAGATCACGATGCAGATTAGGCCTTCACAATCGTTTGTTGAAATTTTATCGGGCTTCCCTGCACTTGCATGGGTTGGCGAAATTAGATCTCGTATTATCCATTGGATGTAACCAAAGCGCACAAATCCGAGGAAGACTAGTAGACGGACTCATGATTACTTATGTTCCGTTATTCCGAACGCCACCAATCTGGTGAAATTCCCATTGTCGGCCAGTGCAACTTGTCATATTGTTCTTGAACCATGCCTATGCATTAAGATTGCGCACTGATATCGAGATGTTGTGAATGCCATAATGTGTATGCCTGCGCATTTGCCTTAAGTCGCATCGCATTGATTTGCCCGAAGATTCTACCCATTTACAATATGGGGTTGAAAGGATCCCTATCAAGAATGTCAATGTCAATAGCGAATGGCCTGGATCCGAATATACATCCAAGTTGAATCGGGGAATATTCACCAACCTGCCCTGTTTGATGTTTCTCAAGACTCTTGGTCAAGGTCATCCCGACGTCATGGGCGGCCAACACCAAAAATAACACACATACGCCTAACCAGTGCTACCCACGACGCAAATCCAACGGGACTCCATATGTACTGTACTTAGGCACGCCACTCATTAATGTCCCCGCATTCCACAGTTCCAAAATTGCTCTCGTGCTTGGAATTCTCGGTTTCTTGCCGGATCGACGGAACTAGACAGAAAATATCTGGGTTCAATGTTTCGGCATACTCCATTACGACACTTTCTTAGGGTTACGTTCTGTGAAGATACGAGACTAGGTTACGTAGTCTGGGGTTCTACCCATTAACGTCTCTCGGGACGTTTTACATCACATTCTTTTGATTTTGGAATTACATTAGCAAATACCTCTTATTCTTCTTTTCAATAAACTTCATTGATGTTAAAGAGCTGAGTCTCGAACAGTTGTAAGTACTCATGTCAGGCAAAATGGATTTCCCAAGCTTCCAACCGGAGCCTCGTCAGTACGGTGAACCATATACCACCCAACATCGGGTCCCCAATATCCGAGAATATAAAGAGCAATTACAGCATAGAAACAAGAACAAGCCAGGAACAGTGACGCCGAAAGCAGAACCTGGACCAGGAGATCAGAGACCCAAAGATATTCAACATACTCCTCCGGAAACACCGACGAACGGCTCTTTCGATAGAGATGGCGATAATGCCCTGGCTGCTCAATTACAAACCTCCCAAAAGGAATCGCTGAACGGTATTGAGGATTTTCAGAATAGACCTCGAAAGGATAGTTATTCCCGGGAACCAATGTCTCCTGCAGCTCTTGCGCAGGATTCTATGCAAAGTTACTCTGAAAGCTCAGGCGAAAATGCCGAAGGGAAACAACCGCAATGGAACTCGAAATCACAGCTCAAAGTTCGTGAAGTCACGGACCCGGTTACGCACCTACCAGTTAACATCCATGATTTTACCACGAATGAACTACAGCAGGTCAAGGACCGAAATGACGACGGCACTGACCAAAACATACCCGGCGAAAAGGGAGAAGTGGAGTGGAGTCAGAAGCGGCATGATTCGCTGGAGGCTTTGATCGAGAATGAGCTTCGACAAACCCAACAAGAACCAAAATATTCGCCCGCATCTCTCAAAATTATAGCATTCGGACTGGTGATCGCGGGTATTATCGTTAACTCAACTGTCGAGTTTATGTTCATCACTTTAGACACAACCGGATTAAATAATCCATTCGTCAAGATATTTGCCAAACTCGTCATAGGTTCGATACTTGGAGTCACTATCGCCGCTGTCATCCAGCGTTATACCAGTGAACCCTCGACCAATGCCTCACCGGCTCGTGAATCCAAAGAGAAAAATATTTCACAAAAGCAACTCCCCGAAACAGCAGCATGGCTCAACAATACCTTATCCAGTGTGTGGCCGTTGGTAAACCCAGATCTATTCGTTACTCTTGCCGACATGCTCGAAGACGTGATGCAAACATCTCTCCCACGTTTCGTGAAGATGGTTCGTATAGCGGATTTAGGGCAAGGCAATGAGCCCCTGCGAGTCTTGGGAATACGTTGGTTGCGTGAAGGAGCGGCTTCTCAGTCTATCGATGGAATGGAAGCTGAGGAAGGAGATTTCGTCAACTTGGAACTTGCAGTTGCATACAAATCTCGACCATCAGACAAGAGCGTTAAGAGTAAAGTTAAGAATGCACATTTACTGTTGGAGTTTTACCTGGCTGGAGCTATTCCTTTACGTATGTCCTCCTATTGCCATTGTTGCTCAGTTATATATAGAACAGGTAAGAAACTAACTACAAGGTCTTTAGCAATCTGGGTCGAACTCAAGGGTATGATCGGAACGATCCGTGTCCGTCTGCAAACAACCCCAGACCCACCGTTCTTCGGACAAATGACCTTCACCTTCCTCGGTCAACCAAAAGTAACGCTATCCTGCATCCCACTAATGAAGAAAATGCCGAACATCATGGATGTGCCCATCATATCTTCATTCGTTCAATCCTCTGTCGATGCTGCAATGAGTGAATATGTTGCTCCAAAAAGTTTGACGCTGGACCTCAAAAAGACCTTGATTGGCGACGACTTCAAGACCGACGTTAACGGTAAAGGAGTTCTTGTTATCCGTATCATCAGCGCAGAGGGATTCAAGAACGGTGACGGAACGAAGAGTAGTACGGAGGCTCTCGGCAAAGTCATAGGATTAAGTGGAAAGACCGGTTCTGATCCATATGTCTCTTTGAGTTGGAGCAAATACGGAAAGTCTCTCTGGCTCAGTAGGATAATAACTAAGTGTCAGACCCCAGTTTGGGATGAGACAGCAGTCTTGATCGTCGGGTATGAAGAATTAAATGCAGAAGAGAAATTGCAAATCACGCTATGGGATTCGGATAGAACGACTGCGGATGACCACCTTGGGACTGTGCAGGTAGATTTAAAAGATCTGCTACATGAGAATGAAGATGGGGTCCCAATGACAAGAGAAGACGAATTCGCCAGCCGGACTGGGGATAAAAAGATGCCGGGTACGATCAAATGGGAAGTATCATGGTTCCCTAGGACAAAACTCAGCGCGGCACAAATCAAGTCCTCGTCAGCAGCCACCCAAGAACAGAAATCAAATCCAAATGAATTATTCAATGAAATCAAATCTGCGACAATGCGAAAGACACGTGAGGCCCGTGATGAAAAGGACTCGGCCTCAGAAACCGATCAACAGCTTAAAGAAGATATTAAATTCACTACAGATGAGATTTCCAACAATGCACCGCCTCCTCAAGATTTCCCATCTGGAATTCTAAGTATCCAGATCCACCAAATATCATCATTAACTCTTCAGCAACATTCTACCTCCCGAACCCACCATAATGAGTCAATCGAAGAGAGTGAGGAAGGATCCGATCTTCCATCTTCATATTGCACTGTCACAATCAACCACCGAAAAGTTTATAAAACGAGAGTCAAGCCAAAGTCTTCGATCCCGTTCTTTAACGCAGCGACAGAGAGATTCATTAAAGATTGGCGGAATGCAGAAGTAATCGTTGGTGTACACGACAACAGGCTGCACGAAAACAACCCGATCCTTGGGTGTGTAGTTTTACCTCTTAGCCATGTCTTCCGAAAAAGAAGCCAAGTTTGTGAAAACTACCCTCTGGTTGGAGGCCTCGGATATGGAAGAATTAGGATTTCGATGGTGTGGAGAAGTGTCACTTGTCAGATTCCAAAGCAACTACTTGGTTGGGATGTTGGAACTCTGGAAGTTCGCCCGGAAATTATCGGACTTGATTTACCACAAGAGATACAAGAGTGTGCAAGAGTAGTTGTAAGCACAAGCTATGGAAAGAAGTCAAAGATACCAGCCGTAAGAGATGGAAGTGGTGCTTGGAAGAGAGAAAGACAAGTTTACGTGCCAATCAAACAACGGTATTCTTCATGCGTCCTGTTCTCGTTTAGAAAGAACAGAGTTGGGCCAGACGGAACACCTGCATTTGCCGTTTTATGGTTGAAAGATGTCCCAGATGATGAAGAATACGAGAAGGAACTTGCAGTATGGGACAATGATGGAGATAACATTGTGACAGCAGAAAAAAATGCGGTCGGTGAATGCGGAAAGAAGCTGGGGAGTATCAAGGTCAGGACTAGATTCTGGAGTGGCCTAACAGGCTACCATAGAAGACTGTCAAAGAAAGATAGCCAAATGAAAGGGGTCATGGAAATCTTAGAGTGTGCAAGTGAAGGAAAGGAATTAAGAGATGAGGTCGAAGGTGGTTCATCTAGCGACTCAAGCTCTGATAGCAGTGAAAGTAGCTCTGACGAGGAGTTACAAGAAAGCGGTGATAGAGGTGTCATAAAGGACTTGAAGGAATACAAAAAGAATAAGAAAGAACTTCATAGACATCATAGAGGGTTGATGCAATGGAAGGTTAGTCACCTGGAGCCGAGAAATAGTAATGTCCCAATCAAAAGAAAAAACAATTAACATATGGGTTTATAGGCGCTTCGAGGAATAGATTGGGCGAAGGATCAGGTTAAGGATACTACGAAAGAAGTTGTTCACAAAGTTACAGCTCGAGACACTCATGAACAAGCCAAGAACAAGATTGAGACTGAGGTTTAAATTCACGCAAGACATCAAGACTTTTTGTATGACCATAATTATTTTCAGGACCGGCGTCACTTTTAATTCACACGGGTATCATCGTTATTAATATCTGTCATCGCCGTATCGTATCAAATTATCATGTATACATATTAGATAAAGTCCTTAATTTAAGGAAACACATGCCCAAGGTGGAGGGCAGATTTAGATATACAGTTGAGTAGGTATCAAGTACAAAAAAAACCTAGAGCTCCTTGAGCCCATAACTCCAGTTCGAGGGGAAAGCACAAGCAACAGATACCTAAGTACTTAAGTATTTAGGTATATGCTAAAAACAAATTATAAATATAACTCCAACTGCAAAGAAAGAATGAATGAAAGAATGAAAGAATGAAAGAAGGGAAACTACACAATAACACAAGAACTACTTGCGGGACTAGGAAGCCTCCTGCCCCGTCGCTTTATCGTCTCGATGGTGATTCTCCTACTTGACCTTCGGACGTGTTCACCATCATCACTCTCAACCGCTCTCACTTCACTTGATACACTACTCGCCTCACTCTTCTTTCCCTTGACGTCCATAACTTCTCCGGGGCTTTTCTCCTCAACATCGTACACGATATCCCAATCTTCAGTCACCTTCTTAGGTAACTTGTAACTACCAAAAAATTCATAGGCACCATGATCTAAAGCCTCCATCAAAACTTGATTCACGACACTGCCGCCTCCTCCATTGCTGCCAAACGCTGCTTTCTTGAACCCATCGTCATCGTCCCCTCTCCAGCACCTCATGGCATAATTCTGAAACCCAAAAATGGCATAGGATTCTTTTCCAGGTTTGTCGCTGACTTTAACCGCTAGAGGTGATCCACTGTAGCCATGTTCTTGAATGACTAAATGCTGCTCGAGGCGTAGTCTTCTTACTGGAGCTCCATTCCATACTCTATACGCTCTTTCTTTGAGCCCTCGTACTTGTCCAACCTGCCATTGCTTCGAAGTAAAGTTTTGTCTCCACAAGATGCTACGGCTGTACATCCCCTTTTGATTTCTTGAGATATTCTGGTAAGCCTCTCCAATCACCAAGCCTTCCGCGACAATATTCCCATCCTTAGGGTTCTTCGAGTCCGCGCCTAACCAAGAATTAAGAAGGTACATCTTCCCCTTCCTTGCTCTTAGCATTTCAGGCGATGTACACCACTCCATACGCTTGAATTCGTTTTTCTTTTTCCGTTGGAAGGAGATGACTGGAAGTTCCTGCGGAGGGTCTGCGATAGACTTGATGAGGCAAAGATCGTGTAAGAATTTTGAAGCCTCAATGTTACCGCGCAGCTTCTTGAGGTTATCGTATGTGTGATAATACTGGCCAAATGCACCTTTCCTAGTACGGTCAATGACCTTCATGGACGCGAAATCCTCGTTGGTGACTTCGGATGAGCGGCTGGAGTTTGAGGCCCGAGATGGGTAGTCGATTGATTCTTCGTCCGTCGGGCTCTCCGGGCTAGGGAGGCGAAGCGCAGTGAGGAATGCATGAGTAGTCATCGTTATTGCGTCGTTTGGCTCTTTAGGATCGGTAGAAGGCTTCTTCCGTCGGAGGCGGACACCCAAGCAACTAGTCCAACCATGTTCGTGACCAGGACGGCAGACTTCGACACGCTTGCCGGTGAGAAGACGGTCACTCTGAAGCGGGCTTGAGGTGGCAGTGAACGTTTGCTTGTTCCTCATAAAGCTGACACGGTACCCTCCAAATGTTTCAGGTTTGGTCATGTGTTCGATACCGTGGTCGAAATCATGGTCGTACACGATGCTCATACGCTGATTGATGAAAACACAAGCCATCGTGGCCCTCGGGAAGGTCTTGAAGAGTATAGAAAGGATTTCGTCGGACAAGTTTGGAAGAGTACCCACAGGGAGAGGGTGGTCCCTAAGTGGATCTGGTGGACGCTGACCACTGATTTGCGGAGTTGGACGAGCATAGGAAAGGATCACGGGAGCATTGGCGATATAGAGTGGGATCAGGGGTATATCCATGGGATTGAAGGATTCGAGTTCCAGTGTCCATACACCCTTGCACCATGTGATGTATCTAAATCTGGGATCTAGTTCTTTGACAAGCTTAGTCCAGTTTCGATCCGTCGCGGTCGAGCTAGGCAATAGATGGCTAGGTTTTTCGCGGTGTCTATGGATTTCCTTGTCCACGTCATGGTCCGCAGGGAAGTCTCTGTAGGGCCCATCCGCCCCGTTTGAGGGAGTCGAGATATCCATGCGGCTCGAAGCGATGCTAACAACCTCAGTAGATAATCGGCTCGAGGCACCATCGTCGGTCGAGGTACTTCCAATACTTTCCTCGTCTGCATCCTTCTTCGAGGCCGCAAGCTCAAGTATCTCATCCCGGTTTAGAGGAAGGGTAACTCCAACGCTCGCAAGCCTCATAGCAAGTTTCTTATCCTCCTCCAGTATTTCTGTTAATAACTTCACCTCCCTCTTTGTAAACAAAGGAAAAAACTGCAATGCTTCCTTTGGTTTCACTAGGGGTAGCAAAAGCGATAGCATTCGTTTGCTCTTCGCTCTTTTCTCGACTTCCGCTACAGTTAAAGATTTCCTGAATTCCTCACGGGTAGTAGTAGTTTGTAGTTCCTGTAGCTTCTTCCTTGGGAAAGCTGGTCTTTTGAGCGCAACTATGCCATCGGGCCATGAACCTCTTTTTCGAATCTGTCGTACAATCTTTGGCTTCTTCAAGGTCCTTTCTACTGGAAGAGTATTCGACCTTCTAGGTGGTCCCAGCTCGGGCTCGGGCGCCGCCATGGGACCCTGTGATACTATTGGCGGTGGATCGAGTTCCATAGGGCTGCCCACACCAGTTTGTAGCGTCTCCATCCAGGAATCCAGTCGCTCAACCGGATCGATTGTGTCAAGATCCTGGTATCCAGAAGCAAGTACGTGCGGTTCCAGGTTATCCAGATTTGTGCTCGTCGGAGTTGAAACGGTTAGAGTTGGCAGGCTTGGTAAACTCGAGGAGTCCGTCAATGACGGGACATCAGATAATTCCATTGACAGCTGCCCAACCTGCCTCAAATCCTCGGCTTGTTGTCTTTCCAGAGATGGCCTTGGTCTTGTCCACGGATCTTGCTTCCGTCTTCGCAAGCCTGACGGAGCGGCGGTCCAAACCGCCTTGTGAAGCATTTCGAAAGTCTTGTCGGCTGCGCAAGTAGGCGAATCAGGGTCCATACTTTTGACCGACCTTGGAGTCTTCCTCTTTTTCCTGGGATAAAGTTCCATTTCGTCGATGACATTGTTTGGGAAGTCGTATGTGGTCCTGGTATCCCATATTGCTTTGGAATCTCCACCTGGAATATGTTGTATACTTGGGTTTTCGAATACAGCAGATATCTGCTCTACGTAATGTGCTATTCATAATATTGCGCATTCTGTTAGTTAAGAACCTTGAAGATTTTCTCAATTTTAAGAGTCGGGATTGAAGCTTCGAAGGCATTCAGCTGCGGATTTGAAATGCGTATTGATATTCTGATTTAAAATTTCTAACTTACACATATCTAAACCCGGATGCAAAGGCGACCATGGGTCCGAACTCCGACTATCGATATACGGTAAAAGTGATACAAGCGCCATGGTAAAATAGCCGTCTCGTCTCTATCTTTCTTGGTGTAACTTTCGAGATAACTAAATGATAAAGTGTATATAGGTTTGTGCAGATCGAAATGCAGACTACTGCAGGTTGGTGGTTATTCTATCTGCTATACGTTAGATCCATCGGCTCGATTCGAAGGTAATGCGGCCACGCAAAATTAAAAGGGATTACCTTTCGAAAGCTTTCGATTCCAAGCCAAGGAGTCAGCTTTGCTACCATAGAAGTATATGTATCTGCAGGCGGGCGATCCTTGTTGATAGACTCCAGTCACAGAGCCGCTTATGCAAGCCTTTGCCTTCCTGACTGGCTGCTAATTACAGCATGCAAGGCTGAGTCGAATGCGAAAGCCTCTGCGACCGCCTCTGCTACACTATTTGTGTGAACGGCCCAGATGATGCATCACCTGGTTGACAGAAGCAAAAGAAATTTAGAAGGATCCTGTTTGCAAATCGGTGGTGCTCAGGCTGGCCCATGCAATCCCGGGCCTTGTCAAATCGGATCGAGGTGTGGCCTCCCGCCTGACCAAATATCCTTACCCCCGCTATCACCAACCAGGTAAGTTTGAGCGTATCCTCCTTACTGCGAAGCCTTCGACTATAGCTAACTAGGCTCTAAGGCTAACATTTAAGCAAAAGTACCGTGCTTGGTGCACCTAAGCATTGAAAGCCGTTGGCTTCTGCAACTTTGGAGTCATCGGTTCTGCCCGCTTGCCAAACTGAAGACTAGTCAGCTAGGCCGTAGCCCCGCAAAAAGGCAGCCAAGTCTTGAGAAAACAGCCCCAATCGCTGCCTTTGAATGGAACGATGCGGCTCGATCACCAGAGGTTTTCGACTCTTATTTTTGAGCTGTAGACAAATTATGAAACGGAAACGACCAAGCATAATTCTAACGCCGTGCTTCGGACACCGGGGCTTTCAATTTGATCGCACCGCGACTTATTCCTACTTTGAATTTGAACACGTCAATCCGTCTTGATATACTGCATGGAAATGGAAAGAATCGGGTATCATTTGGATGTCTATAAGATTGGGTTCCCAGCCCACCATTAGCTTCGCGAACCATTCGATTCGTCCTTGTTACCAGAGCTCCGTTGAATATTTACACCGTCTACCCATTAGCATATATATCATTTGATCCTCTCCTCCTTCTTGTACCTTTGAAACTGGATTTTCAGCTTCTAAAAACTCGCTAATATGCATCGGTCATCCCATTCAAGCTCACACCACTCGGGTTCCAGCTCGAGTGGCGGCTCACACCACTACAACTATGGCCACCAGACTGAGTACCATTCCTCACACTCTCAAAGGCGCGACAAATACAGTATCACAAGCGGTCTAAGCGAACAAAGTATGCCTCGCCTATGACTTCAAAATTCGAGGCCAGTGACTAACGAAATATAATGTAGTCCGGGATATACGAGGATATGTCGTCGATGCTCATCTAGACCAGTATCCAAGGAGCATGGTTCAGGAGCCAATGTTGACTTCGGCGTCACTCGGCATCCGTGTTGAACCGCTCTATCCAGACACCCAGCATGAACTTGAACGGGTATGCCTTTTCTCGAGGTTCTCGATATACACCACAAATTCAAAAATCAATGTGCTAATCGGAACGTTGGACCATTGTAGGAGTTGACCCCTCGTTTTCGCCTTCGTGAGGAAGTGATTTATGCGAATGACATCTTTGAGGTTGTCACTAAACCAAAGCTCGTCCGTGCCGACCGGCACGAAACTTTTATCTATAAAATCCGTCACAAGCATGATAAGGATTTGGTATCTGAGGAGATTCTCGAGGAGCATTTGATTCGGATACCTCGTCGAAGGTTTGAAACCGGTGCTATTGTGCGACTCGAGAGGGACGGAAAGCAATATGAGGTTCTACACGCAGAATTCCTACCCCAGGAATTTGTATGGGATTATAAGATCAAGAGATTCAGCTCTTCGGGAGGTGGTGATATCAAGAGAAACGCTTTTGAAGGGAGATTATCAAGGGTTGACTCCAGTGATTCTTCTCGTTCAAATTCGTCCTACTTGACACCGCCATCTTCACGATCCTCCCCACCAAAAGTCTCTCCGAAGGGTAGTTTTAGCTCACTCTTCGAATCACTGATGAGGCACTAAGGACGCTCCTCATAAAAAACCTGTAGTATCTCTTTTCTCACATATTTACGACATTAACGACATTGACGACCAAAACCTTGCTTCGCATATTAATATTGGTTTTTCCTGTAGTGTTTAACAGCATCATGATTAAGGAGCGGTTTGCACCTGAGTGACCTGCGGGACTCTACCTATTTTCAATTTCTTTTTTCACTTCATGTATTTACATTTTCTCTCTCGGCCTCCTGAGGATTTACTTTCTTACACAATCAACTACTAGAATATCTATACGTATACCAATGATTCGAGAATTCGAGGAATAGAGGCTCCGATAAATCCATCAAAAATCAATCCTTCTACAAGGCTTCCAGAAAAAGCTTTGGTAGCCTTGCATCCGAGGCGTGCCAAGTTCAAGGCAGTGTTTGCTGGCTCAGGAGTCACACAAACAAGCCAATGCATGGACCCATGTCATAACGAGACCATGAGCGTAAGTTTCGCGTTTTTGTGGAGGATGCGCTCTTCGCAAGATAATGCTTAACCCCTCGAGTCTTCGAGTATATCATGTCCCCTCCTCATCAAGCTAATCCGTGGTTGAAGCATTGAACTCCCCGGAGATTTTTCCTTTCGGCGAAACCTTCTTGGCCTACGAAACAGAAAATCTCACGATATCAAATTAGCAATCGCACTCAAGCTAATCTATTCAGTCGAACCCATCGGTCGCATGGCGGGCGACAACAACGTAGAATTGCAGCAGCCGATGACCAGCGCACCGACGGCCAGCACACCAGACCAAGGGCATCCACGGCCAGAAGCCACCAGCTCACAGTCTCATGATACTGGCGGCTCAGGTACAAGAAGTATGTCCCCTCCCGCCTCTCTTGTCTCTTTCATGCCGCCTCCTTGATCCTTTGATTTCAGCTTTGTCCTCATCTATTCAAATAACCCCGTCCAAAAGACTAACAGCCTTATGGGAACCTTTACTGTCAGCCCTCGGTCATCTATCAGCTCGCGTTCGGGGCGGCTACCAAGACGGCGAAGTCGCGACCTAGAAGCTGCTAGGGGGTCTGACTCTGGCAACAATGGCGGGCCCGAAAAGGGTGATATTGTACGGAGACCAACTCGGAGATTGACGACACGGCATAGCCTTACTGTCACACAGAAGAGGCGGCCAATACCTGGTAAATACCTAGAAGATTTGCGAAGGAAGTGAAGTTAGAAGAGACAATAAGGCTGATGATGCGATTTAATTGAACAGTCCATGATGTCCCTCTTGGTTACTCGAAACTTGCAGCCTTTATTGATTTAGAGGATGACCTTGCTATTTTCAGGCGGTTCAGCAGGCTACATGCACGATTGTTGCTATATCGGCAGGCAGACATTGAGGAGATAGAAGAAGATTTGGCGGAGTTGGACATGATCGAGGAAGAGGAGGCTAGAAATGCAAACACCCCGGACAATGCATTGAATCGTTCGTGGAGGAGAGAGAAAGATCTAGATGAGTATAGAGTGGAGTTGGTCAAGAAATTGCGCAAATCTATGAAGGAATACGGTATGGATCCTGCATGCGGTGGACAGCTAGCAACGTTCTATCTAACGATTGATTCTCATTTGCGTTAGATGACGAGCTTTTCAGATACAAACAGAAGCTTGCTCTGAAAGGTGCCACCGATTGGCAAATAGAGAATGTCAAAACATGGATGGATAACCACCATCCGAACCCATTGGTCCCCCGGGAGAGAAGGTTCCTTGAAGACAAAGGAGACATATGTGCTTTACAAGCTTCGAGCGAAGATTCTGCAGTCCTTACAAATGCTCTGCGTGGCTGGGCGCGTGACACCTTCGGCTGTATGTGGCTGTTCAAAAAGAAAGGCAACCCTGCTAGCTACGGCGATCCTTCGATAACGTACTATAGCACTGATTGGAAGGATGCGTTGATGAGGGTAGCCTATGCGGCTCTTGTCTCTGCATTGTTGATCGCGGGAGTCATTGCACTATTTTACGTGCAGTCAGATGAAGGAAGGCTGGCTGTTTTGTGCGTTTCAACATTAGTCTGCGGTGTCGTCATGGCATTGTTTACTACTGCGAGAAAAGGGGAAATTATGGGAGGCACAGCAGCGTAAGTATATTATCCTTCGAAGCTACTATAACCCGAGAAACTAATTCTTCTTTCAACTTTTTTAGATACTGCGCTGTCATGGTGGTTTTCGTTGGCTCGACACTGAATGGTGATGGAGCGGGCGGTGGCAGTAGTGGCTCAATGGCGAAAGCCACATGAAAAGTCATGAGTGATTTGATTTAATCAACTTTAGCATATAAAAATTGTTCAAATTCGGGTTAGGAGTTTCTATTATACTTTTCGGGAATCGGTACGGAATGGGCTTGGTGTTTTTCAATGGCGTTATATAGTATGCTATCATGATATTATGAATGATTAGAATCCACCAAAACGAAGGCTTACAAAAGCCCTCGTGTTATTACAAAGCTCAATCTCAAAAAAAAGAATGCTGTGAACAGTGCACTAGAACTTCCGCAATACAAGAGAATCAAAAGGTTTCAAACCCAGCGACGGCAATTGCCTTTCACTCCTCGCTCTTCTTCCCAAACGGTGACAGCCCACCGACAAAGTTCCCTACTCCTTTCGCGCCCTCTACCGTCTTATTAGCACCAAGTTGAGTTCCGGATTTTACACCATCCACGAGGGGGTCCGTCACGCCGCCTAGCGGACCTCCGTACGACCCATCATCATCTTTCCCACCTCTCTCCGCTCGATTAACCCCCTGCTTAGAAACTAGATCACCAACCGGCTGCAGTAGTCCATCCTTCCCCACCTGACCCGCTGCGAGGTTATGCACATCATCCTGCAGCTTGTCGACCTGTTTTATGCCAGTAACTTTGCTTTTGTCGAGTTGCTCTGTGTAGACATGTCATGACGATATGTTAGTTAACTGAGTCATCTGTTGCATTTTGTGCACATGAAATGTAAAAGTGATTTATCGATTTGGCGGCATTCTACAAGCCTGCGATAAGACATCGGACCGGACTGTGAATCAAAATCTGACTTACGCTTCGTGACATAAGAGGCTTTATTGTCTTTTCCAAAATAGTAGAGGTATTGATCTTCGAGCCACGGGACCCATCTCTCGTATTGTGTGTTGTAATATTGCTTTACGCTTTCCATCTTCGGAGTCTTTGCAGACAGTTGAGGTGAGGTTACTCTGCGTTGTTGTCGGTTTGTGTAACCAAGAAGCTCAGTAACTATCGCGGACGAGACAGGTTTGGAACGTTCCACAAGAACAAGAATATTTTAATCTTTGTTTTTACCCAGAATCGGATAGAGGTAGTTACAATAAAGTATGAAATTGATGCTTATGGGTTTAGTATATTTTCATAAGATGCGCTATTCAGTCACTACAGAGAAGCTATATATATTTCGTAGTCTTGCTATATTTGGGGATTTCAGGATATGATTGACATGATGCAGATATGACGTGTGGCGCTCAACAGGCTGGTGAACCAAACAGCCACCACCTAGCATACGCAACCCGCTCGGGCTCCAAGTCTGGGCTAAATTCCAGTTTCTTGATTTTCGGGTCCGTTAAGTAGTCACTGTATGTAGATGTTGGTCTGAATACTAACAGGGAAAGTACTACTGGGTCCTTTTAATATCGGATATGTTAACTAATTCCTATGAATACACCTTTTGAATTCAACAGTACAGTACAGTACATTATGTAGTATATTCATGTATAGGTACCCCTAATGTTGATATCGATATATCAAAGTTTCATCTCAAATTTTGGGTTACACTGGTCTCGTACCCAGACACATTAAAGTTCCACTACGTCACCTGTCCTTATTTTGCTAGAATTGCTCGAGACATCGATGGAATGAGATTCACGCCTTATGGAAAGACGACAAACGATGCGACTATAGATATCTAGATGTGCAAAACGAAAACATTGTGACCAGTGAAATGATTCCGAAGGTGGCTCGGCGCAATTATATCATGGTGGGCTTAATTAAACCACATAGCTCTTTGAGCTTCTAACTAGCAAGTGATACCGACATTAAATATAAAATTTAAGAAAATTTGGTACGAGACAAAGAAAATTATGGAATCACTTATATTGAAGTAAACTAGTATAAGAGTAATTATGACACTCCGGAAAATAAAATCTATGCACAATTTTGGAAATATCTTACATAATCCTCACTATGCACACTTAGAGTCCACATAGAGAAAAATTTCCTCGAGATCGGGCGCAGATGAGGGCAGGGAAAACCCCAACCATATCCATGCAGAAGCATGGACATGCGATGAGATCCAGTATCTAACGCGATAACTCGTTCCTAAATTTCGCCGAACCCAGTTTTTAACTTTTCACCGTTCAAGGACTGCCAATGCTACCTGCTGTACAAACCGCTTCATAGTTTCCTCCCTGCATTCTTCGCGTTCCGTCAAGATGCTACTAGCCAGTTCGCATGAAGACTCCGGTCTCGTAACAAGCGCAAGTGAAGAAAAAAAAAAGACCCTAAGCTGTTTCACCGTCGCCAACCGCCGACGCAGAAACAACACGGATTCTCCAAGCATATTGGCGTCCATGCAATACTCTTGAACTCAGACCACAGCATGGTCGTCAAGAATACAGCCAACTTGATAAAAAAAATTTTTATAGACACAAATCCCCCTATATAGGAAGTTACCCCGCCCCCCGCACACTGAAGTATTTGCCGTTCATCCGAGAGAGAAGAGAGAAAAAAGGAATAACTGAAGGAAAATCAAAACGTCTCGAAGTTTAGCCTTGGCCCGTCGGCGCATAACACTGGTCTGAGTCGCAAAAAAAGTCTTCCACCATGGTACCAACACTACCTCCTCCCGGATAGAGTAGCGAGAGTTCCACGAGGACGAAAAAATAAGACCGTCTATACTCGGTAGCGAAATATTTTTATAAGTAATCGTTCAAAGGAGACTACGTTCGCGTGGACTCCAAGGGGTGGGTGTCACAAACCAGGCATCGGGAAACCACGTGTGGGTCGGCACATGGGGCATAAAAATAGAGCCTCGCACTGATGTTATAACCGGGTAACTAACGACAATTCTATATTTGCGGATTTTATGGAATGTTCTATTGTGAGTTATAAAGCCGTAGGTAATATGAATTCTACGGGAACGGGTAAAGCCGTTCCTGCTCCATTCCGTTTACACAGGTGCGGGGTGACTTGTGCGTGTGCAACAATAGCCATTGTATCAAAAAGAATGCATATGGGGAACGAAAACTTCACGGTCGTTCTCCACCTGATGCCGGAACATATTTCCATTGTAAAAGTTTGAAGAGAATATTATTTCAAAGGAAAATCAGCTCTGGACACAGAATGAGTAGACATGGGAAATAATAAAATAACATATAAAATATAAAATAATAAAGAAAAATTCAAGGATACAGAAGAGAGTGATACCTCCTTAGTTAGCTAGTGCACACTCGTATTGAACATCTGTTCCATACAAATCCGCCCGTAAATGATATCAGGAGGAACGTGATTCTGACCGCAGCTGTGGCTAAATCAATAAGTTATCAAATCCAAATCACCAAGCTCACCCAAGTTCAGAGAAAAATATTAAGCGGCCGATCCGGCTTCCGAATATTGCATAAGCTTTCCCTTTGCACCACGGAATTTCGCATAAGAGCTTTAGTTAGTAAGTAGTAAGTATATACTATCGGAGAAACCTCCCATCAATTAATTTCCCGGTTCCCTGAAGAACGAATCGAGAAAGTCGTTATTGAAACGTTGCCAAGCTTGGATGGTTCAGCAAGCCCTACCAAGCCGAACCACAACAAGACCTGCGCAAAGAAAAACCACCTCCCCATGGTCCAACATGCAGCCTTTGACACAATCCCAAGCCTTCTTGACAGTTTTTCTAGAAGGAAAAGACACAAAACAAGATTAGATTACGATGACGATTGATATTTATGCATTTATGAGACTCGGAGCTCATTGTAAGGGGTTTTTGATAAATTTTTTCACCAACTAAAATACAACTTTTTACGAGGGCAATGGCGTTATTTGCGCTGGCCATAACGACACAGTTATGCGCTCGACTCAAACGGCAGCGAATTCGAGTATTCTCTCGTCTCTTTTACCAGCATCAGAACAACCTTTTTTAGAATTTTATTAAGTATCAATGGGGATCCGAAGCTAAAAGCCCAACAGCTCCAAACCGGCTTCAACTCCTCACGGCGCAGGAGAACCAGCTGCAGGGGCAACATTTCAGGTTTATGTCGCGGCAGGAGGCGGGTAAGCGTCTGTTCATGTCTACGATGTCTGTCCCACTTCTTCCCACCAACACCAATTAGGCAACTATGATATCCACGAACCGGCCATAATAATAATAAAAATCCCGGATTGTCTAAAAAGCTTCCGCGGAACTACTGAATCAGGTAAGGATCCGTTTGAATTCAGATTTTCTTTCCAGAAAGAAAACCCTGGAATACTGTTCACCCCTAACAGCCAACGTTGTGCTAACGTTACTGCATCGCGACATCGGCCGCTAGCATGAGTGCAATGTGTGTTCACTAAGGTACGCACCCCGTCCGGGGAGGGATAGCAGCATCCCCTGCGCGGTTCACTGGAGGTAACGAAGGGCTTCTTCGGACCTGTCAATGGGATAACCCCCCCCCCCCCCCCCCTCCGAGACGGGCGTAGATAACGCATTTGGAAGGTGTCTGAATCTGTCCATGCGACGGGACAAGGAAAGACCAGAGACCTCACTTGATGGGAGTTGATTTACCATCCCTTCTCATAGTATCTGTCGGTTTCAGCCAAACAATTGGGAAGGATTGTATGTGTTCATGGAGATTGCGATAGATGGGCAGCCTTAATCTTTTGAGGTTATATAACAGTCGTGTCTGCGCCTTGAAGTCTGGATTTTTTTTATCTTCATCCTTCACGATCTCGAGCATCTGACGATATCGACACATTTATCTGGTGACTGTCTCTTCCCTATCATCTGATATATAAATCGATAATCATTTGATTCGTATAACTACCCCGCCGCTTCTTACCTTTATACATTCGCTATCATGAGGTCGTTACCAATTATTCTCACCATCCTTGCTACGGCTGTTCAGTCGTTACCTACCATCCACAACCGTCAATTGCAACAAGACCATAATGGCGCTGTTGCATCTGAAACCGATGTGTGCAGTCAGGTTGGCATCGATATTATGAAGAAGGGCGGTAATGCCGCCGATGCCATGGTTGGAACTGTGATCTGCGTCGGAACCGTTGCCATGTACCATAGCGGTATTGGTGGTGGTGGCTTCATGCTTATCAGAAGCCCCAAGGGAGAATATGAATTCGTCGATTTCAGAGAAATGGCTCCAGCTGCCTCCTACGAAGAGATGTTCGTGAACAGGACTGAATTGAGTATCTATGGAGGATTGGCCAGGTAAGATATCATATATACTTTAATCAATTCCAGAACTACTATACTAACAAAAGCGTGATATTAGTGGTATCCCCGGAGAACTTCGAGGTCTTGAGTACCTCCATAACAAATACGGCAAGCTTAGCTGGAAGGAATGCCTCGAGCCCTCCATCCGCTTCGCCAGGGACGGTTTTGTCGTCAACAAAGATCACGTCAAATACTTCGAACTAGTCAGGGCCTCAGCGCCTAGCTTCTTCCTCACCGAGGACCCAGCTTGGGCCATTGACTTCGCTCCAAACGGCAGACTCGTCCAATTGGGTGAAACCATGTACCGCAAACGTTTTGCTGATACCCTCGAAACCGTTGCAAATCAAGGTGTCGACGCCTTTTACCAAGGCCCACTCGCCGATGCCATGATTCGTGAGATCCAAGCCAGGGGTGGATCTATGACCCACGACGACCTCCAAGCTTTCAAGTTGGCTCATCGTAAGCCTTCGAATATCACATACCGCGGTCATAGAATCTGGAGTACATCCGCTCCATCCAGTGGTGCAGTAACTCAATCCGTTCTTAAGATCCTCGAGGGATACCCAGATTTCGCCGATCCCGCAAAACGCAATGAATCCACCCACTTGCTCGTTGAAGCCATGCGTTTCGGTTACGCTCTCCGCGCCGAACTCGGTGATCCAGACTTCGTCGAAGGTCTAGATGCTTACCAACAATCCATGATCTCCCCAGAACTTGCCGAGGAAATCCGTTCCAAGATCTGTTTCACCCGTACCCTCGAAGTTAAGGAATACAACCCCAAAGGTCTTGAATCCCTCGATACCCCAGGAACTGCCCAGATGTCCACAGCAGATGCATCAGGTCTTGCCGTCTCCCTCACAACAACCGTCAACCTCCTCTTCGGCTCTACCGTCATGATCCCGGAAACTGGTGTCATCATGAACAACGAGATGAATGACTTCTCCATTCCCGGGTCTTCCAATGCTTTCGGATTCATCCCCTCCCCTTCGAACTTCATCAAGCCATTCAAGCGTCCACTTTCCTCCATCACCGCCTCAATTGCTGAAAGAGCCGATGGAACGCTTGACTTCGTCGTTGGTGCCGCCGGTGGTAGCAGAATCATCTCTTCTACCATTCAGAATATTATCAATATTGTCGATCGCGGACTCAACATTGAACAGACCCTCAGAGAACCAAGACTTCACGATCAATTGACTCCTAATACTTGTGTTCTCGAATGGTCTTTTGATAACAGCACTGCTGCTTACCTCAGAGGCTTAGGACACGAGATTTCCTATGTCCCCGCCGCCCAGTCAGCCGCTCAAGGTCTTAGACGGTTGGAAAATGGTACCTTTGAGGCTGCTGGTGAGCCAAGACAGAAGAACAGCGGTGGATTTGCTTTCTAAAGGATCAACATCATGAAGGACTAGACAGGTTTAAGGTATAATTGGGAGTTTTCTTTTTTGTGATACTTTTTGTTCTCGGTAATGTGTGGGATTTTTCTTTTAGCAGGCATATCGGCGTAGTTAAATTAGAAAAAGCATCTTGATTCTTAGCTACTTCAGAAGCGGTTTATTTGGGGCTTTGAAGAGGAGGATTTAATTTTAGTACGAAACCTATAGTTGAAAAATACAATAAAGATTCATCGAAATCCATCAAAAAAATACTCCATTGGTTATGCCATTCTAATCTGCTATGCACCGCGAGCAACCGAAAAAAGGAAGCAGAAGATTTGAAGGATATCCCTGCCTTCGTATCGGCATGACTTCCACCGGAAGAACTTCAACGAAAGTCCAGACTGGTTATTCTTACAACGCTATCAAACACAAAAACAAAAAGCGAGTGCATGAACGAACATACTAATACACCAAATGGAGAAAAATGCCTCCGCGCGGGTATCACATGTCGGAAACCCTTTCCTGTGAAAGCAAAAAAACAAAAAAAGAGAAGAAAAAGATAGATATGATGCATTCTGCGGTCCTACGTGTCCTCCCTTCCCCTCACTCCTGCATTAGCCTATCGTATATTATCGCGCGTAACCGCTTATCTTCTCCTTATCTTTCCGTCTACGTCAGCACCAACCGGTACCTTTAGATCCTGTCGGGCCTGGCATAGCGACGTAAAACTCTCTTGACTCGTTTACAAGTCCGCAACTCTCGTCAACCATGTTGGGTCTCCATTCGCCCTACCTCTGGCAGCACCAGCGGTAATCCAGGCAGCGTAACTCCAGGTCAAATCCTTAGCTCCCACGCCGCGTCCGTCATCACGGTCGTACTCTTCGGGGAATCTGCCGTCGGCGGGAGCCCAGTATTTCACTGTTCGCATCCACATATCTCCCCAACCTTGGAGGGCTCGAACCATCTCCTTGAAGGTGTGGGATCTGGAGGTATACTTTCGGTTGAGAGTTGCGTCGGCAGGGGGGGCGAAGTACTTCCAGAATGCTTCAGTGGCGGGAGTGACGGTAATCTGGTCGCGGGCTTGGAATTCGGCAGCGGCCTTGTAGAAGAGCTCGGCCATGGCAGAGGTGGTAAGGTACCATGGGTTACCGCGGGAGGTACCGACACCGTCGTAGACGTCCTCGGGATAACGACTGGTAGGAAGAAAATCACAAATTAGAATATGACTCCGAGCTGTTGGCATTGGATGTTCTATGCTTACCCGATTGGAATTCCCAACGGATTACCCTTAGCATCCTTCTTTATACTTGCAATTGGATAGATGGCTAAGAAGCTGGTCGCGATTTGGTATGCTGAGGCCAAGATCTGGTCGTTGGTAGCACTGAACACACCGTCATCGTTGTACCCATGGAGCACACTCAAAACAACACTGATATCCTTGTACGAGCTCTTATCTCTCATCACAGGACCATAAGAATAAAGTACCAAATTCCTCTGGGAATCCCAGAACCCCTTAGCACTTTCCAAAACTTGGGCAGCAATGTTGGAATATCGTGCCGCGTCATCATTGTAGCCCAATTTCTTTGCGAATTCGGAGCCGAGGAGCAAGGCCCGACGATGGATGATGCGGTTGTAGAAGTGTTGGGAGTTGACTTCTTCCCAGAGGTCGAAGGAGCCGGACCTCCAGTCGGCAGCAACATATTGGAGGTCACGGGAGATGGCGGGCCACAGCTTAGAGATGACGACAGATTGGGAACCACCGTTTTTGAGGTAGAATTCAGCGAACCGAACAAGCGTAACGGCCCGGGCTCCTGGACCGTCATTTTGTGGACGCCCCCACGGCTACTTTCGTTAGCACCCATTCTCTATGACGAAAATTATCTTGAAGATAAGCTGGTGGTATACTTACACCGGTATAACCAGTATTGGTATCAAGATAGAACTTTGGCTCTCCAAGTCCCGAGATAGCATTAGGGTCGTTTTGTTGGTCAATGCTGGACTTGGCATAATCGAAGAGTCGCTCTTCATAGTATCCCTTCTTCTGAGGGCTAGCAGCCTCGTAAAGCATAACAACCACGTCCATTGTCAAAGCAGCATCTCGAATCCAGTGGTACCAGTAATCGGGTTCGGACCTCGATTGAGAAGCTACTACAAGCCCCTTTACTGCACCTTCAGGAGAGATATTGTCGAACATGCGCTTCTTAGAGATACCAGCTTGAGTAGCAGACGTTGCCATCCAGTCCGAGATATCAGAAGAGAAACCCTGAGGTTTTGCGTATGGCTTCGGGGCTGCTGGTGGATCTGGTGGAGGTGGTCCGGAGGGTTCCACGTCCAGATCTAATGGCTGGACATATTGTTGGTGAATATCCAAGGCATCGTATGTGATATTTATGAGCTTCGTGACACCGTTAAGGTAGACTATCCGATATAAAAAATCCATATTAGCTTCCAATCGATCGTAATTCCGTAGATTTGTGAGATTTAAATCGTAGGTTTTTAGGGAATCTGCATACCAGGTGTCTGGGCAGCCCAGAATTCCCATCCATTATCAGTTCCCTCTGCCATCTTGGTCCATCCTAGCGAGACGACGCTGAGAGGTGTAACCTCCCCCTTTGCATTGGCGTAATAAAGCTGTACCACCTTATTATAGTTTACATTCTGAACCCATGCCGAAACGTTCAAGTACCCGCCACAGTACGAATACTGCTGCAAAGCCACAGGGTAATCTGGGATACTTCCCTCGATTCCTACGATGTCGCATTGAGTAGCAGAGAACGAAGGAGCCGAGTGGAGCAGACCGATCAGGCCGAGAAAACGGAGCGGAGAAGAGACCTTCATGGTGAAGGAGGTACAGTGGGAAACTATGGATCCCCAGTAATCCGAGAGCTGTAGCTGATGCAGCTGCTGTTTGACTTGATAATCGACGACGGAGACATGACGGAGACCGATGGGCTGCTGGCCTGTTAAATAGGACAGCGCCTGGTAGAACGGCGGCATGACGAAGGTAGCAGCTCGGGCAGGTCGTTAATGATGTTTGATGAAGCTGCTTCTGCACCTGTTTCCGTTTCTGCCGTTTCTGCCGTTTCTGCCTCTGATGCTGTACTAGTGCTACGATAGCGGACTTCCCGTTGGTGATCGCTGGATATCGATTAGATTGCAGAGGACCGGGTAAGGGAAGAGCAATTTCATGGATGAAGCTGGGGGGAAGGGGGTTGGAAAAGGAAGGAGAGAATGTCTGGCCAGACCCGGCCGGCCTGCTGTGGGGATATATTATCCGCTCCGCATTACTGGCTTATCCTTCGTCTTGCTTCTTTTCTTTTTCTTGGTTCTTCTTCTTCACTATTAGCCAGCTAATATCAGGATGTTATACCTTCAATAACAAGCTTAGCTTAGCTAATAAGAGAGTGGTATGGAAGAGGTCGCACCGACTGTGAGAGTGAATGAGCAAGTGCAGTGCAGTGCAGTGAGTGCTCAGGTGGCCTCATGTTAGCTCAGTTTAAAGAGAAAAAGAAACACCAGTCCCAGAACGTCGATGCAGCCACTCCTCACTTCGTGGGAAGTCGAATCACCACGCAAGCCATTACATGATCATGTCGAGACAGAACTTCTTCAGTCGAACTTGCAATTCAACTCGACTCGACTCGACTCGTGGCCAACGCGCATTGGGAATGCTGTCAGGTGGCCGGCTTTAGTGTGCTTTCAATGCAGGGATCCGGACACCACCCTGCGCGCGACATCATCGTTACCTCAGTAAGTATGCAATGTCGACTCGCTCGCATGATTCTTAAAATTCCGGGGATTATACTTCTTAGTTAAGTTACCAGTTACTTCCCTGACAACTTTTTTCCCATGCCATTAACTCAATACCGATCGAACAAACCGGGGTATACTATACCAACCAGTGTAGTGAACCAAGCCATGCATGCTGTGGAGAAATTAGGGAGGCAGCTTCCCCAGAAGGCAGCAAAGTTCCTCCCAAAACCCGGCCGGAGGACCAGGCGGCTCGACGGAAATCAAGCTGCTTTATTTGAGGAGATCGTATAATATACCCTCAGGCTATCGAAAAACTTTGATTCATCGATAACTCTGGTGAGCTAGCTAACCCCGACGAGCTGATTCTCATGTCTATCACGAGCCGAAGACAGGAACGGCCGAACCTTGGGACAAGACAACGTCCAAGGTCTCAAGAAAACTTGGGACGACTACTCCATAGAGCCGGGGGGTACCGGGTCGGCAGGTACCCTCTACGGCATGGCCGGGGTAAAGTATTGGCCGCCGTTGGCCATCTTTGACAAGCTAGTCGGCATCGGAAGTACCTCCCCAGTACTATGGTTTCTGCAACGGAGAAACTGATCACCAGCCGTTTGAAGCTCCAGAGCTCTTAAATTAGCTCCGAAAGCACCAGTCTTGGTTCCTAGACGCCGACCCAAACCCATGCATAAGTATAAACTTCTCGAACTTCGAACACAAAAATGCGGGGTGCTGAATGGAAGTAAAAAATTTTTTTTTTCATCTCGGTGTTCCTCCCGCTCAGCAACTGCAGGCCCCATGCTAACCATTTACCTTGCAAGGCCTTGTTTTTTTGCATTCGATTGGGTCGCACCGGCTTGTGATCACAGGCGAGATCCAGCTGCCTTACCAAAAGGTCAAACAGAAATTCTAAAACAAAATTCCATCGATAGGTTCCTATCCTTCTCAAACCGCAGTCGGTCGGATTCATCAGCATCATTAATGGTCGCACAGCATATATTTCAGGCCATTCAGGTCATCTCGTCAACCAGGGCTGACCCGATCTTCCTTCTCCCTCGTCTCATCTTAGTTCAGAATGGTCATGACGGTTGGTTTGTCGTCAGTTTCTCGACGGCAAACAGGCCGAATCCTGGGGACTAAGTTTGCAAACGTCAGTTGGCGGTGGTCATGAAGGTTTTTTATTTTATTTGCCATAGGTTCAAAATTCGGATTGTCTCCTGTTTGACAAATCTAATACGCATATGAAACGGACGGTAGATGAGGGATATACGTAAGTCTTAAAAACTCGAATGTATTATGTTTTTTGACCCGCTGCGGGATATCGAATACATCATGTAGATGTATCTACCCCCCCAAAAGGAAGGAACAACGAAAACATGCATAAAGGGAAATATGACGGTAAGAATGATATAACGCCATAGAAACACCGTTGAAGAAATGACACTAGTATATACAACCAATCACATGAAAAATCATCCGCTCAAGCTATAACCGCTAACTATTCGTCTGCATGAAATGTCAATAGATGTCATGAAGAAAAGATTCGCTCGTAAATAATGTCGCCAATCGAGAAGCTAATATCCTCTCCGTCCTCCAGAAGCCCCCAACGAGTTCCTGACTCCATACCAAATAACTTTCGCAGTATCAATAATCCTATCACCAGTAAACAGCGGTGTATCCCCAAACCCGCTGTTGAAGCCAGTATCACCAGTAGATCCAATGGAAATAGGGACCCCGTTAGAATCCCCAGTCACAACCGTCGCATTCTTGATGCTCCCCACAGCACAATCCGTCTCATTTCCCCAAGCAAGCCTATCAACCTGGGCCCACAATTCGTGCGAAAAGGTCAAGGATCGAGGAGTATAATATAACCTGCAATCCGCGGCTTCAAGGTAAAATTGCAACGGCGTCGAGGTAGGATCCGCTCTTCGAATGTTATCCTTCCAGTTCACAGCTGCCTCCGCAACGTTGAGTCTAAACGGTCTGGGAAAGATACGATCCCACTCCTGTCTTTCGGCGTTATCGCGAGGAGTAAAGTTATTCTCGACGATTTGGACGAAATTGAGCAAGTGAGCTGTATGTTGGATGACTTGGGTACCTCGAGTCCCACCAACCGCGGCCGAAGGCTCTCCGTTTGGACGTCCTCCTACGACGACCGTGCGAACGCGCTGTTGGTTTCGTAGGAATTCAGCGAAGATACCACAAGTGGAAGCGCAAACACCATCGGTGACTAGAATGATGTTTTCAGGCCTAAATGGTGGTGGTCGGGTTCTGTATGAAGCGCGGTCGCCGTAGCCCGTGACATCATAACTTAGATCTCCGACGGCGAGCATGTTGTTAAGGTCGTATGTAAGGATATTTGTGAATTGATCGTTGTAGACATTTGCAGGACCGAAGAAGTCATTAAAAGAACTGAATCTCCTGCCATCCTCATCTAGGTTGAAGAACTGATCAAGACCGCTGAGAGATGCATATGCGGCGACTTGGTACGCATTGATTTGAGAGACGGTCAGATTCTCGCCCATACCACCGCCAATAGCGCGCGTGAGGGTATCGATAACATCCTGATTAACGAGTTCAGTAAAGGCCTGTGCGATTCTAAGAGATGCCGGATGATAACGAATGCGGGTTCCAGAGTATGGGTCAGAACCTGGGAACAATTGCTTGTAAAGATCGTAACCCATATTGACAAAACCACCACCGTTACCACGAACGTCAATAATGAGCTGTTCCATACCCCGACGTTGAGCTTCCTCAAGGAAAAGCTCGACGGCGGCTTGGACAGCCTGAGTTGGAAATTGACCGTTCGGGTCATCAGGTGCGAATCCAGTGATATCTATAATAGCAGTCCGGCTGTCGTCACCAGCATAGTCCGCCATGAAGTATCCACCAACGACTTGGTTGATATCCTGGATGTATGGTCTTACACGAGGTGTGTCCGGGAAGGTGGCATTGTACCTCACCAACTGTGATGGTGGGGGTATGGTATTGCTTCCCGACTGACGCTTCTCAAGTCGACGAATGGTCTCATCAAGTTGGTCATTGTTCAATCTCCTCTTCCTAAGGTCCTCCAAAGCTCTAACCCTCAATTTGCTGGCACCCGATCCTCCACCCCCACGCGCATTTGGGTCAACGTTAATAATCCTATCCCAAATGGCTTGCCCGCTCGTCAAAACACTCCAAACATTCGATCCGGGTTGGTGAAGCGCAACAGCAGTATATCTATACTCGGTTGTCGTTCCATTCTGGAATGTCAATGTAAAAGTATTTGCACCGGGGTACCGGGTTCTAACATAAAAGGACCCCAACTTCGGCGGGTTCTGCGACTGGAAGGCCGCATTCCACCGAGTGTCCGGCGACTGCGAAGATTCGTAGTAAGTCAACCGTTCGATAGCGGTAACCACATCTTCGCCATCAATTTGAGTAATTGCAGACGGTTGGAACCGAGAATTGCTCGCCCGAACATCATCCGCTACAAAAACTCGAGACGCCTGTTTCCCATCAGGACTTAAATCCATCAAACTAAACGGCGCCCGAAAATTGATAAGCGAAGGAAGCGGCCAGGCGACATATAAATGTCCCTCATGGCATCCGCTAAGCAATGCATCAACTCGCGTTTCAAGTTCGTTCCAAGATGTAATAGAGCCGGATTCCACACTAGTATATATATCCGTAATTCCACCAACAATATCCATAGGATCCTGCCCAGAGTTTGGGGGCGGTCGCGCCAGATATGCTATTGTACTCTGAAATTGAACAAATTTCGAAAGTTCAGTCAAGAACTCAAGAGCCGGTGCTTGCTCTAGCGGTATGGACGCCAGACAGTCGTATGCGATTTTGGAATCAATCTGGAACGAAGTTGCAGCTATCAAGAGACAAAAAAAACATCTCGTTAACATAGCTCTATTACGGAATTTGAACGAAAATCTAATTATCGACAACGATAATAGACCCCGAACAATTCAATTCAACTCAAAAGGGAAACAAATACCAACTTTGTGCGTTCGAAGTTCTCACAAACGATGCTGCAACACGACCAATGTTGGCGCAACCGCTCTCAAGGTCAGCCGCCGATGGGACATAACGTCCTGGCCCTGATGTTGCGTTTGGTACTCTCGCAGAAGCCGTTGCTGATGCATTATCCTGGGGTACAGCTACCGCATGTACTATTGTCCCTAAGCTCAGCAGAGCTGCTGTAGCTTTCCCCAACATCCTTATTTCTTTGTTCGCTGTTATCGTCGTATACGTTTCGTTTCTATATTATCCGAAAGCCGAAAAATTCAAGACAGGTGCAACCCCACTATAGTGTACCCAGAAACTCCCAACAGAAAAATACCCGTAGTAGACAAAGAAAAGAGCGAAGAAAGCACAGTGAGCCAAGGGTATTATAAGAACAGAAAAAAGTACCCAAGTGTAAGACCGTAAGACTGCAAGGGAGAAGGGGGAAATGTAAGACGGTCCAAACTAAGGAACCTTGCCATGTTGCTTATATATATCCTAGCCAATATCAACGAGCCTCATCGAACTATTTGAGAGCCTCGCGCGTGGTACGAAGCGTCTGCCGCTATGAGGGGAACCCATTACAGTTCCGAGTTTCAACCCTCTGTCGGTTTCCAGCTCGCTCGGGTTTTGCCCATCCACTTTTCCCATCCTCTATGGGGCTGAGTTTGAAAAAGGACCAGTCATCCATATCTGGAATAGTCGAAAAACTGGCGTCCCAAAATATCAAATTAATCCTTGCAAAATCCTTAGGTGCGAGGTAGATTCGGTAAGCGGCCAATGATGCTGCGGGAGCCAAGGCAATCCTAGCTGTATTTGCTGCATCTGGAGTAACTGTCCTGCTTGACCAAAAGGTTTGCTAGCTTTGAACCTGTTGAAGGAAGGGCGGCTGAAGTATAGATATTTCATGCTTGTCGGACATAGAGGGTTTGTGCTGCTTGCTGCGCCCTAGTCGCAAGGATTGTGAATCCAGGAAATACGGACCTGCAAAGGTGATTCTTGCCAGACTGGATTCATGTTTTATTTTAAGCATTCTTGTGATTACAATTTTTGGATCGTGATTTCCAAGAACTCGTAATCCAGGAACCAAACTAACTGACAAAACAAACCCGAATGATGATAATTATTTGGGCCAACGTAAACAAGACTTAAACTGTCAGCTGGGTTTGCATACGGTTGGTCAATGCGACTTGGTTTCTTGTTCGTTTGTGAAGCTGTCATCCCGACGGGATCTAACAGGTTTGTAACCGCTAGGAGGTCCTTTTTGTGACACCAACAGGTACGCAATGATTATGGCGGGAGAGCACAGAATGCCTAATATTAGCTGGAGGTATTTGTTATCGATATCGGGATCTCGGTGTGCATACCTGACGGGAACATTTTCATGCAGGAGCCACAAGGATGGGTTCGTTTACCGACAAAATAGCAACGGATTCTCACAATTGAGGTCTTGACAAGTCATAAGCCTGTGGTCCGGCTGAAGGTTGAATTTCTAGGCTGGTTAGGGAGCTAGCATTCGCCCGCTTGGCTTAACGTAGAAAGCGAGCCTCCACGGTACCAAGGCTTCCCACAAATCCATGATTTGAATCATAAGAAATCAGTTGATCGAGAGATGTCAGATGTAGAGAATCTGAAGCTCGTGGGTTTATCCAGCGATATCCACTGGCTAGCTCTCACTAGAGTGTCAAAGAGATGATGGCGAAGTTGAATCGTATATCAACCTCGTACGACCATTATCAACACAAAGTGGGATGTTTACACAGTCGGGTCCGCCATGTCTGGGCTTAGGTACCGAAGGGATCACGACTCCACTCAAGTACATATATAGCGCATGGCTATAAGCAAGGCCTCAAATTTTCGTTTCGTTTATGCTCTTGGCTATATTTATAACCTATCACTATGATTGAACTTCTCGCTTTTACCCGGGTGACTAGCTGCATATGCAGCAAAAGTGCGGCAATCAAGCTTTTAAAGACCGTTCTTTGATGGATACTTGGTATATAATCTGAACACTGTTTTACATGAGCAAGATTACTATGGAGTATTCGAGTCCTTATAATTTAGAACTAACGTTAACGGGAAGTTCAAGGTGTCTAATATATCGTACGAGAAGTAATATTTAGAGCCTGATGCTACTCGAGCTCGAGTTCGGCTCAGCCGGGCTCTCTAAAGGAAGCTCGGACTGCAGCATAACCTAATAATCTGGAGAAATTCTAGTACACTTACACTATTACCTGGCGGCTCCATCTGTTTCGGGGTTATCTTTATTCTTAGTGTCTTGCGGAATTTAATCAAATTCATGAATTCATCTGCTTTGTAAGAATAAATATCGCATATGTGCACATGCCTCGAGCTCGAGGTGACTGGTGCGCAACTCAAAACTCATGTGGTATTTTGGCTGAGATCTCTGGATAACTTCTCCAAGACGGGTTATAAATTCACTGACTACGAGTGATAACATTATTCCCAAAAGGCTACTAAACCCCCCTCCCCCCTCCCCCCTCTTATCACAAGATTGGAAACTTCTTGACTCCCTCCCTCTTCTTATACAACCTTCCATAACCCAACAATGCATACAACCTAAAGCATAACACTGCAAATCCTTCCCACCTACCCCCTTTATCCTCCCTCTCAACTTCCTCCGGATATTCAGCCCCCAAACTCCATGCCGCTGCAACTCCACTAATAACAGCGACTTCATGTGCATTCACCAAGGTCCAGCTTCCACAGTATCTCGTATGTTTGGAATTGTTGATCATCCATAACCATGGAACGACGAATATATAGTGCGTCCACGAATGACATAACTGATGCCACCAGTTTTCTTGAATGACTTTCGAGGGGTCAATGGTATCTTTTTCCCACAGATGAGAGTCTCGTGCTTTGTTCAGGTAGATCGTTTGGAACACATGACGCTCAAATGGAGTTGTAGGAACAGCGAGGGATGGGTTTACCGAATTTGGACGTTTGGGGAATTGATACTGATAGGCGGAGCAATTGAAGGCGTGAACAGGGGACGACAACGTTAGCTTGCTTGAAAACCTAGAATTTTGTATGGAAGGGGGATACTTATCATTTCCAACTTGTCTGGCTCTTGATCATATGGTTTGATATAATACATAGGTGAAAACTCCTTCCCTTGAGCGATACGGACTGAATCGTCTCTCCCCGTCTTGCTGGCTGTAGTTACCTGCTCTTCATCGAAATGGTTTGTATAATGTTTCTCCATGTAATTTGAGTCCCAATGGGTGACCGTAACATCATCACTCCATTTCGTATTTCCTAGGATAAACCTTTCCCTCCATGTCGCCTGCTTCCCAAGTATTCGTTTCGCAGTATCAGCCAGACAAGCAAATACCAGTTCGTCATATTCCTCCACCGTCTCTTCCCCGCCCATACTAGATTTGCCTTCTTTCTTTCTCACAAGAACCTTGACACCTTTTTTCCCTCGTTCAAGTACCCTCACAACCTCAGTATTCAACCTTACATCCACCCTTCTCCCCACCAAACTCTTCCTCCACGTTTCATAGAACTCAGATAAGTTCGGGAATACAACCATATCCGGATTATTCCCTGACAAAACCCCTTCCTTCTTTTTACTCTTATCCGCCGTCTCGGGGTCATACCACATCCCCACGGTGGGACTCCCATACAACCTCTCGAGGATAACACTATTAACCTCTGGCGTTGCATTCCCCGTTCCCAAGAATAAAGCAAGTGAAGGCATTATCATATATTCCCCAAACTCCTTCGAAAACCCAAACAACTTGAGTAATACTTTAATCGGTATGAAGACAAACATCAAACTGAACCATTTGATTATTTTTAACACATTTCTAAATTTTTTAATATCCTTTTCGTGTTCTTCGTGGAATACGGTGGGGAATACGTTGGTCCAAAAGTGACGACCCTTGCCGAATGATATTTGTAGATTTACGGGGTGAACGTCGTAGCCTTGTGAGCGGAACATGGAGAATGTATGACGAAAGATGTGGGAGCCGCCTTGGACCCCTTGGTTTAACCATGAGGCACCGTGTCGACTCTCATCGAGAGGGATTGAGAAAGCTTGACCACCACAGGAGGAAGTGGATTCTAGAACTGTGACTTCGAAGAGGTCAGGGTGGTTGGACAGGTGGTGGGCGCAGGACATGCCTGCCGCACCGGCACCGACCACGAGGACTTTCTTGGGAGCCATGGAGTACTGTGATACTTTATAGGTTAGTTTAATAAGCTTTGAATATAATCTGTCATAGAGCCAGAGTATCAGACTTCTACTTACATACCGTATACCACAATCTTTTTTAATATTAACGATAGTGAAGAAAGAATATCATTATCAATGATTTGACTTTCGAACTTTTAAGCTTAATTAAAATTTACTCCTGTGGTCGGCTCGGATAGTTAGTCCCATGACGTCTTTGTTCTCCAAACCGAATCGGGTTGTCCATGTTGCAGATATCGATCGGGATCGAGATCGTCGATCGCGATACACATGGCAGGAAAAGCTTCATGAGAATCGAGATCGGATGGGAATGTGTTGTCATTTCGATGGATGGCTATTGCACAAACTTGAATGATTCGCGAGGCTAAGATATATCTCATTCGGGTTAAAAAGTAATCGGACTAATTCATGTAGACGGGATTATAATGATTTTTAAAGTAACTTTTGATTCCCCAATTCCTATACAAATGTATGCCTGAAGCCCACTACGTAAGACAATAAGTGAGCGTCTCCAATGCATACTTGCAGTGGAATCCAATGAAAGTAGGTAACTAAGAAAATTAAACCATAGCCTCATAAACAGGACGATAGTTCCCCATAAGAATAATTCACCAGGACTCCCACTTCTGTCTTCCCATACTAACCAACCGATTGAACAGTTCCTCTCTCAACGTAATAGCGGTAGCCACATATTTATTCCCCCTCCGATCAATAATTTCCAATCCATCCGTCACCGTCTTTTCCAATGCCCATCCGACGATCAACTTGCCTTTCCATCCCAACCCCCCCAATTTTCTAACTTCCTTAATCTCATTTATAGCTACAGTCCAAACCGGCTTAAGGTCTGGACCTTCTAATGCTTCTCCACTAGTAGTTGCTACTGTTTGTTTCTCCCCGTTGTCTGAGGACATGATTTCCTTGACCTGATCGCTCTTGGATTTGAACGCAAAAGAAACGCACGGAGTTACCGCAGAGGTGGTGATATATATCGATCCTTTCTTTCCGTGCATTCTTGCCGGAAAGTCTACGGGCCCCATGGGTGGGATCTCCTTTTCCTTAGGTAGAATGCCTAACCGCTGTTTAGCATGTTCACTGCCGACTTGTGCTTTAATCTTATCCGTGCTGAGAGCCGTAGCAACCCCAGTTTTTGTGGTAGACTTAAAAAATCCTAGAACTTTTGAGGAAGTTTTCTTCTTCTCGGGTTTCTCGGCTGCTGGTTTGGTTACATGTGGTGGGGTCGAAGGACGGATTGCTCGTGCAAGTTCTTCCTGCGTGGCATCTAGGCCCTCGGAGAGTTCTGCGTGATCATATTCGGAGTGAGGAGTTATGGCACCTGAAGATGGTGCGGAGTCGGAACGTGGTGGAGGTGGGATAGGAGCTTTGTTGGCTTCGCCAATTCGAAGGAGCGTAATAGCGAGTTGGGCGTTCGTGGGGATACCTTTGAGAATTGTACTGCGTCTGTTTAGAAAAAAATTACAATAAAAGATGTAAGAGATAGCAAGTAAGGTTTAATAACATACTTGCGGAGTTCGAGGAGTTTCTGCCAATGTGGGAACTTCCTGTTAAGAAGTTTGACACCACGATCAATGACCGGTTGACCGAAGAACGTAAATCCAAATCCAAAGCCAGTGCCTTTAATGATCATGTATGAGTTTACAAAAAGGGACCCCAGCAGTACTGGGACTAGAATTGCAGCTAATCGAGTCCGTGGTGCATTTTGTGGGAATGGTGGTGTTGGAGACAGTGCACTGTCGGTGTAGGCTATTAGCATCTTCCGGCTTGAGATACCGAGATGTAGATTGAATCTAGATAAACATACTTTCCAAATCGCTCCCATGTATCCGATATACTCTCAATACCATGCATTACTGGTCTCATCTTCGACCACATTGCATTTTGCATCGGCTCCTTTGTCTTGTCATGTTTCTTGCCCGTCCCGCCAGCAGCTTTGTCTTTAGCCTCTGTGGCTTTAATTGCTACACTGGAAGGGTCAGGGACCTTGGTATCAATAGTCCCTTCTTCATCCTGCTTTGGATTTTCAGGATGCTGCCCAGTAGCACTGTTGATACCAATCGCTGCAATACTGCTGACGAAATTACTGGCCTCCTGTTCTACAGCTTCACCTTCATGCTTTTCCGGGGCTCCCGTGAGGGACCCTTTCGAAGCTAGAACTCCAGCCGGCGGCTCCTGTAATTTACCTGTTGATGCATCGACCAATGCCAGTGGTGTTGGTGGGAACAAGTACCGTCGGGACTCCGGAAATGCGATCAAGGTTATCAAGAATCCGACGAGGAGAGGCACCACTAGATCTAACAACCATGCAAGGAAATACACCGCACAGAAGGCTCCCGTTCGTTTTCTTTCGTTCCAGGATCTCAGTCTTGCAATGTGCTTGGACCCGGCGATGACGCCAACGATCTATGATTTATCTAGTAAGACCTCTGTAGAAATATTTTAAATTAATGAGGCTTCAATACTTACAACAGTCATATAAAGTCTTTCCAATGTCGAACGAAATTTATCCGGCGAGAACTCGTCGTCATCTGCAATATTAAGATCAAGTCCGCCCGGCGGAGCCCGTGGCATTGCTTTGACATGATATATTTGCTAAAGAAAACATAAAACTTTAGCCCCCTCTGCGCCATAATAAAAGTCAATAGAGCTGGCTCCAACCTTATTGAATCTTCGAATCAATGTCCATAGATCCTACAATATATTACCGTTGTTAGCCATCTTTCAACTCATACGAAAAAAGGAGAAAAGATTTGGAAATGCATACATCATTCGACAACCCCCCAACCAACGGCTTGGGAATCTGGTCAGTAGGATCATTCCACCCCAAATCCTTGACCTCTTTGTGATCATGATCGAACTGTGCAGCGCCTTTGACATCTTGGTCAGCGGCCGCTAAAGCATGACTGTCGCTTGGAGCATTCGCAGAACCATATTTTTGGGCAGGAGATGTGGCTGGGAGAGGGATAATACTGGAGGCGTGAGTAGAGACTGGGTCGGCGTCTTCTGTCGTCGACATTGCTCCTAACTTTTCCTTTGTTCTTTCTTTCTTATTCGAGTGGGTTTAATAGCAATAGACTTATAGTTTATAATGGAAGCGATATATCACAGGGCGCTGCGCCGGCGCCGGCTTTGAAATATGACGTTGGTGATCGACGGCGGATGTGTTGAGGTTGTCGCTGCTCTGAAAACGTTGTTGATTCAGAACTGTCGACTAGACCAGTCACTAAACGTATTGAATTGGATATGGGATCGGTCTGCAAAATGGAATGAATTTGATGAAGAATATTCGAATTGGACATAGTAAAGGGAAAAGAAAGGGAATTTAATAAGAAACAGGGGTGATATGGCTATCTTATAAGTTTCTTTGTTCAACATGTGAATTCTTTGGGGGTGCAAGTTCCATATCGCTTTAACACATCATAACCATGGTTTCCTGTGTTATTTTTGGCCTCAAGACAATCATATGCTATGACGTCAATTGTGGTTCTAGAGTTCCCGATATCCTCACCGGGTTAGATCTTTAGGGTAAAACCTGGATGAGGGATCTCCTGCAGCTGTGATTTGTGATTGTACTACTCGATTGTCATGTAATTGTAGGTTCCGTTTTGTCTTGTTCATATCTAGCCTCTTAATTTTATAGTTACGTTACGAGGGTTCCATTCAGAGGTTAACATATAGAATTCGAAGTATTCTGGTATTTGATCTAGAGTAAAATATTTCTGCGACTGCTTATATAGCTTCGAATTCTTGATTTTTTTCCGTTTTGGTCGAATTCGGACCTAATGGATACTAGAAGACTACCTAACTACCCAATACTAGGTTATGTATACACAAATTATATAATACTGACTGGTTATAGGAATAACTCAGACATGAGCTCGAACCAGTCCTGCATCCAGACTAGTCTCGTATCTAGCATCCAGACCAACCCAAACGATAAGTAGAGTTTCGTTGAAGGAGGTCGCTAAGATGAACTCAAAGCCGCGGCTGCGACCGCCGCAACGGACACTACAACAGCCCCAATAGCCGCTGCAACTGTAGCTTTATACGTCCCGTGAAGCTTCTGACTTTGTGTTTCCGCCTCCCTAGCCTGTTTCTGCAAATCATCTAGCTTCGCCTTATACTGTTCTCTGTCCCTCTCGCTTTTATTCGCCTTTTCCTCCAAATCGTGGATCAACCGGTCAAACTTCTCCTGGAGCCTGTCGATTTCACTAACCAGATGTATACCAGCAGTTGTTTCATGCGCCTTCCTCTCTTCGTCCACCATTTCCTGTTGGATTCTAGTTGTCTGTGGTTGATTATCCAAAATCTTTGAGATTATCTCGTGGGCCCGTCTCTGAGCGTCGCCGAATTCGTGCGGGTCATAATGACGGTAACGGTCCGTCTTAGCACCCTGATCAAGCATTGACTTCCAATAATCACCATTCTCTTTATATTTATCCTCTCTTCGTGCCTGTTTTTCCCTCTCGGCTCCATCTCTTGCCCAAAGTGTACTCAAAAGCATAACATTCTCCATAAACCCTTCTCCGCATATATCCTTAAAAGTGAAGATATTCCGTTTCGCATTCTTGGAAAGCCTGTTATCTGTGATTCTTTGGAAATAGATAATTCCGGCGATGAGTTTTCCTTGTTTGTAGGATTTTGCGAGCCATTCTGCTAGATTTCGGAAGATGTCTGCGTCTGGGATTTCAGTGTCGTCGAAGCCTGGGGTGTCGACTAAGACTACACGGTGACCGTCGACGAAGAGGTCGTATTGACTTATTTCGCTGGTTTCTGGGTGAAGTTAGCTTTTTTTTTTTATCTTTTTTACTCTCATGGAAGCTTTTGCATACCTGACTCTAGCTCTTCGCCAATTTTGGCATTAGGGTTTCCAGTGGCATTGTATATAAAAGAGGTCTTCCCGGTTCCAGTTTGTCCGATAAGCAAGATAATGGTATCCTAAACCGTTACGAATAATGTCTCGGTCAGCCATTTCCACCATCCACAATATGGTTATTAAACAAAACTCCATATCAGAATTATTAATCTCTTACGTCGCTCTCGTGATTAAGAGTAGATGCTGTAATAGAGTCGCTTGCTACGTCGTCAAACTCGCCGCCCAAATCTTCATACCCACCATGTATGCTTCCACTATCCTCCCGCCAAACGTTGGATTCAATTAAAACTTTCACCATTTCTTCCCTTCAAATGATGGTGGATTGGGTTTTATCGATCTTGTGGTTAGATTTCTGGTATTTGAAAGCGACTCTTTCTATCTGTTGGTCGCGTATATCGGGTTTCTCTGGCTGCAACCAAACTAAGCCGGGATCGGTTGGTAAATGGCTCTGCAGTTAATAAGCTCAGGCACTCTATAGCTCCCAGGTAAACATGCAAACTGGAAGCTTCGACGACAACGATTTATAGGATATATGGGTCCCGGTAAGAAGAATAAGAAGACTCGCAGTGCGATTCCGGGATCGATACCAGTGCGAGAATAGTTTCGCTGGTCAGAAGACGTGTATCCAAGAACCCCTAAATTTCGTAACCTCGCCCGAGCGCGTGAGAAGCCGTAAGCTGCGAGCTCAAGAAGGGCGGGGTACAGATCAAGCTCGCGAGGCTAACGTTGAAACCTAAGCGCCTTGTTTGAACGAAGTGTTGTCCTGCGACAGTGGCCTGTAAGTGGCGGTCTTAGGCCATTGGCCATAGAGGCTCTCAGTTCCAGGCTTCGAACTGAAGGATTGAACACATTTCTCTGGGCATGCATGGTGCAGGGGGTGCTGTGAAGAGGATCGCCACCTCTTTATGACAGGGATGGTGAAAGGGAAGTCGGCCTATAAGTGCTCTGTATTCATTCGTTGAATTAATTAGCCCGTGCTGGCCGAAGCAAGACTTTCATCCACAACGCAGTTTACATAATTATTCGGTTTGTAAATCACACATTCAATGCAATTTGAGATATCGCCGTCCGGGGTCAAAAGTAAATTTATAATTTGCCTATCATAAGGTATTAATATATTCTTGTAAGTATGCCCGAAATTCGAATACTCATTACCAAGAATACTAATAATAAGACGTCAACGCGGGGGTATTGCGAGCTACATATGTACACAGGACCCACGGGCTGGTTAAGTTAAGGCACACCGGCGCTGTCTGAGCATGTCTGAACATATATATACCGGCTTCTCGATCTAAAATATACAAGTTCGCTATCGATATCGATATCGATATCGTTGCTTACGTCTATTGGGTGACTTCTAATTCATCAGGAACTCCCGGTAGCTCCTGCTCAGGGCCATCGATCATTTCCAATAACCATTCTTTCGCAGGAGTAACAAACAAAGAAATGGTATCGTAATGACCTCCCAAGTTTCCTCTCCCACCGACCGCACAAAGGGCATCCTTTCTGTTGCAGTAAGAAGAAATCTTGTTCTTATAGCTATTCAAAATGGCCATTTGTTCCGGAGAACGAGGGAAAACACCGTCTCCGTCCTCCTTGCGAGCAGTTCCGTGGTGATATTCTTCACAGGCCATATGGCGTGGGTCTCCCATCAATACAACAGCGGTAACTAGTGAGGAGGGAAGAAGAATGGTTAATATTGATCAAAAAACCGTGACACTATTATATCTATGGGAAACTTACTTCTGTCGATAAGTTCAGCTGACATTCCTGGTATGAGCTCTCCCATCTGGCCGTAGCCACCACCACTAATGGCATCTCCAACAACTTGGGCACCCTGCGAGTAACCCATTAGGACAATCTTTTGATTTGGGCATTCTTTAGCCTGCTTGGAGATCAATTGCTTCAATGCTTCGGCTCCTGTAGCTGCGGATTCGGCATATCCCTCCAAAATAGCGGGATACTCTATATATAGATAGATCCAAGTCAGCATTTAGCTCTGCAGACGATGTGGATCTGGAGACGACAAAAATATCTTAGATCATACCTAAGGCAACACGCTCAACTGTCTGCGAAGTCGCTAACTGCACATACTCCGCGATTTGACCGATCTGACCTTCGCCTTGGACCTCAAGCGTGGCCCTGCATGAAATCATGTAGACATCGGCGCAATATGGCGCACATGGATCGATCGGAGGAGGCGGTATCGCCTGCGATATCGCAAGAAGCGAAGAGAGAAGTAGTAACGACGAGAACATATCAGGTCCAAAATTAAATCGATTCCAAAGGGTGAATACGCAAGCTGAAGAACAGAAAACGAGACAATGGAACGGCGAGCGACGGCAAGCGGGGACGATTTAATGATCGGTCGGAGCAGGCTTATCGAGCTTTATCTATCAGTGGCTTTGAAGCTAGCTCGACGCCTAGAGTAACAGCCTGCAAGTGCAAGGTATCACGAAGTAAAGGTCTAGAAGATCATTTCGTGAAGAAAAAGTTCCGCTCTACCCTTTCTTGCGGAGAAAATCCTTGCAGCAATTTCTCAACAAAGACTGGAATACTAGGATTTCGCCCGTTGAGAGGGAATGCGGAGACGGCATGGGTGAGGTATAGCTTGGTCTCGTGGCCATATCTACAATTGAGCATTAGAGGGAGAAATTATCGTGAATGAGTCGTTGAACTCCGGCATTTCCCCATCAAAACCTTTATATATAGGCCTCTAGACCAATCATAGGCATTACAGCTAGTAGACGGGCATTCTGTTTCAAAAATCGACCGCAAACTTTCGCGTTGGAGCAATGGTTTCTCGCGGCTACGGGTAATTTTGGGTTTTTGTGTTGGTACTATAAAATTCCAACAAGGTTAGGCTTGCTCACGAATTTGGACAAATGGCGGAGAAAGTTCGAAAAAAGTCAACTGGGATGTCGAAGGTTTTAATGTAGCTGGCCTGAAGGTCGGGGAAATCCTTGAGACCCTTTTTGGCTTTTAACGAGAATGTGGGGAGAATTCTAGCTGTAAGGGATGAGGGGTTCCTAACCCCAGATACGTATGTACCTACCTAGGTCGACTACACTTGTCCTGGGATTCTATAGCTATCGCGGCGAGCAGAGACTAGGATTGATCCCGATCGACGTTCTTGATAGGCTATAATTAACGGCCTTAATATATAAATGGGCCCTTTGAGTCCAAATTTCGCTGGTATAAACTCGACGTCGGCGTAATGAGTTATAAATAGGTGATCACGACAACAGGATTATCAAGCAGATATTGCGTCCGGTAATGATCCGATGCAGTAACCGTTGGGGAGAAGGTATAATAGGAGATCTGTCTAAATATCTAATATCGTTGGGTTAGTGCAATTAGAAAGTAGGATAATTCGGATTAGGTTGAGGCGGTATCGACAGCTAAGCATTATGTACATATCTGCGTGGGTCTAGCTCGACTAAAACTAATTTCGACGTTGGCTCACTGTACTGAGAATCCGAGGGCCACTGATAAAATCGGATATGAGCATAATATAACATCCCCGTGTTAAGTGTCTAATAGAACTAGCCTTCAGTACCCCTACAACTACTGTAGAATCTAGATCGAAACGATTTTCGTTGGTGATAGACGCATTATATCTTTTTGTATTCGATCCACTCGTGATAAACTTTTGAGCCCCATGGGTAATAAGTTGGCACATATGCATAACCCTCGAGTCATGATTTCGTAAACGGTACAACAAAATTGAACAACTGAGGGAATATATCTGGCATGATTGAAAAGCGAACTTATCTATCTATCCCATGTTTACATCTACCATGCACAGCATCATCATATCATGATATACTTAAGTATGTAGGTATATATATAAGCCTAGTATACGTATCTATAACAATTATATACGTGCAATGATGTCTACACAATGTGCTTCAGTTTATTAATATATGAGCTTATCTACGCTGTAGATTACTCTCTCTGAGTAAGTTGAATCGTGGCCGCATCAAGTCGATAGCAGGTATATAGGTCTCGTCGCTATATATAGGAGCTAATCACGGGATCAACTCTCTAACCATGACCGACGGAGGAATTTCGTAGCGAGATCCCTGTCAATGATTTCCTAATTAGGAAATCTACGACCTCGAAATACAACAGAGTGGCAACACATTTGTATGAGCTATTACCGATCGTATGAATCGAGCGCAAGATCACCCCGTAGAGCCGTTGTGCCAGGTCAAGAGTACTAGGGTGACGCCCAATGCACTTTATAAAACGTATTATCGCCCTACTCAGTTCCAAAATCTCCAACGTTTTGCCAACATACTCCCTCCTCCCGTTATCCTTACAAACCTCGTTGACCCAAATCTCAGGGTAGCTCTCTCTTTCTCTTAGGCGATTGTTAGGTATTGAGGTTATTTATTAATATATTTTTTAAAAAGTTACACCTTGATATTCCCAAGATGTCGTGTAGCTTCACCATCGACTACGCGGCGGCGGCGGCCTCCGCAAACGTTTTTTATTACGCAGCTGATTCGGCTTGTCTGGGTCTCCCAGGCTATGTTAACGGTTCAGGTAAGATAGGGGCGAAATCAATGATTAAAAATACTTCTTTAGGCTAACTTACAATGATCAGACTGTGCATCATGGCCAGTAGCGTCTGCTTCACCGACTGCAACCCTTATCTGGAGCGCTTCAGGTGGAACGGCGGTCACCAGCACTTGCAACGCCCCCGTTTTCACTTCAGAGGCTTTCCCAAATATAGTACGCACTACTGTTCCATGTAATGTCCAGAACAGCCTCCTTAGCGTTGATGGTGTTGCTTCGTACATTTATCCTACCGCCGGTACTACTGGGATGGGTACTTTTGTTTGGACTGTTGGCCCTGGCCCGGGGTCGACTACCACCACCACCGCAGCAACCCCTTATGGTATGTGTTACTGTCTTACAGTTTCCTTTAAATTTTGCTCGATTAAAACGCTAATAGGCTTTTAGTGGTTCCCGGATATACGGTCGTTCCCACGACTATCCCTACAACCTGGTCGACAGTTATCAATAGCACCGCTACCGTTATCACAACCCAAATTACCACCGTTGCTACCGTAACCCAGCTATCCACTTTGACGGCTGGTACAACCACGATTATGGGCCGTTTCCAGAAGAGACAGGCCTTGACTTGCAGCCCCAGAGGACCCGCTGGGTCTTATACCTCTGGTGCCACTGTTTCTGACTTGGTTTACACCGATGTCCTCCACACTACAACTTCGACATCAGAGTCGACCATTATGCCCACATCATGGTCGATTACAAACACCACAGTTACTAACATTAGTAATACGTATGTAATAGCTCATTACTCTTCAGAACATCACTATTTATGCTGACATCAAACCTTTTGTTAGAACAACTACTTTGGTCACATCGGCAACTCTCATTGCCAATACCATTATTACCGTCCCAGCTGCCACTGTCACGTAAGTTCATAAGATGCTAAATAACTTTTTGGGGGAGTCATACTAACACACAAAAATAGTGGAACTGGTACAACTGCTGGTACATCTGAGACTACTGGTGCTGATACTACTACCGCTAGCGTTGCTACCGGTACTATGGGACCATACGCTATCTCAGTTGTTGCAGTTGGAACCACCATTACCGAGGGCCTTACTCGTCGATCATTGCCTACCGCCAACGTAAACCATAAGCGTCAGGACAATGAGGGGTGGATCGGCCTTGCGGATGAAGATGGTACCGTTGGTGTCGTCTCTTCCCAGAGTGACGCCATCCAATTCTATGTCATTAATGGTGAACTTGTTGCTGACGTTGGTGGGGTTGACTGGTATACTTTCACTGAAACATCCATCATTGAGGATCCTGGTTATGAGACTTGGGTCCTCCAATCTAGCCCCCCTGGAGCGGGCTCTATCTCCACTGAGTGGCAGGGTTTCGAATTGGATGCCCTCGACTGGGTCAACGATGCCTTCGTTGGTACTGGCATGGCTCAGATGTGCGTTGCCTCTCCTTTGAGCGGGGAAACCGTCAGCATCATTAACTTTTGGTACGACACTACTTTGTCACCACCGGGAGGTGCTTGTGACCTCGTTACAGCCGCCATTGTTGCTGTTGAGCCAACCCCCAACCCAAGCGCTACCGAGACTGTCACATCACAGACTACCATCACTTCCATCTCCACTATCACTGGTCCTCCAGTTACCACCTACGTTTGCAACAACGGTGGAATGTGTCCAAATGCTTGCACTTATGATACTAACCTTGTCACCACTGAAGTCTGCTCGACCGCAAGTGATGGCCTCAGCACTTGCCAGGCATGTTTGGGATCCACCCCACTCCCAGTTATTCAGACTGACCTCGCTTGGGTCACCTCTACCATCGAATGCGCCACCCCACCATGCCAGCAGATTGTTACTCAGATACCTGTTCCATCCCCTCCATGTGATGGTGACAGCACTGTCACTGTCTGGGCTAACAACGGTGCTGCTGGTACTGCTGTTGTGGCTGCCGGTGCCGCCGCTGCTAACACTGTTGCTGCCGCCGATGCTGCTACTGATACTGCTGTTAGCAGCGCTGCTACTACATCAGCAACTCCCACTACCCCCAGATCGTCCACTCGAACTGGTGCCCCAACTGCCTCCCCGTCCATCGGTTTGGCAGGAAGGATCGAGTTCCGACCCGGCAGCGTCATGGCCCTGGCTCTCGCTGTTGCTTTCGCTTTCCTTGCTTAAATCCAACAGCAATCGTGGAATCTTACTGATCTAACGCAGATTTTTAAGGCAAGATGAAATTTTTGGAGGGCGGGACCGGGAACAAATTTAGTTCACATTTTTATTCTTTTACGCCTATTTTTTAATCATTTTTATTCTTCATTTCTTGCCCTGTTTTGCTAAATCCTCCGCCTTTGCATTAATTTCCCCTCATATTTATTTATCTTCTAATATTTATTACTAAAAACGCATGGGAAAAAGATCACGACATTCAAATACCGAAAGATATGATCTTAGCGAATCTCATATATTTTATAATATATCGAACCTATTTTTCTGCTACTCAAGATGGGCCGTACTCCTGACTGCCCTTGGGGAAAAACGCGAGTTTGGGATATATATAACTTCATTTCCACCCGAGATAAAGAGATCTGGTATCAAATCATCATATTATCTATATGTATGTTTCGACACATCCCGCGATCTTTTTTTAATCTTCTTTTGTTTATATCGGAATCCAGATTTAAGCCCTGATTTTTGTATTTAGCTTGTCCCAAATTAAAAATTAATTTTCCAGAATACGGACGATCGTAGGTGCGTTAGTGATTTGTCATATTTCAGGTTACGAAGCCTTAAGGAAACTCTGGCGTTGAGACTGATGGGAGCTCGGATAGAGGGGCGTGCTTCTACACTCGACAAAAAGGAGTGGTATATGATGAATTTGATACTATACTTGGCGCAGTTGGAAAGGAAATCGCTCTTAGCGCTCTGACCTACCGAGTCGTAATCGGACATCACTGATGTTACGAGATCTTTCGCTAATTACGCTCAAGTAGATCAAGCTTTAAGTAAATTATATCAGATTGCGTATTTTTAAACTTTGTGACATCTGGTGTTATGAGTTTAATTGTTTTGGAGCACTCGAGTACGTATGTTTGATGGCAGATCCTGAGGGTTTTAACAAGACTATTAATATTGGCATGGCGGCGAAGATAGGTCTAAATGAGGACCGGGGAACAAGTGTGAGACTCGTGGAACTGGAGAATCGTTTTAAAAGTCGCGGATAATTAGGCTAAATGAGTCGAAACCTTTTCACCTCAATATGGTTTGAGTTGGTACCAACCAATTCGCTCCTATGGAATATAAAACTATGAAACCGCGAAAGTAAATCTACGAGGGAGATTGTGATGTATGACCATAAACTAAGAATTTTTTTTGGATAAAAAATGGGAACTCGACTTTCTGTCCGAGTTCAAGAGAAGTAAAGCTTAATATACATGTATTGCGCTAAAAAATAAAAGAGGAAATCCAAACTCCAACCCATGACTGCTCCATGTGTTCAACTGCTAAGAAGTTCTAAGGATAAGTGAATCTATACTCGGCTCTTGTAAACCTTGACGAATCTCTTATTCTTTCGTGCGACAGCATTGGTTCTGCAGTTCTGAGAACAGGCTTGCTGTTGAGTTTCACAATCGGAGACCTTGATGTTCCTGTTACCGGTGCTATTGGCAGCATTGGCGCATCGGTTCTTCTGAACGTCACAGGATCGTGAGCAAGCAGCGCCGAAGTTGACAAAGGAGTCACCGTTGACAATGAATGGGCGGTTTCCACCGACGTTTTCAACGGCAACTGGTGGGGCACCGAGGGAACCGTTGAAGCTCTGGACGTTGGAGCCGGTGTTTCCGTTTTTGGTTGGAGTCTTGGTTGCTCCACCGTTGGCACCACCGTTGGCACCACCGTTGGCACCACCGTTAGCACCACCGTTAGCACCACCGTTAGCACCACCATTGGCACCGCCGTTGGCACCGCCATTAGCACCGCCATTAGCACCACCAACTTGGGCACCATTGTTTACACAAGCGTTCCAGGCGTTAGCAGTAGATTGATCACGTGTTCCCAAAGCCTGGATTTGAGCCTGGCAAGACCTGCAACGATCCTTAGCGGCTTGGTTGGACTGGCAAACATTGGTGAGCTGATCGCAGATTCGGTTGGTGATGATGTTGGGGTTAAGAGCCTCTTGTTGGCCTTGCTTGGTAAGTGGATCAATTGGGAGGAAGGTAGATTCGTCAGCCCTTCGTCCTGGGCGTCCAGCGACGAAGTCCATGGATGGATCGCAAAGTCCAAAGTCAACGGCACCACCGTTTCCACCGGCATTTCCTCCATTGTTTCCACCGTTGTTACCACCATTATTGCCACCGTTGTTACCACCATTATTGCCACCGTTGTTACCACCATTATTGCCACCGTTGTTACCGCCGTTGTTTCCGCCGTTGTTGCCACCATTGTTGCCACCATTGTTACCGCCATTGTTACCGCCGTTGTTTCCTCCGTTGTTAACAACTGGGCCGGTGCCATCGCTGGCAACTCCCCTGAAGTCAGTAAAACCGCTCTCCGTGAAGAGATCAGCAATGCTCTTTCCGTTAGCATTCAGGGGGTTGTTAAGAGTCTGTGCCGACAATGCATTGATGGCAGCAGCATTTGCGAAAGCGGGGTCGATTTTGGGAATGATACCCCTGAGGATTGGGTTGGCTGGGAGGGAAGGATCGGTACAAAGAGCAGCATTGCTGAAAGTAAATGGGTTGACGTTTTGTTCTGCGGCAACCATCCCCTTTGCGGCGGCGACGGCATCGGCTCCAGTACCAAGCTGTGCGAGGATTTGGTCACCACGCTTGAGCTTGTTGCATGGGTTTGCAGCACCGAGAAGATCAGAAATGGCGGCACCTGCAATTGTAGGTGCTTCACCTGGGTTACCGCCGTTAACAGCGGAGATGGCAGAGATTGGGACTTGCTCTTGTCCAAATCTGGCTTGGACGACTGCTGTGAGCAGGGAAATGAGAATAGCTTGCGAATACATTTTTAAAGATGTGTATATAAAAGCAATACTTGACAGAAAGTGTCGTATTCTTGGTTTTGAATGTTCGAACGATCGAAGCAAGAAGAAGCGTTAAACGGCGATATACGTCGAAAGAACGTGGGACTGAATAGAATCGTAAAAAAGAAGGAATCACTGGCACTGCCGTGTAGAAACGAATTCAATTCAAGACCGACCGGCGGAAAAGATTAGAAAATGAAAAGGAAGTAGAAGAAAGAATGTATAGCGCCTGGCTTGCTGATCGATCGTCGAGATGATGGTGAGAGAAGAAGAAGCCATGGAAGTAGGTGGGAGTCTGTGCTATTTAACTCCCATCCAGCGCTATTGGGAAATGCGTACATCTCGTACTTCTCAGAATTACCGGATACAAGTGGAGCCGGGGCGCATCGTGAGATCGAGTTTGCGGAAACACAGAGGAGGTTACCTATGTCCAGGGTATCGAAACCATGGATCTTCTATCGGACCCACGAAGGAGACATACAAGGTTCGATCCACGCCCAAGCTTTTTTCATATCCATAACCTGACCACTCGGGTAATAGCAACTTCTCTCGTGTTTTCCAAAGTTATCAATGCAATCCAGCTTTTGTTTCCTGGAAAAATGTTTATGGCGTCGGTAAAGCGTAGTTGACAGGGTCTTGGCCCTTGTCCGTTTTGTGCTGCGACGTTTCGGAAACACCAAAGTTCGCTTGCGCAGGCTAAGTTGACGGGGACAGGGGCCATCCCACGCATGATCTGCTTCAGGCATCCCCTCATTGCAACCAACATCCACCATCATTGAAGCATTTGGAGTATGAGCTAATTGAGATGTAGAAACGGATCGGGTTTTGGACCCAATTTGTGTCAATGACACTCTAATAGATGACCTGTAGTCGCCCAAAGCGATCTTATCCGTGGCGTGATCTGTGCAGAAACGGCAACTGCGACTCTGAGACCCCGGAAAAACTGCTGTCGTAGCTTAAGTTTTTCCGTGCCCGAAGACCTGGTTCGAGCCAACAATATCGATATCTCCACTCATTTGTTTCTCAAGAGTTTAGAGAACGAGCTCGTTTCGATATGCCCAATCGCGTATCCCTTTTTCATCCCAGGGCTTCATTTCTCCTCAGGAGCCGCGTCAATCACGGACATGCTCACTCCGAAGAGGGTTTAAACACGGGATAAGAATTCGAATAATGAGATTTAGGTTTGGTTGCAGCGCTTTGACCAATGCAATGCCCGATGACCTGTCGACGCGATGGGGTTGTTTCCAAGTTTTCCAGAAGCACTCTCTGCGCTTCGAGTCCAGGATGATAACGCAGGAACTGTCTAGAAATATTAGCCTGGCCTCAAAGTGGGTCGTGCTTTCCATTTCTGCAACTGAGCACAGGCCATGCCGTTCGTACTCGCATTCTGATTGGTGCTTTTTACTTAAGGCCCAGAATTCAGGAGGATGTTGTAAACAAGAAGGAGGTGCTTCTAGCCAACGCATTTTGCGGTATCCCAAACCAGCCACCGAAGCAAAGCCTTAACCGCGCCAAAAGACACACAGATGCTGCTTTCTTCGTGAAGGAATATTAGAAAAAGGTGGTTCAACTTTTATCCCTGGTCGATCATACTCAATAGATTAAAAATTTATGAGATTTAGATTTGATATTATATCGCATCCAACATTATACATTATACCGTAATTTCTCAACTTAGGCGCGTGCACAGGACTTGGGAATTTCTAGCGACAGAATCGAATCGAAGATGCAGCCCATGGAACCTATAAAACATCGGTGTATGAGCGGGGCAGGAGCAGAGGCGTTATCTGAAGCGTTATGAATTTGAGTTCAAGTGCCAGTCATAAGACAGCTCTGTTATAATTGCAGAGCTCTTGTATCTTAGAACAGGTGGTCGATGCACGCGCGGACACACATACATTACGGCGTATATTTGCAAATCTTTGGAACAGCCCACCTCTAGAGAGTACGCATTACATGGAAAGATCTAGAATTTAACTCTCCATTAACTACTACGTAATGGGGAAATATCTCGTCTAGGTATAGACAGTCAGAATACAAGTTAAAGTATTGGTCTTCACGGCCTCGAGAGGATATTTTTCAGACACAGTGTTTTAGGGAATTCTGACGTCTGTAACCACCGTATATACATAGATACTCACTAAACTCATCCATAGGGGGTAGATAGGTGTGCGTATCGTATTAGTAGGTTGAAAAGCTACGGGGTGCTTGATAATACGAACAGTCTTGAGGTCGGCATTAATTAATATTTACATAGCAGGGTATAATCTGGCATCAAACGTATGCATCCGGAAAAACTCTTGCAACTGCGCTCCTTTATACATTTCTTCTCCAAATAGGGAGGGTCATAGCAAACTTAAAAAATATCAAAGAACAAATAAGAAAGATATTCACTATCCAGTAGTGAAATCGAAAGGTTGTTCCAAAACGCCAATTAAAAGCTCAAGATATATCCTTCTCCTGAATTCTTAGTTCCGCATATATACCTCAATATAACCTATTAACATAGGACCCGACAGGATGTACCCGAATTTGTCCAATTTCCCTCCGATGGAGTACTCTCCTGAGCTGGAGACGGAAGGTATATCGTATCCCTTAATATCGACTCATCTGGATCCGGATATGATATTTTTCTGTTATACGGAAATCGTGGTGACATTTCTATCCTGTCTTCGCTTTCGTACGGCCTTTGCCCAGAGTGTGCCCCGCTCGCACTCTTACTCACGACTGTCATGCCAGAAGGAAGGCCGCGAAGTTTTCGGTAAAGGGGTTTAAGAGTCGGGATCGAGGCGACAACTAGAATACTGTTTGACTCGAGCTGGGTAAAAATCCAAACTTTGACCAGATTTCCTAGATCAAACGGTAAGTTATTGTCTTCTGTCACAAGAACACTCGATTACTTACGGGCGCTGAAGTTGCCTTGTTTTTTGAGCACACTAACGATGGGTATTCTGATGATGCTAATGATTATGACCCTATACAGTGTTAGTCTCGAAGCACGAAGCCTAAAATCTATCCCAACATATAGATAAGTCACTTACAATAAACCAAACCCGAACAAGAAGTATAACTCTTGCCTCATCTTCTTGGACTTCAGTTTTCTATGACGATGTTAACTTAGACTCCGGTGTGCATGCAATGTGCTTTCGATCTGAATCCTAGTGTACCTACCTTAGTAAGAGGAACGGCATCATAAATGTCACTGCATCGTTCACCACATTGCCGATACCCATCCAATAGAATACCTGTCTCGGTGCGAGGCATACGAGCTCTTTTCGATGAATCTTATCCATAAAATCCCTGTTGTACATGATCAGGTGTGGTGGGTAGCAAGACACTGTAGCTAGTAGAACGGTGCCGACGCCCAAGGTTCCTGTCATAACCAGAGCCGCCAACAGAATACCCCTCATGACCTTCTGTTCACGCGGGGTGAATCTAAGGTAGGTGCACAAGATAGCCATCCGGGAGAACATATTGGCGAGGGAGTAAAGGCATATTCCGACTTGGGCGAGCTGTGGTTTCAGGCTAATGTCAGACCTAAAACCGCAAATTCCCAAGGGCAGGACAACTTTGGATCTGTAGAGCTTTACCGTATTGAAAGACATTGCGACCTCCCATCTTACTTCGGTTCCGAGGGTCTTAGCACTAAGATGAATGCGAGTAAAATATCTACAGGCAGCTGAAGACAAATGATCCGTTGATTAGAGCCCATGTAAGTTGTATCTATATCTACAGGTGGCTAATAACTATAGAACTTACCAATCATTTCTGTGATATAACCAGATAAACCCCACAGCATAGATATAAATAACAACCCTAAAGTTCACGAAGTCATGTTAGATAGTTTGGAATGTTTATAGGCAAGTTTTCTTTGCATTTTGTGTGGGTGGCTTACAGTCATCGATCCCAAAAACATCGCGTAGTCGTGCACGAACATATATTCTTAGAAGTACGAATATCGTCCCAATGGCTGTAAATATACTAGTACAAACTGTTAAGGGCATAACATCCGCTTTCGGCATCTTGAAAAAGTAATTAAGAGTACCGCCTCCCGATAGCAAATCCAATATCGATAGAGAATGTCTCGAAGATCTCGCCTCGATATTGTTGTTGTTGATTATTGGCTGTGGACTGAATACGACGAAAGGTGCCGTGTGGCTACTAGGACATCTAGATTGGGACAACCACGATATATATACCATTCGCAGTACACTAAAGTATCAGCGATTTACCATAAGTTTCGGGACCAGATCCGAGGGTCTGGAAAAACGGATCGACCTTTTGGTAAATAAAGGACAATGGCAAGACAATGACAAGGTCGAAATTCCCTTGGCGGTTATGCCGCAAAAATGGGACAGCTCATGGAACTAAAGTGATCATAAGGTTCACTTCGAGTTGAATCTCAAATCGAGTACAAAAAGGTAATAGATAGTGACGACAGCGCAGAGAAACGATGGGGTGGCTCGAGCGTTTGAAAGAGACCTTTCTAAAAAAAGAAGGCGTGAACTCGTTACCTTAAATCGCGACTGATTCCAAGAATTCCAAGCGGGGTCAGAAGGAACTCCATATATCAGTGCGTTTCGACCAATCCCGAGAAACCAGATATCATTATCGGCGTTTCCTTCATAATCAGTCTAAAGAGGCTATGTGGCAATCTTTCTCTTTGATTTCGACTTAATCGTCAGTGTAAAGGTGCCAGAATCGTCCGAGCAATCCTCTTTGAGGTTCTTGTAATCGATACCAAACGGTCTAGAGATTTCAGCCCTAGGCACAGATATATGAGCAATCCAAAGGGCTGAAGCTAACTCCTGGACTAGATCAGGCTAACCAAGTCAGAAATAACGATATATTTCGTTCGATGTGTCAATCATATAAGGCTAATGGCGTGAAGTCGCACTCATAACCCAACAGCAGATCCATGTCGGCAAGCCCCACACCCCCGCTGCCTGTTAAATTTGTAAACCAATTTGCTGGGAATGTTCTTCTTGACCTCAATGCTATACAAAGAAACCAGCTACATCTCTCTAGGCTAGCTCGATCTATCATTCAGAAAGGGAAAGTGATACACATAGAGGTCGGCATCTTCATAGGCGTTTTTGCCAGGTGAAGCGAGGTTTCTCGCCAATACTACCGCTTTTGTGTTGAAGCTGAAACTGGCGATCTCAAGCGTGTCTGAGCTTTCAATTCATTTTGTTTTGAAGGTTGTCAGCAGGTGTAAAAATAGGGCATAAGATGTTAATTTGCCTTCCTTCAGGAAATTTCTGGCGACAGTAATGAGAATGCTTTTTGAAGATATCTTTCAATTCTTTGGCTTGTAGTTATGGCATAGTTCGCAGTTGGCGCAATGCAATTATAATCATAATACTTCCGAATTAGGGCAAGCGAAAATACAACAAGGTCAACAACTGCAACATCTAGTCACCAACACAAGGAGGATTACCAAGGCTATGTTACGCCAGTTATACCGGATCTGCGGAAACATATCCCAACTATTACGTACACTACCTAGCTAGCTAGCAGTAATTTATCATGGGGTCGGGATTGGCGATATAGTAGCTTCTACTTCTACTTAAGAGGCGCTTAGCTTAGGGACTAATTCATAGCTAGCGTGGTTTTACAGGAGCAAGGGATATATGTGGACCCCGTGTGTTGTCTGGTTTACGAGAGGAGATATATGCCTATTGTTGGATTACGACATTTCGATTATGAGTAGACGAAGGCATCCATCTTCGCGGCCTAGCTCATCCTGGTTCATACTTTGACCTCAAGGCACCGTAGTGTGATCAGGATCGAGTATCAAAATCAAATCTTTTCATTGCTTGAGATGCCTGAGTGGAGATGTGTTGCTAAGCTAAGAAGTCAAGATACCCAAAATGAAAAATCTCTCGCCTTGTAAGGACAACAAGTCGGAGATATACACATTAGATACTCTGTGTTATCTCAAGAACGCGATACATTAAAATAGTAATCAGTTCTTAGAGAGACCAGAGTGTAAAATAAAAACCCGGAAGAGAAAAAAAGGCGAGGTAGCCGATCCAAAATTCCGAGCATAAAATAGAGACATCTCATGTCGCAAACCCATATGCCCGAAGAGTTCCGAATAAGGCCAACTTAAAACCCATTGGGAAGAACATTGAAGATATTCTCATGGGCGATGTTGTTTGGACCCAGCATGGCTGTGAGCGCTTGAAGTACGCCATCGGCGGACTCCAAAGGGTCACCTGATGGGATAGAACTCCCAGGTTCCAAGACTCCAGTGGCCTCGAACATGATTCCGCGTCGCATACGATGCTCCTGAGCTTTAGCCCGCTTCTCATCAGCCTCTTCAGCTGACATATTCCCACGAGGGTCATCGGCGTCGTAGAATACAGGGCGATTGCGATAGTCAAGGATCACAGGTTCACCTGGTGGTGCCGTTTCCTGAATGATTTGCTGTAGCTTAACGAGAAGCAATATTTGGCGCAAGCAGAAGGGGCAGGGGCCATCTTGATTCTGCATCAGAAAGGTCTGTTGACAGCCGCATACTAAGGCGTCCGGACCATGATGAGGGTTTTTGTAGACGATATGGACGTGTTTGCCGTCAGGTTGGTCACAGCGGCACCCTGCATAGATATAATATGCGACACACATTGCTCTTATTCCTATGCGAGGGATACTTTCCAATGATAAAATAGCGTCAGCCGCTGTATATCCATAGAAAAGATTATTGATAATGTTAAGTCTATGAATGGAACAACTTACGAATTGAATTTGAATTCAAAAAATCTGTGGAGATTTGAATCGATCTGTTCTCACGCGTTAGGCCTTGAACACCTTCTAGAAAAGTTAGATGACAATCATCGATAAATATCCAACCGCTAAGACTCACTCGGAACAAGAAGTTTAGTATGTGGGTAGCTTAAACCCTAGTGATAAATATCGTTGCGCTCGCAAGGTTACTGTGGACGACAAAAGACACGAGATTCGGAAGGTTGATGTTGAGGTGATCAATTGACAAGATTATGATTTCCGAGGTTCTAACACAAGCTTCGGCACCAATTGTCCTACTCGAAAGGATAATCATAAATCAGTGATATCATGTACGCAAACAAACGCATTGGTAAGAATTTTACGATCAATCGCTAATGTCGTGCCGTAGAGCAGTGCGAAGTCAACAATGCGGTCGAGTTGAGTAGACTGCTCGAGCACGAGGCTCTCAGTTAAACCCTTCCCTTGGGCAAGGATTGTGTTCAGCTTGCGACAGGAGCTTAGGGGGATTCTACCCAGAAACCTCTTCATTTGCTAAACTGCTGGCAATTTATGGGAATAGGTATCATTAGTCGTCTCGTTGTTTAAATATATCTATTGTTTCCGGTCCATTGGGTACTAGAGATCCAGCGAAAGCTAGCTATATAGAATCCTCTTTAGTCTATGTATCTTGGTTGCACATGGAGCTCTACCAGACTATGTATCTCCAATTTAAGATAAATATGTAAATATGTATTTGCATCATATCCATTTTCGTCTTTCGATCCCATGTTACTCTCAAAACTGCGACAGCGCCCAATCGAACTCGCCCTTAACATATATAGTATACTATAAATTGAAATTTGGATAAATGCAATATGCAGTCCAAAACTTCAGATCATCAGTAGCTTACGGGCTTCTTCGAGGCAGCTCTGGGCCTCGAGACTAGACTCATTCCGTAACGACCTAGAGGGACAAGAATAATAGCATTATGCCTTTTCACACGTTAGTTTTCTTTAGCTTAATTTAGAGAGCCAGAGCTCGAGATTGATCGTATACGCGTAATAGAATTTGAGATAAACACGTGGCCATGGTCTATATCGCAGACCTCAGGTCCGGGTATGAAGTTGCCTTATATAAGAGTCGATAGACCGGCTAGAAAAAACTGTAAACCCCCCACATTGACGAAGGGGCTGGCCCATTGGCACATATCAACATCGATTAAATCTGATATTACAGCTGGCAGAGAAAGCTAAAGCGATTGGAAAACGTTAAACTTGGTCCAATATCTTTGTAGTTTAATCATTCTAAGTTTAAACGTTTTGAATACCAAGAGTTACACTCCTTAAATACATATATTCGGAGCTTCCCAGTTTTTGATCCAACGTATCGGTACTAGCATAAATCCCTCAATACATACTGTACTGTGATACGAATTTCTGGGACCATATTTCGCAATAGTGTCGGTGAATTCCATGGTTGAGACATGTAAAATTCATTGTAACATCCTTCTCTACAGGTATAACTAGCACTATATTATATAACTCAACATTTACCATAGCACGTCATCTCCTGAGTTTTTCTAGTATATAACGTTAGAAATTCATACTAATCCGCTCTCACCCAACTGTTGGTTTTACACAATGGTTAGAACCCGAACAAACCGTGCCGTGTCTCATCTGTCGTTCCCTGATTGGAAAGGATGACTTATTAGGTGGTTTTGCGTTACTATAATTTGTGGTCATCACCTAGGGATGGATGTCTGGTGCCTATACCGTGTAACCTCGGCGTTGTAGTATTGGGTAATCACTCACAAGAATTAGCAGCGGCTAGAAACTTAGAACCCTGAGATCGACCATTGAATATATATTGATCCGGGGAGAGGGCCGAATCTTACCTTCCGAGTTCCCGGCAAGTACCGCTTAACGAATTAATAAATTAATATTGAATTATATAATTATGTGCGTTCGCTAAGGTACATATGATTTAGGAATATAGTGCATATGTGTGGAGGGATTTTCCATACTAACTAGTTACACAAATCCCAACAAAGAGTATTGGGTTCAGATGAGTGTAGCATTCTCAGCACTGTATCACAAACTTTCCCGGTCGGAAGTTCGCAGCTCAGGGACACTCGTACAAGCGCATTTCCCGGGAGTCAGAACGAGATTAGCGAATTGAAGTGGCTAATTCGACCTCCGGGACGGTAAAGTTAACATATTCCAGGGTCACCCGTGGAACCGAATAACCTTTAGAGTATACAGACAAGCAACCCTAATATGCATTAGAGAGTTAATTCTATTCATAACCAACAATTTATCGTTATCACAGTTGGTTGGGAATACAAATATGTCGGATGAAGTTTAAGTTTGAGATACGAGTTTCAGCTGAAGTTAGTCCTACTGGTCCCATGGCCTATGTCGATATTACGTGTACTGAGGTAACTGCCTTACTCACTATGTTGCACAATTGCGTATTTCTTCGGATCTAGAAGCCTAGGAATGTATGGACTGCCACATTTTGTGTCACTTCAGATTATGGAACTAGAGCTCCTCAACCCGAAAGGTTGTTCTAATGAGCCACTTCACCACCCCTTGGCCCCCAACCACCTCAAAGTTCTCACCCCACGGCATCCTCAACCCTTACATCGTGTTAGCCACTTTAATAACCCTCAATTGATCAACCTTCAGCACTGAGACAATTCCACGTGAATTTTGATTCTCCCTTGCGTTCAGCCCAGTCGGTTCCATCGAAGTAAGGGATACCTTCTTTCCGCTCTCACACTGATCTACAGGATATCTGTCAGATCTGAGTGAAACATAACGATCCGCGTACCGGAAAACGATTACCTTTTTCGGTTCCAGAGAGTTTTCATCGCTTCGCATTGAAAGGAAGCAACTGAGTATAACTCGTCCTAGTACTCGAAATAAATAAATGCAAAGTCAGGAGATTTTTCTTGGGAAGTGCTAGTGTGTATGGCGATGCTGAGGGGGAAGGAAACTCTATTGCATTATATATGTCGCCCACCAATCATGCGGGGACAGAGTAAGTGGCGGAAAGATTCAAGGGAAGCATGTTTAAAACTAGACTAGTTAGGTATGGCAAGCCTACATGTCGTATGTGAGCACCTAAACACCTAACCATTACTTTGTCGAAGCTGGTCTCGACGTCTCGATTCGAAGACAGAGTACTCGAGTTGACATCGATCTAATGTTCGGGGGGTGTGTCAAAATCCAACATGTTGGAATGTGTCTATGTGTTGTCGACAGCATGTATTCTCGTGCACGTGGCCCCTCGAAACGTTTGAAGCGGCAGCTGGACCACGGCAAAGTTAGCGTGAACGATGTAATATTCTTCTATGCTTAGTACCGGAGTCACATCACATCACAGCTACCCACTTTGGGGCCGATATTTTGTCTGCCTTTCTAGGATACCTTTATTACCTTTGGTCCTATGCGTGCATATGTGTTGAGCAATATACAATATGATTCAGACGTCTAGACTCAGATGGGGGGCCATATAGGACATAAGTAGGTAATATATAAAGGAAGATACAGATCAACTCTCGCTCTAGGCCTATAGGCTACAATTCAATACTATAAAATCAGTCTATGAGCCGCTTAAATACCACTCAGCGTGAAGCATATATTCCAGTATCATATTGCCGACTCGATAGATGTACCGAGTAACGTTCGAAGCTGAAATAAGAGGCTGGTCAAAGCTTCGGAGCTACTCTCAGATATGTCAAGATCTACCAGGAATATTTCTCGTCCCATGGTAGAAGACTAAATATTTCTTGTACCTGCAGATCCCGATTACCAGGTCCCAAAATATCCCAAAGACGCTATAAAACCCGACTCGTGCCCCATGTTCAAATAGGTGTCTCTATAGACGAGGTTCAGAATTGCCCCCGCATATATTCCGAATTGTGGACCGATGCACATACCCCTTGAAAGAGGCTCCTCGCGGTTCATCCGACTGCGGATTGATACATTCTTACTTAAGCTTAAGTGTGGGTTGTGGTTTAGCCTCTTTGAGGCTACAAGACGAGGATAGACGAATTTGGCAGCTTCCTGATATGTGCGGTCGTCTACATGTTTCCGGACTGTATGCGACGACCAAGTATGTTTTTAGCCGAAACAATCGGGTATCACCCACGGGAGCGAGTAAAATGTCACAGTCGTATTCCGTACGATAAAAGTTGGATGGCAACATATAAGGTAACGACAGCCCAACGAGTTCAATCATATAAAAGCCCCGCTAAATATCAGGAATATCAATATTTATCGCCAATTAACGAGTTAAATTAACCAAACCCTAATCAATCGTGAGGAGGAGGAGGATCTTTAGCAGCATACTGTCAAGTATTTTAAAATTAGCTAAACCGACATGGACAACAATATCAAGATACCTGCAAGCGTACGAGTACAACGTCGATTCCACTAGTCGAAGTTTCCTTGCCTAGGTGCCTTGGTTTAATTCAACTTTCATACTCCTCAGAATTTCAAACTCCACTCAATCTTAACTCCATGGATCCATAGCCGTCTCAATTCCGCGAAACCCCCTCATGCCAACCTAATTGGAGACGGAGACTCAATGATATACGACGAAAAATCTCAAACACCCAGCCACAAGATTTTGAGATGAGAGTTGGAAAGGTCCAAATACCAATCATAACCAATACAATCGGAAGCGCCAGTTCCAAATAGCTGGGATGATCCTTCAGAATACAATCATAATCCTCATGCCACGCCTCACCTCACATTATTGAAGCTAGATATCGTACGAAATATGCTAAATGGAACTAATGCACACTATAGCTGTCTCATGACTTCAAATCCTTCAAAGCCCTATTTGCAACTCGTATTCGATGGCTTGCAATAGGATTCACCGCCCTCGCACAAGTGCACAGTCCGCCTTGGGGCCCCGCCAACAAAATCGTACCCCGCTGTTGCATACTCCAACTGGAGTACTCCATACTTAGTCCCTTGTACCTGATCGAACAGGGCAGATGCAGGGAACTGATGGTTCCCCTTAATAAGAAGTCAATCCAATGCATTCCCCAGAAGTAGTACTGTACCAACAGCTGGCAATATGCAATACCGCTACTGTTGTAAAACTTCTACATGCAGGTGTCTTGATCGACAGCAAGGACCAGGGCCATGGAGCTCCAGATGCAAAGAATGTGGAACGTGTACGATTGGGATACGTACGATTCGCATGTGATGTCTCTGGGGTGGCTTGTTACCGTAATAAGCTGTACCTGATGGGGCATCTCGGAACCGCTTTCTGATAATCGCGATCGACAGGAACCTAGAAACATACCCTCGAAATATCGACGCGAGGTTGAGCTTGGACCTTCGTTATGCATACGCTGCAAGACAATACGGATCGATCGGTGGCAGGTACTATATCACGCCTTGGTAAAATACTTAAGTTTTGATTGACAATATCAATTGGTCAGTGGTTCACGAAAGTTAGATATCAACTGTTTCAAAGAACAATTGGGCGCTGCAAGGGACCAGAACGCCATTAGGCCCACAGATTTCTGCTTCTAGAACACATTTCGAAAGCAGTATATTGATAAGCACTAATTTGAATATTTCAGCTGTGCCAATGCCGAAACACCGGCCGGCACGGAGATGGCTTATCGATCCCTAGTCACACACACAAATTTTTGACCCACTAGCCCTGGCTGCAGAAAGGAACTCCCCGAAGCTTCGGCCGACGTTAGGCCAGGAACCAAATTTTAACACTGGGCGTCGGGACACCACCTGTTAAAAAAAAATATCGCAAGCTAAGCTTCGACACAGACGCCACTGCAAATGCATGTAAAACCTACAGGTCAAACAGTGAAGTCTCAATTATCAGTTTTATCAGGGATATCCTAGTTCAACACCCACATGCACAAATCGTCAACCCGACACAAGACAGTTTTCTTTTTCCTTCTCGAACAAGGATCCGGACCCCACTTTCTACATTTCCCTCCACCGTAACATTGCAGGTCAACCTCACTTTCCTCGAACGTGACGTTGCAAACGACCCCACACTATCTCCAGTCAAATTCCTAGTCCGGTCCTGTCGAAAATGTTAAGCCATTTGCAAAAATTTTCGACATTGTTCAACAAGAATTGTCGCGCTAAAAGAGTTACTAAACAAACTTGTGTCTTTTGGGAAGCTCAATCAACACAAAAGTTATAGAAAATTTAATGTCCCAGCAGCGGTTTCCAAAATGCCAGCCGCAGTCGGTATATCGATGTGTGAATTTGAAAGATGTTATCTCAGTAATAATCTGCTACTTTCATAGAGAGCTATTCAACTACTTAATTGGAATCTTAGTATATTCCGTAGTATTTTATGTAGTTTACCTATTTAGCTAGCTATGGCATCCAGAAATACTTCCTGAAATTCAAATATATCACGAAAATAGATATCTTCTGCAACCTTTCCAGCGCAAAATTATTCGAGCGTATGGAGCAAAGTACTAATGGTTCTGCGTCTCAAGATCGCCAACATAATAAGTCCCGTAGCAAGGCGCCCAAATTGCAAAAGGAGAGGCAAGCATATCGTCCATATATATCACACTCGGCGAATATAATTGTATAACGGCCTGATGATAGTATCGAGCCTAAGTATACCTAGCTGCTCCCTAGAGAGCTTCGTATTCGCCTAAACCAGCAGGTTTTGAGAAAGTTACCCGGAAATCCAACTCGGCTGCTTCTAAACGATGGTTACGCGAATTTCCGAGGCGGAGTGGCTCCCGCCGTCTATAAACACATACAGATCTATGACTGATACCGATACTAATACATCTTTTATCAAGTCTAACTTCCGATCAATAAAGTTCTATAAACTTAAACACATCTTTCCAGCTATGCATATGAAAATACTATGTGGATCGATCCAATTGCCTCTTGACTTACATCTGTGAATGTCAGAGGTATATATGTCATCTAGGTACCTTTCAAGAAACACCAGGGTATCTAGCTTATAGGCTCCAGCTTCCAGCTCAAACGCTTGCCGGTGGCGATACCCCAGATTCAGGTGGCATAGCTCCTAAGGATCCGATATACAGGATACCGAATGGATTGGAGCCAGGCTGGCCTGTAACTCTGTCTGACACCCGTTCCAGTACCAAGTATTCAAAGTTCCAACGGCGCGCGCCGCATGCACGAGAAGATCCATGGCAACGTTTATCGATAAACCCAATAACTTCTAGGATCCCATGACGCTTCTTTCTTTCTTTCATCGATGTAACGTCGATCGATTAACATAAATGTGCTCATATCGGTATACAGCATGGTCCAGGAAGCCATGAAGTGCTCGAAGAACCTAGAATCTATTAAGATCGACGTACCTGGAACTACCTTAATACTCGACTGCTGCTACATCGATATGTTTATATTATTTCTTTATCCTTATGTTTTAAACACGGGGAGATCCCATGATTACTGGACATAATATTGATTTCTCACTATTTGAATCGGTCACCAACCGCATTCCGAGTCTTACGAGAGTGGAAATCTATAAATATATATATATGTATATATATATATATATAAGTGATAATATATCAATAGACATTGTAGATCTCACTCTAAAAAACTCGAACACGAAGATGCCAGAGAATTAAACACAGATTCGCATACATTATTGAAGTACCATGTATGTTCACGTTCAGGTTCTTGTTTTGCGAAGATCTTCTGTATTGTGTAACCATCAACCACACCCCTGTAGGCACAGTCAATTCTGTGTTGTCTACCACACTTTCGAAATTTCAAGCCAATACATACTTTCTCAGGGCCTGCTATTCCTTATCCATTGGACTTCGGCCCTCCCGTCGATATTAGAAAGGGATCACTCAGCAGCGGAAATCACCATCATGTGGCCGTGATATTCGGAACCTGTTCCATGCCCCTTGCAGTAAGTCCGTCCATCCATCCATACTAATGCTTAATTTTGTGGATATGATTCAAAGACCTTTGGAGGAACTCTGTTGGATTCCGAAGCACCCTTTCCACTCCAGCCGGCTGAGAGAAGAAGAAGAAAAACATCCATTCGAGTTCGGAAGCACCCCAAAAATGACGTACAGACATCACCATCACGATACAGTCAAAAAAAATCCTGAAACCAGAGTAACGAAGATCACATCATTCCTTTGCCTATCACAGACTAAATCCCATTTAGGGAAAAGAAAAAAAAGTTTATTCTAGAAAATTTTCATGGAAGGAGCTCAAATGGCTTGTGCAATTTGTCTCTGCTGACGATGTAATCAAGCGCAAGTAACGGTTTTTTGTCTTCCTTGGTGGTTCTGTAGCCTAGTCTTCCCCACTACGGGCTCTTGCTACCTTAACCTCAATGAGAAAAAAAAAACATTGCATCTTTTTTACGCCACCATAAAGTTTCCTTCGGCTCCAAAGTTCGGGAAGTTTTTTCCCACTTCAACGTACACATTTTCTTCGCAGATAGATCAGTGTATTGTGGGTCCTTGGTTATGCACTAAACCTAATATGGCTATCAATCCGAAATGTGGGGGAAAAGGGAAAATGTGGGTCCGACGGGGTGTGCTTGGATCGCCTTCTGCTAGTTTCCAAAAGCAAGAAATTCGTGCATGCAGACTTCCAAGCAAGCTTGATTGATTGTTCGAATCGGAAAAGTTTGATAACAAAAAAGTTTTTTTTTAACAGTCAAAGAGTTGACTGGCTCTCAGGCTAGCGGAATTAGTGATGTCTGAGAGATACACATGCAGGAAGATCCCAGAAATCTTTGGTACTTTTCAATACCACGAGACCATATTCATGAGTGCAGGTAAATGCATACCAATATGTATTCGCTGTATTAGTCTCGATCAAGGTTATCGATAGCGAGGGGCAATAGTACTAGTGCCGACCATACTTCAATCTAGATACTCAAGGGTAACGAAATGTACCATGTAGACGGTTTTCGAGCAGGCTTTTGATTGGTCAATTAACATACTCCCTCATCGATGCATCATTTTCTGCTAAATGGGTCACAAGCCTACTAACTACTGATAACCGCCCCTGGCTTCAATATCAAATACTCGTATTCGGGGTCAGCCCCATGATCACTGCGATCAATGCATACAGACTCCAGAAGTGAACAGCTTTTCAATGGTGCTGCACATCGGTGGAGAAGGATTCGACAATCAATATTGCGGGGAAAGTTAGATTTACAGAGTAGTATTTTAGTATCGTTTTTTTTGGAGGGTTATTGGGTTATCCTTGTAGTGTCAAGTATAGACTAGCATATATCTATTGATGATCCTCGAACTTATGGACCAAAGGGATCGTTTCTTAAGCGATGTTTCTACGATCGTTGACAGCGTATATCCTAGAAATATAACGGCTTCTCTCGTATCATAACTATAATCCTGGGCCGTAAGGATCGAAAAGGTAGTAGGATCGTTGTAGTGTTATCAAATAGCTGTACACAGTTAACCATTCCTTGAGTTAGTAATAGTACTATAATCTAAAAGTTTCGGACACCTGTCCCCCATGCGATCCTCGATCCATGGTATCAAAAATATCTGTCTAACACTATAAATTTGATTTCACCAACGAGTGTCTTATCCCAACTAATTGGTTTGGTGCTTATGGAACAGGCCCGGGGAACAACAGAACACCAGGGCATATCTAGGATTCATTTCTCTCTGATATTTTCATACTCACCGGGACTCCTGCATAGTTGCTCCATGGGGAGTACCCGAGTATTGGATGTAAAAGACTCAGTACGGTGTGCCGCTCCTTTCAATTTGCGCTGCATCTGGCTTCCAAAATTACATATAACTAACATCCGTACCAAGAAGCGCTGGCCTGAGAATGACCTTATCAACCATTTATACCTTACCTTTCATTTAATTTCATGATGCATGCGCATAGGTGCCGACAACCGCAGCTCAGACCCAGCCAAGACATCGTCAAAACGATTCACAGCTTCCAGAAACCCAATCGACGAGCTCAACACATGTCAAAGCAGGAGCTTTTATTTTTGCCTGTTATTGTCACAAGCCACAATTTACCCAAGGAATTCTATATAAAAAAAGGAATCTCAAGATGCAGGAAGAAAAGGGGAAAAAAGGAAGCTTCCGCATTTTGACACTCTCACCTTCCGGTTCCTGCGTTGCCGATGCAGCTCTTCCTCGGTTCGGTCGTTTCTTGGATCCTGGCTTTGGCAAATATTCCAAGAGTGGCGCTTTTTTGTGTATAAAATTGGCATTCGAGATGCCCTTTAAAGCTAGACCTTCAGGCCCGAGAAAGTTTTCATCTCATTTTCCCAGGAGTACGGTATGCAGAAAGGAAATAGGAATAGGAAATTGTAAGAGGGAAAATATCCAGACGCATTAAACACGCAACCGACCTGCCGTCGCCGGGTCCGCTATTGCCGTACCACGAGGCCCTTGGTCGCGAAGGGCCGGTTTCTAGAACAATTTATGGAAAAATACGATCTGTGGGGCCAAATGCATCGTATTTTCCCCGTCAGGAACAGCAAACATACGCACGTTCGCCACATGTGATGTTTGTTTTAAGGATTAGAATGCATATTCTGAAGTGCTCCTGGTGGAGAAGTAGTGGTTTGGGTGGGTTCTGTGGCTTGAAGTCGTGATAGTCAATCGGTGCGACAAACATTTGCGGCTTGCCGTATCAGGACCGGCAGACTCGGACTCGGCCGGCTAATGCACGGACACACCCTTCTCATCTGCGAGGAAAACTGGCGGCATTCATGCACTGATGTTGAAACGTTACTGCTTTTAAGCTTAAAATAGTGAATACGGATGAGTCTACAAATGTCGACACCGCCGATTTGATTTGATATATTCATCTCCACTTGTCGAGAATGCACAGATGTCGCAACACCACATCTGGTGAACAGATGAGCCAGGGTTCGACGTAATCCTGGCATTGCCAAGTCAGCCGGACAGTAAAGAGGCGTTTCTCGCTCCGTCGGGACAAGAAAAAAAGAACGCAAGCGGGAGCCGTATACTAGACGAAACTATGAAAAGGACAGCTTACGACCAAGGCGCTGTTACGATGATGGAGACATGGGTTGAGACTTGTCCAAAGGAAACGAGCTAGCCCTAGGAACATTTTTCTGCCAGACCGCAGGATGCTGGTTTTTAGCCTGTGACACACAAGACTTGACAAGACCAACAAGCTTATAGATTGGTCCTGTATTAAAACGAAAATAAGTGGGAGCCTAGAAGGCGGCCAGGATTGATGCTGGACACATTGTATATTTTATGGATGTCGCGACATTGCTGGTCTTCGGCAGATTTGTGATAGATCCGAAGTCAAGCTGTATGGTCAGCATATTCCTCGCAAGCGTACTCTCAGATAACATGGTATAGGGAGGCATTCGAGGGTCCTGTTGGGAATCTGCAGGAGAGATGCGAATCTAGATGAAGACCTGAGGAATATAATGCCGTCAGTTCCGGATAGATTAAGATATGTGATAGTGATGAGGCTATTCTATTTTTACAGAAATCTAGTGATGATGAATACTGGTAGTGCATGGCGGAAGATAGATAGATTCCTTACACTATGATAGCCTCGAATCCACACTATGAATTCTTCCTATCTCAAGCCTGCAAGATTTCTTCCGGCTATGACGCTGTGCAACCTGTGCCGAGTGAATTTTGGCGTTTTTGCTTGTTCTCCCAATCGTGCCAATACCACTAGGGGCTTGCTTTTTCATGTACTGCCAGGGTTACAACCGACCGACATAGGATACCTGGTGTAACCCCAGGTATTACGGACGAATACCCACATTCTCGTAAGCACTGTAGCAAGAGCGCCACCAATCGACTCGGACGATAGCGAAAGTCAAAAGTGAACGCAAGGCTAAAAGAACGAGCGATATTAGAGGGTATTTGCTATTGCAGTCAAATTAGAAGACTTTGCATGGATATTGTTAAAGGTAGCGACTTATTAATCGTCAGCTGGTCTTGTTAAAGTGATAACAGTGGGTTCAATGGCGCGTGTTTCATGATATGTCTGCACGTCTAAGCTTTCGATGGGCCGGTCTGGCCGGCCGGAAGGCGCTCTGCTGAATTATTAGTAGTGGAGGTAGAAACTCCGGTGGCGTGCAGATATGATGTATGCAGATGTACATGTGCATTCTATCTCGAAGGGATCGTACAGTGGAGATACATAGAACATAGAACCACTTCGCCCATTCGGGATGTCTCGAGATGTTTGCCTTAGGTTCAAGTAAGAGTCGAATCCGGCGGACCTTCATTGGGGGTTCGGCTTTCGGACTCGCTCATTATCCACGGTTCACGGTGGGGAAGCGAGCGATTGACGATTCTGGCGTTTTTTTTTTAAAAAAAAAAAAAAAAAAAAAAAAAAAAAATTCAGGAAATTTTTTTTGAACGAGGTCATAGGGCCAAAGGTCTCGGGTTCTAACCCAATGCGCCTGCATGGTTAAGGTTTTGTAGTGCTAGAGCTTGTTTTTTCCGTCAGGAACCAGAATATTACATCAAAAGCAACGCTTTCTGAAAATGGCGAGATTGTGGAGTACTTCAACACTCGTGACTCTGGCTCAGTAATCACAGTATTCGGTATTTTGGACAGCATTGTTATGTCTTTGAGGGGACCCCAGAGCTCCGGTCATAGAATGATGGGCTTTCTCTGAGACTTTTCGAGAAGAGTTCTTGCTCCGTTCTCACGTGAGGTTGCCGGCGAAAATATAGTAACAATGCTGATTATGCAACGAGATAATCTCGGGCCAAACTTCCAAAGCTGCTCAAATGAAAAACGAAAAACTGTGGGCTAGAGTTTTAGTGATCTTAGTTTAAGACGGTCCTGGTATCGGTGATCATGTTTAAGGTTAGCGTTGGGGATGTTAGCTACTAGCTGTCGCTATTAGTTTCCACTTAGATATCGAAGGTATTTTAACCTGGAGACTTGGGAACCCGGGGCATTCAATCAGCGATCTCGGGGTGACTCGTCTCTAGCGATTAATGCAAGAGCACAATTAAACTGGGGTCTTCTAGTTTCAGAAGAAGTTGATTGATTGTTGGACCATGGGGTCAAATGTTGGTTGGCTGTAATCGTTACATTGGGCAGGACAGACGGATTGGCCAATCATGCGTTTTCCCACATTGATTAAACAAGTTGCTTCCTGATGAGAAGTTCTTGGTGTGTGTGAATGCACCAGCAGGCTCGATATGCAGTATCTCGACATTTGGGCTGGAAAAGGCGGGGAAAGAGCAATATCGACCCACACCTGGTGTCGTCGCCTGCTTAAGCAAGCTTTGTCGCTGGCGTCTGGTGGAGAAGGCCAAAGCCTGGGCGGACATCAAAGCGGGCGTCTTTGCTTGTGACAAAGTGGTGGACTACCAGGCAACACGGTCTGGCCGAGCCTGTTCACTTGCAGCGTGAATATTTGAAGTTTCTTAACCTCTTTTCCCTTTTCCTTTTCCCTTTTTTGTTTACGTGTGTTTTAAGATTTTTACCGGAAGAATTTTGAAAATGTTAGAATTAGGTTCGTAAAGGGAGCGGAGCAGGGAGACGAATTGGCTCGCTGAATTTCAAAATCGGATCCAGAGTCGCTCAGTCGCTGGAGCGGATACATGCCGGTACAAGCCAGAAGTAACTTTTAGCATGCGAGAAAAAGCAAGTTCTGTTTAACCACCAAAAAAAGTTGCCGGGTGGAGCCCCACAGCGACAAAACGGGCTCAACCAGGACCAGGAACAAAAAGAAAATATCGAGGTCTGGGGTACTGACGCCAGCTGCTTCATCGTGCAGGACACAGACGAGCATGGGTTGTCGACAGGGAAAATTCGCCGCCTCTTATTTTCTTCTTCCCTTGGATAGTTGAGAATCGACTTGGCTAGGTAAGCACCTATTCCCATCTGTTTCTGACTTTTGTGTATTTGCACTTTCTTTTCCTTTCTGGTTTGCCTGTACAGAGAAGCCATGTGGAAAGCCGTCAATCCAGCCGGTAAATGCAATGGCAAGTTGGAGATTGGCAGGGACTTCAAATTGCTCCACCCTGGAGCTTGACCCAACTGTTGTAGGAATCTCTTTTGTCTGGTGCTGCCCGCTTATGGGAACTCCGTGGTGGCAATATCAAAATTCGATTGACAAGGTAACTACTAGGAAGAGGAGAAGGCACAACGGCCGGGGCTCTCCACTCTCCACAAGTCCCTCCACGTCCCCATAATATGCCTGTTTGACATTCGTATGGGTGTATTTGATGGAACCGACATGGATTTTGGGGGGTGTTCATTATTGTGTAGTTTTGGGCGATATGGTATGGTATCATAATTGGAAATACCTATATTTCTCAATCACTATGGGATTATAGTGGTCCTTTGTTACTGTAGCAAACAGAAGTAAAGGCGGAGGTCCCAACTGAATCAGAGAAGGGAAAAGGCAAAATCATGACGATGATGATGGCCTGAGGATGGCAACTATGACAATGAAGAGGTCTTCGGTCATAATCAAAATCATTGTCGTTTGATACATGCACTGTACGGCATGGCACTCGAGACCGAAACAAGCTATAGTCAAGAATCAGTCAATGCAGCAATTATAGACTAGAAAATATGCAAGTCGATAACGTCGAGACCCGTTCCTTCGGGAACTCTTTACAGTAAGCTTCCCAAGCTTTGGACCTCGCCCGTTCAAAACTCAAAAATGCAGGTGAAGCCAGGTGATCTGTTCCCGATTCGAAAGAGAGTTAGGAATAACAAGCCCACATCTGTCTATCTGTATGTATGTACGTACCGTAATGAGGTTCAAGCTCGAGGCCAATATGCATATGAGGGGAAGAAGTGGAGAGAGACTGTGTGTGTGGGTGTGTGTGGGTGCATGTCTCGGAGGGGGGTGGAGGGGGTAGAGCCTGGCCCATGACCATGCATGGCAGCAGAGACCAAACCGTCCAATGAACCGGGACTCCGGACAGGCTCTTTTTTAGTCAATGACCTGTGCCGACCTAACTAACATGACATGTCCAGGGCCCGTTTTCCAGTTAAAAAAAAAAAAAAAAAAGCCGGGGTGTCTCAATTCTTGGTTTCGATCAGATGGTAATTAATTTTTTCTTCTTTTTTTCTCCAGAGCGTGGAGTGGATTATAACGAAGTGTAGTATATGGTAGTAGGTAGTTCTATGGGCGTGCGCCGAGTCAACAGCAAAAGACGGTTGTTTATAACCACCCCGCCGTCGCCTTCCCAGACTTCTCTTCCTTCCTTCCTCTCCACAAGCAACCAACAACCATCTCTCATTCTCTTCACCATCACATCGACATCAACTTCGTCCTTGTCTGACCGTACGACTTCTTCACGAATCATCGTTCGGTTTGCTGGTTACCGTTTTGGTGATAAGGTAAGCTTCATACAGTTCTTCTCCCTTTTCTTCCTTTCGTTTCTGCCTCTCTCGCTTCTGCATGCATTGGCATTGGCATTTGCATTCCTCTCAGACCGTTGCTGTTGGTTCTGCCGCGATTGGAACTAGCTGCTAGCTCGCTTGCTTGTCTGCTTGCTGCCAACGACCTCTCCAAAATCGCGTTCTCGTGCAGTGTATTACCAATATAGCCTCTGGATGGATTCTGGTCAATTGCAATTGCTCTCTCTTCCAACCCTTTCTCGCCCTCTCCATCGTCCCCTTCGCAGCTCTCTCCTGCTCTCCTGCTCTCTCCTGCTCCTGCTACTGTTCCTTCTTGAACCGGCTGGATTTCACCTTCCACGAAGCTTCCATCGGAGAGATTCGAGTCCTGGTCCTGCTGCAAATTAGCCATATCCACTTCCCGCTGCATGCACCTTGCATCCTCTTCCAAGTGGCTTGCTCGCTTCCTTGCTTGTTTCTCGCAATCCGGCAGGTTTGCTGCTTTGTTCGCAAACGTCATTGGCTACGTTTCAGCCTAGCGAAAGGGACCCTTCCAGGCTTCCTATTGGCGGTGAAACGACCACCTGCACAGGGGAAATTGCAACTGGTCGATCTGCCTTCGTCCACATGGAGTTCCACCTCTGGAATGCGTGCCCGCCGAAGCATTTCAGGCACCCAGAAGCAGCTGGCCGGGTCTAGTTTCCAGAATCATAACCTACTTTTCTATCAATTTCCTTTCCTGTCGCGTGCTATCGCGATGTTCACACTTCAAATCTTACTGTTATTACTATCCGTCTTTTCGAGATATTGCTTCTCATTTCCTTTTTGCTTCCGAACGAAACTAATATAATCATGACGTCTCCCAGAATAGCAAAAAACGCTTTCGTTTTCTTGCAACAACAACAACACTTCCAGGAAACCCGGGCTTAGTTCCCTTGATACGAAGCAAAAATGTCGGACGCTCCTATCGGCCGAGTTGAGGCCCCGATTACGGTCAGAGCTTACCTGCTCTGTGCCTTCGCTGCCTTTGGTGGTATTCTCTTCGGATATGACTCCGGTTACATTTCTGGTGTCCTTGGTATGGCCTTCTTCAAACGTCAGTTTGGAGGTCCCGTTGCCGAATCTGTTGATGCCAGCGGATACAACATTGAGACCTGGCAAAAGTCCTTGACCACTTCTATCCTCTCGGCTGGTACTTTCTTCGGCGCCCTCTTCGGAGGTGGTTTCGCTGATTGGGTTGGTCGTCGTCTCGCTATTATCTCTGCCTGTGGTGTCTTCATTGTCGGTGTCATTCTCCAAGTCGCTTCCACTTCTCTCGGTCTCCTCATCGCTGGTCGTGTCGTCGCTGGATTCGGTGTCGGTATCGTCTCTGCTGTCGTCATCCTCTACATGTCTGAGATTGCTCCAAAGGCTGTTCGTGGTGCTATCGTCTCTGGTTACCAATTCGCCATCACCCTCGGTATCTTCCTTGCCGCCTGTGTCAACTATTCTACCCAACACCGTGATGACACTGGTTCTTACCGTATTCCAATCGCCATTCAAATCCTCTGGGCTATCATCCTTGGTACCGGTCTTTTTTTCCTTCCAGAATCTCCTCGTTACTGGGTCAAGAAGGGAGAACTCGACAAGGCCGCTGCTGCCCTCGCCCGTGTTCGTGGACACCCTGCCGACTCTGAATACGTCGTTGCCGAATTGGCTGAGATTCAGGCCAACTTCGAATATGAAATGCAAATCTCTTCCGCTGGATGGATCGATGTTTTCCGTGGTGGATGGAGCAACCGCTCTGGTAACTTCCGCCGTATCTTTATCGGGTTTTTCCTCCAGATGATGCAGCAATGGACCGGTGTCAACTTCATCTTCTACTACGGAACCACTTTCTTCCAGCAATCTGGTATCAAGAACGCGTTCACAATTCAGGTTATCACCAATGTTGTCAACGTTGTCACGACTCCAGTCTCTTTCTGGGCTATTGAAAGGCTTGGTCGTCGTACTCTCCTCATCTACGGTGCTTGCCTCATGATTGTCTGCGAGTTCATCATCGCCGCTGTTGGCACTGCTCTCCCTGGATCCAAGGCCGCCTCTACCACTTTAATCGTTTTCGTCTGTATCTACATCTTCGGCTTCGCTACTACCTGGGGTCCTGGTGCTTGGGTTCTTATCGGAGAAATCTACCCATTGCCAATTCGTGCCAAGGGTGTTGCCATTGCTACTGCGTCCAACTGGCTCTGGAACTTCGTTATCGGTTATATTACCCCATACATTGTCGACCCCGACCAGGGTAACCTCGGATCCAAGGTCTTCTTCGTTTGGGGATCTACCTGTTGTCTCGCTCTCCTCTTCGCCTACTTCTTCGTCCCAGAAACCAAGGGTCTTTCCCTCGAGCAGGTCGACAAGATGTTGGAAGAGACCACTCCTCGCCAGTCCGCCAAATGGGTAAGTTGCTCTAATAGTTCGCAGTATCTATGCACGTTTTCTAACAGCCATTTTACAGGTTCCACACAGCACCTTCGCAAACCAAATGGGAATGACCGACAAGACCGGTGGTACTGCCACTCACATCGACGATGTCAGACGCGGAAGCCAGACTGGTGCCGAGAAGGCCTAAATTCACAGCGCTATAGACCGTGCTTTTTGACATCTTTTGCTGTCGTCTCATGGCGCGCGGGTTTTTCTTTCTATTAATTACTGGTTTTTCTTTTCCTTTCGTTCTGTTATTACTTACAAGTGATGTTAATAATTAACGTCCCGAACGCTTCCTTCTCTTTTGTACACCTTTTCATCTTTTAAGATGAGCTTTCTTTGTTCATTCGATGGTCAAAAAAGCCTTCAAAAATTGAAAAGGAAATGACTTCACAATATGAGGGAACAAAAAATTCCATAACTCGACTGACGGAAGAATGGGATTTATGGGCTTTTCTTTTTTTCTTTCTTATTCTATCGTTACTCCGACTCCTGCTTTAACACTTTCTGGAAAAGAAGTGGGAAATAAAGGAGCATCCTCCTATTTCTTATTTGTACCAAATAGGACCGGAATGACATAAAAAATTTAATGACTTCAACTTACTACTTTATAAATTACGTCGTAGATTGTAAGATCTGTAGCAATATTTAAAAATGACATTTATTTTCCGCTGTAGGGATTACATTTTGACGATATGTATCTATCTATACATCTACTGATCCCATTGATAATAGCCTATCCAAATTCCTTCAGGGTTCACGTGCTTGAATCGGATTGTGTCATCTTCACGCCGTAATACCTCGAGGCATTGGATACGTCTGTTAAGGTAGTAAGAGTCCACCTGTTCAATGTATTTGAGCTTAGGCAGGATCTCTGCAAGATGATAAAACGGGTGGTCTGGTTTTGATTTTGGATCTAGGTCTATGGTTCGTCCTGAGTGTGTTATTCTTAGATGCTCTAGATCTGGCATAGCCTCAAAGCCTCTGGTGAACTATTTAGGTTTGTTAGTTTTCCGTGACATACACGACCCCGTATTGCTTTTTTTCCGGGGGATATGAGTTTTTCGGATAGTTGTCACACTTACATATGTTACCGAGCCACCAGAAACTAGATGTTCAGCACGAGCTCTCACCGCAAGTCGTGTGATCTTTCCCAAGTCCCGTTGAAAACTTAGGTTCTTTGCCCAATATGGGTTCGCAGCACCGACCAGGGCACTCGATCCTACAACCGGCCAATCAGGTTCCGGAAATTTCAAAGTCATTTCTTCAAGATTATCCCATTCCCATGCTAAAGCCGTATGATCCTCGCCGTTCACCGCTCCCTTCAAGTCTATATCCGCGGACTCCCAACAATCAGCTGAATAAGTAAACGCCTTAGCAGACCTCGTAGCCGGCTGTAAAACTTCGATCAAATTATTCATCGCAGCTCTTGAGATCAAATATGGGTTTTCCTTTTTGGATAGTCTAAGAATGAAGATATCGAGCTTTGAAAATCTACCATTTTTGGCTTTGTGGGATTCGATTAATGAGGTTGCTTGTGGGAATGAGCAACGGCCATCGGGCTTGGTGAGGGTTCTTTGGACTTCCAGAATTTTGAGGTGGGGGTGGGAGGTTATTACTATGGCCAAGACGTGGAGGAATGATGGCCATGGTAGAGTGGCGGAGTCGGTTAGATGGAGGCGGTGGAGGTTTACGAAGGCTGTTAGGAGGGGGAAGATGGCGGTTGGGATTGAGATTGTCGAGGTGGGGAGGGAGAATAGGTTTAGCTTCAGGGTCCTATAAGGGGTTTTATGTGGTTAGTAGCTTTCTTAGAGGCTTATTTCTGCAGGTAGCTATGGGTATAGGTGCAACAGAGGGGCATTTGGGGCGAGGCATATTCAATAAAACACCATCTACAAGACGTGCGTTGAGTGTGTGGTATTTTAGGGAATTTATGCGTTGTATTTGTTGCATTTTTGCCTACCCATGATAACGAGATCTGGATCGCGAGATATCGGTACTTACCGAACGAATCTCCCATTCTTCTCGTAGGAATCTACTTTAGCGGCATCCTTATCGGTGGTACCGGCGTAAGATAGTTCTCCGGAACGATATAAACGCGTAGAAGCCGCCTCATTGAAACGTCGACTCACGCAGGCGAGTTTTGTGAGGTCTTTCCTCTGGAGAACCTTTTGGTTGGCGATTTCGCCAAGCAGCTCGACGGGGAGGAAGTTCATGTTTGATCCTCTTTTTTTTTTCGAAAGAAACCGTTTGCGTGAGAGTCTAAACTTGGATGTTTATGGGATTATGTATGATATGAATTGAATTAATTAGTTTGAGAGAATTGAGACACACTATATATACCTAGGTACACATGTTGTTGGTGGGACGAGACAAGGCTTCCTGAAAGGCAATCAATGGACGCGCAAGTCTGATGGCTTGGCGGGTTAAGCATTTAGATACAAAAGTGAAAGACCAGGATCACAAAAATGCAAGTATACATCTTGAAATATATTCTTTACATCCTGTCGACATTCGGTGGATTTTGCAGATAATTATCTCTGTAGAATAAGGAGAGGGTATGGGGGTCCCGTCGGGTCTAACGGCGGGATGAATATGGATCCGCTTTGCTTCCTCAAATGTTCCATCGCCACGGTATTCATGAGATCTCCTTGGCTGGCTCTTTCTACTGCGACATATTCATCAAGTTTAGAAGATTCACACAGCACGGGACTGAAAGGTATGCTGTATAGGGACGGATACGGCTCGTAGCCAGGTCGTCTATGGTAAAGCGACAATATTGCAATCTCGCTGAATAGATCGTCAACGAATAAGACAAACGCCCATTTCTTTTGATCATTGTCATCTTGAAATATCAGGCGCTGGGTGTCAGACTTAAAACAGGCCATAAGCGTGCTTGCGGGAATGAGTCTATATTCGGGGTTAAAGTCTGGATGCTGGGACCCAGGTTCTGGGGGTGATAGAGTAGCAGGTTGTGCGTCTGGAGGAGGTATCTGATTGGTATCCACCTGGCTAAGTCCTGCTACCTCACAATAAAAGCTCAAGTTAAATGGAATGTGCGAAAACAAGACTTGAATAAACTGAGTGGGTCCTAAATTAAGAATCTTATGCTGGTTGGGGCCTTTGGCAATACGATAGTGTACCCAAAGTGTCGGATTTTGTGATGTTGGACCGTTAGGATTATCGTGGAAGTTATCTTCTCCGATCGGAATGTCGCTGACGAGTAATTCGATAGAGGTACCAGAATCTGAATCAATATTCTCGTCTAGACTCTGAGGCTTAGGATCATTGAGGCTATGGGTGGGTAAGTGGCACAGGTTCAATTCGGGTACTCTTGGTACTTTTTCTATTTCGGATAGAATGTTGTAGTTCGCCACCGGGTAAGGTCCTGGATCGTCCATGATCTGATTGAAACATTCGCCTTGGTAGTGTATGCCCCCCGGGAAGATTGATATTTTCCCAACTTCCTCGGGGTTGTGGCTAAGCCTTATTAATGAATTTAAGACAAAGCAGATTCCGTTCGTAACTTCCGCGCTTTTGCTTGATATGTTCGAGAGATTCCCGACCCGGCCCTGGGAGTTGTAGTAACCTACTTTCCCACTGAATAATATTTGGGCAAGTGTGAAAGGTGTAAATTCCTCGTATGACGTCATACGCAGAGCATCCTGGGCAGCAAGAAGTCTCCTAAAGTCTAAGGAGCTCGGCCTGAAAAAAACTTCAGGTGGTTTAAGGAAACCAAAACCAGGGCTACGGCCCAGGTCGTGCCCATCCAAATAATTTCGACTGTGCTCAAGAAAGAATATTAGACCAGCTCTCGAAGGTAATATTGATTGATCAACCTCGCAGATGGAGAGGCAACGTGAAATATGGAATAGAAACCAAGACATATGGATAAATGGTGCGGGGTCGCAGTTGCCTTGGGCTTGCTTTAGCATGCTATCAAAATGCACCTGACCGAGGGATAAAATAGATTCGCATGCTGCTTTGCTGGCATGGTGGCCTTGATCATCCCCCCTCACCAATTTTAGGTAGTTCGTATATGTCGCCGCAGCTACCCTCGAAAATTGTGTATCTGCACATTCTGGAAACCATCTTTCTACCGTCGATAGCAGCCCTAGGCCTTGGCTCGCCTTGTTGGCATATACCCAAGAGTCTGGGGGTCTAGAAATCATAGTAATAAAGGCTGAATTCTTAAATAAACTGCACAACATTAAGGCTCCAAATAGCTTCCCCATGCTCTCGGAAATACTTCCTGACAATGCTTCTTCGGAGTTTTCTCCAAAGATCTCCCTTAGAGCATTTGACCAGCTTACCCGTGTACATACAGTCGCACTCATAGAAAAACCTTCACCAACAGGGGCAAATAACTGTTGAACTTCAACGACGCGTCGGTATCCTGACGACCTGGTTGCCAATTGGCTCTGGGGGCCAATTACAGACTGCTGAGTGAATTCTATAGCAACAAAATAACCCCCTGCTCCTTTTCGCTTGGTTGCACTCGTGTGTTTGAAGACTACTTGTCTAGAACCTGCTGTTCTAATCTCCACGTCGAGGTCTAAAAGCCACGAGGCGATTGCCGCAATCAAGGCACAATCCGCACCCCCCACGATCAATGCCTCGTTAATTTTCCCAGAGGAAACTTGGTTCAGTCCAAACAGTGCTGACGCGATTTGAACCGCGTTTCCTCTCACGAGCTGCTTCGGTTCTTTATGAAGACCATAATATAGACTGGATATTCCTGTAAGATGGTTCTTAAAGTTTGAGTGCGATAGAGCTCCCGCGCAAGCTTTTATTAAGTTGATCCATTGTGTCATAGTCGGCGTAAATTCGACTGGAGGGTTCAGTAGTTTGAATAGCTCCCGTAGTATCAATCCAGAATGGTCAATTCCGTAGAAGTCTGCTAGTATAGAACAGAGAGAGACTATAGATAGACCCTCAGCTGAGTCCGCTAGGCTCCTGACAATATGCTTTACACCAAATCCAAAGTATAAAGCGCTATTGAAGCTAGAAAAGGCCCTTAGCTTTCCGACGGAGTTGTATACTTCAATTTCCGCCTGATCACCAAGTTTGAATCGTCCTAGCACTGCGTAGGATGCAGCGAGTGTGAATGCTTCGATGCCAGCTTTTGAGAGACGTGCGAGCACATCGACTGTAAATTTGACGGAAGATCCAGCGAGGGTGACCCAGTCTATCTGGCCGGAATTTGAGAAACCGCTGTCTCCGGACCCGCCGCTTTGGAATGATATTAATGCGTTGGATGGTGCAGACATGGCGGCAGGGTGCGCATGTGGGTTTCTGAATATCGAATAAGGAAAACCTTTAGCTGTAAATGGTCCGGTTGACAAATTAGTTCATAATCGACATTTGACTTGGTAGATTGTGAATCCGTGTTGACTAAGTAGTTTGGATGAATGAATGAACGGGCCCAAGCCTAATTATATGAGGCGCCCTCGAAGATAGTTGGGTGTGGTGATTTGTGTGGGTAAATATTTTCGAGATCCTTCATGTCAGAGTTCGAGAGTTCGAGAGGGGTAACAGAACAGGTCATGAGCGCTTAAGCTAGGTGTTTTACTGTTATGCATGAAAGTGCACAAGGCTGAATAAATTGAGAATGCCAAGAGTATGCGCCTCGTTGTACATGTATTCGTGTTCGACGATGTACAGTGCATGGCCATGGGATGCATAAGATCTATATAGCTATAGCTATACAATCGAAATCATTGACTTAAATGTCGAAATACGACACCACTCATTCGCAGGTGGCCTTCATGAGATACCTACAAACTATGCGCACATAGATATAGATATGCAGATAATTATATAAGTTATTGAGATTACCTTTTCATCCATGAAGGCTGGAAACTGTTTGGGGCGTCATCCATGATCGATGATCATTTATTAAACCCCGAGGCTGCCCAGAGCGGCTATGAGGATCTACATGATAGCTTATCGAATTTACATGTAGAGAATTGAAATTTTATTCATAGCGAGTCATTTAATCAGCCTAAGGAAGTGCCCCATTAGAAGATATCAAGTTACATTTTTATATTTTTTTTATATGCTACTCGAAATAAATACATAACTTATATTGATGGAGAACGGTCTCGTTCCCAAATGGAGAACGAAATTTGAGCTACTGGCGCGGTATGTTTCTAGATTTAATATTTAGGGGACTGTCATATGTACGATATCTCTAATAATCTTAATTTGAAAACATAGGATAAATATACACTTGGTGAAATTAATAATGCATAGAATGAGGCCTCGAGGTAGATCTTATATAGGTATCCTTTCAGGTACTCGTCTTCAAAACCCACCCTGAAGAGCTGTCAGGTCAGTCCTAACACAATCAGAAGTAGCTATCAAGCTACCATAATTCGAGCAGGCCATAAATGTCGCAGCGTCTGCGTAGTACAGTGGGAAAGTACCATCACCAGTAAGAGCCCCAGGGCAGACCCAAAATACAGGATCAGAGACAGGATTGCTTTCATTATCGGGAGTAAACAATAATGTGGTAGAGTTAAGCTTGAAATAAACGGCGTGGTGTTCTGAGATGTTGATGTCAAGAAGATCGTCCAAGGGGTATTCATATAGCCCATAGTCATCGACGATGTTATTAGCTTTGGATGTGCCAGCTTGAAGCCAAACTAAGACTGTGATATCAGTTTGACCTCCATTGTTGTATTCCCTAGTAATACCGTAGGATTTAGTTGTTGCAAAGTAATAGGGTGTCCAGTTGAGGACTGGTCTATCTGCCGATGACATCTCATAACCAGCGGCGTTTGGGTATATTCCCGTAATGTAATGCCCGTAGTAGGTACCTGCATGATTTGAGACATCGCTGTTTACCAGCTTGTAGGCTCCTATCGCTGCAATTGTTTCAGTAACGATTGGGACAGAGGAGGTAGCGGTACCGTTGGCTACCCCGAACTCCGTCGTGGAAGACGTTGGCTCTATGACACTTGAAAATTCTGAGCTAGATATAGTTTTGGTGATAATTCCAGTTGGAGAACTCGCTGCTCTCGAACAAGCGGATAAAATGGAGCTGCTAGGATAGTTGGTCAGGTCATTCTCCAAGCTTCTTTTATCAGCGGGAATATGTCTTTTTCGTGTTCTGGCGCTTGCAGTGACAAATCTTGTGACAGAAGTGTCCCCAGCCGTCGTAGTAGACGTTGACGTCGACGAAGGGTCGGTGAATAAAGCATAATATGAGGTACTTATACTTGTTGATGTTGAAGTGGTGGTTGTGGTATGACTGTTATACGAGAGGATTAAACTACAGTAGGCCTCCAGGCGAAGAGAAGTAATTATATCATATGCATCTGGCACCATGGAGCTAGATACTGTCTGAGAAGTTGCCGGGTTGGAGTCAGAGCCGGAATTGCGGCCAGAGCTGGAACGAAGTGAGGTCGAACTCAAACTCGACACTGGGGCCACTGTTGCTGTTTTACTTGAACTAACTATACCCGTACCTGAAGTAGTTGGTTCAAACGAAGAAAAATATGAAGTTTCATATTTATCCTCATTGTTTGCAATAAATTGCGCCTTCTGTAGCCTGCTATTCTCGGGTATTGGAATATCTACTGGTAACATGTAGAGGTCGTAAAAGTTTGCCCGTTTTACAAGCTCTCTACTGCGCATCCTTGCAATTGTTGAGTTCAGAGTGCCGGCTAGTTTGTAGATGATCCATCTTCTCTGATTTTGATGTAGTTCGACTCGACCAACGGTGGTATTCCAAATCCACTCTCCCACGTAATCGGAGCTCTGCAAGGTATTAGCCGTGTCTACGGTATGTCGGATTTCCCGAAGCAACGACAGAACACTTGCTGACTCTTGCTGTAACGCCTGGATGGCGGATGCATTGTATCTTAAAAATAAATTTTCCGAGGGATTCCGAGAATTTTGTAATAGATTTTCAACGTTTTCTGCCAGGGTCAAAGAGACTAAACGATCTCGCCCTGGGGCCGCTAGAATGGCTCTTCCCGTATCATCGTCTAGTTGAAAATAAAAACTACTTAATGTTTCTTCCAGCACGAACCCGCCTCGTGGCGCACTAGTAGAGGATGTTGTAGCGTCCTGGGTCGAGGATATGGCGCTTGATTGAGAAATTGTCGTTGTCGAAAAGTTAGAGACAAAAGTTGGCCATACTAATTGGTTGCATTGTGGTAATCCAGTATCGCAGGAGTCGAGGGTAGAGGTGATCGTATGAGCATTCTTCACTGTCTCATATACGATGGTCGTTGTGTAATTCAAACTCGAGGTTTGAGCTTTGGCGGAATCGGGTAGAGAAAGGATAGCAAGAATGGCGGCATTTCGTAAGATTGAGCCGGGCGCCTTGATGCTTCCATGGGAGCTAAACGTCATAGACGGAAACATGTTGAGCAATTTTGGTACCTCGGATAAGATGTTTTCCGATATTTAATTGCTGTTTAGTTCTCCTAGGATCCTATCCTCGAGATTTCGTAATTATGACGTCGAAGTAATTTAACAGGTACAGATAATACATGTGGAGATGTTAGGATTAGTTGCTTTGTGCATCAAGATCGGCCTTTAGTTCAGAATTGTAAGGGGAAAAAGCGTTATACTGTTCTCTTATTTCTGTTATTTCACATCTATTATTACATAACTTGCTCGTAGTTGCCGTTAATTCTGGCATGGTTATCGTGAGCCCTAGGTTATCTTGGTGGAGCCGACGTTTTTGCGACATTAGATCCTAGATACATGACTATATAGAGTAAGGATTTACAGGCAGTACTATATCGATTCATAATATTTCAGTAAAAAGGTTGTCTCGTACCCTGACCTGGAAGCACTAGTATATGATCGCTATTGCGATTACCGACTTGCGCGTGATCGTGATATATCGATATATAAATTAGCTTTATAGTTTAATTAGCAAAAGCGGCAAGCTGTCGACAATTTAGCCGGCCTTGATTTTATGGCACATGTGGTCTGTAATTTTGGTGGTGCGTAGAAATTAAAATTTATAAAATAGCAACATTGAACGCTTTAACGGAAGCCGGAAGGAAAGGAAAGAAAAAACTCGAGAAGTTTATTTAAGCGTATCGATGCTTTTTGTGAAGTGGGATCGACGTCGAGCTGCGGCGACTAGTAAGATCAGATTCCAGTCGATCAAAAGTACACTCCGTAGTAGCATATCTCACTCCCATGTGGCTTTGTTTGAAACGCTCTCTTTTTCCGCTAGGGTTTGCATATATTATACTAGTAGTGGTCTAAAATATAATTAATTCGTATCTGCTGCGGATACGTAAGTACATGCCCCCGAGATCCAGGAGAGTGTATACATGTACGACAACCCTAAATACAAAAGATTAGCTTCTGAATGAGATTTCATGTACGTATACGGGCAATCGTATTAGATTTCTATGGATCTAGCAAGCTTGCAAATCTGAATATCCAGTAAGTTCTGGACTTTTTGCGAAGTATTTGAGCGCTTATCCTATCTATTAAACAATCTTGGATAGACCTTAACACTCAGAAGGCCTTATATGAGCTCATGATTATCACTATCATGTAAAATATCACGGTCGACATAGTCTCCCAAACCAAAATGCCGTATAGAAGGGCAAGTTGGTTGATTAACGGCTAGTGTTGCATAAATCCAAGGTCGCGAAGTTTGAACTTAAAGTCGCAAATTTTGGGAATGAGAACAACAGAGATGACTAGAAAGCTGGTATGGCTCTACTGGTCCAGACCAAGGCTCTACTACATTTAGAGAATAGTCATAATATAAGCATAGATGTAACGTTAACGCGTTGAGATATTAAAAGCTTGAGTTTCAGTCTGGAGCTCCACATCCAGTAATGATTGGGAATAGTTATTTCTAACCGAAGGCCGAGATATATATCGACACACTGACACCCATAGCGTGTATTTCCTAAGATTGAGCGTTTATCATACTATCGATATCGCCGTTCATATGACTATGCTTATAAATGATATCTTCTCTGTATAAGCCAATATTGGCTTGTAAATGCACGATCTGTATGCGTTCCTCCTTTGACTATATCCACTGCGCGCTGCGCTAATCACCCCAAAGGCTTTTACGAAGCCGGCCACCTAACATGCGTATCTTAAAAATACTTACCACCTTGACCACTATCGTGCTTGCGGCGGCCCCCGCTAGTGCAGCGATTACCTCTCCGACCCTCCAAAAAAGGGGAGAACTCGGCTGTCACAGATCTGGTACATACCTCCAAGACGTCACCCACGGCAACAAAGAACTCCTCGAAAAGACTATTTCCGAAGCATGTAATAATCTCGCTGGTATATACTCACGGGAAACTGAGCGCCAATGGTGTGCGCAGTTTCGTTTGCACCGTATCGACTTCTCGGTTCAAAACTGGACTGAGAAACTACTTACACTCCACGTCGACGAGTGCACCGCAACTTTTAGAAGGAATGCGATGGATTGCCCTCGCGGAAGTTATAACCTCTATCACTTCTTTTATTTTAGCTTTGATCCAAATTTTGGGAGTTGTTGGAAACCAATACCATCGGGGGAAGCAAATCAAACTAAATATTAGGCTTACACCTCAATTGCAATCAAGAAGACCGGGTGGCTGGCAATTCGCCATTGCGTGCGATCTACACGGAGGAGAATTCGATATTCAAGTCGTGGTCAATTATTACCACTCTGAGATGAAGGCAAGGATATTCCTGAAGGGGTGAAAGAGGGCTAGTATTAGTTCAATACCTATTGAAGTTCATAACTTTTTCTTTGTAAATTAAACCTTCCAACTTGATATTTTCGATTGGACCGGTTATTCGGTCCGTTCCCTGCATTCTTCTGTCGTACATTCTCCACTTCGTTAATCGACGATACCCGACTTCCCGACAAGGAGGTCAACCCCCTGCATCCCTCTCTCATTCTTTCCCCGCAAATTGTGGTATTTCATGCGTTGGTGTATATATAAGATTCCGAACCTCCGAATCATGTCATGCTCTCTCCACTTTGAACGATAATTCATCGGGAAGATATTGTGGTGAAGTCTGAATCTGGTGGGGATATCGGAAGGGCTAGAAAAATGACGATAATTACAATGTCGTCAGAAAATCATCAGGAGTCGGGTGCGGCGAATGGATCCACCGTGCCGCAGAAGTTGACGCCAAACGCTGCCGCTGGAATCCCAAGAATTCCGATACCAGGGCCGAAAGCGTATAACCACGAGGTAGAGACAAAGGGAGATGATACTTGGTCACCAGCTACTGTACGGTGTTAACTTTCTCGTTGTTGAGTCTGACTGCAGCAGCGCGAAGTTAAGCATCTAAATAATTATTTTCTATAGTACCAAAACTACCTTCCAACATGGCCAACAGATAAATATCCTTCTCTCGAGCCATTCACACACGTGGATCCAGGAAGCAGAGCGGATCCATCATTTCCAGACCTTCATCCACCCGGTAGCAAGCATACGTCCATAAACCCTACAATTGGTACAAAAATCACTGGTGTTCAGCTTTCCTCTCTTTCCGATGCAGGTAAAGACCAGCTGGCTCTTCTCGCCGCACAAAGGAAGGTTCTAGTATTTAGAGACCAGGATTTTGCAAGCTTGCCAATTGAGAAGGCACTAGAATTTGGGTCCTATTTCGGTAGATTGCATGTTCATCCTAGTAGTGCTACAACGGCGACCCACCACCAAATACATATCGTGCATCGTGGGGCCGGAGATGAAACGTGGAGTAAGTTTTTCAAAGGTAGATGTAGTCATGTGAGTTTTCACACGGATACTATTACAGAAGAACAGCCACCTGGAACGACGGTATGGACTAGGGTTTCAATTAAAACTATTACAATTTTTTATACTAATTACCGCTTAGTTTATGTACATCTTGGACTTGCCGGAATCAGGTGGTGATACTATCTTCGCGGATCAGGTTCAAGCATACAAAAGACTATCGCCTAGTTTTCAGGAGAGGCTACATGGGTTGAAAGCTCAGTACGCTGGACCAGATGGTGGTCGAGGGGGCATCTGCCGGCGAGAACCTGTTATGGTTGAGCATCCTATTGTCAGAACACATCCAGTGACTGGAGATAAGGCATTATATATTACTAAGGGATGTAAGTACAATCCTTCAACTTAAAGCTACTTAACTACCCAGTTTAGGAGTAGATATAGGCCGACTGACAACAAAGCGATTCAGCCTGCAAGGGAATCGTAGGATGGAAGAAAGAGGAGAGCGATATGCTTTTAGGTTTCTTGAACAGTCATACAGCCGGCGGCCAGGATTTTCAGGTTAGAGTAAAATGGAAGAAAGGAACGGTAGTAGTGTGGGATGTGAGTCCTATTTCCCCACATGTCCTTTTTCTATTCTAGTATAGTGACTAATGTAAAATTGGATTGATAGAATCGCGTAACTGCACATTCCTCCATTTTAGATTGGGAGACCGGTGAAAGAAGGCACCTTGCAAGAATCACCCCGCAGGCAGAGAAGCCTATAGAAACTCCGTTTGTAGACATAAGTCAGGGCTGACCGGTCTCTTGCTCTTTCCCGGCTTCTCTCAGCAATAATTTAATTAAAGAAGCAAAATACCCTCCTAGGCATCGATGCCTCATATAGTCATACGACCACTAAAAAGAGCTTTTGCGCAGCTCGAAAGAAGAGAAACCCGAATTTAGAGTATTTGCGGTGGTGTATGGATCAAAAGCTCTCATAATCACAGCCATCATCGTCGTAGTCACCGTAGTCGTCGTAATCTCCATTATCGTGACCGCAACCATCATCTCCATAGTCACCGCCGTCATGATTACCATCATAGTCGCAATCTCCAACCTGGTGGTCATCCTCATCTCCATCGCCATTATCCCTGCTATCATTGCCTTCATCTTCGTAATCATCATAGTCGTAGCCACTCCGACACTCTCCGCCACCATAGCCGTATCCAGAACCTCCACTACAGCCACTATTACCTGTAGGGTATTCGCGGTTGGTATCACTTTCATTGTAGAGATACTCAGCAGAGGCATATCCGGTCCTCTCTTCGCAGTCACCTCCATATTCACTTCTTGTGTCATTTCGGCTTGCACATTCCCTCGCCGAGTCAAATCTGCCTCCGTATTCGCTACTAAGAGAATACCATGAGGTCTGATAGTTCGAGGTAGAGGAACTGTCGGGTGTGAGCCTTCCAGAGCGCTCGCAATTCATATAACGTTCAGCCTCGGAGCGACTATCAAACCTGCGGTGCTCGTTGTGAGGGTGACCGAGGACTTCTGGTGCAGCTCTAATCCTATATAGATTACGGCAAGGCGAGGTATAAGTAGAAGCTCCCAGGATGAAGGATGAGATGTTAGTTACCAGTCGGGGTAAATTCCAGGGTTCCGACCGCTTCTAACTGCATAGTGACGCCCGGTGCCACTATTGGATGATCCAGATCTATTCAAAGCCCTCTCGGCAGCTTCTCGAGACGAGAACCTCTGGTGAATATTTGACGAGTACCTATCAGTACTGGGGTGTACTTGGTCCCTAGTCATAGAATTGTAAAGTTAATCAACTTGAAATGCATCAAGCCGGGTGGTTAGTAGCGGATTCGCAGGGCCGGGGGAGCTGACCTATAGCTATCAAATACACCGGTTTGACGGCCGTTGGCAATAGCATAGCTTCCATCTCGGCCATACGGTCTTCTCTGATAGTTTGACATTTTGTCCGAATTTAAATTTCCTTCAGGGAGCTTTTGGTTAGTCGCTGTCAAGAAAGAAGTGTAGGTGAAGCTTGGGTTTTGGTGTGATGATTGCTAATTATAAAGCAAGAGTGTTGATGTGAGTACTTCACTGATTCAATTACCTACTAAGAGGTACCTACCCCCTAAGAGGTGCCTGCTTAGGTAAGTGCTCAATATATTGCAATGATATCCGGCTTTACGAGCGCCATCTGGAAACCAAATCATGTCACCATCCTCATGGCAACTCTAAATTTGAAGGCCACGGTACCGTTGTGATATCAACGTCGAGGTTCAATTTTAGTAGCAAGTAGGTAGGTAAGTACATAGTATATAGCCACATATGTGGCGCGGCTGGTTTATAGGATAGATAAGTTAAATAGCTGGATACTTCGATATCTAAGTACCTCTTTCTTACCTTTTACTTGTCCAATTATAATTAAGGAGTGCCTGGGTCATTCACGGCTGGACTTCTGGTAATATACCAATAGTATTACTATATAGAACCGACCAGCTATGCATATGTAGCTAAGTTTGTATGCATATGAAAATAACTATATACTTATATATCTATATGTATTTACACATTCGAATATTCTCTAAATGTTAAGTTATTTGGCATATAATATATTTGTACATGTATGCAGTATACGAAGATAACTCCGACTTCAATGATGATCTTCGCCTCGAGCGCTTGGATTCAAGGGTAAGTTGTGATCAGTCTAGAATCAAAGGTATCGTGTTAAATGACCCTACCAATCTAGGACTTCGGTACGGGGCGGCCTTTGCCGGATTTAAAGATTACCGTACTATCCTACTTCTAAGTAAGTACATATGCACATGGTACAGCTCTGCTGATACACTAATGTAGTTGAAACATTGCAGCAATTGCAATACATACATTTATAAACACCCACCCCTATAATGAACATTAAATATAAGTAATGCGCTTCGAAGCCAGGCCAAAAGCCTCCGTTTGAGCGAAAGCGCAACTGAAAACGGCATTGATATCGACTATGCCGTATCATAAACGTTAAACGCCTATAAAAAAGCCATTCTGATAACACGCGGGTTGACCAATTCCCGACAGTCCAGTTTCTCCACCACAAGCCCAACAGTGAGATCACAAGGCCACCCCGGAGCTCTGCAGCTCATACATGCTCCTTCCGGTTCCATAAAACTCGGTGGCTTCCGTAAGCTCCCCGTTACGGAGGAGCCTTCCGTGAAATTACGTACCCAAAGCACGCAAAACGAGTAGGTAATAAGCGGGTCATACATCCACAAAAAGATGAACTGGCATGCATGCAGAATGGGAACAAAAAGGTTAAAGTGAATTAGTTAGGGGTCTTTAAAAGAAAGAATTAAGTAGTAGTAAGAAAAATGGTAGTAGTTACTATATATATTAGGACTAATACAGAAAGATTAAAATGCAAGGCGCCTCATGATACCCAATAGAAAAAAAATAGTTAGTAACTTAAGAAATAGATAATAGAAAAGTGAATGTGGTCATTATTCATCCTCGTTCCCTTCGACATTCCCAGTCTGGTATCAAACGTACACAAGCCCAACTAAACCGACCGCCAACTAGAAAAATCCACAAGACTCAATACCAAAATGAGAAGAAACACCCTAATCTATTATGATTCCAAAAAAAGGGGAGTGGAGAAAGAGAAAAAAAAAGGTAGAAGAAGAAGAATAGAAGAAAGGAGGAAGAGAGACCGAAGAAGCCAGATAAAGATCAAAGAGGCCGTAAAAAGGTATTCGAACAAGGAGTAAATGAGAACGCTCTTAAATGCATCATCAAAAAACAACGAAAGCAGGATGAATGTATGTATGTATGTATCAGGGGATATGATGGGGTTTTTAGCGGAACGGAGTTAGTGAGCTGGAACTGCAACTTCCGATAGCCTCGGAGGCACTACCATGAACGAGTCCGTAGGGAATAGGTTTTTGATAGCCGCTTCAATATCCATCATGGTCATCATATTTTTTATTTCGAGGTTACCACAGACCTCATCGACATCGTCCGCGAAATCCTCGTCGTACATTTGGTCAATGAGTTGGTATCCTTCGTCGTAAGTATAGTGAGGCTCACTGTCGGAGTCGGAATCTTCTTCGTTGTACTCGCCCCAGTCTTCTTCCCGGATCAATAGTCTGTCCTCCTCGTCATAGACAACCTCCTCCTCTACCACAATAACCGGCTGCTGCTTGACCGGGAATGGAATAGTCATTTTAAGCGCTTTTGTAGGTGTAACGATTGTCGGAATAGGGCTGAATGAAGGAGATTTCAGAGATACCTCATCGTCGTCGTAATGAGATCCATCTGATGCATTATCATCAATTACACTGTCCGGGCTTGGGGGTCGAGGAAGAGGAATTGAAGGTGGTGCAGAAGGAGGTGGAGATGGCAAAGCGTATGTTGGAGGAGGAGAAGGCAAGGCTGAGGTCGGAGGCGGTGAAGGTAGACTGGAAGTTGGTGGAGGATTTGGAGGTGCCGTTATCAACTCGGAGTTCGGCCGCGAAGCTGGAGGTGATAATGGGATTACCACTGTCATGGGCTGTTGACTGTTCCAAGGAGCCACCGCCTCAGAACTAGATTGCGGAGGCGATAGTGGTGCGTCTTCCTCCCAAGGACATGCATCTGCTACCTTCAAAGTGCTGCTCGCTGCTTCGGATTTCGAGCGGACCGCTAGAGGAGCAGTTGGTCGGGCTTGAGACGGGACAACTGCGGGAGCGCTTGTTTTCCTTCCGCCGGCTGGTTCATCCCAAGGACACACCGGATCGTACGCCTTTGATTCGGGCGGCGTATCCGGAATAAGAAGGGCCACTGGGGAAACTTCCTTTGTAGGAGGAGGATTTTGTAGAGGTGCGGAAATTTCCATTTCAGCATTCTCGGGCGTCTGAGCACCACGTCCAAGGCCAAATGTATTCTTAATCCTATATCCCCATGTTAGAGAACTGATCGAATCCAAAGACGGATGCATTTTTAAAATTGACTAGTAATACATACCAGGATTTTCGGGACCCGGTTTTGCGGCTGCTAGGAGCCCGCTTTACTGACCACCATGAGCCGGTAGACTCGGCAGGCGTTGATGGCGCCGAATCACCTTGAGAACTTGCAGAATCCATCTTGTCGTCTGTCGTTTATTTTGTGTGTCTTGAGAATGATGTTTAAGAGACAGCAAATTGATGGGCGGGGGGGTTCTGCCTTAAAAATTGCCGAACGAATTAGTTCTTAGTGTTCGATGTAAAGAAAAGCGGGCAATCCCTACCTCTCGCCTCTAGTTAATCTGGAGTATGACCCTGCTCGAAAGTATACGTATTGGTCGGTCTTCCTTTTCCCTAGCCTCAGGTATCTTGAATAGGTTATCCAGCAAAAACAGTGGCATTCCCTGCCCTCAGAGATATATATAGCCGGCAAGGTGTATATTTGTACTTCGACCCGTACCCAGCAAGCCAAGGAAATTTTCAAATTGAATGGAAATAAAGAAAAAAAAACTGGAAAGGAAAAAAGAGCACCACTTTCGCCCTTTTCCCAGCTCGCCTAGCTCGCTTCTAACTGCTCTTTGGTCCTTCAATTAAATGCGGCAGATGCATCAGCTTGCCAGCAATGGGCAAGTCTACGGCCAATCCTCCGCTGGGTATCGGTGTGCTATCAGCTCGCCTGAACTAAACCCCGTTAGCGAGAAACCATTCCGACCAGGGTTGCCACTGACATGTCTAGGCCTCAGCATGAAGTCGCTGTAACTGAAAGGGGCAGTTTCCCTATTTCGCAATGACTTGGCTGATTTAATTATATCGCCGCATTGGGCAGTCGAACAAAACGAAGATTCCCTATTCAGGACTGGTATATTCTCGTGGGACTCCAACTGGTCGGGACCACATGCCTCAAGCAGGATCGACCTTCGAAACACAAGCCCAGCGCTAGTCAGCTTAGCATGGGACTTTTCGGGATTTTCAAGATCCAAAAAAAACCCACTTGTGGACGCGAACGTCAGAGGTTGGCTTTTGATTTGAAGAAATTCCCCCCATTACATGCATAATCAGTGGATAAATTTATCTCGAATGTTTCGATATCTCTCATGGTACACGGGCCAGCGCTTCATGTCCTTTCGCATGAAGAAAAGAAGCCGAAGATCGAAGGTTTTGGAGGCGTTTGGTTTAATATGCACCCCCGGTTCTAAGATTATACCAGTTTAATTTTAAACTCTGGGCTTTCGGAGATGAGAATTCAAGGAAATTCAACGACGCTAATTACTCCAGACAGTTGGGACGAGTTTGATTCTCGCTAATCTATGTCCGATCTAGATTGGTTATGGTCACCGCTCTTGTGATGACCTTTCGTGTTCAAATGAACAGTTTAGCAATAACCGTTGGGATTTGAGAATCGGATCAGGTCATCTGTGAAATATTTCGAGCTAATTAATCACTAAGCATAATCAAAGATGGCATAGTGTTAACTGTATTTGAATCAGGTGTCCAAAAACTCCGTCGTAACTAAGGACCACTATTCGGGTCTTTCGAATACTTGATTAACACTACATTAAATCTAAAACGTCAACACCGACGGAGGAAGGGAATGCGTAGCGTCCAACGGCATACTCTTTCCCCAATCAGGCCTGCGGGTGAAGAAAAGAAATTCTCCGAAACAAATTCCAGACAAGTTCTTCATAAAATAATACTTTATCGACAATCGGACCCAGAAGCTTGTCTTTCATTAGTAAAAATTTCCGTATGCAAGTAATAACAATTAGAAACACTATTATGTGCGTATCTCCAGAAAGGAAAAAATTGTCGTTAAACTAAGGAAAAAGTATAGGGATGACGATTTTTGATTAGGGGAGAAAGCTGGTGGTAGTTCCGGCTCAGTACAGGGGTCTGTTTCTCTAGTGATATCTCGCAGAGAGTATTGCACCCGAAATGTGGACCGTTGAATCCATGACGCTATTTAAGTGAGGCGTTCATGGTGCATGGTGGCGGTGCTGCCGAAAATCCTTGTAACAGTACTATATTCGGCATTTTACTGCAGTACCGACTGGCCTGGAAAGCGGGTTGAGTGGACAAATGGGTCTCTATGACCACCTAGAATACCATCTGGCGTATTCGTATTCATACTCACAGTAGCGTGAGTTGTAAGATGGGTTATAGTTGGCGGGGCTCCTAGGAGCGGGAGGCGGGTCCGAATAGGTGTTAGAGGATAGGTAGCCGCCGCTATATGAGCCTCCATCTCTTGGGCTCTGAGAGAGGTGCGGGCTTTCATCCATGGGCTCCTCCACTTCTACTTCGTACTCCGCATCCCCCTCCTCATTGTTTCTGTCACTACCCGAGCGTGAGGGTATTTCCTCAATATACCCGCGAGGGCGGCGTTCCGTATCGTAATTATCTCGTACGGAATGTCGTTCGTAGACCGTGTAAAGGTGACCTTCGTTTGAGATCTCCTTCATTTCCCGACGATAAAATGTTTGGTTACCGTGGGAATCAAAATGTCTGTAATATATAGAGTCTCGGAAGTTAGTAACAGTTCTTCTGCAAACGTGCTTCATACCTCGGGTCAGGGGGATTAAACCTACCGCATTGAAACGGTGTGACAAGTCTTCCCGGAATATGTATTATTCCGGGCATTATCATAGGACCTATGGCCCGTAGGAAACGAGGCCCGGCTGTCGGGCTCTACATTAAATCCGAAATGCTGTCGTTGGGGTCGAGATCGAGAATGCTCCGACGCGTTCAAACCCACGGAGGGTCCTCCCGAGCGATATGGGTTTCTCGAACCCTGGGGACGTCTTGTCCCAACGAAACCACTACGATAGGAAGAATCTCGTCTTGAATATGTTGAACTCATGTAGGAAAGTATGCGGAAGAGTTTGGGGTTTTTAATGGTCTCGTTGCAAGACGTCACAAAGAGGGGTCCCCTTTGAATTTGTTGGAGGTTTGAGACTTTGAAAGTGTGGCGATGTAAAGGAGGAGGAAGGAGGAGGAGGAGGAGGAGGAGGAGGAGGAGGAGGAATACGAAGTTAACTGGTTGGGATGAAAGGCTTTTATACTGATAAAGCGCGAATATATAGCTTTATATAGTCTGATTTCAAGACAATGCTGAGCCCACCGAAACAAAATGAGTATAAATGAAATCTTTTATTATACTTGATCTACGAAAGTTTGCCACATCTATGCACTTGATCTCCTATTTTCGGGCATCACGGCTTGGAATATCGTCACAATCGGCCCCGTGGATCGGGCCGACGAGTTCTATAGGCAGAAGAATTATGTATCGATATCGCAGTACCGCCTTGCGCAGCGATTTCCGACTCCGAAATCGGGTACTGATGATCAAACGATGTAATCAAATCTCCAAAAGTTTAAATTTACCGAGCATAACTCGTCAATCAAATAGAAGCTATCATTTAGGCAGCTATATCTCAGTTACATATACCGATTCCGTAGACGCAGCCCGCTACACTATACTAAAGTACTTTAAAGTTCGCATGCTTGATACACAGTACTAAGTTGCGCCTCAGTTTTGGCGATCTCACTAGTAATTGATACATAGCCACCAATATAGATATTCCGAAAGCCGAGTATCGATTCTCGAGGCGAACAAATAGATAAGAAATCGCTACCGGTAAATTAATATATTTCATCAGCATGCACAATTAATACGCGGCGACCGCAGGGCCATCCCTTCGTAAATCCTGATTGGCTATGTGTTGGTTGTTGCATTCTGGCTGCGTAACGTGCAGGACTGGTCACCAGACTGCCTTTCGGAACCAGAAACGTCGAGACACATGGCTATTATCTTGCTAATCAAATCATCCACGATGGTTTTGGAGCTTATATTTAGGGCGCCAGTACTCAATATCTCTCGTTAAGATGTTTTCCTAGAATTATATAGTATAGTCACTTTACGTACTTAGATCTGAAGCTCGATCGAGGGCAAAGATCAACTCGGGTTTTTTTAACTTTTTTCCCACGCCGCCGCGAGATCGACTCGGCTAATTATAGTCCATACATGCGATAAAGGTATCAATTTGATATCAATACTGCTGCTGCTATCGCCATTACTACGAATCAACTTTGAAGTTTCTCTGCAGAAATACCAGGGGTAGAAATATCGGTAACGTTAGAGCTAGCCACTTAGTTAAACGGCATACCGTGTAATTTTGGCCACTTAGGTCCCCGCAGAGAGCCTCTTTACAACGTCCTTCCGAGACCGCAAGACATTTAGGGAAAAAGAAATTTCAGATCGACGAATATGATATAATGGCATATGATCGAAAAGATATGCATCATAGCTAGCTAGTGGATCTGACGCCCCAGCATACGCTTAGGGCGAACAACTAGTTACTAGTATCGGTATGTACTCGCCATACTATAATTCGGCTAACATCAATACCTAAATAATAGCTTATTGTGATTTGACATTTAGTCGCACAGTCAAATTTCGACGAATCATCTGGGAAACATCTGTTTTGGAAATCTACCAATCATGACTCTTAAATCAATATCTAAAATACTTCTTGCCCGTTTGCTTTCACGGAGGTCCAAGTCAACATCCAAGTCAACTAGAAATCACAAGAAAGGTCACATCAAGGAATACTTTGGCGGGTCACACAAGCGAAGACAGCTTGACCAGGAACCTGTTTCTTTAGAGGCATCGCAGACACAAGGCTGGGTGGTTGTGGAAGCCCCGAAGCGTGCAGTGGAAGAGGAAGATGAGTACCTTTATGTAGGATCTGGACTTACATTATATCCCGTTAGCTTGTATTAGAGTACTGGTTCTTCGCAAATTTGTATCATGTTATGTCACTACCGCGTCTTTGTGCTATACTGAGTTTAGGACACTACCCGTAAGCATGAGATTGTGGCCCACGTGAATGTAATTATATAAAAATACTATCCGGAATGGGAATTTTAACTAATTACTTAGACTTATGTCTCCTCGTCCCTTTATCCTGCCACGCCTTAATTTCCTAGATACATCTAAGCTTTGCAAACTTACCGCGAAACATATAAACAAGAGTCAAACCGGGTAGGTATCCCTCTCAAAGTAGCCATAAACCGTAGCCTACCAGAATGTGCCAGTATCACCGAATGAAGAAATGCGGCAAGCACAGACTAGAGGACCATAAAGACGCAAAATCACCTATTCAAAGCCTAATTTGTGACCCGAAATGCGCCAACATAATTAAAGTATTTTGCCGAGGGTTTGCTTGCGAAGAATGTAGGATTTATCCAAGGCCTAGAAATGCAGGAAATCCAAGACTTTGGGTTAGGGAGCATGGCAGTACTGCAGTGATGCTAGAGAAAGCTAGGCGTAAATCGCGTGTCACAACCGTCTCTAAAGACTCAGTACAAGACTACCCTACGGATACTAATAAATTGAATGAAGAGCGATCTAAAGGTGCCCCTAAAATCGGTTCTGAAAATAGTCCACCGGGTGGCGCAAGCGATTCCCTAGATAGCTTGGAGGGCATAGAACCGCAATTCTGGGATAACAAGAAAGAAATGGTTCTCACGAGGTTGAAGAAGAACGTTAACAAAGAGTGAGTGAGTGTTGCCGAGCCCACGAGTATTCGATATGTATAGGTAGATACCTACTTGAAGTAGTCTTGAGGCAAATTATGGTAGTGAAGTTAGCTAGGTTTCTAGTCGTTGCAGTTGAGATATAAAATTTATTTCAGAACAACCTCCTCCTCCTCCTCCTCCTCTTCCTCCTCTGTCAAGCTTCTTTTAGAACCTTCTACCGGCAAACCTCTTTCAACCATCTACTGACAAGACTACATCTCTACCAATCTTTCACATCAAATCACCAAGCCTTTGCCTCTCACTACTTTTTCCTATACCTCACCTAAGCCATGGATGATTCAGAGGACCGGAGGCGCTCCCTGGAGACCGTCTCTGATTCAGAAAGTGCTAGAGGGACAATAGTTCTCTATCACTCCACGTCTTCGTCTGTATCCGAACAGGAATCAGAGGCTGCGGAAAAAGTTGAACTTATCGCGCCAGATCCCAGGATTGAGTCCAAGTACAAGAAATCACGAGCAAAGAAGGACAAATTGAAACGCGTCTTAAAATCCATCTACGATATCAACCCCGACCCTCGCGTCCCATCTCGAAGACAGCTTTCGAACCAATTTTGGGAAACCCGATTTGAAAAAAACAAAGTCTTTCAAAATAATCCAGACTATATTTTCGAGAGCGATGGAGAGTCTGATGATGAGGAAGCAATGCGCCGTCCTCGTGGTCCGCGTCGTGGGAGAGGGTCCAGATACTACAAAAAGATTCATGGAATGAGACCCACTTTACGAACCTACGTTGTTGACGAGGATGGAGAGAAATACTGGTATCTCGATAAGCAGGGAAGAATTATCAGGTGCATGTTTAACTGCTGTGAGGGTTTCGTTGGGGAAATGTACGTCGTATCCTATTTCAAGCGTCCTCTCATATTATAATATTAATGACAACGTACATACACTGACTAACCAACTTCACAACCAGCCGAATCTATACCTTTTTCCTCCTTTCTATGTTTTATCTCGGCTGTTGGATCCTATTCTACACCGCTCATGCCGCTTCTTGGGGTAATCGCGTCAAACCATTCCTGGTTGGCTCTTGGACTGAGGTCCACACATACCCATATGGAGGGCCCACAGTTACTCGTACCATTACAGGGCACATCGTAACTTACGGAACTCCACGTCGATACACCGCTACGACTACTACGGCTCCTGATTATGAGCCTATTAAAACACCGGATATCGGGGTTTGGTATTAGAATGTTAACTCTTGGTTTTCTTCGGCTTAGGGCCAAAGTTTTGACCATTGATGGGATTAGGACTACGGATTCTGATTTACTGGGCTAGCTAGGGCTTTATCGATCTACATTGTCAATACTTGGGGAATTCCATGAACTTTTTACTACCTTACTGTTTTTCTTGCTTCTTCAACTATCGTGAATTCTATCGTCCTTTTCTTTTTACCACATTAAAACAGAAACCGAAATACAACTGAAATGATGTTCCTGGTTTCAGAACTAGTGTTATGCATTTTTATAGCATTTTTGAGTGTAAAGATCGTATATACGTAATAGTTATCAAGATGGCCTGCCCCGCGGGGTAAAGTAATTTTGATTCTCCTCGTTTGTTACTAATATTCTGTATCTAATAATACACCAAAAATAGATGGCCACAATAGATACACCAGCGAAGATTACGTTATACTTTTTATGATCATATGAGATGATGTGGATCAATTTTATCGACCTAGATGACGAAAATCTACCCAAAAAGATGTAAAACCTTATACTAAATCGTTCTCCGAATTCTTTCAGAAATGCCAGAAGCCGGTCGAGGTCTGGCACCCACCAATCCACGGAATCTATTAGGTATAAAAACTATCATTTTTGCAATTTAGATCCGCATCATCTCATAAAAAGGACAAAATAGTCGTCACCGGTGCATCCTAGCCTCGGGGACAGGCGCAGATGAGGGCAGGGTGCATCAATTTCCATCTTTTATGTTCGTTTCCTGTATCATAACTAGCCTTATTCCTTGAGGCCACTATGGCTATGGTGGGCGGGTTGACAAGAATACGATACTGGATTCTGGATATTCTCCGGGCCCGATAAAATTTTCAAGCGGTCTGAAGCCGCCTGTGCAACCTCAAAGATCGCCAACCTGCATATCTTTGCCTCGATAGTGCGCTCCGCCAACTCATACCCGCCAGGATCTGAAGCTTTCACGATCTCATAGTATAGTCCTGGTTCTGAAACTTGTGTTACCATCACGATGCATGAACAATCTTGCGTTGTCACCCTCAAAAATGCAACAATCCGCGCCAAGATAATCAAGCTTTAACCATAAACTGTCCAATCTTTCCGAGGGATTACCCAATTCTTTGAATCTGAGTAATCTGCAATCTGCATAATGCGCCCCTCGAGGCACAAATGTCATGGGATGAGAGCAAACAACAGCCCTCCTGTGCCCAGCTTCCAATCCGGAGATCTCCTGATCAAATGATTACGTACGTACGTTCTCCAGCTGTGATCTCACAATCAATTACCGCATATTCGTGCGATTCTCATTATTATGGGCTCGGAATATCCGGGAGGGCTATCGCGCGTCGGAGTTAACCTACATTTGACCTGCCCGAAGAGTTCAGCTGAACTCGTTGATACTACGTACATACAGCTCTTACTTGCTGGCTATTATAGGAGAACGGACCTCCGGAGTTCGGGCTGCCCTGTGAGCATTAACAGCCCATGGGCGCTAATCCCAAAAGTAGTATAGCGCATTTTCGGCCCAAGCTATCCGAAGACTAGCTGAAGACCACTGAAAAAGGGTCCGGGTCCGAACTAATTATATTCATGCACACAGTAACCAAAAGGGTAGGATTGCGATACCCCTCCTTGCCCTGAAAGAAATCTGTACTTGTAATGCCACATAATCGCGGGCGATTGCATCCCCCTTTGATCATTTCTCCCCCATATCGTATTCTCCGTGGATCCACTGCCACATTTTCGGATCGCTCATTAATCTTGCGCCGTCGCACAGTTTCACTTCTTTTATAGCACTGCACGATGTCTTATGGCGGCGGGTACGGTCAACCTGAATACCAGCAGCAGCCCGGTGGTTATCAACAACCATACCAACAGCAGGGCTACCAACAGCAGGGCTACCAACAGCAAGGCTACCCGCAGCAAGGTTATCAACAGCAAGGCTATAACCAAGGCTACCAACCGGGCCCCTCAAATCCCCATGGCCCGCCTTCTTTCGTCGGAAACCCATCGGATCCCAACGTCGGCCTTCCTCCAGGCTGGATCGCACGATGGGATCAAACGAATCAGCATTGGTATTACGTTGATACGAGCACTGGAAGATCGGTGTGGGAAAGACCAGTGATGCAGCAACAGTATGGCCCTCTGCATCCACAGCCTCAGCAACACTCTTCAGTGCCTCCACAGGCCGGCTATTATGCTGCTGGTGGGGCAGTAGCCGGTGCAGCAATTAGTGCGGCGGCGATGCATGCGCATAGTAGTAGCAGTGGAGGACCGGGAGGGTATGATTATGGAAAGGGTCATGGTGGTACGTTCTTACCAATATGTTTTGAAATACTTGGTGGTTTTGTGGTTTAACACTAATGTCGACTGATTCCTTCATATAGATTCGTCTGAGAAGAAGGACAAGAAGGATAAAGATAAAAAGGATAAAGATAAAAAGGATAAAGATAAAGATAAAGATAAAAAGGACAAGGACAAAAAACATAAGGACAAGGGCTCAAACTGGGGTACATACGCCGCTGTTGGAGCCGGTGCTCTCGGAGTTGGTCTCCTCGGTGGAGCTGTCTTAGGCCACGAAGGCGATAAAATCGAAAATTGGGCTGGTGATAAAGTAGATGGATTCAAGGAGGGCATCGAAAATGCACCGGAAAATGCAGCAGGCTGGGTTGGAGAGAAGGTCGGCTCCGTCGAAGGAAAATATGATGACTTTAAAGATGGTATCGATGATTTCAAGGATGATATTGAGAACATACCAGAAAATGTTGCAGGTTGGACTGGTGAACAAGTTGGAAAGGTCGAAGCTTTTGGAGACGACGTGAAACAGTATGGACAAGACTTAGACGATGCTTATGATCAAGGAAGAGATGAAGGTAGGTATGGGTCTGATAACCAATCCTCAAGTTCGAGTTCTTCGAGTAGCAGTGATGATGGCGGAGATGACGATGGTGCAGCTTATGACTATGATGATGGTGACGACGGCGGGGATTATGAAGATTAAAGGGATGCAAAGAGGAAAGGCTAATACCCGACCCCTCAAACGTTTTATTTGTGTGTTAGATCTAGACCTTTTAACAGTTCAATATAGAAAGCTTTGAAGCCGTGATATTATAAATGTATGGTGGTGGGTCGCTCATGAACGCCCGCTAGTGAAAGCCCGCTCACTCTATATGTCGCCACTCTTGCCAAAGTAACCAACCACCGCTTCGCATACAAATCTTGATGCTGGAAGACAGTGTGAGATCCGGAGATCAGACTCGAACCCCCCAGCCGCCCAGACTATTTTCGTCCCATCGCAGCCATTTCCCCGGTGGTCCCCATCTATACGCCTCTCCTTCCCCGGTCCACCATCTCCAAGCACTCCATGCAACAGGTTCGGTCCCTGCCACACCAGCCGCCAGAAAGTCATAGAAGAAGATTTCGCAGCTCCATAGACCCCATACCATCATCCAGGTGAATGTCACTGCCTTCCCTAGTGTCCCCTTCTCATTTACCCCCAAGATCTTTAACAACTTGATAATAACCATTTCGATTAAAACCCCCACCGATTGTATGACAAAGTACCCCGTTGCCGCAAGTCCCGTTCCATTCAATGTCCACGCACCAATGCCATGTAACCCCGCTGAATTCCAAAACGCAGAAAACACTACAATGACTTGTGCCCAGACATTTCCTCTTTCCAGTCCCAGCACTTGATATGCCACCCATTCTCCTGGATATGAAAATCCTTTCTTGAAGATACTATGCCAATAAGATGTCCAGAACCCTCTAAGACTAGTCGCTTCGCTTATTGGTCCAAATAATGGGGCCCATGAGGATGGAGAGGTGACTGGGATCGGGGTTGTGAATAGAACGGCTGCTATGCTAAACAACTGGCAAAGAATGGCGTATACGGCAAAGAGGGAGAGATATTTACGGGCGATATTGTGATATAACCATCGGATCGCGGGATCTTGTGGGACCGAGGCCGGGAAACAGATAGCAGTCCATTGTTCTTGGGACAATGCTGGCGGATGAAAAGGTGTCTTCCAGCAACCTGGGGTATAGAAAAAGGGGTCGTGGGCGATAGCGTAACCAAATGTATCGAGAATAATATATGCTAGAAAAATATAGGAAAAATGGGTGACTAGGAAAGAGATATGAGAGTCAGATGGTGAAGGAGGTGGTCTCACACGTCGAACTTGAAACTTAAAGCCTACACCTCTGGAAGCACATAGTAAAGAGAAAGTAAATCGGGCTCGCTGTCGAAGAGGATATGTTGCTAGAGTCGGATACCCAAGACCTGGATTGTCAAGTTTTGCGATATTCTTCGGGGACCCATTCGCGATATCGTTGGTGGAGCCATTCCCGGTTTGGTGAGTCCTCGCGTTAAGCTCCCGTTCTTCCCCTTTGGTAATGTGGGCCCCACCGTTTGTAATCCCATTCCCATGGTTGAAACCGTTGTTTTGGATTCCTGTATCGTCGGTTGTCCATCGAATGTCCTTGTCTCTTCCTACATCCTTCACAACGAGTAGATTGAATGCCTGAAGACTCCCAAAATACGCGCCGGCGCCGACACAAAACGCGAGACCCCAATGGCTACTGCTGTACACCACCGCTAACCGGACATATAACCCGACAATGACCGGCAGCGCGATCGCATTCCGTAAAAATGACTTATGCGGATAGCATAGAAGCGTTAAAAATAGCAGAAAGAGTGGTGTCAATGCTTCGTGGAGCAGGAATGGTGTTTTCGTAGATAGGATTTCGAGGCGCGCTGGGAACTGCGCAAACGGCATGACAGATAACAGTGGGAAATCTGCCATCTTATCAAAGGTGCACTTCTGAAGCTCGCGATAGGGGCTTTCGAGGTCGCGATTACTCCACAAGGCTGATGAGGCGATGTCGACGGTTTGTGGGTCCCGGCTTAAGGAACATGGTTAATATCAGGCCAGGCATGGCATGACATTCCATTGAGGCGCACAAGCAGACGTCATTGGCCGACAACGCAGATTTACTATAGCGGAGCTCGGTATAGCTGCCAATCGCGCAAGGATATTGAAGTCCCTCCAAACTGTCGGCTGGTTGGCCTCAAGACCTAAAATTCGACGAAGAAGGAGTGCAGAAGTGAAGTGTAATGAAGTGTAGTGAAGTGTAGTGAATTCATGAAGGTTCGAAGATGTACAAGAATTTGGATATTATAAAGCAGATATTGTATAAAGAATGAAGTATATATACCAACATGACAGAACATATAAATATAGCATCACCAACTCCTCGCTCAAACGAAATTTAAAAACTCTCAATATGATTAATGGCAAGCGTCTCGTATGCATCCTTGAAATATCTTAATGGTCGCGGTACTTTCCGCGTTCATCTAGTTCGTAGACATCGCTAGACTGCAGCCGGCCATATAGTCAGCTTCCATCCCGTCTTGTCTCTCCAGTGGGTAACTCTTGCGCAGGTGTAGCCGCTGAGTTCGGGCTCACGGCCGATACCCCAGACATAGGGGTAATCACATCGCCTCCATCTAGTTCCGCATAGAACCTAGCTTCAGCATTCTCGGGTCTTCGCTGTTGGAACTTCTCTCCGTGAGGTCGAAGCACCGGTGTCCCATCGGCCTCATTCCATTGCTTCTCGGTTGCAGGGACTTCATAAACACCCCCAGCAGCGGCGGTAGTATTTTGGTTATATGCCCCCTGACCACCCTGGTCATGCCAGCCGGTCTTTTGACCCCATGCCCCAGCCACACTTTCTCCTCCAAGTTCATTTGGCATTGTAGTGGAGCCGTCGACTTCGGGCACATGTGGCGAATTCGATTGTTTCTTATCGTCGCTAGGGAGATCTCCGCCCACTGCACCTGCAATTGCCTTCTGCTGCTTTCTTCTTCGGAAGAACCAAAATGCAGCGATGGCCCCGATAACAGCGACTCCTCCGACAACTCCTCCGACGATGGGTCCAATTGGCGTCGAGTCGTCATCATCCCCCCCAGCCACAAGCCTGACTGGAAGATGTGTAACAATGTTCTGTTCGCGGTTACTCCAGTCCGCCTGGAAGATCCTGAACGTCCCGAAATGATATTCTGCAAATAAATAAATTTCCTGCATAAACACCCTGCCCAACCTTGGGTTTCCGCCATCAGGTAGTCTCTTTAGAGGGAAATACCACGCCTTGCCCTCGGCGCCGAGAATTTCAGTACCAACAGCTTCTAGAGAGAAAGCATTGTATGGCAATTCAATCTCCATAGTTGTCTCGTTTTGTGCACTATCTGAAATAGTGAATACGAACGTCGGGTTGAGATCAAGCAATTGGTCGTGGGCTTCTTCGGTCAGGATGTAAAGGCTAACGTCCTCATTCCATGTAAGATTCAGTGCAGACTCGAAAACTCGACAGGTATCGTTTGGCAACCAAATATAGGAAGTAGCAGAATCGATAGAAATAAGTTGGCTGTCGGTTGTGCGACGCCAATCGGAATCGAGTAGCTCAGCTGTGCCCTGTTGGCCATTATTATAAATTCCGGAAACCGTGAGAGAGGAAAGGGCGACGAGGAAAGGATTGGTGTATTCGTTAGATTGCGTGAAAATCATTTCGTTATCAATGTAAAGTGATTCGTCGTAGCCACCGAAGACTAAAGAGGCAGACGCCGTTTTACCTCCTATAATACGATGTTAGTCCTGCCCTTTGTGACGATCGCATGCTAAAACTGGAGCATACTGTAAATGGCCCCGGCTTGGTACCCCCAGCTCAAACTTGGAATCAACCCTTGATTGTACATCGTTGTGAGGAAGCTGGGCTGTGGGTTATTAAAATCCGTGAAATTCGTTGGTTGGGTTCCCAATCCGAAGACTCCGAGAAACCAGTCCTTGCTATCCACAGCGACTACAACTTGGTCGTTGAACGTGATACCGCTATCCACGTTCGTTATCCCCAAACGCTCCAAACCATAGTTTCCGATCGCATTATTTCCCAAGTCCTTGGCTAGATCTGTTTTGAAGAGACCTTGGTCGTTCCAAGTACTCGAAGAGTTAACGTTAAAAGTTTTACCGCGCAAGTCGGCACATTGCTCTGCTGGTATATTACGGCAGGCTTCTGCGTCCACTACCCAAGTCTCTTGCCAGCCTGTGGCAGGCAGCACGCGGACGATTTGCGACGGAGTACCAATGTGCATAAAGAAAGTTGCCCACGCGCCATCGTTGCCTTCCCTACATTTCTCGTAAGGTTAGCAATCCGCTAGAAACTCTGAAAAATATTATTTCGACTGGATTATCGTACCAAGCACCGCTAAACGGCCACCTCACGGCCGTAGCGTTGAGATTGGGGATTTCCTGCTGCGCTCCTGCGCCTACCAACAACGTCGACAGGAACAGTGTTGATAGTGTTGCGGCTGAACCCATGGCGATTTTCGAATATCCTGCCATCTTTGGCGAGAGTGGGTCGGCGGCGACAGGTATCGTACCAAAGTTTCGTCGAAATGGTAATCCACCACAGATAGACCCAGGTGTCTTCTGATTCACTGTCGAAATTTACACAAATTTGGGATGCGATTAGATTTCTCAAGACCTCTTTTTTTTTGAAACGTGGGTGCATGCGAAGAATATAAAGGAGTAGCCAATGCACCAACATGCAACAAAATTTCTTTAAAAAATGGTGGCGTTCATCACAAGTGTGTACCACATTGGTCTGGTTCTTTGATCAAAATCCCCTCGTTTGATCCGTCCAATCTCATGAAGAAATTCACGCCGACAGAGGCGAAATTTAGCCTTCTTTGGGGCCTGTCAAGTTGTGATTTATCGCAGGTGACCCGAAAACATGTATATTTGGGGCTGTACTATGGATTGTATGTACCAGATACCAGCTCGGAGCGCGCAGAAAGCCTGCATCTTGGCTGCCATTTCGCCATGCAGGGCGTATTCGGGGGCAAGAGGCAGCGAAAGGGTAACAAGTCTCGATTGTATCGAGTTCTTTCCTGCGACTTGGTCTGTTCGCATTTGGTTTCTGGTCCGTCCAACTTTTCTTGTCCAGCCAGTCGCAGGGATACAAACGGCTAATTATTATTGGACAAGACTTGCCAAGGAGCTAGCGAGGCTGAAAGATTTCGAGGAAAGGCTTCCAAGCTCGAACATTTCAAATCTCGTGGGATCAGAGAGCTTGGTATTGCGCCAGTTATGTAATGAAGCGAAACAAGTGGGCCGGGAGCCGACCCAAAAATCGATGGGCCCTCGATGAGTTTAATATCTAATATAAAAGTCTGCATATATAATCGAGAACTTCTTTAGAATCGATAGACAGATCAAGCAATGCAAACACGAGATGAATGCAGGGCAAAGGGTGCTTACTATGATGGATTGCCTGTTACAATTTGTATTATCCTTGTGGAACGTACCGAAACCGCAATCGTTCGGCCTATCTCCCGTCATGTACTCCATGGTATGGGTGACAGGTACGAGGATATACCAGGCGAGTACTTTCTGTCTTGTAAGCCTTATTAAGGAGCATCGTTTGTTGATTGATTCTAAATTTATGGAAAGACAAAAGATGCATGCGTACATATATCGTATTAGTAATTGATGTGACGTTGGTGTCCTCAAGCTCGACCTCAAACGGTCAGACAGTCAGACATGTGAACGTTGGCTAGGAGATGGCATATGCGGTCGAGACCAAAGGCCGTTTTGGTAGATGTCCCAATCGGGAAGTGTCAAAATAACACGTCTACAACACACTTTGTGCTACACACCGCCATTTATGTTGCCAACCCAAGAGAAGACCCGAGATGTCGAGTCATTCTTTGATACAGGGAGTGTTACTACGAGACTCTCTATCCTTGGTTGCGTCATATGTAGCCCTGGGTATATGCAGTTTGGTCATTTTCCCTAGAAGTACGATCATAAAGTAGCGTCGAGACCAGACACTGGCATGTAGTGGTAGAGGTTGGGAAAAGGAAGGCCACATACTACTAATCTAGGAAGAGAATATCAAAGCCTTGAATATTTTACGCACCTTAACACCTAGGTAGTTTGTTTACAGGATAAGAATTGTCTGTAATGTGAAGACTATGTCATAATTGATTTTTTGATACACTTCCTGTTAGCCTGAGTTGCCTGTAATTCTAACGTACCATAAAAGCTATAACGGAATTCTTAATTATCACGTCCCCTCCACATCTTCTCATCCTCACTCTTCATACAAAAAGCGCTTACGTTCTTACCATTCGTGCTACACCACACGGCTACTATCGTCTTCAAGACCCTTCAAGACGGCCTTAAAGCATACAAACTCGCATCGCAATGTCTTCAATTCATCCTTCTCACTCATCTCCTGCTGGCGAAGGGCATAATTCTGCTTCTGAACTAGCTTCATCAATTAACAATTCTTTCAAACAAACTACTTCTATCGACAATACCTTCGAGAAAACTACTTCTCACGAGAAACCCTCTGAATCAGCTACCTCTCGAGAGAATCCTTCAGAATCACCTTACAATAATAACAAAATGGGTACTATTACTTCCAAGCTCGTTCCTGATATTTCTGATATTATCGATGAAGAAGTCCAAAATTTCAAGCGCAGCAAAAACAAAAAGACGGTCAAATTTGAAGATACTCCTGACCTTGGTGAGCTTCAAATCCCAGACCGAGATCGTTTCCCGCATCGTAAGTCCAAGGCCCAGAAGGCCCGTGACCTCAAAAACGCAGTCGAGGAAGATTATGACGACAACTGGCTCACGGAGTCAGAGTCCGACGGTGAAACTTCCGGAGATGGTAAAAAATTCGGCTTGTCCAAGGCCCATCGCGCCGCTTCACGTCGCCGTCTCGCTGCCCTGAATGCTCGCCAACGCATCTTCAAGGAGGATTTGAAGGAGAGAAAGAACATGCCGGTTCTTCCCAAAGAAGAAAATCGCTTTATCGACCGTAGCTTTCGTCATGGCCTCCAAGATTCCATCAAAGGATGGAAAGATGTCAGGTTTTTTACGACCAAGGAAACTGCTTCAGATCTCCGCCTCGATCATGCTTTCAGCGGTCCACGAGGACCACCAAGAGGCTCTCGTACTGAATACCAAGGACCTCCAACTACTTATCGCGATCTTTCTCGTCGCGCTTGCAAACCTCATGCTGCTACTTGGCCTGAGATCAAGGAACTCCTTCAAAAACGAGGTATGGATACCAAGGAGTTCGAGGAACGTGGAAGGGAGGAAGAGGAGCGACTTATCCAGCTCCTCAGACTCCACGAGGAAGGCTGTCGTGCCAAGCGTGCCGGAGCGAAATACGATGACTTCGGCGATGAGCTTGGGGACAGTGACGAGGACAATGACCATGATGTCGAACATCACAGCGGCGAGAGCAGTGACGAGGAAGAGGCGGGATTTCTCCCGCCTCCTGTAATGACGTAAGTTTTGACCCTGATATTCTTGCATCCAGATATAGAGCATTTTCTGATATAATAAATACCAAACCTTTAGCGGGTGGGACTACGTCAACCCACTCAACTGGTCCCTCGACTTGGTCCCAGAGTGGGTCCAAGATTTCTTCATTTGGGCTCAACAAGCTGAGCAGTAAGTCTCTGTCTTATTTTCTCTTCAAGATCGGCCATTAAGCTAATGATAAATCCTCTTTACCAGCCTCTACGACGACGACACCGACTGGTGCCAGATCATCTTTATGATGGTCATTTTCTGGCTGGGGGGTCTCTTTACCCTGCTCATCGTTTGGGTGATGAGCAGGGCAATGATGGCCACCGGCCAGTGGAGGATGGATGAGCCCGGGCATCCAGTTCCAATCTAAACCTTTCGCTTGAGGTCTAAGCTGGAACTGGATGGTGGGCTTAGCCGTCCGTGCCGTCGTCGCCGTCGTTTCTTCTTCTCCTGCTTCTCCTTCTTCTTCATCTCAATTTTGTTCCTGTATACAGAAAAAAACAATATTACTGCTGCAACTGCTGCCCTGAGGCAGCCTATTAATAATATGATCTATTGAAATTGTCCCACCTTTTTCTTCATTGCTCCCTTTTCGATCCAATCTTTAATCCTAGTCTTTCTAGAATTATTTCGTGCCCTTAGATCTTCTCAACAACATGCCTAAAAGTTATTCACATATTTATCTTAGTCACGCGTAGCTCCCGTCTGGGGATCTTGTCTATGGACTCCTGCCGTTTTATTTGTTTATACACTTTTCCTTAGCAACCAGAATTCTATTGTTGTAGAATCAAATCTAACCTCTCTTCTGCTTTTTGGATATTCACACCATGAGGGGCCTTTCGCGTCGACTAATGGTTGTCGGAACGTGGACGTGATAAATCTATTCTTCTCTTTCTTTCTTTCTTTTCCAACCGCAAAGTTCACGCCTGAACCTTTCTCCTCCATTCTCCCTCTTCCATCTTTGCTTCTTCAGCATCCCTATAAATCTGTCACACTTATTCCCTTCTCTTCATAGAATCAGTATATTTAGAGACTATCTGGTCTCGTAAGACTACCCGACCCCATTAAGTCTGTCAGCAATAACATACCTTCAAGCAATTGCCATCAAATAATCTCTCCATTCGCCCAATATCACAGCCGAGCTTCGAATCCTTACTAAAAACTTAAAAACACCGACAAGATGAAATATGCGTCCAAACCCAAGACACGAAGGGCGTCAGCCCCAGCCATGAGCCACCGCGAATTCCTCAAATGGCAAGAATCTTTCAGTGATAGTACTGACTCTATCCGTCTTCACTCTAAGCTCCGGTGCGTCCTCACCGAGTCGTTTCTTTGACTTTTAGAGCAAGTATGAATAACTAATTCTCAAAATCAAATCAGGAACATCCCAATCATCCGCCAATCCACCCTCCCCGATCCGAAAAACCCCCGCGATTGGTCTTTTAAACCTAACGGTGAAGCCGAGATCGTTCGTAAATGGAATCGAAAAAAGGACCAACGAAAAAGAGTAGCCGTCCGCATCATGAAGGCCTTCACGATTCTTTACCGACGAGATGAGCAATATGACCGTGTTGAAAGCTTCTCGGATTTGCGTCGAAAGATTCGCGCTCTGTACTTTAGGTTGAAGTATGAACCACCCTCTGACTATTTTTTCGACCCGAGGTGTCAGCAAATGTGATCTTCATTCAGAAATGATGATATTAACGATTAGACTTAGGTTGTTGGTTTGGATCATGGTCATTGCGCCAGCCATCGGTGCGCTAGGGACCTTCTATTTGTACATGATAGTGATGTTTAACCTTTGCCAGATCTTCCGGTATGTTTACTGGGACTGGACTTTGAACCCAAAGCTTATGCATAAGCCGATGGGCTACTAGTAGGATTGGTTGAGATATGGTCAGTGGGTTAGCGTTATGATATTTTGTGAATTTGGGGGTCTTTTGTCTCGCTGTTTGTTTGGCTGATCTTGTATAGCCTCGAATCCAGGCGGATCTTGTATCCATTCTTCCAGTTGGGGCTATTCTATCTTACCTGATGGCTCGATCTTAGGGAATATAATTAACTGTTCCCCTATTGCGGCTTGATAATGATTGCATCATGTTTTCAGTGATTACCTAGGTACTATTATCCTAGTCTCGTATCCATAGTCAGTAGTATTTCTAGAGTATCCACATAAGAGCGAGTGGAAAGTCCCCAACTCCCCAAAAAAGTTTCAACTTTCTGATCCCTACACTCTGCCCGCAGAATTGGCTGGCATATAGAAGAAGCCTAGGAGAATCGGGTCCATGGGAATATTATCGTAGCTTTTGTAGTTGTGTTAGTATATGTACAATGGATCGATAGCGAGGGGGATATTAGGTATATCAGGTTGAACAATTGGGAGGCTGGGTTATAATTACTAGATCAAAGCTCCGCATAGTTATAACTTTCATCTAACTACCCGTCATCGCAACCTCACAAACGTCAACCCGAACCAGCTTCGTTCAAGAGACCGTCGACGCGACTATCTTCCTAACCTCCTGCTACCAACGATGTCCAGCCCAGTGATGAAGAAGCAGAAGAAGGGCGAGCCCGTCAAGGGCACCTTTGAACGCTTCCATAAATGGGCTGCCGATGTTAATGTTGTTATCAAAGGCAAGAGCTACAAGCGACCACGTCTTGGTACGGGGCTCCCTCAAGATCCGAATCCACCACAGCAAGCTAGGTCAGTCAACCTCTTATTAACTCGTCTCATTGATCTGATTACTTTGATTATAGTCATACAGAATAGTGCCTGAACTTCTTCGTCTCTCTAGGTACCACCTCAAGGCTGTGAAAGGAAAACGTCGACGCATATTCATGCAGGATGACGATACCATCACGGGTGAATTCCCCCCCGAAGATAAAAAATGGTATGACGTCCTTGCCGAAGACAGTGACGACAGTGACTATTTCAAGGAGTCATGGTACGTCGGAATCGACAAACACAACGGATATTACGGACCTGCCGGCAAACAAAAACTGCACGTCTACCCACCACCGGAAAAAGAAGAAGATGAATTCTTGTATATCTGTCTCCTCGTCCAAGATGCGCTCGAAGAAGGTTACCCCGTCCTCCCGGTTTTTCAAAAATACATCCACGAAGGATTCAGATATCGAAATCGTCTCACATACTGGCAATGGGCTATGAGAAATAAACTGAGGATCTACACTCATATCCTTTGGTTCTCGCTGTATGTCACACCGTTGATTTGGTATTGGTTATTCTATCCTCCAAAGGATATGGTAGAGACCAAGCATGGGCTTGTGTGGCCGGCTCTTCCGGTTGTTGCACCTCCTGCTAACGGAATTAGTCTTCCGTTCCACTTTTGGCCCTTCCATGAACGGCAAAGAGTTGGATGGAGCACCACTACACTCATTGGTTATGGGCTCTTCTATACCTTCAATTTCTTCTTGCTCTGGCTTTATTACCGATTTAATCATCCTCACCCTTACTAAAGCCCTGGGAAGATTCAATCTGTGTGGCCTATTAGCTTGTTTCTCTTGGTCAGATATAATTGCATCTTTTATCTATGGTCATTGATATTCTTTACATTCCTAGTGTGAGGAATTTCGGATAGCCTTTAGCTGAAATCAAAGCTTCAAGACTATATTGCGATCTATTTTCAACTTTCCATCCAATGGGACCACGTTTCAATGCCACAATCATCCTAGTTATCGGTTCCCGTTGTTTTTAATGTCTTCACTCACTTCACTCTCTCATATCTTTTCTTTTTTTTTTACAGAAATATATGCTTTGTAGTTGTCAAATGTTTGCATGGTTTTCACTTTTTCTTAGAAAATTTTGTTTATTGTTTTCTGAAGAAGCCTAGGCACCTGACATCACTTGAGGCTCAGCTACTCAGAAAGCTCAGCACTCAACTATACCATTTCTTACTCTGATCATGAACTATAGTACTACTCTCCTGACCCTACTCCAATTACAGACCACCAGATAGCAACATCATCACCAATCTGATTACCCTATTCCACCCCAAGCTACCACTGTCCCTTTACACCATACTCAAATTTTCCGAAGGTCAATCTCGATCTCCAATATGTGCCGAAAAGTAACCCACCACAAAGGCTGCGGCCACGTCACCGCGAAGTTCCAGCACCGCCCTTGCAAACATGGCAGCTTTTGTCCCCGCATTGTCCAAGAACTGAGCGCCGACGATCGTTGCGTCGGGTGCCTAGAAGACGCTGAAACGATCATCGAACGTCCTATCAGACCTATTCGAGACTACCAACCCCGCCCAAGTACCGACCCAAACAACAAAGAAGAGAAGACCCGTAAAGGGGGATTCACCGAGAATGACGAGGACATTCGTGCAGAACAAGAGTTCCGACGTCAAGAGAGCGAATGGTTCAGACGTTATACGGTGGATTCCCTCTTTGACGAAGCGAGCTTGACGGCTCAGTATATGGATCAACGAACCGTTGAAGTGAAGGATTCAAGAAAGAGAAGAGCCGAAAGAGCTGATAATCGTCATTCAAGGACTTCTGGGGCGAGCTCTGGAGACGTTCACGAGGCGGATTCGTTCCAGTGGGTTCCTAAAAAGTGGTGGAAGAACATTTGGAAATGGAGGACCAGACCAGCGATGTTTATCGATGGAGAAGTAAGTATTTCCCGAGAATATTTCTAATATAGTATTCAGAACGGAAGAGAGGCTGACTTAGAGAATAGAATGGTCATAGCGCTCTCTGCGGATGTTGTCGCCATCGTCGAGTGGATTTCGATGAGTTCGCGCTTGCATATTGCCCTCGCGGCTAATTTGACAAGATGGAGGATATATTCTATTTATTTGTCACGAAAATTCCGATCTGGCCAATTCAAAGTCTCTAGACTATCTTGATTATAAACGACAATTAACTCCACTTACCTTAACTTCTCTAGTCTTCTAGATGCCACCAGATATGTCAGGAATCATGTCAGATAGTACTGCCTAGATCTAGACAGATACCTATCATTTAAACTATTCCTGAAAACGGAAATAGATAACCCTGCAACAAACAAGACTATTCTTGTGGTAGTCTCGTGGATAAAACAATCACATTTGTTGTTAGAATACGTGACGATCTACTCTGAAGGCCAACGATCTACATGGACGCTCTTAGAAACGTGCTTAGGGCCCAGTACCAAAGTAAAGGAGACGGGACTCTGTATCCATTTTAGGATCATCGTGGGTTAAAATGAGTAATCATTCTAGATCCGTCTACACCTCACTCTCCCATGATTACTACGATCCACTACCCATCCCTGCATCACAGCCTATCCCTTACTGCCTTCATCAGAACATTGGGCTAGAACCGTCTTCGATAGTTTTTCGGCTGCAGATCTACCAAACCGTTAACCTGTTATTTACCGGCAAAATGGGCCCTCGGGATCCACAACGATCTAATAGGGAATTGCCCTCGAGGCGTAGCAGAAGGTTGGCTCGAGTAAGCTCTTCAATTCAATATAAGATATAGTACCTCTATCATTCCGCTGACTAAAACCGGTTTCAGGAAAATCCCAAACCTCGCCCTTCCAATAGCTATTACCCAAGACCAACTAGTCCCTTTTACTACAGTCTTGAAACAGGGTTTTTAGAGGTCCAAAGGCCCGCGCCAGATCCTCCACGATCACCAGAGCTCCTAGGGAATGATCCCTTAACTCCTCAGGCTATCGAAAGCCTTAGATTAGATCATGATAGAAGTGTTTCTTTTGACGATGACCGGATTCCCCACGGCCCAGTCGGCGAGATGAAGAATGCACATCAATTCGGCCGCGCAGAATCCGCACCTGAACCTCAACCATCGATTCTAGACTGCGGATCACCAGACCTCAAGCCATCATGTGGATCCTTGAGTCGTATGATGTCTCCGATCCCTCATCTGGATATCTCTGACGACGGCTCCAAAGCGACCGATGACCCTCCTCGGAACCACCAAATTCTACATTTCTCAACTAGCAATCTCAGGCCTAGGAACCCTCCAACCTGCAATAACGTTGTTCCTAGTGCCCCTAGAGACTTCTTTCCTGATAGCGTTACTTGTTCATCTGACAATGCCGTACCACACCCGGATACACCAATCTCGCCCAAATTGGCCTCTTCACAACAGCTCCCAAACAGTCCATCTCCCGGGCAAAGTTTTGCTCACGATCAAGAAGAGGACCCTTGGGAGCGCTTAAATACTCTCGCAAGGTTGGCGGTTGCTGAAGTTATGGCTATAGAGGGAGACCAAGAGACCAAGAAAGCGCTAGACACCGCCAGATCCTCTGATATTCAGAGCAAAGAGTTCTTGGACTCCATAGCCTATCTCTCGCAGATTGATTACAGACAACCGTTAGTTAATCGGAATGGTTGGCACTACACTAGTGATATGGCAAGCGGTTCGTTTTTATAAGTGCGATAATGTCGACTAGGGCAGAAATTTGTGCCATAGGTGAGCATAACATGGTCCCTAACGAGGCTACTAACGGGAGATACTAGGGGAAATTTGTGAATTCCATCATGAGGAATGGCTGGAAAATAGCAGCTGTCTAGGAAGCTTGAGAGCGGGATAAGTTTCTAACGGCTGAAAGCATTACTCTCTAGCATATGGCTATGAATTCGGAATCATATATCATTAAAGTAGACGCTCTAGAATTCTAGGATGAGGTTTTGCGCGCGGGGCTAGGCCTTCGCTTCATGTTCTTGTTTCCTTACATTCACTCATTCATTCATTCATTCATAGCTCTCTGGTGTGCCATGGTGGCTCTTAGGTAGTCTAAATACACCAAGAGTCATTTTGAACCTCAATTCCACTTTACTCCAAGCATCGGTCCTTTTGATGTAGAAACAACTAATCTCTCCCAGCAATAATTATATTCTTCGCCAACCCTTCAGGGTTTGAAAACATGACTTCATGACTTCCCTCCATCTTCACAAATCGATAGATACCGAGTTTGACAGCCTGAGCTTCATACGTTCCGAATGGAACTGTACAGTCACTATCTGCGAAGAGAACAGATCGAGGGATCTTTGGCGGCATGGCAAAAAATTCCTCAGTGTTTGTAATGGGGTGCTCCCAGAAACCGTATGGTTGTTCTCGAAGGGTTTCGTGAACGGCTTGGACTTCTTCAATTGTTGCATCGCCCATGAAAGCGTCTCGGAAGACGGGGAAGGGGCAGGGGAATGTTTTATTTGCTGTTTGGCTGTGTTAGAAAAAACAAAACCATCTTTTATTGGGATATCAAGTGTGGAGTATGGAGTGGATATTGGGAACATACGAGATTGAGCCGCCATCCCGCCATAGAATACTTTTGCGAATGGAGGGCAGAGATCAAATTGACATTCTCCTTCGGAGGGGACGAAAGCATTATGATAGACTATTCTTTTGATCTTTTGGGGGATTTTAGTAGCGATAGAGGTGATTACTACTCCGCCCCATGAGTGTCCGACTCTATATTAATAGCAAAGTGATTGTCAAGTATTAGTAAACGTTAAACATTCACAGTATAAAATGACTGTAGGTATGTTCTAGTAGATAGATATGTATAGACATACAGAACGAACTGATCTAACTTGTGTTCTTCGATATAATCTAATATGCCTTGAACACCGTCGTCAAGGTTGTGGATTGTTTGCCCTACTTTTTCGCCGGATGTGTATTCGAAAGGGATTGTGGGGGTGTGTACTGTATGTCCTGCACTCTCAAGGTGAGCGCGGACGTTCTTCCATGAGTCTCCGTGATGCCAGGCACCATGGATTAGAACGAAAGTAATTGGGGCAGAGGAGGGGTAAGCAGGCATTTTGGGTACGTTTCCGAGGGCTGTTGGATTTTTGGTGTTGTGAGTTAAGTGCCTCGAAGCGGGAAGGGCGAAAAGGTAGATTATCCTTTAGGAAATGATTGAATTAAAACTAGAGACTACTAGCTAGATGAACGAATTGAACAAGATTATGAATGAGCGGGTATAAGCTTCTTAAATACACTTTGGCAATAGTCCGCCCCGTAATTTGTTACTTTATCAATCTAAACTTGGGATAGATTCAATTCAGCTCGGTTGGTTCCTTCTTGGTTCCTGGGCAGCTGAACGCTGGAAAGTTCAACGGCTACACAGAACTAACGAAGCTAAGAACCTATAAATCTCCACTGGTAGGCCCTTGCGCTTTGTATACCCTGCAGGTCTTGGGTACTTGGCCATGGGGACTAGTTATTGCACAGAAAGTTTATAATCATAAAAGAACTATTCGTGTGGCGATCCCGATGGCCTTTTCCGCTTGCCCTTTCGATCGGATTGCAGCATCCTCCCAAATCTTGCAGCTGCAGCAAAATTCCCAGATCAAGATTATGGCACAGCTCTATAGAGCTCCCAAATCTAAAGATTGATGCATGGTATATTGCGCGTTGTTTTCTCAGGGCTGCATATGTGCCGAACGGGGGATATCCCTTGAACCCCAAGAAATCTCGGCTTTGGGAACCGAGGTAAGCAGCAAATTGATATTACGGGTATTCGCAAGTCAATTGGTAGTTGATTTGACGGGGTTTCTTTTGTCAGATCAGAGGACGTCACTTAGTAAGATGTTTTACAGGAAGTTTGGACACCCATTGCCCAAAGTTTTTCCCTAGCTTTGCCTGATTGTTCTCGTTATACGGATGGTTCTGACGCGGTCTGACAGTTAGCAGTTAGGCACGGCTGGGATTACTTGTAGAATATACTCCGTCTATACGTTCTAAATGATGGAACTGCCGAGAATAAAGCATATATAATTACCCTCATTGACCCCTGTTAGAGTTGTGATAAGAAAAGGTTTCTAAACTATTAAATTGGCCATATCCCGGCGGAAGTTGAGCGTTCTTCGAAAAGTTCTGGACCCATGGAACAACCCCACCGATTTATGTTCTTGGAATTCATGGGGGGAACCTGAGCTGTTCGGTTCGGGTGCATGATGCAGGTTTCGTCACCCTTGCGGCTGCATGTTCATGGGAAGCTACCAGCCTAAACGATCGGTGCGGGGCTACAATTGGGAAAATTGAATTAAACGCACATAACATCACAAATACGACCCGTGTTTTGGAAGAGTTTTCTCGAGATAATGACTGAATGGAAATAAAATACTTCCTCTTAAGCTTGTGGGCAGTTTTCTGTGATAAATCGTAACTGGTTGTGTATAAAATGCTGAAATGCCAAGGTAGGCGCCTAGGCCCAGCCTCGGGATATCCATATGTTAATGTAATCAAAGATGGTTGGGGCGGTCGATCTTATTGTATCCCGACTAATAGTATCCATCGTAAGTGCTTCAGATCTACTTCGTTGTTAACTAACTGATTGAAAGGACATGGTTTCCATCAATCGAGCTCTGGGCGGGTGTTATACTAAAGCGTGCGCAAGATGCCGTCTGAATATTCGAATGAAGAGTGTGTAACCGAGAAAGCTCGAAGCTTTAGAAATTTATATTTTAGATGTGGGTACATGTACAGTCGTATCTACGGGATACTTGAGATCTCTCTATTGATATCTAGTATCCCGGAATACGAGATAATGACGTCGTGAACCTTCTCGCTTGACGTCGTCGGCATGAGCTAAGCAACCCGATTCGATTTCATAACCGGTATGGCGCTGCCGGCAAGGTGGCACAAATCACGTACACGATTCGACAACACATGCAATTCGAACTAGTACTGGTTCCGATAATTAATTATATGCCTATGGTTTATCATGCAAGAAGCATGTAGGCTTGACCGATATTATTGGGCCATATAGTTGGAAGGTGATATCAGTGAGGTGTGAGATTTGGAGTTTTGAGGGGGATTAATTGGGTTTCCGAGATAATCCTAGGGTATTAGGTGAGGACATTGCAGTGCAACTGTTGCATCTTTATCTTGCAGAATAATTAATAAGATCCGAAGATCTAGATCCAGCTCCAGCGATTTCTATGGTCGTTCGCGCCGTTCATGACCAGCATCAACTTTATACTTCGGCAAGTTGCCTAAACTCATTGGGAAACATTATGCAGGCTGAGAGGTGGGAACGTGGAGGAGGAGAAATCCGATTGACCTACAGGAAAGAACTATCGAAAGGATTCATTTTTTAGGCCGACGTTTCGAAAGTCCCTCGGTCGAAAGGAAGGCATCCCAAACCAAGATGAAAAGGACCTAAAAGTTACTAAAGAAAATAGACTCCATAAACCCCAGGATTGACAGGAAGTGGGGAAAAACTTAGAAAGGCTTAGGTATCTGGTCCCCAGGCTTCAAAACTCCAACTTGGAAACGACAGTAGGAACCAGGCCAAAATATTATAATATTAACATTAAAATTGAAGTACACGCCGAAATCAGATGCTCTCATTATGCCATATGTGTCTCACCATCCTTATGCCGACATGGCCATTGCGGCCTTCGCATTCCAATCTTTACACGATGTACCCGGTACGTAAACTCGAGAGTTGCGGTTGGCAGCCGCAAAACCGTCTCGCGGTACATCGTCTGGGCAGTCCAGTCGTAAGAACAACCAACAGCTCTCTGCATGCCACCCTCGGATGCACAGAGAAAGAAACTAATTGGCGGATTAACTGCTTCGAAAAGTGTTACTTCCATATTGTAAGTGTCTATTAACGTGAAGATCTAGTTTGCAGGGATAAAGTTCATTAGTAGACAAGTATTGGTTTATATAATGGTGGAATCAGATAATTATATAGGCCTTACCCTCATTTCCCCAGGTTTTGCGTACCGCGCCCTTTTCACCTTTTCGAGAACCTGTGGGTCCCGCGTTGGGTCAATCCCGATTCGCTCGCCGTGACTATTCAGAATCGACCTTGATAGAGGGGATGTGTTAATGGACCATGACATTCGTCCAAACGCCCCGCCAAAAAGCGCCCTTTCGACAGTAGCTGCACTAATATAGCCTTCAACGCCAAACATTGCTGCCTGTTGGCCAGAAAATTTACCACCGTATGCTAATTTCACTAACTTTGGAGTTCGAAGCAATACTGCGACGAAGGTGAGTAAAAGAATAACGCCAATAAACAATGCAGGCCTCAATATTGAGAAAGTAAAGAAGAGTAAAGAAATGATCAAGAAGAAAAAGTTGTAGTTCATCAGGTATAAAGCAGCTTTACGGATGAACGAAAAGTTCTTGGTGTAGTTTATCGGAAAGAAAGAGTCCCAAACAACGCTGGCGGCGAAGGCACCGTCGAGGATGACGGTATCGTTGTCGCAGACCGCAGCCACTTGGGTGTATGGATATATATCCCACAATGACGACTCGTATGTATCTTCCATATTGTACCACGGCTGATCAATCGATTTAGGCAGGGTGCAAATATAGCGTTCAAGGAGTGCGTCGGAGTCGTTAGCCATCGATAGTCGAGCGAATGCTTGAAACTGGGTGTCTGTTACATCGATCTGAGGTCTCAAGCGTAGAAGGCCCATAAGGGCGTATGCTTGGTCGCCTTTTAGGTACTCTACTGTTTTGCGCCGATATAAACACCCTAGCGCAATGACAGCTTTCTCCAGTCTACTGAGTCCGAGTGTTCCGATATAGCTATCCACCAACTGCCTAGACTCATGTGCATCCTCCCAAACCCTTCCTGCGAACTGATTTTTATTGATCGCAATGGGGCTATTTTCGCCTCGGATGTAAACGAGAATTTCTTTCCCTGGCGATAGAAGAACCTCTGGGAATGTCCACATTCGCTCACCCCATTGTTTCAACAGTTCGTCGACACCAAGCCGCTGGGGCTCATCTGGGGGTTGCCCGAGGACTATGATTAAATCACTAGCTCCACGGAGGACGTCTGCAATCCGAAAAACATCCGACTCTTCTTCTTCCTCAACACGCATACAGCTCCCTGAGACCCAAAATGCAACGACACCTGCCGATCTTGCTGCCTTTTCTGCAATTTGGTGAAGAGCTTTCATATCTCGCCGGGAGCTAGTAGGGAACTGGATTGTGCTCCAAGCAACAAAAGTATATGTCAAGTTCATGTTTTTGCCATCTGTCTTCTCCCACTCTTCAACAGATAAGACGTCATAGCCCTGGAGTTTAGGAGAGTCGGGTTTCCTTAAGAAACATAGATGGCGCGGTTTGAGTACTCTATACTCATTGGTATTTCCTATTTCTTTATTTCCATTGTTCTCAATCTGGTTTCTCCATACTTTAGCGGTGCCGAAGTAATAATAAGGGAATGGAGCAAACCGGCCAGAAAATTTGACGCTACCATTACTCCCAGTCTCCCACACCTATCAAAAAACCATATCAATATAATACTCTGTAGTATCACTGTACTAATGAAAAGTGGAGCTAAGGGAGAAACTTACAAAAACTACCATCAACATTGAGGCTAAAAATGCTCTGACTACTTGGATACCATATGTCTTCCAAGTCCCGGGGTTTTCATTATAGTCGATAATCCAAGTGGCAATGCGGACTTTTAACTCAGAAACATTACGCACATATGTTCGACGCCAAGTTGACGTCCCTGGTGCCTGGTAGATATCATCTGCGCAAGCTACGGTCAGTTTGCGCAGTCTCCCGTCGTCATGGTCGAGATAACGTTCATGGCGCGGCTTTTCACACACTCGAGCGGCAAAGTCTCGGTATCGGTACTGAATTGTATCATCGTAGATATAAGCTGGGTTTTGAACCCAATCGAAAGTTCCCCAGCGGAAAATTGAATGGTGCCATTGATTCGTGGACTCCATGAGGCGCTGTGGTCGTTCATTATATGTTTTCTGTCCCCCAGTCAGCCACAGTTAGCTATTGACTTCTATATTGTGACTCGGGATCTATCGTTTCAATAGTTTAGGTATGGGAGCCGTAAAAGTTAAACTTACACCATTGATATCATTTACTTCAGCATCATCTTCAACAAGGTTTCTTTGGGATGTGAACTAGAGATAAAATTTTCAATTAAGCGTACTTCTAGATACAACTTGTTTGGATTTGTAGAGAACCACTGCAAACTATCCAGCTACAGTTACTTGCGGAAAATGTTCTCAAATGTGCGGCGTACCCTTGAGCTTGACTTCTGGACCGGCTCCTGATCTCCTCCTTCACCTTGTGATACCGGGCGTAGTTCATAAGACTATCACAAGATGTTAGCTATGGTGCTAAGGAATAATAGTGTAATTCGATTTATTAAACATACATGTACAGACTGGCCTGGCGATGGCGACTATCAGGCGAACTTCGTTAGTTACCACTGGTATAGTAGCCACCATATGAAAATTAAATCAGTTATATAATTATGCATACCCGTTGTGGTGGTTCTAGCCATTGATGAGCGCTAGGCTCAGATGAGCCTGAAGGATAGTAGTGCTGCTGGGGCACTTGGAGAGGTATTGGCGCGCCTCTTTGTTCCTGCTGGTTACTCTGGTATCCATAATTCTGACCGTAGTAATGTGGAGTCGGTGGGAATGCATTTTGATGGTGAGGAGTACTACCCCCGGCCCCAGTTCCGAAAATATAGCTTCCATGATGACTCTAAAGGGTATTGGTGTTAAAATTTCGCGTTCAGAGGTATTTAAAAAATTAACGCCACAAAAAGGCAAGGTAGAACTGCAAAAATATTAAACATGTCATACAGGGTTTAAAGTTCCAGGTCTGTGGTTTACAGCTGAAGACCGTCGAATTTCTGACTCCTTGATAGGCAATGTTAACTCTTGGCGTCCAAGGCTCCTATAAATATTGACTTAAATGACTTCGGTACTCACATCTTCGAAGTCGTCAGGCCCTGGAGTGTAGCTTCCTCCATGCCTCTCTTGCCTAATTCTTTGCATTCCGCCTTGTGAACTAGACCGTTGGGACTAAATTGTATTGCAGTCTAGTTAATGATGTAATCGAGACTTCCAAAATATGATTTATTTCCGTATCAAACGAAATATACCACTTTCACGCATATATTTGGTTACAAAGGGTTTATACAAACCATTCTTACTAAAGTTCTGCCGCCTCTTTCAGGTTCAAAATATGCGTGTACGACTGGGCCCTCAAGAGCGCTGGATCTGAGACAAGTCTTGCTGTATATTTTTGCTCTAAAGCTACGTTTTGATAAGTAAAGAAGCCTTAATTTTGGCGATAATGATTTTATGGACTGTGATTGTCATACATCCATCTTAAATATCCTGGAGGCAATCGCTAGTCCTTTATAGGAAAAGAAGGCTGCCAGATGTTAAGACTGCTGAGCATTCTTACTAGAATGTCGGAATCATAATTAAACGTTGAGCGGTCCCCGTAACATCACTGTAGAGCAAGCCCGAACCAATATGTCCATCATGCAGGCAGACACATAGGATCCCGCTTGATAAGGTTTAAGGCTGACAATACAGTCCGAAAAGTATAATGTATCGATACGTATCACCTGGGTCTACAATAAACCAGTTTTCAATTCGGTGCACGGTGTGTGATGCCGGCAGAGGTACCTATTGGTAGACATGGCTATAGACTCGAAACTAACTAACACAGCCACATTTTGAAATGTCAAGCTCCATTAAAATTAAGCTAGGTTTTTATAACGTGCATTAGAAATATTACCAGCAATTCTTCCTGAGGCCAACCTGGGTTGGTGGATATACATAGAGGTCCAACAATACATGAGTTCGAGGGCTCTCGATCAGGATACGCTGCAGGCCCGCGGGTCGGAACTTCTCGCTACATATGCGGTTCGAATCATAAGATGCATGTTAACATAAAAGCATCAGCGATACTACCTATACGCCTTGTAGGCGTACGAAAAGCATACCCCCTTCTCCCCTCAACCTGTGACTCTTATTCGCCACAAATTTCTCGTTTTTAACCTCCAAAATTAACCTGCTCACAAGCATGTGGGTATTTGTATTCTGTAGCTATCATTCGTTTGTTGGAGTGTATCAAGCAGCTGCAGGGCTGCAGGAATTCTAAAAGGGAAGCGGGCTGCGCTGTTTCGTCGCGACATTAACCCCTCATTTCAAGATAACGTAGGAAGATGATGTTGTATATTGTCACACGCGTTAAGTCCATATCTTCGGAGTCGCCGTCGAGGCCGCTAAAATATGAATTCTTGGCGCATAACTTGTCGGATTCAATCGATCCAAAACTCTAATGGCTTTTGAATTCGATCCCCGCCACATGTGCACATTTGAACTCCATGCGAAAGATTTTATCGTTTACTGTGCAAGGATTTGGTGTCCTCGGAGCTGCTAAGTCACAATTTTGCTGTACCACCGACACTCCATCTTGCAATGCGCTTTTGGCGTTTTGATACAATTGCGGTGGCCGAACTGGGGGGTTTGATGGGAATCCGCGGGCGGTCCGGCCTTATGTTAGCTGGGAACGAATGCTCAACCAGACCGCAAGCTGTTGATGTTACACAAAAAATTGTTGGAATCCGGATTCTTGGTACGCGAGTGTACATGTACTGTACCAGCGCAGCAGATACGAAAAAAGGCTACCCCGCTCCATCCTAGTTTATAGGTCGCTATTATACCACCACCACCTGCAACTTGTAAGGGTGAGAATTCGAGATTAAAAGGAGAAAGATCCTCCTCAAAGTGCCTATGTCTAATTTATCGAGATTGAAGTATCCACAATGTGAATTTTTATCATGACATATCTTGTCTTGCTGTATTCTCTTGGAAACCAGAATTAATGCTACTACAAAGCAGTAGCCTAAGTTATTTAGGCTACTTATAGGTTTAGAAACCTTCAAAGTAATCATGATCACGATTAATGTGATTAAAGTTCTCGATGCAAAACATATTTGGATTCTAGCTATTACCGTATCTCATGATTCATTGTTGCAGATCTGGATTCATGGAGTTTGTGCAATTAGTTTGTTATTCAGCTGCAGGATGTACACACATGCACATGCGGCTCAAAATTACACTTTTGGCTTAAAGACCTATAAGGCAAATATATTGCAAATGGTGGTGGCGATGATGCATCCCGGTATATCCGTTTGGATCCTGCATAAAGTTGACAATACAAAAGATACAGTGTATTTGCATTCTGAGTTCGTGGAAGACAGAAGTTCTTCTGGTGGGCTTGATTACAGTTAAGCGTGCCTTTTCTTTCAGAGCCTTCCACTTGGCTTCGATCTTAATTCTCTCTTGCTTGATAAGCTGTTCAAGAAAAGCTCACACATGAAATTGCCGCGCGGGCACTTTATTGCATTTTTTATTTTATTTTTGCGTTACGGTGAGAAGCCAAACAAGATCAATAATTCTTTTTTTTTTTTTTTGATTTCTCAGAATGTCCTGGACGCCTGTGAAGGAGTCCTATGATGAGTTTCAGGGACAGCAATCCGACCCTTGGGAAAACCTTCAATTCTTAAAACCTTTTGGCCAATCAGTCGAAATATGGGAAAAATCCAATAGTAAGTCGCATGCCATCCCATTTAAAAAATCATTCAGGTCCTCATAATTGGATCAGAATCTCCTAGCGGGGTTTGGCGTGGGAATATCACGGATTTTACGAAGATTACGCATGGGCTCGGGTCTTATCAGATTAGAATTATGTATGTCTTCACACATCCCCAATGATCAAAAGTGCAATTTGCAACTTTGCTTGCATAAAACGTGATACTCATCCCTACTAACTCAGATTTGCGCCTTTGGACATATGGCGTAATGCTCCGATCTGCATCCCAATCTTCAGCGCCCTGGATATCCCCCACAAGTTTATATCTGAGTGCTCACAAAACGTTTGCCACAGCTTTGGCTCCGAGAGGCGTGGAAGTGGCGTTAATTTCAGCTGGTTCCACTTCTTGTGCAAAAACTTATCAATAGACCGCTCAGGAAACTACCCAGAGATTAGAAATAAGGTTCCTATCTCTTCCCTTTTCACACGGGGCGAGGCTGTAGGAAACTTTGATGGCCAAATGGTGGTTGAGCTTCCTCAGGCAGATTATAGTTGGTTGAGATCTGGGTTTGTCCTCAGAACGGAACCTGATGGAGCTGTTACGCTCGTATGCTTTGGGGCCACGCCATATGTGAAGCGAAGACTTGAGATGTGGATTACAAGTAAGTCATGGGCTGCGGTGACCGAAGAGCCATATGCCTTATTTGATCTTGTGATGGATGGACTATTCTCGGAGGTCGATGCGACTTCGTGGAAGATGGCGGATGTTTTTAGACCGATAGAAACGGTAGGCGTTTTAATACATATATACATATTCATACCGCTGTTAATATTGCTGACAATGGTAACGTTAGTAGAGCATTTTACAAGTCGCAAAAGCCGGTTTCCCAGCCCTCGAGAAACATGTTGACTTCATCGGGCTTCATAACTGTCTCAAACACATTATTTACCTTAACGAGGCTGTTGCTTCTTGCCTCCTCGTCGTAGATGCTATCAAGGCTACTACTACTTCGACGGCTTCTATTCAACTTCCAGACTCTTTATCTCACCGCCGTTCTCTCTTTACTTCAACATCGCTTCGTCTTTCTAGTATTCAACAACGAGTAGAAAACACAATCGCACTATGTTTCAATCTAGTATCCCAACAAGACTCGATGATGATGCGACATGAGAGTATGGTAATGCGCCAAGATGCCAGTGCAATGAAAATACTTGCTTCGATAACGGTCATCTTTCTTCCCACTATGGCCGTGGCCTCAATCCTCGGGAGCCAACTTTTCCTCTCCGCGGTTGTTGTCGCCGAAGACAAAGATGCACAAGAGATTGTTGAAGTTAAAACCAGCCCTCTGTTTAATATTCTGTGGATGTTTGCCATCCCGATGACTCTGGTGGTTATGGTGATGGCGATTGGGTGGAGTTGGTATTCGCATGTGACCTTTCCTAAGACTTCAGACGAGATGAGGCGGAGGCTGGAGGAAAATCAGCGAGTGCATCCGACCTGGGTAATGATGCTTAATGATAGATTCGAGAAGGCAAAGGGGGGATTCAAACGCCGGCACGCGGTGTAGGTTTGTGGAGTTGGCTTTCGGCCTGTTATATGCTCCATTGTTTCAACGGATCCTGTCAAGCAATCTCAAGGGAGGGGCGTTTATATGCTTAGGACTACTTAACTGAAGGGTTCAATCGAAGAGTGAATATAATGGGCATACGGGTAGGGTTATCAATATTTTTTACCAGTTTAAACCTGCACTATTAAATTATACGATTAGACGTCGTATATAGTTGATTTCGAGAGCTAAAGGTGCTCAATAGTTTGCAACAATGTATCCTTGCGTATATATGCGGCCCTGTGAAACTGCCTTCGTGCATGGCCGTATGGTATCCGAACAACCAAGGCCATTTGAAGGAAGAAAATGGCTATAGCTACTCGACGTAAGACGTACTTATGTCTCTAGTGCACAAACAGTTCAGGCCTACGTGATTCTCAGAATATAAACGTGTTTTTGACAAGGATATATTGATAAAATAGATACAAAGAATCGAAATTATGGTTATGTATAATGACGGTGCAAGTATGCCGACATGAAGAATAAAATATCAACAATATTCATGAACGAGAGAAATGAAAGTTTCACAGAAAATAACACAATCAATAACTCATAAACTCCCTAGTCCAGCTTGCGCAGAGAAACACCTTTTAAATTTTCGCTGATAGTGAACGACAGCCGCTTCAATTAATTTTTCAACATTTTCGTTTTTTTTGTTAGTGTCTCGTAAACCAGCCTAGCGGGTAAAGGGTACCCTTATCCAACTCAAAAATCTTCCATAGAACAAATCCATATTCGTTGCATAAATGCATTGTCTCCGTGACTCTTCGGGGCGCGAACCCTACTAGAACATATCATGCGGTTGCATCTGTTGTGGTGGCGGAGGGGCGTCATTGCCGCCCACCCAACCCTCGACCTCGTTTTTGACCCAACTCCTCATCCAGCCTCTCACTTTCTCCTCAACTTCTTCGATCGTGCCGTCTTCCGCATGTGGGAAACTTTTTCGGGGAATTATCGGCCCTCCCGTTTCCCGCCTTACGAAAAGAAGGCTAGTTTCTGGATCTACTATGCCGGTCGGTCGGTCTTTGAGAAGCTTGTTGAAGCGTTCGAACATAATGGTGGGGTCAAGGAGTGTTTGATGAATGAAATAGCGATGGAAACCATCGCGAGTGAGGAGTGGGATCGGAACAGGCGGGGTTGGATTGACACATTTGGGGAGGAAAGATGGGGGTGGTTGAATTGGTGGCTGTTCCAGAAGATGTGAAAGGTTGAGCAAAGAAAAATAGTTTGTGAGTAAGCTGGAGATGAAGTCTTCCGGATCTGGGTGGAACAAAGATTGGGCAAGTTGAATTTGAGATTCATCTGTGCGAAAGATACCATTAGTTAGATGTTCGAATTTACGATCAACCGTTGAAGTAGGATGTATGCTTACAAAGATTCTCCTCCACATTATATCCCATCTCTTCCCACATCTGACCCAGAGTTTGGGGATCCAGTCCTCCTTTGCCTGGGCATTTAGTGCGCAAATAGTAGTCGTAGATACCATCCAGAAACCGGTACCACATCCGCGACCACTGTCCACTACCATTGTAAAAAATGCCCCAGAATTGTTCAGACTCTCTCTCAGCTTCGCTCAATGTGCGTCTCCTCTTCGCCAATGGGCCATGGCTACTATCGTCCTCCTCATTTGCAGGCAAGGGAGTTCCATCGATGAACCAGTTGGGGAATCGTCCCGTGATCACTGAAAATGGAGTTGGGTCCTTTGGTTTTCGTGATTCAGATATGGGTGTTGGAACAGGGTAGGAGTTTGTCGATAGAGCATCTACTGAAAATGATCTGGGCTTTGGGGGCTCCTGCATTTTTGATTCCGGAGACAACGGGGTGTCGCTATCCGGGGTAAATTGAGCTACACCAAGTCTTGTAGTCGAGCAGTTCGAGTTCACGCTGCTATAAAACTCTTCCTCTGGCGACAATTTTTTCGGAGGCACTGGCATGCTAAGTTTCCGAGCTTCCTGTTGTTTTTGCAACAGAGATTCGCCAAATGACTTTGTCGGTAGAAGCACCGTATTGTTGGAGAATACACTAACTTGTGTATTTCTTCGAGTAGAAGAGACGTCGTAGAAGCTCCTCTCGTCAAAATCATCTGTATCGCCAAATGAGTTCCTGTGTGTCCCCTGTTGCATCCTTTGCTGCTCTAGCATATGCTGTTCTCTCATCTGCTGCTCCCTTATCTGCTGTTCTCTCTGCTGTTGTTCCATCCGCTGCTCATACTCTCTTTGTGCTTGGAGGGCCTCCTGCCATTCCCGATCTGACAATGAAAAGTCAGGCTGGCCTGGGGGTGGGCCTGCTGGTGGTGGCGGTGGTGGTGGTGGTGGTTGCTGCTGCTGCTGCTGCTGACGCACGAATGGCGCATATTCCATCTCCATTTGGGATGCTACTACAGATGGAAGGACATATCGAGGGGTCGACAATGGAGTCGCTCCAGGAGTCGGATAATCAACTGGAGAGACAGGAAACTGCCCAAACCCTGGAGACCCGGCCATAAAGGCCGGTGAGGTCGGGCCACCCGTAGGACTTCCGACCGATCCAGGGAAAGCAAAGCCATTTGGTTGCGGTGTCGGATAGAACTGTTGACCCTGAGGCGGGAAATATGATTGAGACTGCCTCTGCGCTTGACGAGAGAAGTCATGGAATCCTTGGATACCAGGGGATTGCTGCTGGATCAGCGAGCTCCGGTTAGCACCCTGAAGAGTCGGGCGCGATGTATCTACCGAAAGCTACGAGGATAGAAATGTTAGTTTCGTCTGATATTGAAGATAGGCACAGTAAAATCCATGGACCAAAACGTTTGCCATGGCCAAATTAATCCAGCCCGAATATATCGATATCGGGATAAGACGGGCTATGCATGGCAACACAAGGCAGAACAGGGATATTTTGCCATGAGCTTTTCGAAAGGATGGAAGGCGACATGCAGCCCGCAGGCAAGGAGGACATGAAGTTGCTGCATGCAGTCGTTTAAGGTTTCAAACAGTTGGGGTTCATGACGATGAATTTCGAAGCACATATAATTGAGGCAACAGAAAGCTTAAAGCCAAGATATTAACAGCGCGCGTACGTACCTGCTGGCTGATACTCTGAGGGTGAGATATCTGCAAGTCCCTTGCACTATTGCCCTGGGACCCTCTCTTCGAACTGACGAGCGACCGTACCAAATTCATGTTCACCGCTTTTCCTATTACCGGGCCTGACTCGGGAATTACGACCGCAGATCTAGAGTTGAATGCTGTGACTGCGGGTGGTATTACTTGCAGATGCCCAGTAGATGCGGGGAAGAAATAGTACCCGCTCTGAGGTAAAGGGTATGCGAAAGTGAACTGGTCAGCGAAGAACCGCGAAGATGGAGAAGAAGATGAGGCCGACATTTTTCTCGTGCCTCTTTAAAGGTTTATCAGTTTTCTTGACAAAAAAACAAATGCCTCCACACCCGGGCCCCTCGCGCAGCCACTATTGTCCCTTTCTCCTCCTCGTTTAGATCTGCAGAGGGAATCGAACTTTGAATGAAAAAAGTTCCAATCAGAATGCAGTCAAAGGCCCCTTGTTCGACTGGGGCTGCAGTAGTGCTTGCGTCCTTGCAGCTTAGCTTATGCAAGACGAGAGTTGATGTGGATGCAAAGGCGACGGCTAGGATAACGTAGCCGAATACCGTTGTCTCTCAATTCGCAAACCTGCCTTCAATGGTTTATGCAAGCTTTTTACTCTCCAAGCCCCCCCAGCCTGTAAGCTGTAGAAAATCTGCAAGCACGGAGAGCCTCCTCCTTCTCAGCCCGCAATGTTTTCCTGGGAGGGAAAGAATGGATATGGCCGACAAGGGATTCTTTAACTGCTAAACCCTGTCGTACGAGTGAGCTATTGGATCTCGTAGATTCTCTTAGCGAATGGATTGGAGGTGCGGGATCTTTAGTGTGAGCTATTGTGTTCAGACTGATCGAATAAGGTTGAGAGCATAAGCGCCAGGCTCTGAGCTATTGGCCAGGGTTTTCTGAATAAGTTTGTAATCCGGGAAGGGATTGCGCAAGGAGTGTAAAGCCCGTCTACATTCGGTTTGTCTCTAATCCGATTAGATACTCAATAGGATACGTTCATATCGTAAAGGTATTAAGTTATTCGTGATGGTGGGTGCGAATGTGCGAGTGGAGTGCGGTGTATGCAGCAAATGGTGTGTGGATGACGACTAGAATAGAAACCACAATGGACGGCACGCAAAATATCAAGCTTTTGCCGCTCTTCTGTGTGCGGTGGAGCTTAGTGCGATGCAGAGGCGGGCGTATTAAGGGCAGGTCATATAGGATAATTTTAGAATCTGCGTGTCAGAGCCTTAGAACGATCGAGTATCGCGAACTTGGCTTGCGGCTTCGTCCGCTGTCGATATTTATAAGATGGCCCGTAGACGCTCGAAGTGGAACCTTGGCGTGACCAAATCCGAATGTTGGTTGGCTACTTGTGTGCGAGCTCGTCCGCGGCTGCAGTTTGCTCCACAAGTCCGTACAAAGAAACAAGAGTGGGCAAAATTTAAAATGTTTAGGTAAAAGTGGATCTTGGGGGTCGAATCTCGAGAAAAATAAGATTTAGACTGATCTCAATATCTGGATCCATGGAGCGGATTGCTCTTTATAATTATCTTTATCTCAACAACGTGCAACAGGGCAATGTTATGGCTCTTGATCTCATGATTCATGGCTTCGGGTTAAAAATTTCGCGATATTGGCGAACTTTGGTCTAGCCGGCCAAGTCTTTGTCCTGCAAACCCCGCACACCGTAGAAAGTTTCATCGTCGTCTGAGCACGGACGGTCGAGTTTGTGCGTTACCTTGGTATACGGTGAACGAGCCAGGTTTTTATTGAAGTATACAATTTTATCCGATCCAAAAGTGACCAAATCGACTCCAAGTTTCAGGGGTATCAGGCACCGATGTTGGTTGGTATGTAATTTGAGCTCTCAAAATCAAAATGCTAACATGTGAAGCTTTTCGTGCGGCTTTTCGTGCGCTTTTAATTCTATTTCCTCCTCCAACTTAAGTATCACGAAATTTCACATTTTCACATTAATTATAAATTATAAAGCGCGATATAGGATACAATAGCCTGAATCCGAGTTTCAAGCAACTTGACAATGGAGAGACATGGGTTGAACTCGGTATGCATATTCGGTCCTGGCTGTGCCATGCTTTTGCAGAACAAATGCAAGCCTTTGCAAGGCCAAAGCATTGTTCCCAAGGCGTTGGAATAGGAGATGGTCACGTTGGACGTTTATTCTTGCCTTCTCGTTCAATGAGACATGCAACGAGCGGGCACACAATAGCTGGAGCTCGCTGACACCTGCATGATCATGCATACGTGTGACTGTTGGTAAATACGTCAAGCCACGAAATAATGACCGCCTAACAATAGCTAATAGTTATGACCTTAAAGCCATTTGAAAACTGTGATTTCACCAATAACTCTCCGTGATGTCTCGATCATAATTAAACATCCGGACATTGACATAGTATGGCACATATAGTCCGGCGCTTCACAGGCCTGCAGGATTGAGTCGAATGCGGCTGAGGGGTCGGTCAAAGCTTGTATTACCTAACCGGATTCAGAAGAGCACAACGCACAAAATGCAACATCGCTTTATATCTAAATGTTCACCTCGAGCTCACTCAGTTAGAAGGGTCCTGAGGTTAAACTCGAGTCGTCTCACAATCTAAACGTCCAAGCCGTCTCGTGCGATGCCCAAAACTTAATGTTCCCTTGAGTGCCTGCTATTGATCTAAAAATACAAATACAATCGATAATATAAATATGAATGCAGCTTTGAGGTGATTTTTTTGGACCGTTCGCAAAAGAAATATTTAAATGCGAACCGCCTCATGCGCGGATTCCCTCGAGTCAAGCTCTTTTAGTCTCATAGCATAGTTTAAGGACCAGAAACGTGCCCACAGGGCATGGATCAAATTTAGAAATAGTTTTTAATTATTTGGAAACGCACCATATCATAAGTACTTTGTCTAGCTACTATTCAGCACGGCGTGAAGAGATCGAGATCGCGGGTATAGCTATATATAGGGTATCCGGGTATCAATAACACAGTCGAAACGTTACTTGGCTCTAGCGAAACTAGTCAAAAAATATTTACTGAAATGAAATCCGGTTTGAGACCCCAGACTTTGAGCCAATGGCTTACTATCGCAGCGTGTATCGCAGCACCTCTAGTGTGAGTACAAAATATCTTCATGATATATATAGACATAGTCTGGATTAACCTTGTACCCCCATATGCCATCAATATTGGAATGATATATAGGCGAGCCGACATAGTCACAATATCGTTTCAGGATTTTAAAGACGGCCTCAAGTATAGCAGTGCAAGTACCATAGGCCCTTTACGTACAGAGATATCCAACCTCGAAAAGCTCACCACCAGCGTTTATCCAATCGAACTCCCATCTGGCGCGAACTCCCCAACCGGCGTACGAAAAACTGTTTCAACAAAGCTTTGGGGTCTACAGTACGGAATCGACCTAGCGAGAGAAGAGCTCGCCGATCCGGATGTAGAATACGGCCAAGCCGACCTCGGCGTCCTCGAAGATTTACTTGAGGATATTCAGAAGAAATTTATGACGTTCTCTACAATTAGCATCCAAGTTCCAGATGGGTTCTATACAACTCCAGATCCGTACAAATCTAAGCCAACCGATATTTGGACTTTCATTAATAGTTTGTCCAATCACCTCGCCGCAAACGGTGGACTCGACAACCCTGAGGCCAGTGCTGGGCGATTGGTCAGCTTTCTTTTCTCAGCCCCGCTTCCTGATAGTGGGACCATAACATTGGATTTCGATGCGTTCGATTTACGCGTGAGAACTCTCAGAAAATTAATGGAAACCTTGGAAAATGTCATCAAAAAGGCGCCTGACTTGACCGCGCCTGACGATGATATCCAACTATACGTTAAGACATTAAAGGACTATGACCTCTCTAACGCATCTGAATTGGAAGCTTTCGTTGTAGCGGGGTACGAGGATGTGATAACTATGCTGAAAACATATCTAAAGGCAGTTTCTGGTATATTTTGGACAGCTGATGAACTTTACTGGGAACTCAAGGGTCTGTGGCTTCCCGTGTAATTATGTAAGGCTTTCTGTTACAAACGCTATGTGTGCCCTATATACCATAGTACAAGTTGTAGATATCAAAAGAGTTATCCTTTTCCGTGAAGAGTTTGAAGCCCGGTTTATCAAGTGGCACATTTGGTAGAACTAAGTCAAGATTTCTTTTAATTCGTATCTAGGACCATTTATAGAAGCGCAGATTATCGGAATATTAGGATTATCCTCTATTTCTGTCTAGAGATACCTTTGTCACAGTTGAGGAGTCTGGCGACGAGACAAGAGATACCTCAACGGGTTCTATTTCTCAGCGCAGTGAAGAATAATATGTATAGTCTGGTAGGCACTAGGCTATAAAGAGCTCTTTAAATCATCTTTATTGAATCGATTGAAAAACAAATCTAGGGGATTATTCAAGGGATGGACGAAATATTGCATAAGTCAAGAATAAATCCGAGAGCTTGATGAATATATACATGTGATGAGACCTCTATTTCTGTAATTTAGGACGTTATTTAATTTAAAGTATCTAGAGTATCTAGAGTACTAGTGCATTGAAGTTATTATCTGGTAAGCACAATCCACGTGCTTGTGTAACCAGGCTGGCTATGCATACGGTGGTTGTATTTACTTCTTTTGGTCAGTGAGATCCACCCACGGATCTAGTACTAGTCTCCACGGATCGACAGGCCCTTTGTTCCGCCTCAGTCACGAGGACACAATCTTTTGTCGAATCGGCAACAGCCCGACTACATTCTGGGCGGAGGGAATCATGATGATGCCTCAAAAGTTGCATTTTCAAATATCATAGGATATTTTTGTAGGCAAGAAGTTACAAGAAGTATTTTACCTCTTACTTCTAACAACATATTAATCATAAAGTCACTGTATACAATCAATTTCTTACTTAATTACAAAACTACCTAGATATTTACAACTAAGAGTTACTCCGTGGATCTTTGTGTTACTTATATTCCCCAATGATGAAGCTAATGTGAAGCAGTCAGGTTTCGGAATGCCTTGCACTAGGTTTAGAAATATGCATTCATGAAGTTGAGAAAAAACACATCCCGAAGCAAATGGGAAACTAATGTACGACACGGCCAATTGGAGGCCCAATAGCGTATGGAGGATAGAATTGGATCCTTTAAAGACTGCCAACTGATTGGTTTGATTAAAACTTAAAAGGTGCGAATTATTCCTGCCAGCCGGTTCGCACAAAAAGTGGTTGCCACCTAAACAAGATACCTTTCTAAGAACCCGAGGATGAATAGTGGCGCATAGCCAAAACTAAAAGCAAAAGGATCTTTTGTCGAGTTCACGGAATCGCAAGCCCTTGTTGCCTGAGCTGTGTGTCTTAGAACCGATCTAGTAAGCATGCATGTCACGGAGACCGACAGATTGGCTAAATATCCTAGGAACGATCATATTTCTGGTAGGTTAATACCACGAATCGATGAAAAATCATTTTACCTAAAAATCCTGCTTATATTCCCGGCGAGCTAGTGAGTATTCGATTAGAATTTCGGAGAAAAATCTAGCGCTCAAAACGTTTTCCTGAGGATTTATGTGGCGGCCAAGGGTTTCCCACTAGTTTCTGTGTGGCCGGTGTCGCCTTGTGGCCAGGGTTAATCCGGACTGCAATCTGGAGTAGTAGAAGGAACTAGCTACGAGACATGTTAGATGCTGAGATGTATCAAAACTAACAGCTAGCCTGGGAAAGCAGCTATTGGGCGGGAAATCCCCAAGAACCGAAATAGGTTTAGCCTACTCCAGATTTCAAGAGCTAGGCACTATGGAGGTTTGTTACTCTATGTCCCCGACCAAGATCTTAAGAGAGCTCAGATGCTGGGGGCCCCAAGGCAAAAATTCGGAATATACTGGCCTCGAGACTGAACCTTGGACACGAAATGAATCATTGGAGATGCACTAGGCGGGAAGGTATTTTCATGAATTCAAAGTTCGTTCGATGAAGGATGCTAAATTAATGTCTAGCCTCGAGTCTAAAGAATATTAAACTTTTGGTAAATTATAAGATATCATAGTAGAGCTCGGCATGTATACGGGACTAAAAGTGAATGTTCTGCACTGCACTGTAGATGCCGAATCATCGTGTTAAAACTGGTTGAAATACTTCAATATCGTTGAATCCTAAAGCTTTAAAGCCCGCATCATGTTTTCGTCTCCGAAAAACTAACAGAATCGAATGAACAGCCAACAGTAGCAAAAGGCTACGAAATTACGAACAATTGTACAATTTGGATGGAGAAAACAAACCGCCAAGCTACTAAACCCATTACCAACCCGCTAACATCTTGGTAAGTCGTTAGTAAAACCATAAGATGAGCAGGTTGAAACCGAAGGCACTGACTCGTGCTTCCCGTATTCGAAGCCGATCCAGTTCAAATTCGTAATCCTGCCGTAACGGTTGAACGACCCGTCCGAGTCCCCTCCAATCTCCTTGCTCGGCAATTGCAAGAAGACACTCGGGCTACTCGGACTTCTGACGAAAAACAAAACGGCCTCAACGTTAGTCTAGTTGGTTAACCTGAATTCTGAATTGCTGCGCGTGCGCAACCCCATGTTTCGGTGAATACCCAGAATTCTGTACCACCAAGTCTGGTAACCCCAGAAAAAAAGGCCTCGACACATGGCATGAAAGACAAATTAAAAATTAAATTTCGAGATTAAGACTATCTCCATGATTCGATTCCCTCGTTCTCCACTCGCTAACCCCCGTTCAGATCATCTCGCTTGAATCTATTTTTTCCTCTCTTCGAGAGAAGTGTAATTGTCAGCAGGACGGAATTTACCCAGTCACTTGATGCCCTGTTCAGATCCAGCTCGTCTTGGCACACCAAAACCCTCACAATCTCCAACACAGGCTCGCAATCTGGGTATTTTCCGACACAATACCTTTCGTTCCCCACAACCACATGGCCCAGCCCAGCTTTGAACTATCCCTTTGCCATCTGGTTCTGTCACAGTACATGAGCTTGCAAAGTTTAGTTTAGTCTGGAAAAAGAATTTCCTTGGACCCTTTCACATTACGTCTAGATCTCACTTACTATTGGCTCCCAGCTGTGGTACTTGACCAATGGTTGCAGTGGCTTGTCTCTTAGCTTCCCCACAAATCGCCCGTTTTGGGTTTGAAATTGGGGTTATTGGCGATGTTGCTCCGAAGTCAGAATGATGTATAAGCTATTATGCATTAGGGAGAATTGAGTGAGGCGGGGGATAGGATACCCGAGGCAGTCTGGGGAATGTCCTTGGTCTGGAAGTTTATAGATAACAAGGTCTGCGCCCGCTTCATTTCCTCTTCTTCTTCTCTTTTGAAGCTTTGGTTAGTAGAAAACTACATTTCGGAGGAAAGGAAGCAGATCTATCTTTGTCATCCATTAGTAAACCACTGCATGCATCATCGTCTGTAATCGCAATCGCTCGCGATAAAGCACCACAGTAGACACAATGACCAAATCGCGAGTACCACCGGAAAAGCGTGTCAGAGTTGCACAAGCTTGCGCGAGGTGCAAGCGGCGCAAAGAAAAGGTATGCTTTTCCCATGTTAAACGGTCGACTTCTCGTGGTTCTAAAGCCATGAATTTCGCGAATGCCGTCATTATCACTGAGCCCCCAGATAACTAAACCTCCGCCTCTACTAGTGCGACGGGCAGACACCATGTCGGAATTGTATCAAATCCGGCGTTCTATGCATGACGACAACGCAGGCACAGCTTAGTGGTGCCGTGGGCGATATCAGGACCTCTGAACCGCCTGCAAAGAAGCAGAGGACTTTGAGCTCGAGTATTGACCGAGATCCTTTTTCCGAGTTGCTGTAAGTCAACATGCAACATGACCCCTGTTCAAAGATACCCTGTCATTACGTAAGTGTAGAAAACTAACTTGCATTGAGGCCTCAAAGACGGGACAATATCTCTTACAGCAACTTTGAGCTTCCGGAAGATGTGAAAATGTCACCGGGCCTGCCATCCCCGATATCGCCTGTCTCTGATGGGCGAAGTACATATGGTAGTCCTCAAAGTTCGAGCTCGAAGAGCACGCCAGTGAGGAAAACACCTCAGAAAACATGTAAGCAATGCTGTGCAGTACGTGCAATGGCATAGACACTCTCTAATTTAGTAATTGAGTAGGTCCGCATGCACGAACTACTACAGAGCAGATGGCAAATTGTCTACGAGGTATTCTTCTTGAAAGAGAGGGGACCCAACCAGTTGGCATACGCGCATGTTGCAAGAAAAGCGGATCTGGCAATCACGCTGACCGTCTGGAAGGCCGGATGCCAACATACGAGGAGATGACGATACTTCTCTCTATATTTCGAACACACGTAAGTTTTATTGAAAGCTATATAGGGGGGCTGTGGAGCTAATAAGAAGTCTTAGGCCTTTTCTATAATCGACCCAGCTCTCGATAGTCACTTTGTAAACCTTGTTAAAACACCTTCATTTATGAGCCATCCGGTGAATAGGCATTGCCTTTCAGAATTAATACTAGCAATCTCGTACCAATGCGTCGCGACCTCGACTAAATCGATACAACGAAAACTTTCGTCGATAACACCGGAAGCAGCTTATGGAAGAGCGTCAGCCCATTTCAAAACAGCCCAAGTTAGCTTTGATATGGCCGGGGCGGTGGAAAATCCTGATGTATCCTCAGTAGAGGTACTATTACTTATGGGGTTATATAAATTTCTGGACGGTGGTGAAGCCGCTGCGTCGAGCTTAATTGGTATGAAACGCCGGATAGAGGCTCTCAAAATGATAGTTTGCTAATGCGGCAATGTATAGGAATGGCAATATCTATGGCGCAAACTCTTGGCCTCAACGAGCCCTCCTATACCTCTGATGTCGCCTCCCCGGAAATAAACGCTGGAATCTGGAATTCTCTTTACAACTTTGACCGTATTTTATCACTCACAGCTTCTCGAACTTGCAACTTACCGCATGACGCCGTGCCTTTGTCGCCCACTTCACCGAGCTCGGATATTTCTTTTATCTTAGGGAAAATAATACAAGCGACCCGTAGCCCATCCGCGACCCCGGAGCTACTACAACCACTTTCAAATGAGTTAAAAACATTTATAACTGCCTTACCCGCAACTCTAAGATGGAGTACGATCTTGTCTACTACTTTACCGCAACCAGATCTCATAAGATCGTTACACATCAACGCCTTATACTTCTGCGCTATCTTTCGTCTTACAAAAACCTCACTCTTATCAACATTGTCCCGCAGCACCAACAAATCACCCATTTTTGCTGACCTCTCAAATTTTAATCTTCTGACACAAGGCGGCTTGAACTACGATAACCTAACAGCGACCCATGAAAGCCGATGGTCCGAAGCCGGTATATACTCCGCCCAAACAAGTCTCAGAATCTTTGAAAAAGCCAAACAAAACGGCATCACGCTTCATGGATCACCCTTATTCGAAACCTGGCTCACACTATCTTTTCTCGTTTGCATCCTCGGAATCTTCGCATTTCCTTCGGCTTCAACTGCAAACATGATCAACTCACCCGGTGGCCCTAACGGATCTAAGTCACCTGCATCTCAAGACATTGAATCTCGACTATCACAATTAGCCCACATGTACCAAGGTCTCATTTCAACAGCAAAGATGAGCCCTAGACTATGTAGTCTTTCAACTTTCATTAATGATTTGAGAGGATATCTATCCCGAAAGACAGAAGATGCTACCTGTGGGAAAGATAGCTTCGAAGCTTTGTTCGGAAGCTTGGGAGATATGGGACCATTGGGATCAATCATGTCAACCAGCATGTTAGATGGTGAATCAAACGTCATTGGTGATGTCGAAAGCGCTATTGAGGGGGTCCTATTGGCTTCTAATAACCAAAGAATAGACGCTACTGGCGGACCAATGGATATGGATCTGGGAAACGAAGATCCCTTGGGAGGAGTTCTTCTACCTGAAACACCAGTTTCTTTAACGGCCGATACTACCGCAGAAGGAAAAGATGATCTATTAGCGGTTGATCTAACGGGTACCACTATTGAGCGAAAACTCGGAAGTGATGTCGACGATCTCTGGCAAAAGATATTTGAGGATTTAGACCCGGAAGATATTGAACCTGAAGGGATGAACAAAAGCATGGAACCTGAAGGAATGGGATTCTGTATCGACGGGGTGGAGGATATGACCGCTTTGGAAAGGTTGATTAGAAAGAGCGAGGTCTTTGTATAGGCTCGATATAATGTTTTGGATTTCCTTGGTCTGGTGTATCAGTAGAGTACTACAGCTGGAAGCAGGAGTTTGTCATTTGTCTTCAGAATTTACCTTCTACCTTATATACCCATTTTATTAGCTACCAGAACATTAATCTAAACTGATTGATCATAAATTTATCTACGCTGCTTTCTTGGAGGTTGATCCCAACCGGCTACTAAATTGGGAGAGATAATGCCCCCTTTTTTCTTTTTACGATAAACTGTCGAAGTGGTGATACAGCACAAGGGCTTCGAATCACGAAACGTTAAATTGAAACCCAAACCATCATCTCAGCTCGTACATAACTAGGCTCAAATCAAACAGAAATGTGGTATTTTAGCATCAACACAAAATCGTGGTTTTGCAAAGAACTAGAACTTTGCTGCACGCAAATGCAAGGTTGGAGCTGTCACTCTCTATCCAGGCGAGGATACTTTTCGCTGGGGGCTGAGCCAGCTTTTAAATTGGACCAATCAAAATTTAAGTTACGTGTGTCCTCAAGATGCCAGCTAGTTAGGCGGAGCAGTGGACTCTTCTCCTTGATGAGCCCCGCAAGGCTGCAAATAGACGTGGTGGAGGATCCCGGGGTTTCCTTTTCAACCTACAAAAGGCTCCAGAGTTCCATCGACATTGGCATCACCGTCAGGGACGATTTAACGTCTTATCCATTGCATTTCGCGCTGCACGCTTAGCTAGTCTGATACGACCTAATAAAAAGGTGAGATTATCTCAAACTCCTTATCTCGTACGCGTACCCAAACAAACTCTTACTGTTGCGGCGACTGAAGATCGTAATTTCGCCTAGGGCTAATCTCGGAGACAGGGCCGACCAAAATGCCGAAAAGAAATCGAGAAGACGAAGATCTCGACCCGTTTTCTGAACCGACCACCGGAAGTATATCAAGACAGAAACGATGCTGGGATATTGATGCTGAAGGCGAAAGCGCTCAGTCATCCGTCACGGCAACCCCTACGAAATTACTTTCATCCGATGATTATACCGTTGGATGGGTTTGCGCTTTGCCTATCGAAATGGCTGTTGCGATCGCCATGCTAGATCAAATCCATGCTAGTAATAGCTTGCAGAGACACCCAAATGATTATAACACCTATACGCTGGGGGAAATTGGCGACCACAATGTTGTCATTGCTTGTCTACCCTCAGGAGGCTATGGTGTCGTTTCTGCGGCCACAGTCGCGAGCCAGATGTCATCTACTTTCACATCGATAAGTTCTTGGTTGATGGTGGGAGTTGGAGGCGGGGTACCTGATCCAAAAATCGATATTAGGCTCGGCGATATTGTTGTTAGTCATAGCGTAATCCAGTATGACTACGGAAAGACTCTCGCAGGGGGTCGTTTTGAACGTACAGGCCTATCGAAAACACCTTCACAGGCACTGTTAACAGCAATCAACAAACTGCGGGCGGATCATGAGATCTCAAAGAGCAGAATTCCAATTTTTCTTTCTGAGATGTTGAATAAAAACCCTGAAATGAGAGCGAAATATATCTACCAGGGACAACAATATGACTTTTTATACGAAGCAGATTACGATCACCCAGAGTCCCAGGATACATGCGATTTTTGTCAAAAAGAAAGATTAGTAGGTCGTCATCCTCGAAACGAAACATCTCCGAAGATTTACTACGGACCAATTGCGTCAGGAAATCAAGTAATGAAGCATGGGGTAACTCGAGATCGACTTAAACAAGAGCTAGGAATACTGTGTTTTGAGATGGAGGCGGCAGGTTTAATGGATAACTTTCCATGCTTAGTTATTCGGGGAATTTGCGACTATGCCGACTCGCACAAGAATAAAAAATGGCAGGAGTACTCTGCAGCGACCGCCGCAGCTTATACAAAAGAACTCCTGTTGACCATGCCTGCGGCACGCGGTACCGTTCAAGCTCCCGCTATGATCCCAGCTACAGACCGAGAAACGATGGAGAAGCGAAAGGCTTTCATGGATGCCTTGAAGTTCAACCAAATGGACAATCGACAAGTAACAATCAAGACTGCTCATGCGGAAACATGTCGGTGGCTGCTCACGAAGCCTGAGTTCAAAAACTGGCTCGATGATAACCAAATCTCTGATCATCATGGTTTCCTGTGGATCAAGGGAAAGCCTGGCACTGGAAAATCCACACTGATGAAATTCGCTTTGAAGCATTGCGAGAGGACGATCAAAAAAGCGAAATTTCTTTCTTTCTTCTTTAATGCGAGAGGCGAAGGCCTCGAAAAAACTACCATTGGAATGTATCGATCACTCTTATACCAACTCTTGAAAAAGATTCCTAGACTTCAGACTGTATTCGACACATTGGAGTCGCCAGAGACGTTAGCCAGCAGCTACTCATCGGATATTGGGCTGCTCCAAGATACATTTAGCCGTGCACTGGGCCAAATGGGACAAGGCCGCTTAGTATGCTTCATAGACGCGCTTGATGAGTGCAATGAAGATCAGATTCGAGAGATGCTTACCTTTTTGTGGGATCTGGGGGCGAACCCGGATCTAAATACACCCGCAACTTCGAGGGGAATACAGCTGCGTGTTTTCTTTTCTAGTAGACACTACCCGCATATCACGATGAAAAAGGGGTGCGAGATGGTCTTGGAAGGCCAGGAAGGCCATAATCGCGACATTGTGAGCTATCTAGAAACCGAACTGGTTGGGAAAGGCAAAACAATCCAAGAGATTAGAGAAGAGATACTCGAGAAATCATCCGGAATTTTCCTATGGGTCGTGTTAGTTGTACAGATTCTCAATAAAGTGTACGATGGAGGAGGCCGCCCAAGCCTGCTTCGTCGAAGGTTTAAGGAGTTACCGGTGGGGTTGGGTGACCTCTTTAAAGAGATTCTGATAAAGGATACTGAGAATAAGAGAGATCTCTTGCTTTGCATCGAATGGATATTACACGCCAAACGACCGTTGAAGCCAGTAGAGCTTTACATTGCGATATTGTCCGGCAACTATCCTGAGGAATTAGGTGTCTGGGACCCCGAGGAAATCACAGAAGAAGACATGGGGAGATTTATCCTCAATTCCTCGAAAGGCCTTGCCGAGTTCACAAAATCATCCGATCAGACTGTTCAGTTTATTCACGAATCAGTACGGGACTTTCTTCTAAAAGAAAATGGACTCAATGAACTTTGGTCCGAGTTTGGCTCCTCAAGCCACGAGCGATTAAAGCTATCCTGTTTTAACTACATCAATATTGACATGTCTCAAGATCTACCACCATCTGATACTAAACTTCCATCGGCGGCTAGTCGGGAAGCCTCAGAGATCCGTGAGCTAGCATCGACAAAATTCCCATTTCTCGAATATGCAGCACAGAATGTATTTTACCACGCCGACTTAGCATCCAACAACGAAAATTTACAAGAAGCTTTCATCAATAATTTCCCTCTCGGGATATGGCTCTTCCTCAATAACCTCGTCGAAAAGATCCATGTTCGACGCTACCACCTCCAAGCTAGTTTTCTATACATCTTCTCAGATCAAGGTTTGTCGAACTTGGTTAGATTTGAGGTTAAGCGAGTAGAAAACATTGATATCCTGGGCTTTGGTCGTTATTCATACCCAATAACGGCGGCTTTGGCGAACGGGCATGAGGGAACAGTCAAGGAACTCTTGGTATCGGAGGCAAACACGCGTTCTACGATTGTTATGCCTAGGGATCAATTTTGTGAAAGAGTCAAAGGGCTGCTAAAGGACGGGCGGGATTTCAAAGTCCGCAAGAGACAACCTCTTATCTTTTATGCAGCAGAGCGCAGAAAATTAGATTGGGTGGAAATCCTGCTAGCAACTGGGAAGGTTCATGTTAACTTGAAAGGAGAAATTTCAATATTTCAGCCGCCATTAACATACGTCGCAGCCTACGGAAGCGTCTGGTTAGCAGAGCTACTACTTGCAAAAGGCGCCCATATTGACCATAGCGGCATCAACAGAAGAACACCGTTGTCTTATGTCGCAAAAGCCGGCTACGAAAAAATTGTCAACCTCTTACTTGCTAAAAACGC